TCATTAAAAATTACACATCACACACACACTACTACGACTTTGACACACACACACACACATAGTTGTCAATACGTCAATCTGTGAATCTTCTTCAACGTGTGTATTGTCACTAAATGTCATACATAATGACGTTTCTATTGTACTATTGAAGTTGATATAAATAATTAATTATGGTCGGTATATACTCGTAGTACCAATTAATATTTCCGTGAATTAATAGAAAACGTTGGAGTTCATTATATAGTGTATTATTTTTAGTTATTGAAACAAATATGAGACCCCTGTATCGTTACTACAAGTTTAGATGTGATTATACTAAATTCAGTTTTTCATCCATAAATTCTTACAAATATTAGTTTGATCGTAGGTTTATAGATAAATTACTGGTAAAAACATAAAGTAAGATAGAGTCAATAAATTTCTATATCCTGTTGCTACCTAAAAAATTTCGGAAACTAAATCAAATTAAATTAAATTGTAATCTGGGATATCCTGTCCATTAAGGAATACTTGATTTATGGAATATTATTTCCTTGTTAAACAAAGTATTACATTTAACGAGAATTCATTTCAATAATAATAAAACAATTCACTCACATACAATGCTTAAAAGTTAACATTACGATATCAAATGTATAAAAAACGTGATACTATTAGAACAAGACTTAATAAAAACATGTGAGAAAATATTTATATTCAATAATTATGATTTAAATCTTATTACTAAAGGTTTGATTATATTATTTTTATTTAAAGTTTTCTAACAAAAAATCTTTTAATTATTACTATAATTTACAATTTAGTCGATATATTTGGCATAATTATATACAATTTTTATATTTTTCTCCGCGTTATACAGATAACTTTAATTTAATACTGTTTTTTATATATCACTAATATTTTTTTACCTAAAACTATTTAATTTATCTCGTAATACATATTTTTAATTGTAATATTTCAAGGTAACTGCAATAACTGTAGTGAGCGTTTTAGTTGTTTCACCTATCAGAGCGTGAAATTGGTATATGACCATTGACCACACTCTATAAGTACAAATATAAATGTCTGTTTGTTTGTATACATTACGTATTTTAGCAAAAAATATATTTTTAAAATTCTGATCTGTAAGGCTTCTCCGAAATATCCGGATTTTAATGGCAAATATTTAAACAAAATGTTTTCTAAAGTATTAAATACTTATCGGAATTCCATTGAAATTCTAAATTGCGATAAATTTCCTAATTACTACTAAGTTCTTTTGTTTTTCGGCGACATTCTTAGTGTTTACAAGAATACATTGTGTATCCTTACGTCATTAGTTCATTACATTATCCTTATAATCTGGGTGATGCCTTATCAGTCATGACGTCATGACATCTGTTAAGACCCTTATCACTGACTATGATAAGTTTTAGTGCAATTTTAAAGACATTGTTCAACACTGAAAGATCTATTGAAGCTGAATTACATCTCCCGCTGAGATGAAGAATGATTAAATTTGTAACGTCACGTGGAGTAATTTGAGTTTATTATATTTACTTATAGAATAATATACCCGGCTAACGTGGTTTTGCTATATAAAAATAGGGGTTGATGATAAAAATGTAAAAACTTTGGGTTGTATGTATTTTTTAATGCTACATTATTTAAAACAATCGTCCGAAAATAAAAAAGAAATTATTAAAGGTGAACAACCCTTGTGACTTAGGGGTATGAAAAATAGATGTTGTTGGATTTTCAGACCTACTCAATATACGAACAAAATTTCATCAAAATTGGTCCAGCCGTTTCGGAGGAGTTGTCTGTCTTACACCGCAACACGAGAATTTTATATTTAAGATATATGTATATAAAATCACACTATTAAGTATATATGAAGTAAGGTATGTAATTTTTATGAATCTTAAGAATATTTTTCATTTAGGTATAGTAACGTCAATGACAAGTGATTCAAATCATCAAACTCGGTGTCCGTTACGTTTCAACGGTTCTTTTAAACTTTTTCCTTAACTTTAAGTAAACATTCCATTATAAATAAAATATAAAGTGTAGAAGAAATAGTTTATCAACATTACAATTAATGTTATGTCTGTAGCCATACATTATTTTGTGTACTAAGAATAAATATAACACGTTAATTACAAAATATATTAATGAACACATCTTCCATACAAATTGTATACAAATATTATGACTTTATTCAATAAAATATTAAAGAAATATCTCTAAATATTGACTCTTCGGTCAAAACTATCTTTAACTCGATATAATTATCTAATTGGATAAACGTTAGAAAATCACATGTCGTGTCAGCGTTAACTGTTAAAGTCAATTGTATAACGCGGATGGTAATGGGCGTATAAATTTCCATCACGTCTCAACTTTCTATGAGCTTTAGGCGCGTGCGCATGTCAAATTAGTGATTGGAGACGCGTGCTGTTGCACAACTAGGTGGATGGAGTCCAGACATCTCCGCAGGATAAAACTAACCTTTATAACATGACAGGATCTGATCAGAAATGAAGACGATTTATTGAGAAATTAGTTCCATTAAAAAAAATCTTAATTAGTATTAATTTTGTTAACTATTTAGGTTTTGTTGTATTTTTTCTTGTATTAAATGAAATTGAGATTTTCTGTTGAACAAAACTACCTAGAAACTTTATTCTTCACAGATTAGCAGAGAGCATAAACAAGACACAAGTATAGACTAAACTAAATATAGATAACAAAATTATTTCTTGTAATTTGTCTCCTCAGACGTATTAACAAATTTACCTTACTTCTATATGCTAAATAAATTTATATATTCAACAGATTTCATACCAATAAACTTTACATACCTCCCACAATGGATATATGAAGTTTAAGCATATCTATCATAAACAATAGGACGTGAAAAAAAGTAAGAAATATATAAAAGACAATAATATCTATAGCAGAGTTATAATCTTAGTTTTCCCAGAGCAGTGAAAGCGGCACCTGACCCAGGTTAAAGACCAGGCCATTGGAAATGTTCATGAACTTGCATCTTGATACTGCCAGAGTAAACATTATGTTCACACACTACTAGCACGAACAGAAAGATAGAACGACCTCATTATTATACTGATATTATAAAACACATATATAAAGTGATAAATACGACTGTTTAGGCTGATCTATGATTCGACTTGACATTATTATACAAAGAAATCTTAAATTTAGTTTAGAATAACTTATGTATGTATATGGGCGCGATCGTGGATTCCGAATTATATATATAAATTTGTATTTTTATATTTAACTTTAAAGGATTTTGCAATCATTTTGTATTACCCTTTGTATTAAAATCATCTGATAATGTCTTTAAAAAGCAAATATTGTTAGTGAATATTCATTCTATAAGCACCAAGCGTGAAAACATTGTAAACAGAAAGTCTCGAAGTTTGAATACAAATCTTTTACTGTCTAGAAGTTTACATATATAAAAGAATTCCAATACTTCATTATCATCCATCTGTGTCCTGAATACAATCTAAGTACTGACTACGTTCCAGTTAGAAACTGTGGCTTGAAATCTGTTAATTTAACCTGCTTCTGAGTCATTGTTTTCACTGAATGACGGTAACTGCTATGGGTGGTCCTTGTTGGCAACAATTCAGCTTTGTCTACACCAACCATTGTTATTAGGACAACGTGAAATCATCGTTATCATATAATATAAGTATATCTGCAAAAATATAACTAATATTTTCGTATTTACTACGCATTTTTTCATTTATTAAACTTATTATTTACAAGACCAACGGCCTGAAATTCTCATCTCGTCAGACCGTGATCACTGTTGCTGCAAAAACCGAAACTTCGGGACTATGTAGTTAAAAAATTTAAAAAAACGCCTGCTAAATCCGAAAATATTAGTTTCATTGAAATGGATACTCGTGAAAGTCATAGATTTCATTACATACGTATCTCAGCAATTTAATATTTAATGATTCTACCCAATAATATTTGTTAATTTTAATGCAATTATTTACCAAAATATTAATATTATGAAAGTTGTTTGACCAATAGGATCAAAGCATTCTCTTGTTGTGTGAACTTGAAATATAATTTAGTTGATGAGTTCGTTGACCTTTCCCAATTTAGGTAGTATATGACAACGAAACCTTATTTGTGTGTAGTGGGTGTTGTTAAACAAACTGTTACTAAGTTTTATGTATACATACAAATGTTTCATCTTAAGAGTTCATTTTTATTTCTTAATTTGCTCGAAACGTCACCATCATGTTAAAATAAGCCAGCCATAGAATCTTCCAAACAGTGCATTATAAAGAAGTGTTCTACATCACGGTATAGTTTTATAAAAATTCGTCAATTAGTTTTGGTGTTTAAGAGTAACAAACTATCATACTTACATTTAAAAAGCCAACATTAATAACATACAATTAAATTTGAAAATTATATATAATAGGTATATGTCGATGGACTTCACTTGTTTAATTCTAATCAAACCTAATTTTTCCTCAACGAACATTCTAGTATGACACGGTTTTACCTTACTAAAAATAGACTTTACCTAGTTGACGTAAATGACAATACTAGCTGTATGTTTCACATTAAGTAAAAAGTCTGATAGTTTAGTAGTTAGTTAGTAAGTAGTTTAATATTATAAATTGAAAGTCTTCCAACACACTACAACTCTTAAGTTTTTAAATAATCAACTGTTATTTCTGACAACTCATATTAGCAACAATATATTTGCAAGAAATGACTGATAAAATACATGTAAATAATTTATCAGTACTTTTATCAACAACTATATTTATATCATAATACTTTGTTTTAGAAAACTGTCACGTTGACAATAAGTTGCAACGATTTATATTGTGACATTATTGTATTACAATTCATAGCATTTTTATGATGCACGATGACAAACATAGTTACCAAAGATAACGTGATGGGTTTAATTGTTCCAGATGGCGTAGAAAATTGGTGAGAGACATCCATTACAAATGATAGTAAACAGTCTAATGGACGGGGATACGATAACAACGAAAAAATTGATTACATCAATCAAACAATTCAACACGGACGAAAAACAACACGGCACCATCAAAGCAATTATAAAGAATTTAATACTACCCGAAGAAAACATGGCGATAAAACAAAGACAAAGCTTAAACGATAAATGCATTTACTCGGTACCAATCAAACCGCTTCTGCCACCGGCGAGTGAAAGGACAAAAAATGTGAACGAAGCAAAGAAAGCCTTTTTAAACGCTACAGTCAAATCTGAAAGTTTATCGCCAAGTGAACCAAAACAAGAACACATACTACATTATGCACAAATTGCTACCATTAAAGACAGTGATGACAAGAGGAGTACGGGCGGAGGAGGTGATGCTAAGCTAACAGAGCGGACTAAAAGTAAAACGAATACATTGCCCATGGACATGCCATCACCCAGAAAGAGATTGGAACAACAACTCAGGAAGGTGAGTTTTAAAACGAGAAGCGCATCCGCATCTTATCGACGGCCGCCTCTAGTAACGAAAACTACAATGACCATCACTAGCAGCAAAGTATCGGAACTGACGAAGAAGTTTAATAACATCATACAAGAGGGTAATAATGCCCAAATAAAACAGTCAAAACTAGCCAGAACAATCGAAAGTCTGCAGTCAGCATCAAAACACTCCGCAAGTAATAGTTCCACGCCCTCATCTACACTTAGTTCAAGTCCAAACGTTAAAATACTTTTACGACAACGAAAAAACTCTAGAAAACGTGGAAACAAGAAGAGATGTTCAAGTGTAAATTCTATTGATAAGCTCATAGTGACGGATGGATCGCCCGTGAAATTTCGTGTTATACGTTCAAAATCAGATGGAACTAAAACACCAAAATCACTAAAAAAACGATTAAAGTATCCAGATTCTAGTGGACAACAGAGCGGTTCCGACTCTTTAGATGGAACACCTACAAAACAAAAAACACAAGAATTACCAAAAACTGAAAATATTGAAGTACCTACAGAAAAAAACGTTGTAAAGAATGTTATTCAAAAATTTGAATGTGAAATAAGATCACAAGCTAACAGCAGTGTAACTAGAAAATCAACTATCCAAGAACCTAGTAACAAAGTACCTATTAAAGAGAAACCTAAAGTACCTGTAAAAAAATCGTCACTAGTTTTAACAAAAAATATTGTATTAAAAGACGGCGTACCTAAAATAAAAACGATTAAACCTCCGACTGTAGAAACATCTAAAACAAATAAGCCTTCAGATAAAGATGTAGACACATCACACAAGCCTGAGAAAACTACTGATACGATAGATGAAAATCAAAAGAAAAAGGAGTTTGTGTATGACAAAAGAAAGTTCAAAACTAATTATATCCATTCTGACAAAATGCCCTTACACCTAGTAGAAATTATTCAGGAAGATGCCAATGAAAGCGCCATCACGAATTCATCTGATAATGTGACAAATGTCTCATCAAATAACGTTTCTATAGATGATGAAAATGCATACCAGGAATTAAACACGCAAATTACTCCGAACGATTCGTTTTTGTGGCGGAGGAAAAGTACACAGATATACTCCGACCACGAGAAGTCTGGATCTGATAGTACGTACGGTTTCGTATCTGTGATGATGAATGAGAGCACGGTCAGTTGTAGTGATAGTACCGGAACTGAAAAGGAGCAATCTCTAGAAAACGTTGAATCTCAAGTAAATACTAATACTGAAGTGAATAACACTGACGATAACTCAGATTTCGAGAGCAATTTAATAGAAGCCTGCAATAATGAGGTTCTGATAGGATACACCTCAAAGGTGAAAAACCTCAAAGATATAGAAGATGACTATGAATTACTCGAACCGCGTGAGAGTGAAGACGTTGTAATTATACCAGTCAAAACTGATAGAACTTCGAAGATGAACTGTCCATTACCAGAAATACCCAAAGACGAGGAACCTGTAAATAAAGATGAAAATATATACCAGTGCCTTCTAGAAATGAGATCTCACCCAGAAGGTGATGAAAGCAGTCTTCATAACTACGAGCAGTGTGGAGAACATTTGGAAGAACGAACCAGAGGAGATGGGGACAGCGACGACGGTTATGAATACTGTAAGTCACCAGTCAAACCGTACTGTCACACTTCCAGTTCAGGAATTCAGATAGCTGAACACTACGACCCGTTCACTAGCGATACTAACAATGCCAACTACACCATAACAAAATCAGTGAGCGGTACATCCACAGTCAGTTACGAAAAAATCGGCCCCGACAGGATATACGAGAAAATACCACCTCGTCCGCCTAAATCCAAAGAAACCAGCCCGAGTTACAGCAGCAGACACTCGAATGTATCCTCAGAATACACGGGATACAATGAAACTGAGAACATCTATGACACTATCAAGCATAGCGATGGTACATCTCTCTCTCATTGCTACGAGAGCATACCAAATAGTCCCAGCATGGTGAAGCTGAGGAACAACTTCAAGAAGCAGTTATCCTCAGCGGTTCAGAAGCGTCTATCGTTCGACAACGTGTCCAACATCAGCCATTCGACAATCTCCAGCGAACAGAAGACGAACAGCATATACGGTCAGCGGTCGGTGATGAGTTACAACGGCCAGGAGATAGCGTTCCAGGTGCCCTGCAGCGAGACCAGCGTCAGTGACAGAAGCGACAGAAGCGACGACTGGGTCGACGTGTCAGACGAGGAGAAGCCTGACCAAAAGATCATCATGTGAGTGACATAAAACAGTTATAAAAACATCTCATTTATAATCCACCAATCAAATTTAAGTTACCAAAAACAAGATTTAAAATCCACCAATCAAACTTAAGGTATACTAATTATTTTATCAATACTATCATCGGTTAACTGTTCTGTATTCCGATGACCTATAAAAAATCTATCGTACATCGTCCGCGGGTTAATCAAGTGCTGTGTAAACAACGTTATCAGATCGATATTGGCAACGGGTCAGTGTGGTGACGGTAGGGGGAGGTTGTGGACTATGTATTAATAATTCACATGGATCTTATAATTTGTAGAGTGAGAGAACGAAGCCGCGGCAGGAAGAGTCCTGTGAGCTGGTCGCAGAAGGTGCGTGACCAGTGGCAGAACTCACCCAAGCAAAGTCACGAGAAAGGTCAGTATTTACTCAGTATACATTCAAATCTCGTTTGCCCGGTATCGCGGTGTCGCGAAGTAACCGAAACTTCGGGAGTATGCAGTTTTAAAATAATAAAATATTCGTAGTAATCTGAAAAATATTAATTTCATTTAATTGAATACTCGCGAATCTTAGATCTCATTAAATTAACCACTTATCCACTTATAGTATACTGATGTATAGTGATTAGAAAGTAAATATTATTTATGTATTTCGTTTCTTTGAATATATTTAAAACTAATTCATTTAAAAAATAAAACTATATTTATTTAATTTATCATAATACATATTTAAAAATAATCCTTGGCTGTTGAAAGTAAGTGGTGATATTATTAAATTAACTGCCATCTAGCTATTCGCTTGGTAACAACATGATTTAAAGCACATGCCAACGCGACATACTAGATGGCGCTGCTAATTTATTATGACTGAAACATTAAAAAGCACTATTGTTAATTCATGTTCACTGTAACTCAAACTATTGTAATAAATAATAATAATAAGGAAGTTTGTGCGTACATTGTACATATACAGAAATTGCATTACATCAAGTGTTCCCTATTACGTATCAATGCATCTGACAGTCATCTGATTAGCTAATGAGTAGTTTCCGCGTAGTTTTTATATTCCAATTAGTGTAACGACTATTGTGACTCCGTACGGAAACTACGTAACGTGATGAGAGGTAATAGTTTTATATAAACATTAGTTAATTCTAACAAGTTCATGAACCTTCCGAATTAGGTTTAAATGCGCACGCGCCGCCGCTGTGGGTGCTTAATATAATTGGTGCCGGATTCCTGCGCCGACGCAGCTATCACACAAGATCTATGCCTTCAGACATTCCGTTGTCGGCGCGGCTTTATTTGACATTTACTTATATTTCATTGTTTAAATACAGAAATTTCTTGGAAGTTGCTGTTAGAAGTATAAATTAATTTAAACTTATATTTCTCAGATTGAGATTTTTTTTCTTCATTTATAAAATACTTAAACAGTTACCACATACTAAATGTTTTTTCGTATTAATCTACCCCTATTGATTTTTCATTACACTACCTATAAGTGGGTCTAACTGGCACGATACCCTCGACCTATATAGATAAATACTCCCCTCAGGTACTGCGTTTTTTAACTAAATATATATAGATAAAATATATTAATCCACCCTCCCATCCAGCAGCTACGTTCCCAAGGCCGACGTGACGTATAAAACAAAGGAGAAACGTAATACGTGTCGTTAAAATTAAAACAAAAATACGTTCTCACGTAGCTCGGGTTACTCATCCTTGACCGTAAACAGCAATGAGATCCATCGACCAAAATCACTTGAACCATCAATATATCGTTAGTTGGTGATAATGTTTGGATCCATCTTAAGGAGGGGTCTCGTTAGACTGGTCATCAAGTTATTACCTCACGCGATGATGTGTTTAATTCTCCACGTTCTCCACACTTGATGTCTGAAGCCTCCCAGTAATCAGTGGCAGTATTTCTTAAGGTTGTGCCACACTAATGTTTTGCGTATCTGAAACGGTGATTGTAGTGTTTGCAACTTTTAATAGTTCCACAGAATCGATTGCGAAACAAAATATGTATATTATTATTTTTTTTATTTTAAACTATTTTTTATTTTAATTTATGTGAGCTTATTAAAATTTAAATGCTTTTTACATTAGCGACATCATTTTATTTTACATAGTATTAAGGAAATGGGGTAATTTTATATACCTATATATTTATATCAGATAAATTTTAATGCCTTTAACTGTTTACGTAATGAAAGCGAAAACCATGTCTATCATTGTATCGATTTTCCCACTTTCATAGTTTCCACGAACATTTACTATTAAATACGTATTTATACTGTTTCCATTATCTTCACAATACAAACATAACGTAATCATGATTTCGATGTAGCTATAATTGGCATATATTTAAAAAAATAACAAAAAGTTTTAACAAAAAGTATTAAAATTATATTAAAATATATATATATATATGAAAACCCTTGTCAGGATTTACCAATATCAAACACGTAACGATTTAAAAATTACCTCACGATTGAACACAATAGTGAATAGCCGGCAAAAAATTAAATGTAAGAAACAATGTTGTAAACTAGATCTGTAGTATTCAATAAAGAAAGCATTCTTATTACTTAGAGAGGGAATAGTTTTTATAATTATAAAATAGTCGTAGTCAGAAAATATTAGTTTCATTCATTCTTAGAAATGTTCAAAAGTAACATTACATTTATTAAGAGACATGTTAACGATTTCAATTTTGCTGTAATTATATGTATAATTCTTTATTATGAAAAACTTAGAATTTAGGTTTTCAAAATTTTAAAATAACCTCTCGATTATACAATCAATATTATATCTCGATGTTCCTTACTTAAAATATATAATTTAAGCTGTTTTATTCATTTACTTATATTTAATTGGTTAAGAAAATCCTTAAAAACTTTAAGCATTTCAGAAATTTCTGATTCGAAGCTTAATAATGTGCATATTTTTTTCATATGAAAAACATTACAATATTTTTACTTCAATATATTGTATCAAGTTTCATTATTTATACAAATCGTAAAATTTTTGTCGAATATTTCTTTCCATTGGTGCCTGCCATTTAATAGTTTACCGTCGAAACATCCGTGTGAACAAACATACAATCAAACAATCGCATATAAAAATGCAATATTTTTATGTTTTATTGTCATAAGCTTGTACTCATATTAAATATTGCAGAATAATTCTTAATTAAAACCCCGATGTGGCTATATTTCTACATCTATATGAAATTCTTACAGTAGTTATATTTCTACATTTTCTTCTTTACTATTCTATATATTGGATTTAATACAAATCGTTTTTTAAAAGAACGTGACGTCAGTATTAGTGACGTCACTAATATCACTTCTTCCAGAACATTCCATGATGTTTTAAAATGAAACTTCAATTGTTCTTAATGTTCCTGTATTTCTCGAAGGTTCTTCATAATCACATTATTCAATGGTCACTAACTAAACTCTGCCGTCGTGAGTCCAGACGTCATATTTATACCAAGATTCAAACATAGTTCTATTCTCCTTAAAACAGTCTTTGATTTCGTTTTACTTTGTCAATAATCATGAATACTTAAGTTTTAATAATAATTGATGACAAGCTCAAGATATCGCAAATATATACCTACTATAAGATTCATCTTCATAATGATGTCACACTAAATTCAAATCACCCAAAACTTAGAAAGTAAACAAAGATAACATCTGATTTATTAAATAAAATATTTATATCATATGAAAGTTAAGACACGAGGATATCGAAACTATTTGGAAATTTATGTATGTTTACAAATATATATGTATAAAATTATACTATACTAAATATATAATATTAATATGATTTATTCTCATAGATACACAAAAATAGGAGAATTATATATAATAGTACGAATTTTCATTTCATTTGGCTCGATGGTATGAGTTGTTGTGTAATGAGACATACAAACATACAATTTTTAATATATGTTGATATATTTCTTTAACATATAGTATGTCCAACTGTTACTCGTTTCAATCTAAGTAACATGATTTACAAAGCTAATCTCTAAGCCTGTAACCATTCGGCAGCGTCGTACGTTGTGGCCTAGATTGTGATTGTAGAACCAGTTCAGAATGTAATTCTACTTGAATTTTGGATTTAATTGTTATAGAAAGTAGGAATTGTTATATATACACATAGTTGTATTTAAAAGTACCTTTAAACATCCAAGAATTGATATTTTAGTCGCATATGTAAAGTATACATAATATTAATAAATAATAATCAAATAAAATACTAATTCTGTATGTAGGTATATGTTTTTCCTAATCGTTGGTACTCATGGAATTAATTCCTATCCTTCAATGACGAAGAATTCTACTGACATGAAGTGAAATCAAATCATTGGTGCAAACTCGTAAACAAAAACTGTTTGTTTCATATCAATGAATGGTTATAATAATCTCACTGTTTACAAAACTTCCAAAACAAACTCTATTGTCATCCAGAAGAATCCTAAAATCTAAACATTTCACAAACAAACATACTCAAAACAAAAAACAATAAATACGGAAAGAATTTTATAATCAAAGAAGACAAGTAACGAACTAGTCTTGTTAAATATATCGTGAAGATAAATTTAATTGATCAACTTAACTAGAGGTGAGCTGTTTCGGATTATTTGTATGTAAAACTAGTTTAGATAAAGGGCCAAGGGGTGCTTCGTTGATGGAACTAGTGTAAGGAGTGGGGGTTGCGAGGGGGGCGGAGTCGCTTACACCAGTTAGCCCTGCGCACGCGCATACGACGCACGCGTAACACTCGCAGTGAAAGTGAAATAATTTACAGTGTTATTGGAATTATTTTAATATGATAGCATCGCTGTAATGAATGTCAGTGTTTATTTAGTGTGACCATTTTGATTAAGAGGTCGATCTGTCGTTGTCTTTGTGAAATTTTGTGCGTTTTAAGTTAACGTATGTTAAATGTTTTATATACTCTTATATTTATTAAACGTTCTGTCGTTACCGCCGTACCGGTTCACGGTTCGCTTCACCACATTAAAGTTACGATGTTTGTTATTTCTTAACAGTGTATCATCGCGCTGTAATTACAAAATTCCATTCAGCAGTCGATTAAATTTCTTTCGCGTTCGTTCTATCTCATAAAAGTTAAAATATCTATATTTGCAAACTACTGACACTATTGAACTTTCAAGGTTACTTTTAAAATACTTTTAAAACCTTAGCCGAATTGCAGGAAGGTATTTAAAAAAAATATTGGTTGGATAAATCTCAAGGTTGTTGATATATACTTGCATTTCCTATATTATAGGTAAATTATTATATATTATTATGAGTCGATTATTTAATTGAGTGGTCTAAACATTATCAATTTTAAATTTTATCAGCAGTCTTGGTTGTAGCTTTCTTTTCGTGAAAGCAGAACGATTTATGATATAATAGTTGAATAAAAGTTATTTTATTAATAAAAACAGGTTTAGTATTCGATCGTACGTCACGATTTAAAATTAATTGATAGTAAACGAATGATTTGAAGAGTGTTTTCATATCAATAACGAGATTCTTATTATTACAACTTAAAATTATTTTATATATATATATTGATAAATTAAAACGAATTCTTCATTATCGTCTCGTATTTCAATAACTTCCGTGCTTCGTAATATATAAACCGGTCGTTCTTTGTCTGTTTGTCCGATACTCCTGAAGAAATACAATACTCGATCATCATAACACTATACTACACATCTGATATTAATAATAATATGGACATTTCTTGCTTGTTCATAGAAAAACTCCATCGGAGTTCCACGAAATCATCTATCTTACATTTAGGATAAATAGATGCACTTAACATACATGTATATGAACACACACAAACAATGTATCCGGCCCGTCTCGGCCCACTAGCCTGCAACTAGCCAGAACACTGACATCGCTATATACATTGTTCTTGACACACTACACAGTGTACTTGGAAATAAATATTAACAAGAATAAATCATAAGTAAACAATGACGGGTTTGCAAATCGAACTCGCTTTCAGTCGTCAAAACACGCGAAATCATTGTCAAAAGTTATTCAATGTTCAAGTAAACTAGACGTTTAAAAATCGTTTCTTATTTTCTAGTTTATGAACACACAAATGTTATAATTTCATATTATAAGTACGGTATGACAAACTCATTGTTTTATTTTTTCCATCTCACATAGAAAGTCGATTGCGTGTCGAAAGTTATATACTATGGATGATATTAAGTCATGGTGGTTAGACACTAAGTACGAATATTATAATATTATACTTCATAAATATTACTAAATCTTATCCCACCCTAGACTACACTAATATTGTATATTCCTCGGATTTTCATATTAATATTTGAGCGTATCTAATTCGTTTATTAACTAGACAAATAAATCACAGCCAAAGATAAATCCGTTGCAACAAACTGATTCAATTTTGCAATGCAATGCTCTGATTGCAAAGCTGTTATGTAGTTACTCTATCTACAACATAGCTGGCTCAGAACACACGGAGGAATAAACTTGGGACACAGTTACGTCACCTTCGCTAATATAGAAGCTGTTATGAGAGTTTAACTTACTTTTAAGGCTCACAATGAAAATGAATTTTGGTATTTTGAGACAAATACAGTTAGCTTTCTCCAAACCTATGATGATGGTAAAAAATGTCACACAACATGGATAGACCTTGATGAATAATACTAAATTATAATGAGTAAAGAATTATTTTAATTATTACGTGTAAACAATAATTAGTTTGATATTTATAACTTAATGTAATCCAAGTCAACAGTGACACTATCCAAGTGTATCGAGCGAGCAATTTGTTATCGTTATTATAATATGAATATAATTTTATAAAAACCAAGTCCGTCTGTAGAGGCGGCCGACCGGTCGACCCTGAGCCGGGCTGAGGCGATCTCGTTTAAATTTTTCACTTACCACAGTACTCACGAACACGCGACAGGTCGGTCATAACGCGATCATAAATAAACACTGACATTCATCAGGCCAATGGTGACACGCTGATAAATAAAAATGTGCCAAAATGGTCTCCGAGCGACCATCGAAAGCTGGTCAGGCGAAACTGCTGACCATACGGAGGAACTGCGGTGACCAAGGTTCAGTAATATTGATTCGGCTCTGTTGATTCACTTATCATATATGGTGTAATGACGAATTCTTGTATTCACACCGATGACTCAAAGCTTGTGACACCGAGACATTGATAGCATTTTCTCTCACTTGCTAAAACTATCTGGTTGTTACAAAACGTTTCATAAATTCCCAAGGACCTGAACTGAGTTATGTTCATGCCTTTTAAAGATCGATCCCTTTCACTACACTCAGCCTTTGTATTGCGTGAAATCAGAGCCGAATCAATATTTACGTCGCCTTGACTGTTCGTAGTGTCCGTGACATCTCCGTCTAGAGTGTATATGAAGACGAGTGTCAAGTGTCCGTTCTATAGTCAGAACGACGAGTCCAGGGTGTGTCAGGATGTGGGTAGAGTGAAGTTCATTGATGCCCTGGAGCAGACCTGGTGGATGAGTGTGAGGACGGTCCTCAGGGATGGAGAGTTTGAGATACAGGATCTCATCGCGTTTATTGGTATGACATAATACTCTGATGTTATTGTATATATATAATAATTGAATACGAATCATTTAAAATCTATCAAACGGCTTAGTTCATGGTTTAATTATATACATACAAAGCTATCTTAGTCTTTTCGAATAAGTTTATCAAAACGTATTACAAATAAAAACAAGTAGAATGCTCAAGTATTCGTGCTTTATTATATAAAATACAAGATACTAATAACAAATAAAATAATAGTAACATAGATATATCTTTATATATAGATGCAAAAAAGCGAGTTAAGTTAGCGAGTAATGAATGTAACCGCTTCTATAAATAAATAAATGATTAAACTTCTAGATTCTAGAACGTTTAAATAACCTGTTGTTGTAATTCAAACTTGTTTTATGTCGGGATAGACTTATGGGATAGGAGCACTTTCACTCATACTGTCACTCATTGAATAAACAACAGGTAGAACTTGTTTTAATATTGTATCTAAATGATTCATTATAATTGATACTAAATAATGTTTTAAGTATAACAATTTATTTGTCATTAAATGTAAATTTACTATTGAATTTTAGTGGTCGTATACAAAACTGATTTCTAAATTACCCAACAATACGATCGGCACAAACTAATGATTTAGCTATACAAATAAACATTTACTAATAATATTGATATAGCAATAAATAAAATTAGAGAAATTTCTGTCGGTAGTACTAATTGGCTAATATCTTGTACATATTTGCAGTGCATGGAGTTGCACAAAACGCAACAAAATGTCAAGGCCCTCGCTTATATAATGTATGTACCGTATAAACAGCACGCACGTCTACAGTTTTCACAATCCAGCCAACAATATATTCCGGACTTGAGAACACTTTACGTAATCAACGTCCATTCTCAATGTCTGCTCAGATTTCCTTGTTTCTTATCTATAGAGTTATGAATGAATTGCTTAACAGATTTTTGCTAATCTATATATTTATATAAAAATGAATACCTTTTCCTCTTGGTCACGGCACCACGCGTGAATGGCTGGACGATTTCACAAATTTTTTTGTTGTTGTATTTGTTATTGTTAGGTAAAGGTTCTTATGTTAGAAAAAATAACTTTATTATTTCACTTTTTCTTTAAAATAATGTGTAACTGGCAGTAATATTCACATAGATTGAATTTCAATGAATAAAGCATTAGAATAATAAACACCTTGTTTTCGGAATATTTTTGATTTATTAATATACCAAATAGAATTCAATAATCACAGTTAAGAAGACAGAACATTGTCTGTACAGTCAGATATAATAAAGAAAATAATTTCATTCAGATAAAAAGATAACAGATATTTCTTGATTATAGGGCGGTACGAAGTTCGCCGGGTCAGCTAGTTTTTTATAAATTTCACGTGTATCTTGTAATATTCGTCGTTTTATTACCTGGTTCTTAAAAACTTGATCTTTTTTCAGTTATCCGCCAGTCATGTAGTCATATTTTTATAAAGTTTACTACTAAGATTCTATTTATATACATATTTTGAAGGAAATATATTTCCAAGTTTTATAAGAGCTGTTTTTAAAATTAGATTTTAAAAATCGATATAAAATTATACATTGTCAATTATTATATATTACTTATTACATATGATATCAGATATGTTAAAAAAAATCATAAAATGTATAAACCAATGTTTTAAATCCGCTGTTATTCTAAGTCCATAAACATTATTGTAATTCAGAGCAAAAGAGAACTATCATTTTGGGACAATTTATATACTGCCTCAAATAATAAAATCTAAACCAGATTCACATTACTTGGTACATACTAATGACGTTATAACATTTTATACAAACACGAACACGGAATTTATACTCGAGTTAGAAAAACTTCCTGTCTTAGCTAGTCCTATACATAGAAAGTAAAAAGTATTGAAAGAAATACTTTATCCGGCTTTATGGGAAACGATGAACATACTCAATTATTATGTAATATTAAATAAACTCCAATACACAATAAAATAATCTCAAATTAATCAATTTCAATAAAATCAATATAAATTCCCTAAGAAACAACACTCGAAGAATTTCTATCTTATAATAAATTTCCATTGGTATATTTTATATACAACATAAACTTATTTTCAAGTATTGTATTCAATAAATATAATAATTGATTTGTTTGCACGAATATTTGTCACAGCTTGTATCAAACCCGTGACCGAATATTCAATTCTACGCCAAAAATAACTAAGATTAGTCCTATGGCGTAGAAAATTCTTTTACCGGTTAATAGAAACGTCTTGGGTATTATGATGTGTTTCAAATAGCGTATAATTGCTCTCTTTCCAGACTGTGACAGTAGCGATTCTGGTCATGTGTATGAGTCTCTGGAGCCTCCGCCTGCCACTCATCAAACTCATCACTCACCGCTCATACCTGATGATGACTTTGACTCCTTTGATAGTGATACCGACACTGATGACCAGGAGAAGGTGAGGAAAATAGCGTTATTTCCTTAATACTTCAGTTATATCCATATAGAAGCCATACTGATGCGAGATTTTACGTCTAGTTGATCTAATCTCATAGTAATGGTTGTATTTCAGACTATACCACCAGAATTGCCCCCCACGCTACCTTCTTCGCGTCTGCCCACGCCTCCCAACGGTGGGCCATACACTCTGACCAAAATTGCGAATGCTGCTCAGAAGAAAATGAAGCAGATTAAGAGAAATCTGACTAAAAGATACTCTGGTTGGTATAATATAATTTATGATATTAACTAATGCGTTATATATATTGTAATATATAAAAAATATACAAAAATATTTCAAAAAGTATATTTCCGATACCGGGAATCGAACCCGAGCCTCCTGGGTGAGAGCCAGGTATCCTAGCCACTAGACCATATCGGATAATGGATGGTGTAACGAAATACTCTAACCATTTCAAAAATAGTTTCAAATTGTAATGTTATTTTTAGATAATCCACGTGACTCCATCCTTGTCACTTGATATATAACAAAACATTAAGCAATAATGTATAAGAGAAAATTCACATTACTGAAGACGAAGTGGTTATAAAAGTTGTTGTTTTCTAAAACTTTAAATATTTAATATTAACCGAAAATATTTATTTCTTTCAACCCCGTATTTCCTCAAAAACATTATTTATTACATATCTCTATATTAATAGATGACCTTGTTTAATTTATACAGGGTGACTGGTGAATTACTATCGATACTTGAGGACGTGATATTTGACGATCATATATGACAAAATAAAAATTAATCTCTACTAATATTATAAATGCGAAAGTAACTCTGTCTGTCTGTCTGTCTGTCTGTCTGTCTGCTACGCTTTCACGCCTAAACCACTGAACTGATTTTAATGAAATTCGGTACAGAGATAGAGTTGACCTTGAGAAAGAACATAGGATAGTTTTTATCCCAGACTTTTGAAAGGTTCTCTTGGAAACGCGATATAACCGAACTCCACGCGGCGAAGCTGCGGGCGGAAAGCTAGTGTAACATAAATATTAATAAACTTCTAAGTAAAGTTAACCAAAAGTTATGTAATTAATTACGCATCGTGTGAACGCCCTACAGATTAGGTGTACACACACACACACACATACGCGCGCGGCGGCGTGGTGTTGTATCAGCACGCCGCCGCACGCGTCCACACTTGGAACACTTGGAACGTGTCCACACTTTATTTATTTATACGGAAATTTGGTCAAAAATTAAGTACCTATTTTTTTTACATAATTCGAATGAGAATCATGTACCGAGTATTCTCCTTAAATATTGATAGTAATTCACCAGTCACCCTGTATAAACTTTGTATATATTTATCATATTTCGTTGTTGTAAATAGATAAAAACTACAATAAAGATTTCAAATGTAGGTCACGACTCGCGAATCTTATCCTTTGACTCATAATATATTTTGTTTACAGTGGCAATGGACGGAAAACCGTTCAATAAATCATCGAACAACCAAAACGGGACGTACGATGTACCCAAGAACCAAAATAAAACCAAGTCTCCGATATACGCCAACTATGAGAAACCAGAAACTCAACCAGTGTACAGCAATATCAACTTCCACGACACCAAAAACATTCTCCATAAAGTCGAAAATCCCTCAGCAAAAATCACTGGAACTTTCAAAGAAGAACTGAAGACTGTAATAGGCGAAAAGTGTTCCACCAGGACTTGGACGTACGAGAAGAACAAAAACGTATCAGGCAGGAATGTATATGAGAAGGGGGTTAAGACTTCTGAGAAGAGGAACAGCAATGGTGATATTCCTCCGCCCCTACCAGATAAACCCCCGCCAGAGATACCCACAACCCCTAATACTGATACCAAGAACAGCGGCACTCTATCCAGGAAAGCCTACTTCTCATTCAAGTCGAGGTTCAGACGAGCGACTTCCATGGCTGTAGACATCAACACGGACGTCCCCAGCGCGCTCAAAATAACTAACTCCACGTTCTACCTGACGGATTCCATCGACGGCGACTCCGGATTCAGCAACTGGTACTACTAACATACGATACTTTATGTATATCTTCTTCCTAGCAATTTCCCAGCTATAACCAGGGTCTGCCTTACATGTTGTGAATAGTTTTGTCTAATTGTTTTTACGACCGCCGCCTACCTGACATAAACCCTCTTTGGGAATGCATTAATTAGTGATGTCTAAATACCCTTAGAAAGTACACATGACTCGGAAAAATCACATTGGTACTTGCCCGGACCAGGATCGAACCTGCGCCCTCATACATGAGAGGCGGGCCTTTTAACCACTAGGCCACCACTGACATGTATATTCCTTGGAATTCCTTTCTAAAAATATTTAGACATCACTGATTAATACTGATTCCCAAAACGGTTGATGGTTGAGGCGGTTGGTCGTAAAAATATTCAAAACTATTCACAACATATGACAGGCCCTAGCTATATCTGGAAAATTGCCAGGTACAAGAATATTCCATGGAATTCATAAATTACAAAAGCTCCACAAGTTATTGGAATTGCTTTATATAGGAGTTTTGTAGCATAGTAGATCCATACGTTATTTTACGTATCTTTTATGGCATATTCATTCACACGGTGAAATTTCCTTACAATGTAAGCTCCATAAGTTATGGGAAAAAATATATAGGACCTCTTTGCGTGGCTGTCAAGCGTGAACCGTTGCCTCCCACAGATTATACTAATGTATGTATATTGTTACAGCAGCGAGAGCGACCGTCGCGAGGGTATGCGAGCCGAGTCCTCCCCCTGCCTGGCGCTGAGGCCCGCCCTCCCCCCGCCGCCGCCTCCCCCCGCGCACAGCACGCACACTGACCTTAGCGCTGTCCACGAAGGTTCTAGAACATGGACTTGCACACGACATACTGCCCAATAAAACCTCCTTCATACAAAGAATATATTACGTAGACATTTCTTATATTAATTTAAAATCTCTTAACGCGTTTAATTAGACGTAGTTTTGTTCTAGTTAATACATTTTTAATAAGATAAATGCTCTAAGTAAAACAATATTTTGCCCCCTCCAATTTTATTCATAATCACTGCAAAACAATTTCTTCTAAATTTTTTCTAAATTCTATGAAGGGTTATATTTTCATGTTCAATATTAAGTTTGAATATAATACGTCACTGTTATTTCCTCAGTCTCATACAGATTACAGACCAACGATATAATTAGACAGAACGAAGGCAGCGCTAAACAGAGGTCAGTGCCTCTGTCGGTCTGTCAATAACTAATATAGAAAACCAGCATAACAAGAACTATGTATACAAACAAATAATTTAATATGAACATATTATATATATTAGTTATTTAAGACTACAGAGGTAGGTTGTGGGTCCAACACTCCCCGCTTTGTATGTTTGCACTGTCTTTGTCCGTTCTAAATGTCACAAGCTCTGTGGTTACGGATTATTTAAATGTCCACTCTATGTTACTCTATGTCTTGAATCACAAGCTTTTATGTATGATTTTTGTTAATAAACACTGTCACGACTTTGTATATATATACTTAAATAACTTCCATCATTGAGAACAAACGATGTCTTTAAAGTAAACACATATTTTATATTTTCATCTCTTCAAAGTCAACAAGCTATGACGTCATTTAAGTATTAAATATCATTTTCCGCGCTATTCAATAACGAGACCGACCTTACGCTCAGACTACCTCATATACAACCTTGCAGACCGAGACTAGATCATGTACTGAGACTATAGACTGAGACTGTAGTCTAGACTGCACACTGAGACTAGACTAGACTAGTACTGTGATCATCGTTCAGTGTCATCTAAGTATTCGCACGCGATACACGTTCTAATAAACTTCTAATTTGTTCACTCCGTATGGCATGTTCTGTAATTGCATATGCGAGTGCATGCGATGTAGTATATGCATGCATATGCAAGGTCGCTCATATAAGATGCAAAGTATGTGATAATTCAGTGATGATTGGTTTATAAGTTCAGTAATCTAATATTATTATCTGGTGTTAGAGCTAAGGCGGTTGCTGCCGACCCTGTCTCGTAAGGAGCGCACTTCTCGCACCAGGACCTCGTGGTACGCGGACTGCGCCCCCGGGAATGCCTCATCCTTGTAAGTAATATATATTAAACTAGCTTTCCGGCCGCAGCTTCGCCCGCGTGGAGTTCTGTTATATCGCGTTTCTAAAAGAACCTTTCAAAAGTCTGGGATAAAAACTATCCAATGTTCTTTCTCAAGGTCAACTCTATGTCTGTACCAAATTTCATTAAAATCACTTCAGTGTTTTAGGCGTGAAAGCGTAACAGACAGACAGAGTTACTTTCGCATTTATAATATTAGTAGGGATCACTTGCCCTTACCACGTGTCTAACTCGAACCGAAAAAAGTTTTTATTAACCTTCTCATATGAAACTATCGAAGTGATATCATGAAATTGTTATCGCTGAGAACTCGTGGTAGGGTCAGTCATCAGTGACGTAGTTATGAGTCTCATCCTTGAGTGTAACAATTTATTACTATTGTGCTGTCTCGACCTTGACGTCTGTTATAATAGATTCATTTATAAAATACGATCGGTTTAATAAATTCAGTACATAATGACAGTATTGTATTAAGATTGTATCAATTATATAATTTTATACTTTTCTCTGAGATTTTATATAATATATAATGTTTTGAAGTGTACATAAATTTAATACCGATTACCGATACCTATAACTATTTGATGAGGATCGCCATCGCATTACGAGCCTCATGACTCATGAGTCATGAGCCAGTTCCTATACCTTGAGTAAGTCATAAGCGGAAGCGGATTTAATGTAAACACGTCAATTTTCCATTCAATGGACCTTGTTTTCTCTTTCTTTATTAAAAAAATAAGGTTTCTTATTTACTAAAATGCGGATTCGATCGTATTTATAAGTTAGTAACTGTCAGTTTTTAGTTTGTCGAAGCGAATACGTGCTAAATTTAAACAGAATTTTGTTTATTTAATTTTATACCCAAACATATTAACCTTAAAATGTCTTCTGTAATTACAAATAAATATTATACATATTAATTTTGTCAGTATATCATTATGAAACTAGCTCCAGCCCGCTACATCTCATGTCTCGTGTATTATTTTAGTTGTATCAGTGTATATTATATTCAGTCGAGCCGCGTGTGTTTATCGGACGGCCGTCAACGGTCATCCACACAGGATTTCGCGATGTATACGAATATAGAAAATTGTGTTAATTTTACTACAAAATTTATCAATATTCATATTTATTACTACTAAAGCAATTTAATGTATACGGTTGGTTAAATTTCACATAAAATTTATCACTAATTACTTTGTTTTAAATACGTTTTGGCGGTTAAATTTAAAAGCATTTCTGACAGTTTACGATTTTTTTTACAATTTACTTTTTTGTGTTTTGGCGGTTAAATTTAAAACTATTTCTGACAGTTTCTTTTTTAACTGTCACCCGCCAAAAATATTTATTAATGTTTTGACACTTATTTCGTGATGAAAAATTTATATTCGTGTATAGTGATTTACATTTACTGTTAATTGATGGAAATATAAATGTATTGAGTGCTTGTAACATGTTGAATGTATTAGTAAGTGTTTGTATTGTATCATGGGCGATGTGATAGTGCGAGGTTATAATTTGTGTTCGTGACCAGGTATTCGGAGGCTGGTCTGTATCAGGCTGGTAACATATCAAGTTCTTCGGGCGCCTCCTCCGGTTCTCACCCCGCCTCGCCGCTGCCCCACTCGTTATTCACACACGAGCCGCTCTACCAGTTCTACAACGCTGCCAAAATTGAGGTCAGTAACCTCGCTCCTGTTTAAACTAACTTACTGATACTTTAAACTCAAATGATCAAATAGTATTGATTGTATCAATATTAACTAACGTGCTAAATATTAGAATTGATATGAAAATCATGTTATGAAAGGTATGAATTATATGAAACATCTTCAAGTATCGTCAGGGGTTTATTAAGTCAGTAAGGTGTACGTTTATAAGTAGAGTGACGTCACGTTTCCAGTAATTACGACGAGTCATTATAATATTGTGAATAATTTTATATCACAATGTCGCCACAGCGAAGTATTTTTCCAAATATTTTTCTCCGAATTGACGAAATATACAAGCATGTTTGTGGTATGAATGACTTTGTTATTTGTAACAATATCTTAAAACTTAACTTATTATAATCAGTAGTATAATTATTTATATATATCATATTTTATTTCATTATACATACATATCGCTGACTCTGGTCATAACAAACGGACCTAGGTGCCTACTACTAGTGTTTAATAAATTTTACCCACTCTACAATAAAAACTTTCGTAAAGTTAGAAGATTTGGACTTGTATTGAAAGGAAAAGATTTTCATTTACTATTATAATTATATCGATATTTATCAAAATAAAAAATACACCTGTTAAGATTTGAAATATGAATGTAAGTATGAAATAATAAAAATATTTAAAGTATTAAAGATTAAACAGTTTTCCTTCATCTTGACTGACTCATTGTGGTTTTAAATAAAAGAAATAACAAGTGAATACAAAATAAAGTCTTAAGTTGAGAATTTCTTTGCTATCGTATATTTTTAAGGTCATTAAAAACTGTGTAAAAACCGTAATCACAAAATATACACGGGACGCGTTAATCGACATTATATGTTGTAACAAACAGTTTTATCTTTATGTTAATTGGACTAATTACATACTACACTAACCTTGAACATATTACCTCACCGACACACTTGTACAGTCCGACTATTAAGATTACTATTATACAAAAGAATAAAAATCAAGGTTGCATATTCGTTAACAAGTTGATTATACTTAACAAGGACGTCAAAGATCGACGAAATATAAGCCTAAACCATTACATAAATTGGATATATAATACTATAGAAAGGCTCGCTTTTGTTATATTACAAAGCGCGCTCGTTCAACCGTCAAAACTGTTTGCCATTGTGGGTTTCAACCGATATTTCTCTAAATGATTACATTCGTCACACTCCTAAACGGAGTACGTCATAAGACGCTTCATATAATTGATATTTGATTGAAATTATCATGTCTCCAGTTGTAGCTTCATAGACAACTAGCTTTCCGCCCGCACCTTGGCCCGCGTGGAGTTCGGTTATATCGCGTTTCCAAGAGAACCTTTCAAAAGTCTGGGATAAAAACTATCCTATGTTCTTTCTCAAGGTCAACTCTATGTCTGTACCAAATTACATTAATATCAGTGCGGTGCTTTAGGCGTGAAAGCGTAACAGACAGACAGAATTACTTTCGCATTTATAATATTAGTAGGGATAAGTAAACATAGATTAATCAAATCAATGTGTATGTTATAATAATAAATATTCAGTGTTATATATCTCTTCATTAAACTGACTTACTAATTACTGTTCTCAGTCTGCGTGTCGTGAGACGGGAGACTCAGACTCGGACGCCTACGAGGTTGGTGGGAGTGTGGGAGGCCCGGGAGGCCCGGGAGGTCCGGGGGCCCGGCCATCCGCCATGGCCCTAGTGGCCCCGCGAGGCCCCGCCAGGACGCTCTGGTGCGAGGTCCCGGAGGTCCTTAACTCAGCTGTACTCAGTTAGTATACTATCATACTATTTGATATCGTACTGTTTTCTTCACTCCAATCACAACTATATCCTGCTTTGTTAATTTTGTTCAGGCTTCCATACTGTTTAATTATAAAAGAAGATAATTTCCTTGCGAAATCTTAAAATTTCCTGGTCTCCAAAATATATACTGTTCTGTGATTGCTAAATGAAAAGTCACGAATCAAAACACAGTACTATCTTGTAACATCTTCCAAACCCATTCCAATAACCAAGTATATGTTCCAGGTTCCCTCGCACCAGCACAAAAACGTCTCCAAGAGGCGAAATTTGAGTTGCTAACGTCAGAAGCCTCTTATCTCAACTCGTTGAACGTGTTGGAGACCCAGTTCATGTCTCACCCGGCCTTCAGGGACCCGCTGGTGCTGCCTCCTCATGAGTTCGACACCTTATTCGCTGCTATACTACCAGGTACTTAAAACAAACCACACGTCATATAATTCATCTCCATACCTTGCACTTCTCTGGTCTTTTAATGCAGTATCCTCTTTCTTCATTTTATATGTACCATATTAGTGATTTTCAACAAAATGTTTTCGCTAGCAGACTTTACTAGACATAGCTAAGAAACTACAGTCGTGACGATTACAATTTCTGTTATGTGTTCTATAAATTAAACTCAATTTAAATTGAAAATATTTTAAACAGTTTCTAAGTAAAGCCTTTGATATAAACATACATATTTACTCCTAACAATATAGTTATTGACTATATCTCTTTTGAGTGAAGATGGAATTGGTGATTGTAGATCGACAATCTTAGAAAAAGTTCATTCTCTTATGCCTTGAAATTATTATAATTGCATCTAAGTTTATTAGCTATCTATGTTTATTTGTATACTAGCTTTTGCCGCGACTACGTCCGCGTGGAATAGTGACTTCCGGCAGATTTTTGGTTCTTCCCACATAGTTCCCGTTCTTGCGGGGTATTCGGAATGGTTATTTGAATAAAGATTAATATTATTATGTTGATACAACTTAAACAAATTATTTCGACCAAATTAGGTACCATAAAAACAGTTTTTGTGAGTTAATCTTAAAAGATAGACAGATACTGTCGCGGACTGTTTTTTAGATCATTAAAAGAGCTATTATTCTTTCATACATATTTTTTGTGTATCTTTAACCGTTTTCACGGCGCACGCAACGGAAGGCTTCAAAGATGAAATAATTTCTCCCGTTTTTTACATATTTACCACTATATCTTTGCTCCTAGTGGTCGTAGCGTGATGTTATATAGTCTACAGCCTTCCTCGATAACTGGACTATTCAACACAAAAAGAATTATTCAATTTGAACCAGTAGTTTCGGAGATTAGCGCTTTCAAACAAACAAACAAACTCTTCAGCTTTATAATATTAGTATAGATAAGCAAGAAACTAACACGCAGGCAGAATAATCTGATCAACAATTTCTCAAAAATCTCAAGCAAGCTACAATATTATTTTGTTTCAGTACGCAAATGCTCCCAATTGCTGATGGCTGATCTCGAGCGCTGCTGGCAGGAGAACATCCTGCTGCAAGGCATCTGCGACATCGTCCAGCGACACGCCAGCGCTAGGTTCAAAGCATACGTCAAGTACTGCGAGAACCAACCGCTCATGGTGAAAGCGCTGCAGCGGATGAAAGATAGACCGGCGTTCGCCAACGCCCTTAAGAGGTACAGAGAGAGTGTATATTTGATCCAACCAACATCAATATCGTATGAGATTCATGATATTCCTAGACTATCAACTAGCAAAAATTTTGGATTCTACTTGAGATTACCCCAAATCGTATCAGTATCACGATTACTATATTCAAAATTGTCTGTACAAATTTTAAAATTATAATTGTTTAAAACCTGTTGGATCATCCGTGTAAAGGTTTATTGACAGCATTACACTTAAAATAACATACAAAAAGACTGGATCATATTCCGGAACTTCAATTTCTAATCCTGTTAATCGTATTCCTCATTCTGTGTCGTCACTCCCCCAGACAAGAGAGTCACCCGCTATGCCAGTCCCTGTCCCTCCACTCGTTCCTGCTGCTGCCGATGCAGCGCGTAACCCGCCTGCCGCTGCTGATGGACGCCGTGCTGCGGCACCTGCACGCCGACGACCACGAGTATGAAGGATGCATGCACGCGCTCGCTACACTCAACGATGTGAGTGACACACACACACACACACACACACACACACACACACACACACACCAAGTACTGAATAGTGATAGGTCTCCATATAGATTAGTGGCAAATCAGGATTCTATAGTAATATTTAGCAACAAAGACCATCTTTACATCCTCGTTAGGCGTTAAGTTGAATATTCATAACTAAGTTATATAGAATTTAAATGAAACTAATATTTTGCGGATATACAACGCGTTTTTATTTTTGACCATAAACTACATACTCCCCACGTTTCGGCTACTTTTCAGCAACCGTGATCACGGGCAGACATCTCGTCTCTAGTATATCCGAAAAATATTTTGAAAATATTAAAAATATAACTCTTATTAACAAAACATCCACATAAACTTGTTGTATCTTTTCTCCTTGTGTTCGATTTTGCCTGTCTACCTTTTAAGTTCTCTGTCTACACTTCTTCCTTCCTGGGTATACTGGAAGAAATCTCTTCTAGGGATAAGTATACCTTTTAAACTTATTTTTCCTGTGTCATATTTTTGTCCTTAATGTTTCTGGCATGTTTAAAAAATTGTTAAATAATAATAAATAAACATATTGATATATTTCCATATATCACTCCCCAGTTCGTGTCTCAATGTAACGAGGGCGCGAGGAACACGGAGCGTGTGGAGGAGATGTGGCGACTGTCGAGGAGTGTGGTGGTGCCGAGCAACGTGCGAGGAGTGCCGGAACTGGGGCCTGCACTGACTAGGAGAGACCGGAAGTGAGGAAACACATTATTATAGCTCAATACTCGATCAGAGGACCAAATAATTACCCAGCCTTAGCCTTAGTCTGCCTTACATGTTGTGAATAGTTTTGGCTAATTATTTTTACGACCGGCCGCCTGCCTGACATCAACCCTTTTTTGGTAATCAGCATTAATCAGTGATGTCTAAATACTCTCAGAAAGTACATATGACTCGAAAAATTACATTGCTACTTGCCCGGGCCAGGATCGAACCCGCGCCCTCGTGCACGAGAGGCGGGCCTTTTAACCATTAGGCCACCACTGACTAGATCAAGGAATGTATAATATCCTGTTTAAATTAAACTAGTATTTTTCGGATTATAAGCGACTTTATTTTAACCAAAAACTATATATTACTGACGGCTACTTTTCAGCAATCGTGATCATACAGACGAGATGTGATCACGGTTGCTAAAACGTTTTTGAAACAATATAAGTTTCATTTAAATGAATAATACTCTCGAAAATCTTAGATTTTATTATATAATATTGATGTTTCCCGTGTTCCAGACCGGTCCGGTGGCTGGTGCGGTCAGGCGAGATGACGCAGCTAGTGTGGAAGACGGACGAGCTGAAGCTGACGTTCGGCAAGAAGTTTCACAAGCAGCCGCTGTACCTGTTCTTATTTAACGACCACCTCGTCATCACCAAGAAGAAAAGGTCTGTATATAAAGAAACAAAGAAAAATCATTTTTATTTCGAACCGTACAAAAGTCAGTGGTGGCCTAGTGGTTAAAGGGCCCGCCTCTCGTTGCCGAGGGCGCGGGTTCAAACCTGGCAAGTACCAATGTGATTTTTGGGAGTCATATGTACTTTGAGACATATTTAGACACCACTGACATCGTGAGGAAACCTGGACTTATAGTTTCACAATTATAAGTTTGAAATCACCAACCCGTTGAGCAAGTGTGGTGATTAATGCTCAAACCTTCTCCATGTGAGAAAGAGGCTTTGCTCAGCAGTGGGCTCTGATAGGCTGATGATGACCGTACAAAATTGATGAAATATCAAGTATACATATACCCTCACTGGGTCCTACCATAATACTGAACAAATGGTTGCATTACCACTGTCTTAGCCAGATAATAAATGATAACTGTCTCCATCTAGTATGACGTCATGACGTTGTTGTTAACGCATTATTAATTTTTATACCAGAAATATATACACACTAGCTTTCCGCCCGCAGCCTCGCCCGGGTTTAGTTCGGTTATATCGCGTTTCCAAGAGAACCTTTCAAGAGTCTGGGATAAAAACTATCTTGTTCTTTCTCAAGGTCAACTCTATGTCTGTACCAAATTTCATTAAAATCAGTTCAGTGGTTTAGGCGTGAAAGCGTACCAGACAGACAGACAGAGTTACTTCCGCATTTATAATAGTAGTAGAGATCACCCAGCCTGATCCTGGTATATATTCCACAAGTTTAAAGTACATAGGGGCCGTTTAAGTATTACGTAAGCACTATGGGGGGTCTTTGCTTTGCTTATTTTGGATGACATGGGGGGTAGGGGAGTCTAGGTATCGATGAGTCATCGGTAGTTATTTACTTTTTTATCATCAGATCGAGAAGATCCATAAAAAAATATTATTGTTATTATAAGTGTGTGTGTGTTATGTTCCAGTGAGGACATCTACAGCGTGGTGGAGCACTGTCCCCGGTCGCTGGTCGAGGTGTGCTCCAGCGAGGCGGCCGGCGTCAAGCACGCGCTGCTGCTGACGCTGCTCGAGAACCACGACGGACGGACCGTCGAGATGGTAACACACGGACATACATACACACAGACAGACATACCCATCGAGATGGTAACACATAGACATACATATAAATACACACACACACATATACAGACACACACACACACAGACCCATCGAGATACGGGCTTATGAATATATTAATCATTTTAGTACCAAGTTTTTTAACAAATTGCTAACTTAACAAGCAATCTATCATTGTTACCGTAGATGCAGGTTCGACTCCTGTCATATACTTTAATTGTATTATTGAATTTCAATCCATGTATTCAGTGTGACAAATATTTGTATGACTCTTTTTAGTAGTAATTCCTACATCTACTGGTAAACTTTCAAATATATCTGTCTCGCTCCAACCTTTGTAATTCATGTCGTGTGTGAGCGAAACGGACGCACACCGGTGGATCTTTGCATGACTCTTCTACCAATTCCTTTTTATATACCAGATAAACTATATACCTATCTCTCTCCAACCCTTATAGTTGATGTCGTGTGCAAGCGAGACGGACGTACACCGGTGGACCGAAGCCCTGGCGCCGCCGGCCGCGGACGCCGGGGAGACTTTGTACGCTGGCTGGGACTGCCCACAAGTGGCCGCCGTTTACCCTTACGCCCCGCACCAACCCGACGAATTAGCGCTGGCTGAGGGAGATATAGTTAACGTTACTAGGAAGACCAGTGAAGGTGAGCAACGCCGGATAATAACACTAGTTTAGAATACTTACTCTGTCACATTCACTGACATATGTCATCTAGGTGTCTATATACTAATATCCAGGTGTCTATATACTAATAGCCAGGTGTCGAAGTTATACTGATTATCATTGACATAACTTCTATGTATATAATATATAGTATGTTTTCTTAGAATGACATTCCCTGACAGTGGTTTATCCACCTTGTATTAACACCATGGTATACTTAACAGATATTATATCATTATTCAGTAAAATGTGTATTTCTCACGCAATAGCTTTCATTTCGATAATTTAACATCAACAATGATCACGGGAAGACGACATGGTGATGATACTTTAGTCTGTATATGAACCAAATTGAAAAACAAAAAATTGGTTACCGATTTTATAAAAAAAAGGTCTTTAATGTACCGAAAGCTACAAAATAATACCGTAGTACTCAAATATCAGTTATCAGTATTATCATTTATCACACTCCTCGCCAATCTAGTAAATTAATCAGTCGCAAATAATAAAGTATTAATACATATAACGCTCAAATATCAGTTATAAGTCTTATTAAACTCCTCGCCAATCTAGGGGGGCGTTTAAGTATTACGTGCCGCAATTTTCGAAGATTTTTGACCCCCCTTGACCCCCCCACAGTAACGTTTTTCTGTAGCCCCCCCCCCCCTTCTCAAAACGTTACGTAGCACTCAAGTGATCAATTTCATCAAAAGACTTACAATGCAATCTAGGTATTCTCCGTAAAATATCAATTAAGAGGTTTGCAAACTTGGAATAACAAATAAAAATATCGACCATACACTCTGGTCAAAATAATGTAAAGTATATGAAAAGAGTTTCCAGTTTCGGGGTTTTTATTAATTTTTCTTTTTAGAAACAATGCTACGTAACGTTTTGTAAGAGACACCCCCTCCCGACCCTGTAACGCATCGTAACGTTTTACGAGACCCCCCTCCCCCAAAATTGCGTTACGTAATACTTGAACGCTCCCTAGTTTATTAATCAGTCACAATGAACTAAATATTAATATAAATCTTTATTATTATGTTCAGGTTGGTACTACGGCGAGCGGACCCGTGACGGCGAGGCAGGTTGGTTCCCCGGCGCATACACAAACGAGATCGCATCACCTCACGTGCGAGCGAGGAACTTGAGGCAAAGATACCGCCTGCTGGCCCTCTCCGCTACCTACTTGGGACAGAAGAAAAAACCACTATAACTTGACCTTAAACACACGCTATACAAGCAGCGGAACCAGGTTCTCATTCTATACAGGTCTTCGAATATATTTATGAATGAAAACTATCAACTATTTGTATGAAATGTGACGTTACATAGTGTCAAAATCACTTGACTGTTTGACGTGAAGCTAAGTGTTGCCATAACGTCTACAGTAAATGAGATAAGACAGTGTTACCCTAACAATATATTTTGTTGAAATAAAATTTATACATGTGTAGATTTTATTTTTATTATCTATTAGACGTATCGATATCTTGTATATTACTGTAATAAAGTCTCCGTCCGAACACTGCCTTTCTTGAATGTAAGATATTTGGACCATTATACAGATCACGTATTAATAAAATATATTATTTTAACATAACGCCTCGTTGGTTATTTAGGTGCTTTGTATTTTCATGTTTTTATTATAAGCCTAGCTCTAGTATGTGAAGTGTACAGTTACGTATGAGATTCACGGATAATTGTTGTACAGCGTTTGTGTATATGTTTATAATAAATTAATTTATGCTTTTTAATAATTGGTCGAAAATCACAAGCTTTTAATAACAATAATTTAAAATTAGATTTGTTTGTTCGCTATTTTATAAATTGACTAGTCATTTGGCGGGCGAGTGTTTTCGTTCACGCCGCGACCAATATTTATTCCGCGAACATTCCGCTTTGCGTCTGAATCAGTTTTGAACGATTTATTATATTATTTAGGATGTACTGAGTATTAATAGTGGGCACCTCCTGAAATGTTACGTTTAGATTATTATTATATATGTAAAAAATAGATTTTAAGTAAAGTGTTAATCGAACATTTATTACCAACAAATATAGTATTTCGTAATAAATAATCGTTTTATTAATAAAACCTCTTTGGTGAAAAAAATATTGCTAAAAGCTTTGTATCGTGTTTGACAGGAACTTCCCGCCAGAATTGAATTCAGAAATGACATTTTTTTACGATTGTTATGATTGCTATAGTCCGATCAAATTAGACATTCGAAGTTACCTAAACTCCCACCAAGCTGAAAATCGGTAAGATTGTTTGAAATGTCATTGAAAACAAAATTTGAGAGTTCACCAAATTTCCCCTGTAAGGAAAAAAATTTATTCAAGGTCAAAGATAAAAAAAATGAGTTTTTCGCGATTTTCAGCAAAACGGTAAGTTTAATCATAAAAATATCTCAGACAAAAATTGTAGAAAGTGTAAAAAATATATTAACTGATATTACAACTATAGAGATGTATGAGTATTGAGTATATATACGTGTCGTACTCATGCATATTATGACGATTACAACTTTTACAACTTTGAATCGTTAGATCTCAAAAACGGTCGCTCGTAGAAAAAAAAATTAGTTAATTCCTTGTAAATAATTTTATGATCTACAATTTTTGTCAGAGATATTTTTATGATAAAACTTACCGTTTTGCTGAAAATTTCGAAGAACTCATTTTTTTTACCTTTGACCTTGAATACATTTTTTTCCTTACAGTGGAAAGATGAGGAACTTCCAAATTTTGTTTTTAATGATATTTTAAATAATCTTACCGATTTTCAGCTTGGTGGGAATTTAGGTAACTTCAGTCTTATTTTTTTGGTCTAATTTGACCGGATTGTACTAGTATACTTTCTCTTTCATAAATATACAGGGTGACTGGTGAATTACTATCAATATTTAAGGAGTATACTCGGTACATGATTCTCATTCGAATTATGTAAAAAAAATAGGTACTTAATTTTTGACCAAATTTCCGTATAAATAAATAAAGTATGGACACGTTCCAAGTGTTCCAAGTGTGGACGCGTGCGGCGGCGTGCTGATACAACACTACGCCGCGACACGCGCGTGTGTGTGTGTGTGTATACCTAATCTGTAGGGTGTTCACACGATGCGTAATTAATTACATAACTTCTGGTTAACTTTACTCAGAAGTTTATTAATATTTGTTGTCATCAGCCTATCAGAGCCCACTGCTGAGCAAGGCCTCTTTCTCACATGGAGAAGGTTTGAGCATTAATCACCACGCTTGCTCAAGACGGGTTGGTGATTTCAAACTTATAATTGTAAAACTATAAGTCCAGGTTTCCTCACGATGTTTTCCTTCACCGTATGTATAATATTAATATTTATGTTATATTAATTTTTATTTTGTCATATATGATCGTCAAATATCACGTCCTCAAATATCGATAGTAATTCACCAGTCACCCTGTATAAATATTGGATTAAAGAAAGATAAAATATAAATATAAAGTGTTAATTTATATGATTTTTAAGTACGTAGGATTCTAAGAAAAACATTATTAGGAAAGCCGTTAGTACAATGACCACCACTAGTTTACCAATTTCACGATCAGTGAGTATTCGTACTTTCTCATAATATAAACGAGCTTCAATGCTCCTTCCTTTTCTGTGGCAATTCCTCAAACTTCTTTTAACTGAATATTATAACTTTATACTTATATTAAACTCTTCGAATTAATATTCTCTTCATATTAATATATTTCATCACGTAGGGTATACAATGACAAATTAAATGTATTAATTTTCCTATAGCTGTTTACTACTTAATAGTACAAAGAAAATGGTATTCAACACACGAGTATAAATACTTTAGAAACTATTAGGAACATTGCAATAAAATGTAAAGACAACAATTCTTGGAATATTTTTTTATCACAGTATTTTTTTTATTTTTATATACAAATAGGTACTTTTCATAATTGTAACGCGAAGGATGAAGGTCATTGTAAGGTTGCGTTTTAAGAGTTTTAGAAACAACGCGAATAGAAAACTATCGTTTAGATTGCTTATAGATTAATCTATAAGACCACTATCGATGCTATTCACTTATAATATATTACAGAAAAAATTCTAATACTTTCCACTCGTAAATAACCTATATATGTAGAACAAAATATATTCTTATCTCAGTTAATATTTAATCAAGTTACATATAAAATTAAATTTATGTGCCACGAACCAAGACTTATTAAATTCCATAACTTAACCAACAAGCACAGTGTATCAATTATTTACACATTAGACACAGATATAAATAAAACAACTTAGTAGATTAAGATCTTTATTACTAAGGCGATTTGTTCTCATACAAACTATTGAACATGAATATCCTTACACACTACAAACATGCTCAACATTAAAATTGCGTACAAAATATATTTTAATCTCGATTATGTAATTATAACACAATACATTATTATAAAATATATAGCTATATATATCCAAACAAAAATAAAATCCAATTAAAAAATTAAATAAAAACACGGCTTAAAATAAGCATATACGAAGATAACGAAATCATTGTACTTATATAAGGCTTTTAGATGAAAAGATTTAATTATATAAAAAAGGAGATCAGAATTATGAAGATTAATATGGAATGAGTCAGTCAAGAGTTCATCACACGACGTCAATGTATTATATCCTAGTTTTGGACGAGTTGTCCTTCACCTCAAACAGTTTCCTCACAAAATATACTTGCAGTGTCCCTGTAGCTGCTATTGCTAGGATTTGAATAATGGACCATCTGAAAACAGAAATTAAAGTTCTAAGTAATCTATATTTATAAAAGAAAGTCATTTTATTTACACTATTAATAACTCAAGAATGGCTGTAGTGATATGGTTATAAATTTGGCGGGAAGATTGCTTAGAACCAGGAGACGGACATAGTATATTTTATCTGTTCAATAGAAAAAATAAACTTAATAATTCCAATATCCATTTATTTAGGGCGTCTAGGGCGGTAGAGTTCGCCCGGTCAACTATACATGTTGTATTACTAATTCCGAAATTAAGGCCGTCGAGGTAAAAGACAAAAACTAGTTACAAATATTTAAATAATTCTTTTAACTATATAATCAACTAGGTTTCCGCCCGCAGCTTCGCCGCGTGGAGTTCGGTTATATCGCGTTTCCAAGAGAACCTTTCAAAAGTCTGGGATAAAAACTATCCTATGTTCTTTCTCAAGGTCAACTCTATCTCTGTACCGAATTTCATTAAAATCAGTTCAGTGGTTTAGGCGTGAAAGCGTAGCAGACAGACAGACAGACAGACAGACAGAGTTACTTTCGCATTTATAATATTAATAGTAGGGATGTAATTTTACTACATCGCAATATTGCTCGACTTAGAAATGGTCATAACAGAATTAGACTTATGCAGAAACAAAAATTTTTATACCCTAAATCTTTAAATGAATTGATAAAAAGAAACATATATAATTTAATGAAAAATATATATGAGAGTAGGTGGTAGAGCCTAGCTGTGGTCAAGTTACTACATCTCGAACATGGGCTGGCTCGACCGGGGAAGTACCACCCTCTCAAGTAGCCTTTATGGCTGCTTTTCATTCCATAAGTGAGAGAGCCGGTTGCTCTTTTCCTATTCCCACATTTTTCTGACATTCCCTTATTCCCATCCTTCCCTATTCCTAAAAACCAATGGTTGGCAACTCATGTCTATGCGCAGCGGTCACTACTGCCCATCAAATAGGCTGTTTGCTACCTTGTATGTTTAAAAAATGGTGTAACGGAAATGTTAATTATCATTAATCCTAAAACCATAACTTTTAAAATATTAGCGAGTTATATATTAGTACATAGACCTATTTACCTGGACACATAGGCATTATTATCAACTAGCAAGTTATAATCTCTGGTTTCTCTAGCTCGCGAGTGATATTGATACTGCAAGATGTCATTCACGTTGCGTTCCACAAACTGAATCGAGTTCTGAAAATGGAAAAATACACAGCTACATACAACTCACACTCAAATATTCCTACATAACAGAAATTATAATATTTTGTTGCTTTTAAACATTTTAATCAATTTTGTTTTTTTCTGTCTAGCAGAACAAAAGTGATGTCGTTGATTAAACATTTTTTATTTACATTAAATAATTAATATTTTCTTTAATCAATATAACAATAAACAAAACTATTATGTAACATCATTATGTTTTATTATATAAAATAAAAACTAGGGATTGCGTAAAAAGAAAATTTCAAAAAAATTACAATATATTTCCTAATTAAACAAACCAATACCTAAAACAGTTACATATAATATATACAGGGTGACTGGTGAATTACTATCAATATTTAAGGAGAAAAATAGGTACTTCATTCTTGACCAAATTTCCGTATAAATAAATAAAGTGTGTACACGTTCCAAGTGTTCCAAGTGTAGACGCGTGCGGCGGCGTGCTGATACAACACTACGCCGCCGCCGCGTCTGTGTGAGTGTGTGTGTATACCTAATCTGTAGGGTGTTCATACGATGCGTAATTACATAACTTTTGGTTTACTTTACTTAGAAGTTTATTAATATTTATGTTATATTAATTTTTATTTTGTCATATATGATCGTCAAATATCACATCCTCAAATATCGATAGTAATTCACCAGTCACCCTGTATATACCTTGAATGATAACAGATGCTAGTACAATATATAACAAAAATGTGTAACTTATTTAAAATATAATTGTTTATGTACAAAATCTATATTAAATTATAGTATTGATTATATTGGCATTATTGTGAGATGTTATAAATATTACTTACTGTGAAATTTTTGATATTCATGTCAAGCTCCTCAACTTCCTTAGCATATTGTTCCCACTTATCATATCTTATGACAGACAGATATAAATTGACTAGTTTCCCGGCAAACCTCGAGAACTGGTTATCTATACACACAGCATAATAGCCCCCAGTGCTTGATTGGTCTGCATACTCAGCACTTTGTCGCCACTCATACGGATGCACTATGTTCCCTTTAGGATGACGTACCGCGAAACCACACATACCATCACCTCCTTTCAACACCTGTAAGATTTTAATTTATCAATAAAAAGTGTTGAATTATCAAATAGAAAACTCACTTCAAAGTCCACAAATATTTTAACATATGTTTAAATCCAAAGAGAAGGGCTAATTACTTGATAGCTAGCGTAAAAAGTTGCGCCGGGTTGAACATACTGAAAGTAACAATCTTCTTTGCCAGCATCTATGTGTACTTTGTAGTCCATGGTAACTGCAGGCAAGTTTTCGTACCATGGTGCTCCTGGGGTCGAAGTCGACTCACCAGCGTGTGATAAAATTGTAAATATTAGCAATAACACAGTAAACAGATGCCACGTCTTTCCTGCCATTTTTTAAATTTACACTGACAATCTGAACTGACACTAACACATAGTTGTACTTTCAAATACATGACAATTGACATTGATACAATAGAAATCACGTACGTGGTAAAACAACCCGAAACTAATATAATGATTCGGTGAGAAAAAAGATAATAGAATAGTATATAATACATTTAATAAAAATCATGATAATCTGGAAGTACACACTAATTTTCTTAACATTCTCTATTTAACAATTTCAATCTCTTATACTTCAAAAATATCCAATATCACATATTGCGGAGAAGACAGACAGTCGATAATCAGGATTTATTCTCATATTTGATAATTATGTAAAAACCATTTTTAAAAGTTACAATTTTTTTATTTTCCAAACAGATTGACATTTAAGCAGCTGTTTCCAAATCAGTATTTCATGTTTGACATTTTATACAAATTCAAATTTTACTTAGCTTTGGTAACCAAATATATCATAGCTTATTACAAAATTAGTTATTTATTTGTAATTTAATGCCTTATTGAATGGTCACTTCATTATGAGAGCTAGATTTGTGACATTCTTTTCATATATTGGAACACGATTTAGGTTAGTTTCATTTAATACTTTTGATTTTTTTTCTAACACTAAGTTGACTATTATAAATTCAATTACAGATCGTCTGAAAAAATATGGCTTAAAGAGGGTCGTAATCATCCAGACCCTGAGAGCGTTCAAGGTTTAATGGAACTGGCACTACTTAAAATAAGGCCATTAAATTACCCTAACGTATTTCTATCAAGCCGGTAAAAATAATATTTATATAAAAAATTGCTAAGATTATAGATAAATAGGAAAATTTACTTATTACAATCTAGTATCTTACCTACTTTAAAAGTTAAAATAATACAGTTAATTTTTAAGAATGACTGCTTTTTTTTAGTTCGATATTAAAACTGACGTAATATTTGTATAGCACAGATGGAGGGGTCCACGCTCTTAACACATGTGCACATTTTGATTTGGAGAGACATAAAGAATTAGTTTACGAGCCTCCCTACCTAGAAAATGAGATCAATAAATACTTCTTTGATAATAACATAAGCATACATGTTAAGAAGTGTCTTCAAGTTAATGATGATTTCAGTGCTAGACATAGTGCTTTATCACGAACATATCTCTACAGGTAAATGTAATTAATTAATTCTATATTAATTGCTGGAGATATTAAATTTTTATTGTATCATCAACCGTAAGATCTTAAAGATGTGTAATTCATTTTTAAAATATACATTACAGATTAGCAGTTATAAAACCTGAAATAAAATTAGAAGAGAAGATTAACATTGCGACATTGATACCAATTGAAGAATGGAGAAGATGTCACTTTATTAAGTATGAATAGTGATTTAATATGACAAAATTTTAACATGACTTATTATCTTGCAAAATAATTGTTCCAGACCGAAAAATTTTGATATAGAACTTTTCAAAGAAGGTGCTAAATACTTTGTGGGATATCACGACTTTACAACATTCAAAAGATTCGACAAATTAAATACCCACAAACACAACAGGCGAGAAATTAAGAGTATTAAAGTTAAGGAGGGCTGTCCGTGTGTCACAAGTTATTCAGCAAAAAGGGATAGTTGTTTTAATTATTGGGATATTGAAATACATGGAAGATCTTTTGTACATAATCAGGTACTATGTCTATGGTAATTTATATATGTATTATTTAAATGAAACTGTCCTTTATCATATCCATTCCCCTTAAACTCCTAAAAACTCTGTTCATGGGAAGTCACATTGAAAAAACTATTGAAATTAATTTCTTATATATTGCTATTTAAAACTGTGCCAACTAAATGTACCAAACCTTTGGCTTAATTACCATTAACTGATTAAAGCCAGGTATCCTAGCCACTAGACCATACGGGAGATATTTAAATGGTTCAAATTAACATTCAAATTAATCGTATTTATGAAATCGTATTTTTTTAATATAATTTTCTCCAATTTCATACTAAAATTCACCTTATATGACTTCAAAAAGTAATATATGTAAACAATAAAACCCTCACATTAAAATGAGCAGACGCACACAAAGGTGCGGGCCTTGAAGATAACTCACTCGACTGAAAATATATTAAATAATATATAAACAAAAATTAGTAATGATTAATGATTGCAATAAAATGTATACCATCTCTATATCAATATATTTTTTGTATTGTTTATACAAACAGTACAAAAAATACTTTCCCGTACCGGGAATCGAACCCGAGCCTCCTGGGTGAAAGCCAGGTATCCTAGCCACTAGACCATACGGGAGATGAAAAGCAGGTTGAAATAGTGGTTTTATAAGCTTTAAAAGCAATAATTAAAATTAAAAATAAATAAATAATAAGAAGATATTTAGAAGATAAGTTATTATCATAACTAAAACATAAAAATAAACCAAGCGATTTATAAAAATTAATATTTTTTTTTTAAGAAAACATTAAAAATAAAAGCTAGTATTTTATAAATGTTATTTTTTTCAGATACGTCGTATGATAGGTACATTAATATCTGTGGCCACTGGTAAGTTACAACCGAAAGACATTCAGGTGATGCTACAGGTACCTTCCAAACACTCCTGGCATTCTATCATACAGAACTGTCCACCCGACGGCCTCTACCTGGCTGATGTGGAATACAAGCAAGAAGATCTTATATATGATCCAAATAGGCTGAATATTTTGGACAGTAGACATGAGTTTCTTGAATGAATTGAAAAAGAAAAAGGAGGGATTGAGGAACGCCGTGACTGTTGTGACTCGTGCTGATGGAATCAAATTCATCGAAGGTTCTGATGAAGTTCTAGCAGAGACTTCTAACGGCTTCGTAGTTGACACGAAACCGGATGACGTTCCTATACTAATCATAGATTATTTGTATATAGGTTCACAGGATTGCGCTGTGGAGACTGTAGTTGAGGCATATAATATAAAACACGTTGTAAGCTTAGGAGTAAATGTGAATGTAGCTAATGTTGACCAAATATATATTCCCGTACTGGATTTACCAGATTCTGATATAAAACTAGTGTTATCTGAATGTTTGCCTTACATAAGAAAATGTTTGTTAATGATGCAAAATGTATTGGTTCATTGTAACGCCGGCGTGTCTAGAACAGCGGTTGTGGCTATCGCCTACTTGATGCATTATGAACTAATGTCTTATAAGGACGCTTATGATCTTGTTAAACAGAAACGACCGGCCATACAACCGAATACTGGATTTAAAAAACAATTGCAAGACATGACGCCTGGTAAATTAATTTGATTTTGAGTATTGATGTCAGTTGTAACTAACTAACTTAAATTAATAAATATATATTTACAGACATCTTGTTTTTTATTGTATAACGCGGGAAAATAAATGAAAGCACGATCAAAAATTTCAAAACATAACTTTATTGTAATAAATAAATCGTTAAGTATGAATCGAATGTCATAACACTTCAAGCGCGGGTTTCAAGGTACGGTATTTCAAGTAGCACCAACTGTCATAAGTACACATTAATATATCAAAAGTACACGAAACGAACACCCATGGCGGTGGGAAGAATTTATAATAAACTTCGTTACCATTTTATTTGTGGAAACAAATTTATTCCAATCATCATTATAATCTATTTGTCATTTATAACATGTTCAATTAAATATTACAGAACACTAACTTATTGAAAACAGAAGTTTAAAATCATGAAAATACATAAGATTATAATATTAAAACATACAAAAGTTTATATGAATTCATATTTCATAAAAGTAATACAATAACGACACTATCCACTTATAAATGTATTACAAATCATATATTTAAAAAAAAGTCATAATTTATAACAACCATTCATGTTTTGAGACCAAATTTTCACAACAATCGGAATGTTAATTTTATTAAAAATATAAAATAAAAAATTTACCGCCGACAAATTGAAAAATGGTGTCGGCCATTTCAAATTTCACTCCGTATATATGTATTCATATATAGATAAAACGATTCTCAAAAATTTGTTTTTAGTTTATATAAAAAAGTAACGGCAAGTATTTTATTTTAATATTATTATGCGAATAATCAATAAAAGGGTTTATTATGTCTCATGAAAAGCTTAAATTCCAAGCTTTATTTTTTTTTGTATATGACAACTTTGTTATAATTATTCAGTAATAATAAAAATTAAATCATTTTATATAAAGCATAATCCCCACTGTATTCATTTTAAGTACAACTGTGACCAGCACTCAGTCTTCGACCGTAGAACATCTCATATGAATAAAATAGTTTACAAAATCGCTTATATACAGATAATATTTATTATACAAAAAAAAAAACAACTTTCAATTTCATAAATTGATTCGCCAACAACGATATATTAAGAAAAATTATATAAATCTTGTACTTCACAACGCTAACATTAAATGGTTAAATGTCTTTACAGAATTAAAATTCTTATTGTTTTAAAAATATTTAAAACAATTATATTACAAATATCATTACATCCAACGGAGTATAAAACAGCACTTCTAGGAATACCCTTAGAAATTATTAAAATTATAAAAGGCACATACTGGCAATACATGTATATTTAAGTACTTCAACGACTAAGCAAGTTACCTTATATTATAATTGAGCTGTTACAGTTAAATATATATCCAAGCATCATTGTAACATTAAAACAATCAAGAATCAATTTTTATCAAAGATCAGTCAAATAATTCATTATTATATTGAGTTAGTACACTCACCTGTAGTTACTCACATCTTAAATGATAAACGTCAAAAGTACTATACTATAGTAATTGCGCGTTTTGTTATAGTAACAAGCTAATGTATACGTTTCATACATATAATAATATAATGTATAAGGCTTTCCCATAACAGGTTGACGTCAAGCAGGCGGCCGGTCGTAAAAACTGTTAGGCAAAATTATTCACAACATGTAAGGCAGACCGGCTAAAGCTGGGAAATTGCCAGGTAGAAGAAGTTTTCATACAGGTTTCAGGTTACATACATCAGAAGCTCTTGAGTGTGAGACCTCTCGCTGGTAGGCTGTTAGCCTTAGCGGGCGTGTCCCTCGCGTGGGAGTGTGCCACGGCTATGCTGAGACACTGTGCCCACTGCTCCGCGTTCTTCCCGTCTTTGGGCTTCAAAATCAGAGTCTGGTCTCCGGTGAAGATCTCGAACGCCTTCGGTATGTTCCGCGCCCCGCGAGACACCTTCACCGATCTGATCTGGTTGATGTCGATACTCTCGCCGCCGCTCTGATGATCATAACATAACTTTTACAATGGATATATATGTAATGCAATATAACCGAAAACTGAGATTTATTTACTGAGATCAAATTGTGATTTTCGGATACATCTCGAGTTTATTTAACTCGTGTGTCACTGGGACGTGGTCATATTGGTACACCCTGTATAATATAGTATACAGGGTGTACATATGTTAATACTCACCGATCCCTTACAGGACAGGTGTGCCCCGGACAGTGTGAAGTATCTAGTCCGCCACCTCCTGAACAGTCTCCATCTTCCCTTCTTCTCCCTCAGCTGTCCCTCTATGACGGGCGCTCCGTCCCCCAGGAAGCCGCCCGCCCTCTCCGGGTGGTGACACAGGAAGCAGCCCCACACGGCGCGCGGGCTCACCTCGAACACATCAAAGAAGCCCGCAGCCCTCAGCTCGTCTACAAGCAGCTCCTGATCTTTAAGCGCGGGGAAGGCGCCCGTGACCAGCGTGAGGAAGGTCCGGTTCTCACACTTGAGAATGTCCCAGCAGTGCTTGAGGCTGGCCACGGTGGGGTCGCGCGAGGACAGCGCCGCCGCGTGGCGAGCCTGCAGCGCTAAAAACATCAGGTGGATCCACACGCGGGGCAGGCGTGTGCGGAGGGAGAAGGCCGCATGCGCGTACAGGCAGTGAGGACCTCGCGTGCCGCACGCGAAGGATAGACGAGCCTGCTTCTTGGAACGACGTTCTGTGGAAAAATACATCATCATCAAGCCATAGCTCCTATATACATAACTTATCTAACAAGACTGCTTGACCCACCTTCTATGGTACATTTGGCCGGCGGAGGTATCCTGAGCGACACATTATCCATGTACGCCTTGATCTTATCTAGATGTTTCTCACAGAAGTGTTGCACGGTGTCCCTCATGGGGTAGGGCTCGAACACGCTGATCCTGTGGCTGGACGTGCTCGAGTTGATCATGGTGACGCTGGTGTTGTTGGCGCGGCGTGACGTCACCGTGACCGGAGCCCCCGCGGCCAGGGCTCCGCTGGCGGTCGACGTGACGGCCGGGGGGGACACGGAGGCGTCCGAGGACTTGTCCTTGTTGAGGGCGATCATCGACACGGGCTGCGGCGGGGACGCTGATGAAACTATCGTGGCTCCTGACGCCTGCGGATCACACACACTTTAATATGATGTAGCTTGCATCAGAATACCTATAAACACTTATATAATATGAATACATTAATCAATTATAGTTAGTGGTGGCCTAGTGGTTAAAAGGCCCGCCTCTCATGCACGAGGGCGCGGATTCGATCCTGGCAAGTACCAATGTGATTTTTCCGCGTCATATGTACTTTCTAAGAGTATTTAGACATCACTGATTAATGCAGTCCCAAAGAGAGTTGATGTCAGGCCGGCGGCCGGTATTAAAAACAATTAGCCAAAACTATTCTCAACATGTAAGGCAGACCCTGGCTAAAGCTGAGAAATTGCCAGGTAGAAGAAAAATAGGTAGTATGTGTACGGACCGTGGTGGGTCCTATGAGTATGTTGTGATGTAGGTGTCTTGGTCGCGGCGCCAGCGGCGGGGACACACTGACCGTCACTCCGGCGCTCGACACTACGCTGGGCTTGCTGGACGGCTTGCTGCCCACTACTGACATAATAAGTATCATATACAGGGTGATTTTTCTATATATATATGTATATAATCTATAAACTTCGTTATAATACTAGGCACATATATAATTACTTCAAGTAGTTCAGAAGATTGCCATGAGGAAAGTAATGATTTTGTCGACTAGACGTAGCAAATATAAAATGGGGTGTATTTTTCAGACGAGGAAAAGATAGAAATTTTTAAGAATCGAATCGATTTTGTAGACCTAAATTAAAAATGCAATCAAGGAACTTACTTTGCGGTGGATTTTGTGCGTTGATATGTTGTGAGGAGGACAACCGGGTCATACTCTTATGGAGACCGCCCACGGAACCTCCTGGGAACAACAAACCGTTACAATATAATGTTGCAAAACCGACACGAGCAGGAATCGAACCTACATCATTCTGAATCAATTTCTTTTCTGAGCTATCTTCTACATCGAATTTTGTACTATCATTACATAAATTATCCTACTAATATTATAATTGCGAAAATTTGTGAGTTTGTATGTATGTTACTTCTTCACACTCAAACGGCTGTAGCGGTTTTGATAAAATTTTGTATACATGACGCTGACGTCCAGGAATAAGACATAGGCTACTTTACATCCCGGAAATCCACGGGTAACACCGCGTGGCGCACCTAGTATATCATATAAACTCGTCCAAGTATAATCTGACTATAGTGTTAAACTCATGATCATCAGTTCCTCTTACCCGCTACATTATCGAATATTCGTCGTTCAGAATACGGTTCCAGTCATTTTTCTAACTGAGCTATCTTCTACCTCAAATTTTGTACTATCACTATTTAAATTATATATCATATAAGGAAGTCCAAATATCTAAGTTCGTCTCACCGGCCACATTAAGGCGTGTCATACTCCTATGTGAGTTAGGTCCGGGGTGCAGGCGGCCGGTGCTCCGCGAGTCCCCCAGCTTGGCGCGCCTGGTGTACCCCGCGGGTCCTGTCACCGTCAGGGTGGTCGTCGCAGACCCCACACTAGGACTAGTCACGGTCGCCTGCCCCCCCAACTTAACTATGGTGACCCCAGTTGAAGTTCGATTCACTTCACCGTGCGTTGACTTCGGACGATTACTGTGAATACAATATTATTGATTTTTAAGTAAGTTTTATTACAACTGGCAATTTTAAGTTTAAATAAATATTTTCTGAATACATATTGCTAAAAATGAATAATTTTTTTTGTATCGTTACTACAGAATGCATTAAATTGAGGATAACCGACATCTGTTCAAACGAGACCTACCAGAAAAACTTATACCACATAAGGAGTGGACAGTGGAAAAACAAAATTAAAGTTGGTTAAATATTTATAATAGAAGTAAAAACATATGTATATATAAGTATATGTTTTTCAAACCTTTCACTGTCAAACTGTCTATTGACAATCAAAAAAGTTGTCTGAATAAGAAAAAAAATACGAGCGGTGGACGAAATTTCGATTAAAAAAAAAAATCATGGTGGTGAAAATATCGCCTCTAACTTATAAAGGGATAAAAAGGAACGTAATATACCTATTGGGCCTCAGCGCATCTAAAGGCCAGTCAGTGAAGAGCGCGGGTACATACAACGTCAATATTAATGATTTTTAAGTAAGTTTTATTACAACTCGCAATTTTAATTTTAAATAAATATTTTCTGAAATGCCAGAATTGCATATTGCTAAAAATAACTTTTTTTTGTATCGTTACTACAGAATGCATTAAATTGAGGGTAACCTAGATTTGTTCGAGATGCTGGCCAGAAAAAAAAAAGTTTTGCATAAAACGTAACGTAACGTAACGCACCTATTGGGCCTCAGCGCAGCTAAAAGCCTGTCAGTAAAGAGCGCGGGGTATGCGCTGCATAGAGCAGTGGCCTCCCGCAGTAGCGCCGCCTGCTCCACACCCTCGGCTGAAGACAGACGCTCCACTATGAAGTTTAACGCCTCCTGGGCACGCTCCTGGTGACGTCACACATGTTAATCACACTTATAGGTGTTTTCAGAAGAGCAAACTGAGTTAAGGGATTTAGTATTTCGCCTTCGATAATAACGGTCATTGATATACAATAGTTCAAGAAATAATCAGTAGATTTAGGACCAATTTCACTAATCAGTGTTAAATAAGTGACAGCTTGTTAAGGCGTTTGATGGTCTGTTAGGTGTATCGAGCTTCCAACGACGCACAATTGTCCGTTTAATTGTCTTAACAAGCCACTAATATTAGTTCCTGCTCTGGAGCTCTGTCTAATGGCTAACAGAATGTTATGCGTTGTCGAAACTCAACTGTCCAATCACAGCCCTGATTTCTTGTAACCATAGTAACGTCATCCTTTTTGTCAGTTTCGACTATTTCCTTGTACTTAATAATAAAGTGAATTAAAATTTCATTTAGTATGATGATTTTGTCTCCAGCTTTTGTTTGACATTGCAAATTAAGTTTTCTTTTTATCTCTTATTTAGTGTTAGTAAATACCATGCTTAGATTTAACAAACGTTGATTGGTGAAACTGGGTCTAAACCTGTCAGTGTGAATCAGTATGAAGACTTTTGAAGTTGATAGATTTGAAAATACTAGTATAATATGTGTACTGACTCTTCCGGTTCCGGCGAGTGCTGCCAGAGCGGCGGCTGCGAGGGCGGCGGCCCGGGGCGAGGCGTGCGGAGGCCTAGCTGCCTCCCGGACCACTGCACTATGCTCCGCTACCAACGACGCCCGAGATGAAGACACGCGTCCGATCACCTGACACAGACATCATTCATATATTTCACTTAAAATATAACTAGCAAAATATTAATCAGAATTAAGTCTACCTAACAGATCTTTATTCACTGTTGCAACCAAAAATATGCGTTATTACTTGAGTGTAAGCTCCAAATTTGTTTACAGCTTTGGTTTAACATCATTAATCCATATTACATAACAAAAAACATTAATATAATCATAGTTACCTGCAGTACATCCACACACATGCAGCCAGGGTCTTTCTGACTGGCCGTGTTAGGACACAAGTAGGACAGTAGTTGAGGTATAGCTGTCTTTAGAGCCTCCGGTCGTCTGGATGCTATCTGTTCAAACAGAGCGAACAGCGAAGACTTCTCCACGGGCTCAGCGTGAGGCAGCAGAGACACCAACGCTGTCACATGGCCTTCAAGAGGCTCGGGACATACTTCATACAGGTTGGTCAAAATACGGCATAATGGATAGTTACCTTAAAGTTTAAATGAACAATAAAAAATATAACTGGTTTTCAAATTTAATTAATTTCAGTTTATTCATAAGCAGTAATCATGATGTTATTAGGTGTACAACTTTGCTTCCGCCGTTTTTTTCCGAAATTCGAGGCTTTATTGTAAAAAACTGATTATACATTTATGATTCAAAGTATTGTCCATCGCTGGCCACTACTTTCTCCCACTTTTCGGGCAGCATTCGAATCCCGCGTTGAAAAAACTGGTCATCTTTTGAAGCGATCCACAAATAGATCCAATTTTTAACTTCTTCATAACACCGGAAGTGCTGGTCAGCCAGGCCTTATGCTATTGATCGAAACAAGTGATAGTCCGAGGGAGCAACGTCTGGAGAATACGGCGGGTGGGGTAGGACTTCCCATTTCAACGTTTCCAAGTATGTCTTGACCACTTTCGCAACATGGGGTCGAGCATTGTCGTGCTGTAAAATCACTTCATCATGTATCTCGTTGTATTGCGGCCGTTTGTCTTTCAATGCTCAGCTCAAACGCATTAATTGCGTTCGATAACTATCGCCTGTGATTGTTTCAGTCGGTTTTAACAACTCATTATGCACTACGCCGAGCTGGTCCCACCAAATACAGAGCATACCTTGGAACCGTGAATATTCGGTTTGGCCGTCGACGTGGAAGCATGGCCGGGATATCCCCATAATTTTCTGCGCTTGGGATTATCGTAATGAACCCATTTTTCGTCCCCAGTCACAATGTGATGCAGAAATCCTTTCCGTCTTTGCCTTGCAAGCAGCTGTTCACAAGCAAACAAACGCCGTTCAACATCTCTCGGCTTCAACTCGTACAGCACCCAATTTCCTTGTTTCTGAATCATTCCCATGACTTTCAGGCGTTTTGAAATGGCTTGTTGCGTCACTCCCAATGATCCTGCCAATTCTTGTTGCGTTTGACACGAGTCTTGATCAAGTAATGCCTCCAATTCTGCATTTTCGAAAACCTTCTCTCTTCTACCGCCATGCCGGTCTTCGACGTCAAAATCACCGTTCTTGAAGCGTTGAAACCACTCTCGGCACGTTCTTTTACTAATAGCAGCCTCACCATAGGTATTTGAGAGCATTCGATGAGCCTCAGCCGCAGATTTCTTCATATTAAAGCAGAATATTAAAACCTCTCGCAAATGACGAGAATTTGGCTCGTAAGCTGACATGTTTAATCGAGAATAACTTTATGATGCAGACACAAATCGACTAATATTTCAATGGCGTTATGTTTACAATTGCCTAAACTTATTGTATGACATCTACGATCTATTTATTTCGACTACCACTTACCGCTACAACCATCTATTGCAAAACGGCGGAAGCAAAGTTGTACACCTATGTATAAGAGACACTTTCTTGTCGTATGACATGTAAATAACTAATATTATAAAGCTGAAGAGTTTGTTTGTTTGTTTGAAAGCGCTAATCTCCGAAACTACTGGTTCGAATTGAATAATATTTTTTTTGTGTTGGATAGTCCAGTTATCGAGAATGGCTGTGGGCTATATAACATCACGCTACGACCAATAGGAGCAAAGATATAGTGGTAAATGTGTAAAAAACGGGAGAAATTATTTCATCTTTGAAGCCTCCCGTTGTGTGCGCCGTGAAAACGGTTCAAGATACACAAAAAATATGTATTAAAGAATAATAGCTCTGTTAATGATCTAAAAAACAGTCCGCGACAGTATATGTCTATCTTTTAAGATTAACTCACAAAAACCGTTTTTATGGTACCTAATTTGGTCGAAATAATTTGTTTAAGTTGTATCAACATAATAATATTAATCTTTATTCAAATAAACAAATAAATTGTTGTTGTGTAAGAGTACTTCATTGTGAATAAAAAAAAACATAGGATAAAATCCTGAAAATTCTAGGGGGACCCGACCTTTTCGAAAAACCCGCAAGAACGGGAACTATGTGGGAAGAACCAAAAATCTGCCGGAAGTCACTATTCCATGCGAACGAAGTCGCGGCAAAAGCTAGTGTAAATAATAAAATAGATGAATTAAATCTAAAAACCATATTTAATATTGTGATAAATTTGAGGTCAAGTTATTTGGTTACAAAATTTGACAGATTTACATACTCTTTGGTCGTATTTTGGACTTTAATCAAGACTCAGAATGCTAATATTGTGCTAAAAATCTTAAAATCCAAAGGTTTGTGGTATAAAACAAAGAAAATTTTATATACGCTTAGTTATTGCTGCACCCACTTATTACACACAAGCATACATTCTAATGATACTCATGTTGTTTGGAGCATTATCAGAGGTTTTTAATTTTGCTAATATTTTAAAGGCGAGTGCCATAAAGGTATCTCTTGTTGTCTATTGGACAGTGACAGACAAATTCCTCAAACTTCCACATAACTCAAATCATACATTACAATTAAGTGTTAAACACTTCCCCAAGAAAAGAAGTATTGATATTTTAAGTCACAACATACCCGACATAATAGAATCCATAATAGTCTGCACATGAGGTTTCAACAGTACAGCATGATGGAGAGCGGCCAGTGATAGATATCTTGCCATGTGACGTGATATTTCACGGTTCCCTTTGTGAAGGAACTGCACGGCCACTGGTAGGAATAGCTCCATGACTTCCTCATTACCACTGGCTTCCTTGTCAGCTTGGAGTGGAAATGATACCTTAAAAATATACGTATATCATTAGTTGTCATTATTTCTGATTTAATACCAAACCGTGATTATGATAATGTGTAAAACTCAAAAGGATCTATATTACAGTATAAAATAATTTTAGAGTTTGTAACTTCAAAGCGTTTTATTAATTATAATTTAACTTAATTCTATTATGGTTTTTTAACTGCTTTTTGCTATTGCCATTATCACCATGAACCAGGATACTGACAAAAAGAAAAATGCTAAAAATGCATTTCATATCATTAAACTATATCAGTAACATGAGATTATTCTTAAAATAAAAAAATTCACACCTTTTTACATATAAAAAGCATTTATAGACCTTTAACAATATGCTATATTATTAAATGGTACGAGAGCTAGCAACGTCAAAAAAAAACAAGAATTTCAGGTAGGCTAGTTTTTAGATATGCTATCTCTCACACTCCCCTGGACGTCCTACGGGCTATCTGCCGGTAGTGGTTGCGTTCATCAGTGCGCATCGTACTTGTGCAGGTAAACAAATTATTATTTCAAATCATTTTAAGAAGGTTTTTTTTATTATTGTTATTGAACTATTCACAACATAAATTTATTATTGCCAGATATTTTTATTGTTGTTTAAACAGTGCCAAACGGCAATGTTAAATTAAAAAAAAAAAAATTTCAAAATATTTTAGTATAGCTGAAATTTTAATAGCATGTTATTTAATATCTAAAAGCTCAGAATTATTTTGCCAGGCAAAAAATCGGTTGTTAAACCTTTTGCCAGATCGAAATAAAGTGTAAAGAGATGTAGTATCATTTAGCTTGGTCTAGAAAATTAATCATGTAATAAATGATGGAAGAAGGATTAAAAACTATTGAATTTATTTATAGATGAATACGGTATAAAAATAATACTTTATTGTTGTACAAAATTGAGATAATGATCAATGTTAAGTTTGAAAAAGCGCTCTGGCTACCGAAAGACTAACCGAAAGACTAAAAACGTTGCTAGCTCTTAGAATAAAAGTAGTAGAACTTTTTGTCGCAAATAGCCTTGTATCATAGTAAAATAAACTTGCTTCTTGATTAACTTGAAGTAACTATGCAATACATATATCATATATGTTATATAAAAATATTTGATTTATGTGAATCAAGACTCTGTTTCATAACTTACTTTAATGTTTTTGATATTTAATGAGCCATTACATTGAAGTAATAATCAGTATTGTATAAAAATTATTACCTCATAAGAAAAAAGTTAATAATATATACAGGGTGACTGGTGAATTACTATCGATACTTGAGGACGTGATATTTGACGATCATATATGACAAAATAAAAATTAATATAACATAAATATTAATAAACTTCTAAGTAAAGTTAACCAAAAGTTATGTAATTAATTACGCATCGTGTGAACACCCTACAGATTAGGTATACACACACACTCACACATACGCGTGCGGCGGCGTAGTGTTGTATCAGCACGCCGCCTCACGCGTCCACACTTGGAACACTTGGAACGTGTCAACACTTTATTTATTTATACGGAAATTTTGTCAAAAATTAAGTGCCTATTTTTTTATAATTCGAATTTCCGTTTAACTAAATAAAGTGTTGATACGTTCCAAGTGTTCCAAGTGTGAGCGCGTGCGGCGGCGTGCTGATACAAAACCACGCCCCCGCCGCGTATGTGTGAGTGTGTGTGTATACCTAATCTGTAGGGTGTTCATACGATGCGTAATTAATTACACAACTTTTGGTTAACTTTACTTAGAAGTTTATTAATATTTATGTTATATTAATTTTTATTTTGTCATATATGATCGTCAAATATCACGTCCTCAAATATCGATAGTAATTCACCAGTCACCCTGTATATATATATATATATATAAATAACACACTCACTTCACCTAAGCATATAGTTACAAAATCTTATCTACTATATTTATGCTTTTGTATATACTGTAATATATATAAATATATATATAGCAATTTGTTACACATATTTGTAATAATTAATTTTCATACCAAACAGTGTGACCAAAGGAATTGAATGACTGTATATTTGTTTTACTTATGATATAAATCTTATTATTTATACATACCAGTACAATACAAGCAATGATATCTGATGCTATTTTAGCATGTGGTGGGTCGTCATCTCTCAGATGGCCGACGGGCATGAGGTTGTGGTGTAGACAAGACTCAAGCAATGCCACCAGGGAGCCGCAGTACTTCTCTAGAGTACCCGTCTCTTTTATACATGATGTAACTCTCGTGACACATATTTCTATGAGCGCTTGATCACGATCATTCCTAATATAATCGGCTCTTGATGATATCTCAGTTATTTGTTTTAGCTGTAAATGTAATAGCAATTCTTATATTCTTATTATAAACAAAATATTCTTTCAAAATATTTTTATTAATACATTATACTAATCTCTAAAGACGTCTGCATTATTGCTTATATAAAGCCACATTAGCATAACAATCAAATCAAAACCTGTTTGATTTCCTGTTACTAATATTGCATTCACAGTCTGTTAAAAAATAAGGTAGGTTCCGTACATATACCTAATAGAAATTTGTTCTAGACAAAGTTATCTTTCATAGAAACCTGACGTAAAATAATCTAGTCTTACAACTTACGACTTCGTTTAAATCATTCACAATATCCGCGTCTGGAATGGAAAATATATCCCCTGCCCGGGTCAAATCCCGCTCCGTCAGCACATGTTTCAGCAATTCGTGCATATTGCTGCCTCAACACCAACGCAACTTCATAAATTCACTGGATAAATCACCAACATAACAACATACAGCTTAGTCGACACATCTACACGGGGCTTTTTTGGCATAAAAACAAGCACTGCACTCCCTTCATACTATCAAATGTACACCCCCTGAGGCGCTTTCTAATTTTTACTCACAATAACGTTAGTTTTAGTTTACTAGCAATATATTCTTTGATGATTGATCCGAAATCAGGAAAAATGGAATCGGTCGACTTGTCCTGTCGTTGACTAAACGTCAAACAGCCAGCGAAGTTCAATGAACTTTAAAAATATAAATTTATCTGATATTATCCACAAATTGTAAAACTTTTAATGTACTCCATAAAATGAATGAAAGTAATTAAAATTATTCTAATAAACTTAATTTATATAAATTGGTATATTTCTAAACGTTAAATCATATTCACGAATGACATCACCTTTACGTCAACTGCTCCTATTTGTCAAATAAGTGGAACTGTATTTGAAAATATACCTTAAGTTAATCTCACTAAGACACTAAATTAATTACATTACAAGTTCAAATGTGCTTGAATCTTTACACATATTATGTTGCAATAAAAGTTGTAGTTTTGTTTATTATTTACTAATGTATTAGAAGCAGTTTGACGATTTAAAAATAAAAAAGTGCACCTCTTGTATATATATTTATTTTAAAATGCCTGTACCATGCAAAGCAGGATGTGGGAAAAATGCTATGTTAAAGGTAAACAATATTTCTTGGTTATACATTGAAAGTGGTTTTAAACTAAATAAGATTCAATACTTTTACAGCGTCCTAAAACAGGGGATACTCTATGTAAAGAATGCTTTTTCGAGGCCTTTGAAACAGAAATCCATTTTACAATAATAAAGGCAGAATTATTTAACAGAGGAGATTCTGTCGCCATCGCCGCCTCTGGTGGCAAAGATTCAACTGTATTGGCACACGTACTGAAAACATTAAATCAAAGATATGACTACGGTCTTAATCTCATGTTGCTGTCCATAGACGAGGGTATAACCGGCTACAGAGATGACAGCTTGGAAACGGTCAAACAAAACAGAGACGATTACGAGATGAATCTCAAAATATTATCATACAAAGATTTATACGGTTGGACCATGGATGAAATTGTAGCTCAAATCGGAAGAAAGAATAACTGCACATTCTGTGGTGTATTCAGGAGGCAAGCCTTGGATAGAGGTGCGGCAATGCTTAATGTGAAATGTATAGCAACAGGACACAACGCTGACGACATAGCTGAGACGGTACTGATGAATGTACTGAGAGGAGACATCGCTCGCCTGAAGAGATGCACTGCTATATCTACTGCAAGTATTTAAAATTTTCTATATTATTTGTAGTATGATAAACTATAATAAAATGTTATTATAATATTTGCAAGATGACAACATACATAAGAGCTGTACAGACTCTCAAATTTTTTAATATTATTGAAACATTGAGTCATGCCATAGAAATATCTTAATGTGATTGAATTGTTCACTAAATTTAAATAAAAATTAAACATATTAAATTCATAAACATAAGCTGGATTTGAAATTATTATGTAATATCTCATTCCGTTTACCTCATTAAGTAAACTTTTGTACTGTGATAAATGTGAAAAATTTATTTATTTTATATACATATAAGAGTCATGGTTACACCAACACTTTTCAGCAACTGGTTATGGACAGATGAATTTAAAATATCCCTTAACATATTTATCCTTTTCTATTCCAGGGCAGCGAGGGTACAATTCCTAGAGTGAAACCGTTGAAGTATACATATGAAAAGGAGATTGTTATGTACGCTCATTACAAGAAACTGGTGTACTTCTCAACTGAATGTGTGTTTGCTCCAAATGCTTACAGAGGTCATGCAAGGGCTCTGTTGAAAGATCTGGAAAAAATTAGACCTACTTGCATTATGGATATTATATACTCAGGTATCATATGATTGTGGAATATAATGTTGTAGTATTCAATAAAACTATATTAAATTCAACTATGTATTGTGCTAAGTAGCAAACGGAACAGCGTCTAATATAATAAAGTAATCTACATTACACTCATAATCTTCTTCTTCTATATACAGGGTGACTGGTGAATTACTATCAATATTTAAGGAGAATACTCGGTACATGATTGTCATTCGAATTATGTAAAAAAAATAGGTACTTAATTTTTGACCAAATTTCCGTATAAATAAATAAAGTGTTGACACGTTCCAAATGTTCAAGTGTGGACGCGTGCGGCGGCGTGCTGATACAACACTACGTCACGACACGCGTATGTGTGAGTGTCAGTGTATACCTAATCTGTAGGGTGTTCACACGATGCGTAATTAATTACATAACTTTTGGTTAACTTTACTTAGAAGTTTATTAATATTTATGTTATATTAATTTTTATTTTGTCATATATGATCGTCAAATATCACGTCCTCAAATATCGATAGTAATTCACCAGTCACCCTGTATATAAAAATGGATTGGCTAATTTTAGTCTTGAAATACTCCTGGAAGTTCAGGGAGGGTTTAAAAGGTGAGAAAAATTGGAATAATTGCCGGGAAAACCCTAAAAACAGCCCTTTTCTATTTCCCATACAAACGTTTTTTTGACATTAGATTTGACAACTAACTAATATGTCAATCATTCTGTCGCACTTCAACACACGGAGATTTATGGCTTTAATAGGTAAACTCCAAAAATATAAATAAAAAAACGTAATAGATATTTCTTGATTATAGGGCGATACGAAGTTCGCCAGGTCTTCTAGTAATAATAATATTTATTTGCTATGAATGTAGGTACAGAATATAGGTTTACAAATAGATTTTAGTATAAGTTCCAGGTACATTATACCATAAGGCATGTAAATATTAGGTTTAATTTATAAATTAAAATTAACTATACAATTTTATTGTATTTCCTATGATTTGTGATACAATGATAGACAGATAGATGATTATTTAAGTTTAAATTTTATAATTTTTTTATTCAACAATTTCTTAAAAAAATATGTCTTATCCATTAGAAAATTGTTCACTGAGTAATAGAACTTGTTAACTAGAAAAGAAAACAAAAGTTTTTTTAAATTTTATTTAAGTTAATTCTTTTATCTCATTAGGTATTTTGTTATACATATACAGTAGGGGCCATGGCCAATATGTTCCTTTTTAATAATGCAGTTTTGTAGTTGCCTGTACTGTGTACATAAAAGATTCTGATATTGAGACCTTAGATTTATAGCGCGATATCTCGTATCTCTTAATGAAGGAAAAAGGTGCTTATTTGTTTTCACAAAGACTGCAATTTCGAATATATATAAACAAGGAAATGTTAAAACCTTATATTTCCTAAAAATCGGTATACAGTTGTCCGTGACCTTCAAGTTGAAAATAGATCTAAAGCATCGTTTTTGACCTTTAAAAATACTTTCCCTTTGACAACAGTTACCCCAGTATGTAATGCCAAATCTTAAAAAAGAAACAACTAGACCATGGACCATGGTATGCAATTAGAATGGTATTAACATTAACTTTTTTAGCCAAATTATGTAAAGCCTATGCTGAGACGTTAAATTTTTTACAAATCTTTTCTACTTGAGGTTTCCATGTTATAGTGCGTTTGATTTAAGCTGAGCTTTGCATTTGTGTGAGTGCACACGGATAGTGTAGGTGTGATGTAAAATTTTTGAATGCCACGTTCTTTTCTTGATTTGAACCGGTTTTTTCTGCTTTTACTCCGCCCCGCACCTTCCGCACTTCACCCCTTGTACTGGTAGCAACGTCAAATGTTGAAAACGCAATGTCAAGTGACGAAAAATTTGTATTTTTTTTTTTTTTTATGTTTATTACTTCATTTTTTTTCCATAATATTTCCATTTGGCCTTTTACAAGTTTTGATTATTTTATTTTTAATCTAGAATAGATCTAGCACTTATGATATGTACTGTTGTTATTGCACTATTTATTTGACTTTCATAAGTTACCTCATCATTACATTTAATTAAAGCAGTGCTGTCATCTGCGAATAATACCATAGGATGAACAATTTGTCGTGGACGGTGGATATCTCAATATCATTATCATACTATTATTTAACCAATACAGACATTATAACTAATACATAATAAATGTAAAAAGAAAAAATCTATATAAATTCATGTGTTTCAGGTGAAACAATGGCTGTGAAGGAAGAAGTATCACTGCCCACACAGAGAATATGCACAAGATGCAAATTTGTGTCCTCTCAAGAGGTTTGTAAGGCTTGCGTTCTTCTGGAAGGATTGAACAAGGGTTTACCGAAACTGGGCATTGGAAAAAGTTCCAAGGCCAAGAAAATGCTAGAAGAATACAACGCAAACCAAAATAATATGAAAACAGTTATCAGTAATATTAATGATGACTGCAAGAAGAATAATTGTGTCTCCAGAGGAAAAGTGTGCAGGTCTAATAGAAATACAACAAATTATGTAGAAAAGGAAAAAAATGAAGATAAATGTTGTAGTAGTACACAAGAAAAGACAAAAGACAGTGTTGCTACAAGTAGTTCCAAAATAAACACACTTCTACAAGACTACGGCATATCAGAAAATGGATGTGTGGACGATAAAATCACATTAAATGGGGAAAGTTCTGAAAATCATAACTTCGAAGTTGATTTACATAATGAAGATACATCTTTAATAGAGGAAAATGACGCGTGTGTAGGAGCATGCGGCAAGATGGACTCATTACAAATAGGTTTCTGACAAATGTAAATAATAGACAATATCATTGAAAATAATTTTAATTTCATTTAAAACAAACCTTCAATGTACTCAGTAATGTTACTTACACATCGAAAACCGGATAACGATTATTTACAACACTAAACTAAATTTGCGATGACAGTCACTATGATATATACAGATTAAGCAAAAATAAACAATGAACACGTTTTGTACTAAAAAGGCACCTACTATACGTGGTTAAATCACTATAGAGGCTTGTATGTTGTCATCCAATTACATAATTCATATCACCCGCCCAATATGAAGCTTTAAAATCGATAAATTTAATACTTTTTTCTATGAAATCACTAAAATGCCAATTATACATAGTACATTGTGTTAAGTAATGAACGCGGGCGCCCGTGAATCAATACGAGCTCTGCAAACTGGACACGAATCGTTGATACGCTCCGAACACTCCTCACACAGACACACGTGGCCACATGGCAGTAGTATTATCTGGAATTAGCAACAAATAAATATACATTATATAATTTTTGGCAGAATATGTTAGGATCTTAGCACCATTGACAATATCATAAAAAAATAAGTTCCCGCCATTTGCACCCTGTGACTTTCCGAACAGTTATTAAAAAAGTACATAAAAATAAAACTAGTACTTTCAGATTTTACTTTTTATATTTTAACTACATATACACATACTCCCGACGTTCGATTACTTTACAGCAACCATGATTACGGGCAGACGAGATGAGAAAACGTCGGAAGTATGTAGTTAAACTACTCAAAAAAAAACAGGTAATAAAAACCGAAAATATCAGTTTTCTTTAAATAGACACTCGCGAAGTTCTTAGATTTCATTATACTGTACATAATTAAAAACTAACCTCTTTAGGATTCTCAGTGCAAACAACGCATAATTGTACTTCACTAAGTCCCTTGTCCCGTGTATGAGCCCTCCTCTCCTTTCTTCCGGCCGCTAACTGTTTCTTCAGTTGTTCTTCGGCCAATCTGCGGCGTCTACGTTTCATGTACTTATAAAATATACGAGCCGACGTCACAGCTGCCACTGAACCAAACAAAACGAGTAGGATTCTGAAATGGATAAATAAAAAAAAGTTATAGATTACATCCATCTTATATATAAGAAAGTCATGTTAGTTACACTATTTATAACTCAAGAACGTTTGTATGGGTTTGGATGAAAATTGCTGGAGAGATGGCTTAGAACCACGACAGTTGATATATTCCAAAATATTCTTAAGCACTACTTTTAAGGAGAAACAGAGTTCTCCGGGTCAGCTATAGATTTCTAATTCTGAAAGTAACACTGACGAAGTCGCGGGCAAAAACTAGTTTAGAATAACAATAACTTGTCTTTTTCTAAGGGCTCTTGAATGTTATCGATATTCAATATATAATAAAAGTAACAATAATGGTGTTAAACAGTTACAGAGATTGCAGTTCATTACATGTGCATATAAACATATTTATAAACACATTATTATATTTAAAAACATAGAAATTCAACACGTATTATGATAACTCATGTAAAAAATTATAAAGCCAATCCATCTATTGCCTACAGTTGTATTAAGTGAATAAAACAGGAGTATTATCCCATAAACTCTTAATTAAACTTGCACCATTACAATGTAATCTAATATTTTTTTAAAGTCACATTAGTGAAACAGCGTAAATCTTTCACAGTACTAATTTCAACCTATTACCCATAGAAATTATCCTTCCGATTATGATTGATAATTTGCATACACATTTTAACTTATTGGACCAGTGCCGATTGCTTTAAAAACATAATTAAATTATAGTAGAATGAAACTCATTAGAAAAGGACGGGAATATTATAAAGATAATTTACCGCGATCTGAGGTCGGGATGGGTATTTAAGGGTAAAAATGGGTTTTCTCGATTTCCGGCAAAACTAAAAGTCCTACGGAAAAATGTTATTTGGCAAAGTTGTAGGTAATAAAAAGATCTAAAACTTTTATACAAACACTTTTTTCACATAAGCTCAAAATTTATGTGAAAAATTCGAAAAACCAAGTTTTTTGTTTTTATTTTTATCTCTTACAAAAAACAATATTTTGTCACGAAATTTGGTGAAAACTTTCCTTTTGATTTTACAAATACACTATAAGTTATTTGATTCGAAATATTTATTTTTTCAGCAAATTTTGAATGAATATTGAAAAATCAGCCTCATTTTCAATCGAAAAATCACCCGTTAAACATCAGCTATTTTCAAAAATTTGGTATGATTTCAATTTGTTGGAATCTCTTTTTTCCGATGGTGAAGAAAAAAATATAAGTTTCTTACTTACAGTACCATTTTTGGATAAAATAATCATGTCTCTTTTAATGAAATGACACTCGACATCTTTTTGAAAATGCTCTTTCTAATTTATTTTTAACAGTTGTGAACTCTCCAGATAGTCCCTCTTTTAGGTAATTTACACAAAATTGACAATAAGCTGCTAAAACTATTAAAAATAAATTAGAAAGAGCATTTTCAAAAAGATGTCGAGTGTCATTTCATTAAAAGAGACATGATTATTTTATCCAAAAATGGTACTGTAAGTAAGAAACTTATATTTTTTTTCTTCACCATCGGAAAATAGAGATTCCAACAAATTGAAATAATACAAAATTTTTGAAAATAACTGATATTTTGACGGGTGATTTTTCGATATTTATTCAAAATAAGCTGAAAAAATAAATATTTCTAATCAAATAAATTACAGTGTATTTGTAAAATCAAAAGTAAAGTTTTCACCAAATTTCGTGACAAAATATTGTTTTTTGTTAAGGCGGCCAACTTTCCGAAAACTGAATGCGGGACTTAACCTTTCGTGAATGGCGGGGCGGGGGGGGGGGGGTTTGTTAGGGATTGGGAATGTCATAAAAATCTTCGCAACTGCCCATATTAAATTTAAGTACTCTCTTACGCGTCATGAGTTCAGAAGAAAGAAAGAAAACGAGATTATCGCGGACGCGATACGCTTGTCCCTATTATAGGTAATGTGTGTTCCTGCACTGTTGACCGTGGTATGGGTGTTGTGTAGAAGTGTGGTAGAAAAACAGGGATGCGGGACATGCGGGACGCATACAACGTTTTGCGGGACTATTTTACTAATAATTTCAAAGCGGGATTTCGTCTACAATCGCGGGACGGTCCCGCAGAATGCGGGACGGTTGGCCGCCTTAGTTTTTTGTAAGAGATAAAAATAAAAAACCAAAAAACTTGGTTTTTCCAATTTTTCACATAAATTTGGCGCTTATGTGAAAAAAATGTTTATATAAAAGTTTTAGGTCTTTTTATTACCTACAACTTTGCCAAATAACATTTTTCCGTAGGACTTTTAGTTTTGCCGGAAATCGAGAAAACCCATTTTTTACCCTTAAATACCCATCCCCATACCCTTCCCGACCTCAGATCGCCGTAAATTATTTTTCCTTTAATTTTTATAATATTCCCCTCCTTTTCTAATGAGTTTCATTCTACTATAATTTATTTTCACTTTTCATCAATTTTAAAGGCTTCTGCACTGGCCCATATACCATTCCTATTTTTACAACCTCTTACAAGTAAACAAAGTTTTCTAACATTAATACCAAAGGTTTTCTTAAATGTTTCATGAATTAAATAAATATCTCATTGAAAAATAAACTAATATACTTCTTGTTACTTTTAACGCAAACATATACATATAGTGCTACAGAAAATATTGTCACAATGAGTGTTTTTAAAATTAAACTAGAATTCCTTTAAATATTGTAATATTACTTTAAATTATTAGTAACACAAATTAATAATTGTGTTTTTCTGCTATCTTAGTGATGTTTTTTATGTTTATGATGAAAAAGTAATGATATGATAATGAATATACCTTAAAAAGTCTCTGGAACTGGCGAGTCTCTTCAACAAACTTGATTTAGTAGAAGTAGTGAGATATAATGGTAGACCATCTCTTGGTGGCTGAATCTTTAAGCCTGAATTGGTTTTACTCAGTTCACCAATAACAGTTATATACGAGCCATCTCTCAACATTTCCTCCATAGTCTGCAGTCCTCTCTGACGGACCCCAGAGAAGAATCCCCATACATGATCGATTACACCAGGAGACATGGGTTCAAATTTATCAGTTATAACGTCTAGATCTGTCAAGTAAAATATATATAATTAATAAAATTATTGGTGAAACAATTGTTCATAGTTGTATTTCACCCACACTAACCTAAAAGCTCAGCGGCCAATGCATCCACAACTTCAATACTATATTTCCCATTACTCAGAACAAATGGTGTAGCATTGCATACTTCATGTATAGTGCGGGTTTGATCTGACCAGAAGCCTGCTGATGTTCGTGCTATAACATGCTCTTTTATCGTCAATCTGTGCATTAAATAATAAATTGTTTATAACAGCACTATTCAACGCGGAAAATATAAATAAATTTTAAACAATGTTGTACCTTTGTATAACACCTGTGACTAGTTGATTATAGTTGCTAGTTATGGGGTTACCGAGAGGTTTAACTAAGCCTCGAACAACAACATAGGGAATTACATTATTTGGATATTTTTTTATTTCCTTGGTAATGGTAGAATCTATATCCAATACAGGGGCTGACTGTAAACAAAATAATACGAGGATTTGTAAAAACATCGCAAGTATAAACAAGTGTAACTAAGTAATAAAATTTTGTGATTTTTATTTGGTATAAATTGATTTTTATTTCATAAAACTGACGTACCTGTAGTGAATCAAGGATATGTTTACATTTACTTAGTTGTTTCACACAAAAACCCAGAATAAGGGAATCTATTCCTAAAATCACTGTTTCACCAATGATCTCTGATAAGAAATCCATTTTTGTCAGCTTAAATTTTACAAGCGAGTATCTTAGATCTTCTAACCATATTACAAATTATCTAACAGTTTTCTCAAATTTCTCTAACCTATGCCGAAAAACATACTGACAACAGCTGTCTTCATGACAATGTTATGAGAAAGATAACGTTTCGTTATTTCATCTTGCTAATGCATTTGATGCAACCGCCTTTGTCAAAACATAACTAACAAATAAGACATAAGAGTGAAGTAGTTTTTGTTTAATTTTATTGAAATTTTGTATAGTAAATCTTATATATTTAAATGAGCAATTCTTGTGTATATATAGCATTGGAATCTCGGAATCGGCCTCAACGATTTTCATGAAATTTAGTATATAGGAGGTTTCGGGAGCGATAAATCGATCTAGCTAGGAACCATTTTTGGAAATTGTAATTTTATGAAAAAAAAATAGGTAAAAAAACTTTTTAAGTTAAACGGTTTTACGTGAAACATACATTGCAATGTTTAAGATAAATGTACTAAAAACCAAAAAATAATAAAATAGATACAGTTACAAGTTGTTACAAGTTACAGTAGGAAATTAACAAATTTAAGTAATTTTTGGGTGCCCGGAGTCTTTCGTCAAAACACGAATAAAGGTCTGTAGCAAAATAATAAGACGCACTACGTAGTTTTTACAATATATCACCCTAATATATTTTCAGATTTATACCATGAAATTATACCAGGGACCAAACTTACATTACCCGCGTCAGTTTAGTTATATAGTATATTTTATTTGACATACGAAACATTATGTAAAATAATGTTTTTGGTTTTAATATCAATTTTACCAACTTTAACTCTGCTTTATAATTTAAATAAGCAATTACATAGTTCTTTCGCATACCGCTTGGGGGACTACGATTTTTACAAATTATATCTAATTTGTATACTACTACTTATAATTGTACTAGGCATTTTTTTTCTAAAATGCATGTCATTTCAAATAAATCACTTCTAGCTTTTCAGCTACAGTTACAAGTTACAGTAAAATACTACAGCTATCGCACATTAAGTCGATAATTTGTAGACAATTGACGTGCCCCACGCTTTTATTTTAGTCTAGTCTATGCATAATAATGTTTATAATTCCCACGACTGCATCTATTTTATTATTTTTTGGTTGTTAGTACATTTATCTTAAACATTGCAATGTATGTTTAACTTAAAAGTTTTTTTTTACCTATTTTTATTTTCTAGTTTTTATAGTCCGGTCAAATTAGAGCAAAAATTAGGGTGAAATTACATAAATTCGCAACAAGCTGAATTTTGGTACAATTGTTCAAAACACGTTTATAAACAATAGCTGAAAGTTCCCCATCATTCCCGTGTGTGGAAAAAATTTTATTCAAGGTCAAATGTCAAAGAAATGAGTTTTTCGCGATTTTCAGCAAAACGGTAAGTTTTATCAGAAAAATACCTCAGACTAAAATTGTAGTTCATAAAATTATCTATAACAAATGTATCAATACTTTTTTTCTTACGAGCCACCGTTTCTGAGATATAACGATTCAAAAAGTTATAAAAGTTGTTATCGTCATAATATGCATGAGTACGACACGTATTTACATCTTGAGTTGTTATATTTTATATATATAACAGTCAGTGATGGCCTAGTGGTTAAAAGGCCCGCCACTCATGCACGAGGGTGCGGGTTTGGTCCTGGCCGGGGCAAGTACCGATGTGAATTTTCCGTCATATGTACTTTCTTAGAGTATTTAGACATCACTGATTAATACTGATTCCCAAAGAGGGTTGATGTCAGGCAGGCAGGCAGACCCTGGCTATAGCTGGGAAATTGCAAGGTAGAAGAAGAAGATTTATATATATAAATATTGATTTATTTGTGTAAACTCTTAACTGAAAGCGAAGTTGTTACTGTTGAACGTGGTATTCATTAATGCAAGTATCGAAAGAGCTGATGATTTTTTGAAATATCTCAAAAATCAGAAATCTGTGACAATATATGAAAATTGCCGTAAAAATTATACTCGAAAGTCTTCTTTTTCTGCTGCTAATAAAAGACAACGTGAAGAACAAGAAGTCAGTACATCCACAGCAAGTCCTCCTCGTACTACATCAATTAAATATTTATCAGTGAATCAGCTTTTTGTTTCAAAGAACTATGCTTATTTTGTAGCGAGAAATTAAACGAAGAGAGTGAAAGAAGAAAATCCCCAGATTTTTGGTGTCGAATCAGCTGACTGTTATATACAGGGTGACTGGTGAATTACTATCGATATTTGAGGACGTGATATTTGACGATCATATATGACAAAATAAAAATTAATATAACATAAATATTAATAAACTTCTAAGTAAAGTTAACCAAAAGTTATGTAATCAATTACGCATCGTGTGAACACCCTACAGATTAGGTATACACACACACTCACACAGACGCGGCGGCGGCGTAGTGTTGTATCAGCACGCCGCCGCACGCGTCCACACTTGGAACGTGTCAACACTTTATTTATTTATACGGAAATTTGGTCAAAAATTAAGTACCTATTTTTTTTACATAATTCGAATGAGAATCATGTACCGAGTATTCTCCTTAAATATTGATAGTAATTCACCAGTCACCCTGTATATATTATAAAACTAGAAGACCCGGCGAACTTCGTATCGCTCTATAATCAAGAAATATCTGTTGCGTTTTTTATTTATATTTTTGGAGTTTACCTTTAAGCTATAAATCTCCATGTTTTGAAGTGCGACAAAATGATTGACATATTAGTTAGTTGTCAAATCTATTGAAAAAAAAACCGTTTGTATGGGAAATAGAAAAGGGCTGTTTGTAGGGTTTTCTCGGAAATGAATCAATTTTGTTCAGTTTTAAACCTCCACGAACATTTAAAGACTAAGATAAGATAAATCCGTTCAGCCGTTCTCGAGTTTTAGTGAGACTAAAGAACAGCAATTCATTTTTATATATAAAGATTAAAAAAAACATTGTCCAGCGGACAAAACTGTGAATCTAAACCATTCCCAGATCCCCTTGAACACACACAAATGTCCAGTCGTTTGAGAGAAGTTCAGTGACATACACACTCACAGAAAAATTATTTATATAAAGATATAACAACTCTAGATGTATATACGTGTCGTATTCATGCATATTATGACGATAACAACTTTTATAACTTTTTGAATCGCTATATCTCAGAAACGGTGGCTCGTAAGAAAAGAAGTATTGATACATTTTTCATAGATAATTTTATGATCTACAATTTTAGTCTGAGGTATTTTTCTGATAAAACTTACCGTTTTGCTTAAAATCGCGAAAAACTCATTTTTTTGACCTTTGACCTTGAATAAAAAAAATCCACAAACGGGAATAATGGGGAACTTTCATCTATTGTTTATAATCGTGTTTTGAACAATTGTACCAAAATTCAGCTTGTTGCGAATTTATGTAGCACCGAATGTCTAATTTGACCGGACTATGGTTGAGCACTTTCAATTGATACCCATATTGATGGGATTGGTAAAACATAAATTATCCGCCATTTTGTAGCGGCGGCCATCTTGAATTTATAATGATAATTAATATGTAAATACATATTTTTAATTTACGCGATTTTCGGTCTAGAATATGTTTTTTACATGGACTGTCATATATTATAGACTGTGAAAACCAACTTTTATTTTCCATATTTCAAAGTTAAGTCCATATTTTACAAGAAAATGTCACAATCATCCATATAATCACAAAAATACATAAAATTTACGTTCCCGCCACTAATGTTTTGTATAAAAAAAATAAAGGAGTTAATATGTACGCTAAAAAAATTAACAAAAATCTGTGGTAAAGTTTCGAGGGCTATAGACATGGCTTACATAATCACTGAATTAAGCATGTTTAAGTATGCATCAATCACGTCATGTGACTTGAGATGAGACCAATCAACAGATGTAATGCTATATGTCGACCAAATGGTCAGTTTTCATTATGATAATTTAAAGAAGCACGTCATTGTGTATTGCAACCAATTTGATAAGGCTAGTCTAATGGAAGTTGAATAAAACTGTTATTTTTTGTTGAAATAAATATTTCGCTACTTTTTTTCATCGTTTTTTAAATGTAACTTAACGATGTACGCTACGATTGACCCTTTTCTTAAAGTAAAGCAATGTTTAATAATGAAAGTATTTAATTTTATACTCCATATTTTTGATTTTTTCCTCCATATTTTATGTACATACATATTTTAGATTTTTTAATACATATTTATCCGGGCCCTAATGATAATGAATAAACATAATTGTATTGTCACCAAAATCCAAAGTGTATACAAAATTTCAGATTAATCGGTTGACAGGAAGACAGTGAAATTTGAATTACTAAATTTGACCCAAGAAAAAAGAATAAAACAAACAGGGTGAGCTAAATAAAACCGTTTAAAAATAAAAAGGGGGCGTTCAAAATATGACTCTTCCTGACATCTCTTGGCGAATAGTAACACTAATTTTTGCTATTTGCTTTAATGGCACAACAGCAGATGGCGTTGTTAAGTAACAGGAAGTCATTGAGTACATATTTGTTTTGAGGTTAGACTAAGAAATTAATTGCTAATTTATATTGTTTTGTGTCTTCTTAACGTGGTCACATAAAAATGTCTAAACGAAATAAAAAAAAACACAAAAATAAAAACTAATAATTCCTAAATATTTAGCTTTGCTTTATTATTAGTTATAACAGATTAATTAAACCAGATATTAGGACCGTAAATGAAACAAAATTTAAGCAATACATGTCTATTATATGACAAGTTATATACTTGTGTTGCTCATTAATTTCTACGTCTCCTAACGCGTGATATACGCCAAGCATTCGGTTCCTCATATTTATTATACAGAGGCTCCAATCGTTGATTTTTCTTGAATTTGGACAATTTTGTCGGGTCTGAGAACTTGAAGAATGCCGGGGCGAAATCGACGAGCCATTTGGGATCAATTGTAGTAACTTCTCTCATATATTCTTTTGTAGTTTGTACTAATTCATGGTAAATTACCCTGAAAATTAATAGGAATATTAATTACTGGTAATAAAATTGTAAGCATTTTTTGGAAGATAAATAATATACATACCATTCTGGTTGCCGATTAAACAGAGCGCTGGAGGGGTGAATATAGACAACCTGACTGTCAACTAGTGTTCTGTACCCTTCTTGCGGGTCTTTCTTAGCCGCATTCCTGAAGAACCCTGAACAAATAGTCTTCTGTATCCTCACCGTGTTCTTGCCTGCTGACACCACGTCCAACTTATGCCTGTAAAGAAACACCAAATTTTAAATCAATTATCAGTTTCTTGATATAGTCAAAATTCTAGTAACAAACATGTACCTATCCATAATTCCAAGCAGTTGTTTCCTAACGTCCTGCGCTCGTTTTAAAGTACGTATCTGGACAAAGTTTTCATAGCACCAGGCGTTTGAGAATTTATTATTTTTCCAGCTGTTGTAGACCGCCAACAATGTTAAATGGTCACCCTCCGCCTGGTTGAATTTAGCTTTCTTCTGATCGGCCAAGGCCTGCTTGTCTTTGGGTCGGTAGAATACATTTTGTACACTCAACATCGACACAATCGTCAGTATTTCGTCCGAGCACTGCAGAGCTACGGACATGATCAGAATCTTGGACAGATTCGGCTCCAACGGGAATTCCGCCATCTGTTGACAGAAAAATGAGTTACAAGTCAATAAATTACAAGATTTTTCCTGGATGCTATAACCACTCAAATATCATAAAATTACATTTATCAAATTTTAAATTATATCAAAAAATTCGTTCAGTATTAAATATCTTTATATATATAATTCTTCTATGAGTGTGTATGTCACTGAACTTCTCTCAAACGACTGGACCGATTTTGATGAAATTTTTGGTTTGTGTTCAAGGGGATCTGGGAATGGTTTAGATTCACAATTTTGTCCGCTGGACAATGTTTTTTTCATTAATTTTTAATTTATTAATAGTTGTTGATACAAACTTTTTTTTGACATTAGATTTGACAACTAACTAATATGTCAATCATTCTGTCGCACTTCAAAATACGGATATTTATGGCTTTAATAGGTAAACTCCAAAAATATACATAAAAAAACGTAACAGATACTTTTTGATAATAGAGCGATACGAAGTTCGCCGGGTTTTCTAGTATTTATATAATTTTGTGAGACATCCTAAAGGATGAAAACTTTAGAAACGGCTTATTATTCGTACTACCTGTATATATTATGTATGTATTCGTATATATTACGTATATTGGTTGTTAAGATGTATCAATATGTATACCCGTCTCCCTAGCCTGGTGAGTAGTCCCTCAGCGTCAAGAGCTGACAGTGAGTGCAGCTGTTCCAGCGCCATGATGAGCGACTCCACGGGCGGAGCGTCCATGAAGTCGAAGTGTAGCAGGTCGTTGATACCCATCGTCTTGAGTTGGAGCACCTGGAACGAATAGGATTTAATATATGGATACTTGAAGTGAAACTTCTATGAGACTTTAATTAAGGTTGCGTTTAAGGTTTAACGCTTCGATAGAGGGGGGGGATGAGATAGAGCGAGAGAAAATGCAACAAACAATTGTGACGTGTAAGTAAAGTTTGTCATAAAGAAACACAAAGAATTCCTTAAAAAACAATTTCTACGCTTTTCTGTTTTTTATTCCAACATTATAAAGTTTCATTTCCTCACCAGACGCACAATTTTTTTGGTTTTTTTTTTGGTATGACTTTTGTAACGAAGCTAAATTAAAGGTTGTGTAGTATCAGTAAAAATCTATTAATTATTCAATTTGGTAAAGAACGTTAAAATGTGGATGTAGCTGAATTTATATAAAATATTTCTCTGTTGTGAAATTAATTGCAAAATATCTCTCCTTCACACCCTGTTTCCCAAAAGGAGATAGTGATGTAGTTTTTAGTATAATAAATAATATTATACGTACTGTAGTAGCGAGATTAGTCCTTTGTATCTCCGGGACGGGTGTAGGCAGCATTTCATCCCGGTAGGCTCGCTCCGTGTACAGTCGGTAACACTTCCCCGGCCCGGTACGACCCGCACGACCGGCTCGCTGCTTTGCCGCCGCCTGTATACAAATAAAAACGGGATTCATTATTAGTATGAATAGATAAATCGAATTTTATAGTATTATTATCCACAAGCTTTTGCCCGCGACTTCGTCTGCGTGGAATAGTGACTTCCGCCAGATTTTTGGTTCTTCCCACATAGTGCCCGTTCTTGCGGGATTTTCGGAATGGTGGAGTTCCCGCAGAATTTTCAGGATAAAACCTATTTTTTTTTTTGGAGTTCCAAACTATATCTGTACAATTTTAAAAGTAAATTTAATTATTTTAAAGAACTTAAGAAATAATTACTCCCGTTTTTTACACATTTACCACTATATCTATGTTCCTATTGGTCGTAGCGTGATGTTATATAGCCTACAGCCTTCCTCGATAACTGGACTATCCAACATAAAAATAATTATTCAATTCGAACCAGTAGTTTTGGAGATTAGCGATTTCAAACAAACAAACTCTTCAGCTTTATAATATTAGTATAGATGAAAATGTGTCAAACTACTACTTTTTTAAATCGTGTTGACTTTGTGATACTTTATTCCATTGGTTATCTGGTCTTTAAGTTGGCAAAAAAGTTTCTTACTTATCATGTAAGAATTTTACTGTATTTCCGACGTGTGCCTTAGCAGTACAATAAAGTCAATGATTTCTTACCTGTGAGATCGGAGTGACGACTAAAGAGTCCATGCCAGTCTTTGAGTTATAAACCTTCTGTTTGACGAACCCTGGGTCCACTACATAGTAAATTCCATCTATAGTGAGCGAGGTCTCCGCTATGTTGGTAGCTATCACCACCTTCCTCGAGCCAGGAGGAGCTGGTTCGAAGATTCTGGTCTGCATTTCAGACGGGAGGGCGGAATAGACCGGAAGAATGATCAGCTCAGGAACATCCGGGCCCAGCGACTTCATCCTTTCATATAATATCTCGCAGGCGGTGTCGATTTCCTCCTGACCCGTCAAAAACAGCAGAATATCGCCAGGAGGTTCACGTAGATGTATTTGCATGACGGTTATTAATGAGGCGTCCAGGTAATCCGTTTCCGGTTCCTTTGTGTAGAGAACCTCAACGGGGAAGGTTCGTCCGGGTATCGTGAAGATGGGGGCCTCGAAGAAGTATTGCGAGAACTTCACGGCGTCTAGTGTAGCGGATGTCACGATGAGTTTGAGTTCGGGTCGCTTCTGGACCGCTTGCTTGAGGAGGCCGAACAGCACGTCCGTGTGTATGGTGCGCTCGTGGGCCTCGTCTAACATGATGACGGAGTAGCTCTTGAGGTCCAGGTCCATCAGACACTCGCGGAGCAACATGCCGTCCGTCATGTACCTGAACAAACACATTATATGTATTACATATAAAATAAACGAATATATTCGGATTTTTACTCCGCGTTTTTATTTTTGATCATGAACTACATACACCCGACGTTTTGTAAAAATCCGAAAATATTAGTTTCATTTAAATGAGTACTCGCGAAAATCTTAGATCTCATTATATTATATTATACTTGGATGGCAAAAACGGAAAATAAAAATATTTGGAGTGGTTATGGAAATGTTAACACAATATATATTTTTATGTACTTACCGAACATAAGATATATGAAAAAGGAAATAAAATTCTTTAAATTGGGTATTGAAATGTTATCAAAATATACTTTTTAAGTTTTTAACGAACATAAGATATACATTTGAATTCATAACAAGAAACGTTCACAAAAAACTTAAAAGGCAAAGTATATAAAAGTTAAAACCTTAGCCATAATAATAATAATAATTTATTTCAGACCATATTACATACATAGATCCATATAGTGTTATTTAGTACAAATTAAACTTAATAAATGAATTGGTTAGTAAAGCAAAAAAAAATTATTTATGATACTTTTTTTATATTTATTTATTAACAATTAAACCAATACTAACTTGATGACTGTATCAGGTCCGGTGCAATCTTCAAACCGTATAGTATACCCGACTTCTTGCCCCAGCCTGCAACCGAACTCCTCAGCAACCCTCTTAGCTACAGACATAGCAGCCACTCTTCTTGGCTGCGTGCAAGCGACTCGACCTCGGCCGGACACTCCACACTCACACACATACTGTGTTATCTGAGTCGTCTTCCCGGAACCAGTCTCTCCAATCACTATTAGGATCTGGTTGTCCGATATGGCCTGGAGATTTTGAATCACTATATAAGTATGAAACATTCAATAACGGTTACAAAGAATCACTATCAGGATCTGGTTGTCCGATATGGCCTGGAGATTTTGAATCACTATATAAGTATGAAACATTCAATAACGGCTACAAAGAATCACTATCAGGATCTGGTTGTCCGATATGGCCTGGAGATTTTGAATTACTATATAAGTATGAAACATATAATAACAGCTACAAAGAATCACTATCAGGATCTGGTTGTCCGATATGGCCTGGAGATTTTGAATCACTATATAAGTATGAAACATTCAATAACGGCTACAAAGAATCACTATCAGGATCTGGTTGTCCGATATGGCCTGGAGATTTTGAATCACTATATAAGTATGAAACATATAATAACAGCTACAAAGAATCACTATCAGGATCTGGTTGTCCGATATGGCCTGGAGATTTTGAATTACTATATAAGTATGAAACATTCAATAACAGATACAAAGAATCACTATCAGGATCTGGTTGTCCGATATGGCCTGGAGATTTTGAATTACTATATAAGTATGAAACATATAATAACAGCTACAAAGAATCACTATCAGGATCTGGTTGTCCGATATGGCCTGGAGATTTTGAATTACTATATAAGTATGAAACATTCAATAACGGCTACAAAGAATCACTATCAGGATCTGGTTGTCCGATATGGCCTGGAGATTTTGAATTACTACATAAGTATGAAACATTCAATAACGGCTACAAAGAATCACTATCAGGATCTGGTTGTCCGATATGGCCTGGAGATTTTGAATTACTATATAAGTATGAAACATATAATAACAGCTACAAAGAATCACTATCAGGATCTGGTTGTCCGATATGGCCTGGAGATTTTGAATTACTATATAAGTATGAAACATATAATAACAGCTACAAAGAATCACTATCAGGATCTGGTTGTCCGATATGGCCTGGAGATTTTGAATTACTATATAAGTATGAAACATTCAATAACGGCTACAAAGAATCACTATCAGGATCTGGTTGTCCGATATGGCCTGGAGATTTTGAATTACTATATAAGTATGAAACATTCAATAACGGCTACAAAGAATCACTATCAGGATCTTGTTGTCCGATATGGCCTGGAGATTTTGAATTACTATATAAGTATGAAACATATAATAACAGCTACAAAGAATCACTATCAGGATCTGGTTGTCCGATATGGCCTGGAGATTTTGAATTACTATATAAGTATGAAACATATAATAACAGCTACAAAGAATCACTATCAGGATCTGGTTGTCCGATATGGCCTGGAGATTTTGAATTACTATATAAGTATGAAACATTCAATAACGGCTACAAAGAATCACTATCAGGATCTGGTTGTCCGATATGGCCTGGAGATTTTGAATTACTACATAAGTATGAAACATTCAATAACGGCTACAAAGAATCACTATCAGGATCTGGTTGTCCGATATGGCCTGGAGATTTTGAATTACTATACAGGGTGACTGGTGAATTAGTATCAATATTTAAGGAGCATACTCGGTACATGATTCTCATTCGAATTAAGTAAAAAAAATAGGTACTTAATTTTTGACCAAATTTCCGTATAAATAAATAAAGTGTGTACACGTTCCAAGTGTTCCAAGTGTGGACGCGTGCGGCTGCGTGCTGATACAACAACACGCCGCCGCCGTGTCTGTGTGAGTGTGTGTGTATACCTAATCTGTAGGGTGTTCATACGATGCGTAATTAATTACATAACTTTTGGTTAACTTTACTCAGAAGTTTATTAATATTTATGTTATATTAATTTTTATTTTGTCATATATGATCGTCAAATATCACGTCCTCAAATATCGATAGTAATTCACCAGTCACCCTGTATAAGTATGAAACATATAATAACAGCTACAAAGAATCACTATCAGGATCTGGTTGTCCGATATGGCCTGGAGATTTTGAATTACTATATAAGTATGAAACATATAATAACAGCTACAAAGAATCACTATCAGGATCTGGTTGTCCGATATGGCCTGGAGATTTTGAATTACTATATAAGTATGAAACATTCAATAACGGCTACAAAGAATCACTATCAGGATCTGGTTGTCCGATATGGCCTGGAGATTTTGAATTACTATATAAGTATGAAACATTCAATAACGGCTACAAAGAATCACTATCAGGATCTGGTTGTCCGATATGGCCTGGAGATTTTGAATTACTATATAAGTATGAAACATATAATAACAGCTACAAAGAATCACTATCAGGATCTGGTTGTCCGATATGGCCTGGAGATTTTGAATTACTATATAAGTATGAAACATATAATAACAGCTACAAAGAATCACTATCAGGATCTGGTTGTCCGATATGGCCTGGAGATTTTGAATTACTATATAAGTATGAAACATATAATAACAGCTACAAAGAATCACTATCAGGATCTGGTTGTCCGATATGGCCTGGAGATTTTGAATTACTATATAAGTATGAAACATATAATAACAGCTACAAAGAATCACTATCAGGGTCTGGTTGTCCGATATGGCCTGGAGATTTTGAATTACTATATAAGTATGAAACATATAATAACAGCTACAAAGAATCACTATCAGGATCTGGTTGTCCGATATGGCCTGGAGATTTTGAATTACTATATAAGTATGAAACATTCAATAACGGCTACAAAGAATCACTATCAGGATCTGGTTGTCCGATATGGCCTGGAGATTTTGAATTACTATATAAGTATGAAACATATAATAACAGCTACAAAGAATCACTATCAGGATCTGGTTGTCCGATATGGCCTGGAGATTTTGAATTACTATATAAGTATGAAACATATAATAACAGCTACAAAGAATCACTATCAGGATCTGGTTGTCCGATATGGCCTGGAGATTTTGAATTACTATATAAGTATGAAACATTCAATAACGGCTACAAAGAATCACTATCAGGATCTGGTTGTCCGATATGGCCTGGAGATTTTGAATTACTATATAAGTATGAAACATATAATAACAGCTACAAAGAATCACTATCAGGATCTGGTTGTCCGATATGGCCTGGAGATTTTGAATTACTATATAAGTATGAAACATATAATAACAGCTACAAAGAATCACTATCAGGATCTGGTTGTCCGATATGGCCTGGAGATTTTGAATTACTATATAAGTATGAAACATATAATAACAGCTACAAAGAATCACTATCAGGATCTGGTTGTCCGATATGGCCTGGAGATTTTGAATTACTATATAAGTATGAAACATTCAATAACGGCTACAAAGAATCACTGTCAGGATCTGGTTGTCCGATATGGCCTGGAGATTTTGAATTACTATATAAGTATGAAACATATAATAACAGCTACAAAGAATCACTATCAGGATCTGGTTGTCCGATATGGCCTGGAGATTTTGAATTACTATATAAGTATGAAACATTCAATAACAGCTACAAAGAATCACTATCAGGATCTGGTTGTCCGATATGGCCTGGAGATTTTGAATTACTATATAAGTATGAAACATTCAATAACGGCTACAAAGAATCATTATCAGGATCTGGTTGTCCGATATGGCCTGGAGATTTTGAATTACTATATAAGTATGAAACATTCAATAACGGCTACAAAGAATCACTATCAGGATCTGGTTGTCCGATATGGCCTGGAGATTTTGAATTACTATATAAGTATGAAACATTCAATAACGGCTACAAAGAATCACTATCAGGATCTGGTTGTCCGATATGGCCTGGAGATTTTGAATTACTATATAAGTATGAAACATATAATAACAGCTACAAAGAATCACTATCAGGATCTGGTTGTCCGATATGGCCTGGAGATTTTGAATTACTATATAAGTATGAAACATATAATAACAGCTACAAAGAATCACTATCAGGATCTGGTTGTCCGATATGGCCTGGAGATTTTGAATTACTATATAAGTATGAAACATTCAATAACAGCTACAAAGAATCACTATCAGGATCTGGTTGTCCGATATGGCCTGGAGATTTTGAATTACTATATAAGTATGAAACATTCAATAACGGCTACAAAGAATCACTATCAGGATCTGGTTGTCCGATATGGCCTGGAGATTTTGAATTACTATATAAGTATGAAACATTCAATAACGGCTACAAAGAATCACTATCAGGATCTGGTTGTCCGATATGGCCTGGAGATTTTGAATTACTATATAAGTATGAAACATATAATAACAGCTACAAAGAATCACTATCAGGATCTGGTTGTCCGATATGGCCTGGAGATTTTGAATTACTATATAAGTATGAAACATTCAATAACAGCTACAAAGAATCACTATCAGGATCTGGTTGTCCGATATGGCCTGGAGATTTTGAATTACTATATAAGTATGAAACATTCAATAACGGCTACAAAGAATCACTATCAGGATCTGGTTGTCCGATATGGCCTGGAGATTTTGAATTACTATATAAGTATGAAACATATAATAACAGCTACAAAGAATCACTATCAGGATCTGGTTGTCCGATATGGCCTGGAGATTTTGAATTACTATATAAGTATGAAACATTCAATAACGGCTACAAAGAATCACTATCAGGATCTGGTTGTCCGATATGGCCTGGAGATTTTGAATTACTATATAAGTATGAAACATTCAATAACGGCTACAAAGAATCACTATCAGGATCTGGTTGTCCGATATGGCCTGGAGATTTTGAATTACTATATAAGTATGAAACATTCAATAACGGCTACAAAGAATCACTATCAGGATCTGGTTGTCCGATATGGCCTGGAGATTTTGAATTACTATATAAGTATGAAACATATAATAACAGCTACAAAGAATCACTATCAGGATCTGGTTGTCCGATATGGCCTGGAGATTTTGAATTACTATATAAGTATGAAACATATAATAACAGCTACAAAGAATCACTATCAGGATCTGGTTGTCCGATATGGCCTGGAGATTTTGAATTACTATATAAGTATGAAACATTCAATAACAGCTACAAAGAATCACTATCAGGATCTGGTTGTCCGATATGGCCTGGAGATTTTGAATTACTATATAAGTATGAAACATTCAATAACGGCTACAAAGAATCACTATCAGGATCTGGTTGTCCGATATGGCCTGGAGATTTTGAATTACTATATAAGTATGAAACATTCAATAACGGCTACAAAGAATCACTATCAGGATCTGGTTGTCCGATATGGCCTGGAGATTTTGAATTACTATATAAGTATGAAACATTCAATAACGGCTACAAAGAATCACTATCAGGATCTGGTTGTCCGATATGGCCTGGAGATTTTGAATTACTATATAAGTATGAAACATATAATAACAGCTACAAAGAATCACTATCAGGATCTGGTTGTCCGATATGGCCTGGAGATTTTGAATTACTATATAAGTATGAAACATTCAATAACGGCTACAAAGAATCACTATCAGGATCTGGTTGTCCGATATGGCCTGGAGATTTTGAATTACTATATAAGTATGAAACATATAATAACAGCTACAAAGAATCACTATCAGGATCTGGTTGTCCGATATGGCCTGGAGATTTTGAATTACTATATAAGTATGAAACATATAATAACAGCTACAAAGAATCACTATCAGGATCTGGTTGTCCGATATGGCCTGGAGATTTTGAATTACTATATAAGTATGAAACATTCAATAACGGCTACAAAGAATCACTATCAGGATCTGGTTGTCCGATATGGCCTGGAGATTTTGAATTACTATATAAGTATGAAACATATAATAACAGCTACAAAGAATCACTATCAGGATCTGGTTGTCCGATATGGCCTGGAGATTTTGAATTACTATATAAGTATGAAACATATAATAACAGCTACAAAGAATCACTATCAGGATCTGGTTGTCCGATATGGCCTGGAGATTTTGAATTACTATATAAGTATGAAACATTCAATAACGGCTACAAAGAATCACTATCAGGATCTGGTTGTCCGATATGGCCTGGAGATTTTGAATTACTATATAAGTATGAAACATTCAATAACGGCTACAAAGAATCACTATCAGGATCTGGTTGTCCGATATGGCCTGGAGATTTTGAATTACTATATAAGTATGAAACATATAATAACAGCTACAAAGAATCACTATCAGGATCTGGTTGTCCGATATGGCCTGGAGATTTTGAATTACTATATAAGTATGAAACATATAATAACAGCTACAAAGAATCACTATCAGGATCTGGTTGTCCGATATGGCCTGGAGATTTTGAATTACTATATAAGTATGAAACATTCAATAACGGCTACAAAGAATCACTATCAGGATCTGGTTGTCCGATATGGCCTGGAGATTTTGAATTACTATATAAGTATGAAACATTCAATAACGGCTACAAAGAATCACTATCAGGATCTGGTTGTCCGATATGGCCTGGAGATTTTGAATTACTATATAAGTATGAAACATTCAATAACGGCTACAAAGAATCACTATCAGGATCTGGTTGTCCGATATGGCCTGGAGATTTTGAATTACTATATAAGTATGAAACATTCAATAACGGCTACAAAGAATCACTATCAGGATCTGGTTGTCCGATATGGCCTGGAGATTTTGAATTACTATATAAGTATGAAACATTCAATAACGGCTACAAAGAATCACTATCAGGATCTGGTTGTCCGATATGGCCTGGAGATTTTGAATTACTATATAAGTATGAAACATTCAATAACGGCTACAAAGAATCACTATCAGGATCTGGTTGTCCGATATGGCCTGGAGATTTTGAATTACTATATAAGTATGAAACATTCAATAACGGCTACAAAGAATCACTATCAGGATCTGGTTGTCCGATATGGCCTGGAGATTTTGAATTACTATATAAGTATGAAACATATAATAACGGCTACAAAGAATCACTATCAGGATCTGGTTGTCCGATATGGCCTGGAGATTTTGAATTACTATATAAGTATGAAACATATAATAACGGCTACAAAGAATCACTATCAGGATCTGGTTGTCCGATATGGCCTGGAGATTTTGAATTACTATATAAGTATGAAACATTCAATAACGGCTACAAAGAATCACTATCAGGATCTGGTTGTCCGATATGGCCTGGAGATTTTGAATTACTATATAAGTATGAAACATATAATAACAGCTACAAAGAATCACTATCAGGATCTGGTTGTCCGATATGGCCTGGAGATTTTGAATTACTATATAAGTATGAAACATTCAATAACGGCTACAAAGAATCACTATCAGGATCTGGTTGTCCGATATGGCCTGGAGATTTTGAATTACTATATAAGTATGAAACATATAATAACAGCTACAAAGAATCACTATCAGGATCTGGTTGTCCGATATGGCCTGGAGATTTTGAATTACTATATAAGTATGAAACATATAATAACAGCTACAAAGAATCACTATCAGGATCTGGTTGTCCGATATGGCCTGGAGATTTTGAATTACTATATAAGTATGAAACATATAATAACAGCTACAAAGAATCACTATCAGGATCTGGTTGTCCGATATGGCCTGGAGATTTTGAATTACTATATAAGTATGAAACATTCAATAACGGCTACAAAGAATCACTATCAGGATCTGGTTGTCCGATATGGCCTGGAGATTTTGAATTACTATATAAGTATGAAACATATAATAAGAGCTACAAAGAATCACTATTAGGATCTGGTTGTCCGATATGGCCTGGAGATTTTGAATTACTATATAAGTATGAAACATATAATAACAGCTACAAAGAATCACTATCAGGATCTGGTTGTCCGATATGGCCTGGAGATTTTGAATTACTATATAAGTATGAAAACATATAATAACAGCTACAAAGAATCACTATCAGGATCTGGTTGTCCGATATGGCCTGGAGATTTTGAATTACTATATAAGTATGAAACATTCAATAACGGCTACAAAGAATCACTATCAGGATCTGGTTTTCCGATATGGCCTGGAGATTTTGAATTACTATATAAGTATGAAACATATAATAACAGCTACAAAGAATCACTATCAGGATCTGGTTGTCCGATATGGCCTGGAGATTTTGAATTACTATATAAGTATGAAACATATAATAACAGCTACAAAGAATCACTATCAGGATCTGGTTGTCCGATATGGCCTGGAGATTTTGAATTACTATATAAGTATGAAACATTCAATAGCGGCTACAAAGACTCACTATCAGGATCTGGTTGTCCGATATGGCCTGGAGATTTTGAATTACTATATAAGTATGAAACATATAATAACAGCTACAAAGAATCACTATCAGGATCTGGTTGTCCGATATGGCCTGGAGATTTTGAATTACTATATAAGTATGAAACATTCAATAACGGCTACAAAGAATCACTATCAGGATCTGGTTGTCCGATATGGCCTGGAGATTTTGAATTACTATATAAGTATGAAACATTCAATAACGGCTACAAAGAATCACTATCAGGATCTGGTTGTCCGATATGGCCTGGAGATTTTGAATTACTATATAAGTATGAAACATATAATAACAGCTACAAAGAATCACTATCAGGATCTGGTTGTCCGATATGGCCTGGAGATTTTGAATTACTATATAAGTATGAAACATTCAATAACGGCTACAAAGAATCACTATCAGGATCTGGTTGTCCGATATGGCCTGGAGATTTTGAATTACTATATAAGTATGAAACATTCAATAACGGCTACAAAGAATCACTATCAGGATCTGGTTGTCTGATATGGCCTGGAGATTTTGAATTACTATATAAGTATGAAACATATAATAACAGCTACAAAGAATCACTATCAGGATCTGGTTGTCCGATATGGCCTGGAGATTTTGAATTACTATATAAGTATGAAACATTCAATAACGGCTACAAAGAATCACTATCAGGATCTGGTTGTCCGATATGGCCTGGAGATTTTGAATTACTATATAAGTATGAAACATTCAATAACGGCTACAAAGAATCACTATCAGGATCTGGTTGTCCGATATGGCCTGGAGATTTTGAATTACTATATAAGTATGAAACATATAATAACAGCTACAAAGAATCACTATCAGGATCTGGTTGTCCGATATGGCCTCGAGATTTTGAATTACTACATAAGTATGAAACATATAATAACAGCTACAAAGAATCACTATCAGGATCTGGTTGTCCGATATGGCCTGGAGATTTTGAATTACTATATAAGTATGAAACATATAATAACAGCTACAAAGAATCACTATCAGGATCTGGTTGTCCGATATGGCCTGGAGATTTTGAATTACTATATAAGTATGAAACATATAATAACAGCTACAAAGAATCACTATCAGGATCTGGTTGTCCGATATGGCATGGAGATTTTGAATTACTATATAAGTATGAAACATTCAATAACGGCTACAAAGAATCACTATCAGGATCTGGTTGTCCGATATGGCCTGGAGATTTTGAATTACTATATAAGTATGAAACATTCAATAACGGCTACAAAGAATCACTATCAGGATCTGGTTGTCCGATATGGCCTGGAGATTTTGAATTACTATATAAGTATGAAACATTCAATAACGGCTACAAAGAATCACTATCAGGATCTGGTTGTCCGATATGGCCTGGAGATTTTGAATTACTATATAAGTATGAAACATTCAATAACGGCTACAAAGAATCACTATCAGGATCTGGTTGTCCGATATGGCCTGGAGATTTTGAATTACTATATAAGTATGAAACATTCAATAACGGCTACAAAGAATCACTATCAGGATCTGGTTGTCCGATATGGCCTGGAGATTTTGAATTACTATATAAGTATGAAACATATAATAACAGCTACAAAGAATCACTATCAGGATCTGGTTGTCCGATATGGCCTGGAGATTTTGAATTACTATATAAGTATGAAACATATAATAACAGCTACAAAGAATCACTATCATGATCTGGTTGTCCGATATGGCCTGGAGATTTTGAATTACTATATAAGTATGAAACATATAATAACAGCTACAAAGAATCACTATCAGGATCTGGTTGTCCGATATGGCCTCGAGATTTTGAATTACTACATAAGTATGAAATATATAATAACAGCTACAAAGAATCACTATCAGGATCTGGTTGTCCGATATGGCCTGGAGATTTTGAATTACTATATAAGTATGAAACATATAATAACAGCTACAAAGAATCACTATCAGGATCTGGTTGTCCGATATGGCATGGAGATTTTGAATTACTATATAAGTATGAAACATTCAATAACGGCTACAAAGAATCACTATCAGGATCTGGTTGTCCGATATGGCCTGGAGATTTTGAATTACTATATAAGTATGAAACATTCAATAACGGCTACAAAGAATCACTATCAGGATCTGGTTGTCCGATATGGCCTGGAGATTTTGAATTACTATATAAGTATGAAACATATAATAACAGCTACAAAGAATCACTATCAGGATCTGGTTGTCCGATATGGCCTGGAGATTTTGAATTACTATATAAGTATGAAACATTCAATAACGGCTACAAAGAATCACTATCAGGATCTGGTTGTCCGATATGGCCTGGAGATTTTGAATTACTATATAAGTATGAAACATTCAATAACGGCTACAAAGAATCACTATCAGGATCTGGTTGTCCGATATGGCCTGGAGATTTTGAATTACTATATAAGTATGAAACATTCAATAACGGCTACAAAGAATCACTATCAGGATCTGGTTGTCCGATATGGCCTGGAGATTTTGAATTACTATATAAGTATGAAACATTCAATAACGGCTACAAAGAATCACTATCAGGATCTGGTTGTCCGATATGGCCTGGAGATTTTGAATTACTATATAAGTATGAAACATTCAATAACGGCTACAAAGAATCACTATCAGGATCTGGTTGTCCGATATGGCCTGGAGATTTTGAATTACTATATAAGTATGAAACATTCAATAACGGCTACAAAGAATCACTATCAGGATCTGGTTGTCCGATATGGCCTGGAGATTTTGAATTACTATATAAGTATGAAACATTCAATAACGGCTACAAAGAATCACTATCAGGATCTGGTTGTCCGATATGGCCTGGAGATTTTGAATTACTATATAAGTATGAAACATATAATAACAGCTACAAAGAATCACTATCATGATCTGGTTGTCCGATATGGCCTGGAGATTTTGAATTACTATATAAGTATGAAACATTCAATAACGGCTACAAAGAATCACTATCAGGATCTGGTTGTCCGATATGGCCTGGAGATTTTGAATTACTATATAAGTATGAAAAATTCAATAACGGCTACAAAGAATCACAATCAAGATCTGGTTGTCCGATATGGCCTGGAGATTTTGAATTACTATATAAGTATGAAACATATAATAACAGCTACAAAGAATCACTATCAGGATCTGGTTGTCCGATATGGCCTGGAGATTTTGAATTACTATATAAGTATGAAACATTCAATAACGGCTACAAAGAATCACTATCAGGATCTGGTTGTCCGATATGGCCTGGAGATTTTGAATTACTATATAAGTATGAAACATTCAATAACGGCTACAAAGAATCACTATCAGGATCTGGTTGTACGATATGGCCTGGAGATTTTGAATTACTATATAAGTATGAAACATTCAATAACGGCTACAAAGAATCACTATCAGGATCTGGTTGTCCGATATGGCCTGGAGATTTTGAATTACTATATAAGTATGAAACATATAATAACAGCTACAAAGAATCACTATCAGGATCTGGTTGTACGATATGGCCTGGAGATTTTGAATTACTATATAAGTATGAAACATTCAATAACGGCTACAAAGAATCACTATCAGGATCTGGTTGTCCGATATGGCCTGGAGATTTTGAATTACTATATAAGTATGAAACATTCAATAACGGCTACAAAGAATCACTATCAGGATCTGGTTGTCCGATATGGCCTGGAGATTTTGAATTACTATATAAGTATGAAACATTCAATAACGGCTACAAAGAATCACTATCAGGATCTGGTTGTCCGATATGGCCTGGAGATTTTGAATTACTATATAAGTATGAAACATATAATAACAGCTACAAAGAATCACTATCAGGATCTGGTTGTCCGATATGGCCTGGAGATTTTGAATTACTATATAAGTATGAAACATATAATAACAGCTACAAAGAATCACTATCAGGATCTGGTTGTCCGATATGGCCTGGAGATTTTGAATTACTATATAAGTATGAAACATTCAATAACGGCTACAAAGAATCACTATCAGGATCTGGTTGTCCGATATGGCCTGGAGATTTTGAATTACTATATAAGTATGAAACATATAAAAACAGCTACAAAGAATCACTATCAGGATCTGGTTGTCCGATATGGCCTGGAGATTTTGAATTACTATATAAGTATGAAACATATAATAACAGCTACAAAGAATCACTATCAGGATCTGGTTGTCCGATATGGCCTGGAGATTTTGAATTACTATATAAGTATGAAACATTCAATAACGGCTACAAAGAATCACTATCAGGATCTGGTTGTCCGATATGGCCTGGAGATTTTGAATTACTATATAAGTATGAAACATATAATAACAGCTACAAAGAATCACTATCAGGATCTGGTTGTCCGATATGGCCTGGAGATTTTGAATTACTATATAAGTATGAAACATTCAATAACGGCAACAAAGAATCACTATCAGGATCTGGTTGTCCGATATGGCCTGGAGATTTTGAATTACTATATAAGTATGAAAACATATAATAACAGCTACAAAGAATCACTATCAGGATCTGGTTGTCCGATATGGCCTGGAGATTTTGAATTACTATATAAGTATGAAACATATAATAACAGCTACAAAGAATCACTATCAGGATCTGGTTGTCCGATATGGCCTGGAGATTTTGAATTACTATATAAGTATGAAACATATAATAACAGCTACAAAGAATCACTATCAGGATCTGGTTGTCCGATATGGCCTGGAGATTTTGAATTACTATATAAGTATGAAACATATAATAACAGCTACAAAGAATCACTATCAGGATCTGGTTGTCCGATATGGCCTGGAGATTTTGAATTACTATATAAGTATGAAACATATAATAACAGCTACAAAGAATCACTATCAGGATCTGGTTGTCCGATATGGCCTGGAGATTTTGAATTACTATATAAGTATGAAACATATAATAACAGCTACAAAGAATCACTATCAGGATCTGGTTGTCCGATATGGCCTGGAGATTTTGAATTACTATATAAGTATGAAACATATAATAACAGCTACAAAGAATCACTATCAGGATCTGGTTGTCCGATATGGCCTGGAGATTTTGAATTACTATATAAGTATGAAACATTCAATAACGGCTACAAAGAATCACTATCAGGATCTGGTTGTCCGATATGGCCTGGAGATTTTGAATTACTATATAAGTATGAAACATATAATAACAGCTACAAAGAATCACTATCAGGATCTGGTTGTCCGATATGGCCTGGAGATTTTGAATTACTATATAAGTATGAAACATTCAATAACGGCTACAAAGAATCACTATCAGGATCTGGTTGTCCGATATGGCCTGGAGATTTTGAATTACTATATAAGTATGAAACATTCAATAACGGCTACAAAGAATCACTATCAGGATCTGGTTGTCCGATATGGCCTGGAGATTTTGAATTACTATATAAGTATGAAACATTCAATAACGGCTACAAAGAATCACTATCAGGATCTGGTTGTCCGATATGGCCTGGAGATTTTGAATTACTATATAAGTATGAAACATTCAATAACGGCTACAAAGAATCACTATCAGGATCTGGTTGTCCGATATGGCCTGGAGATTTTGAATTACTATATAAGTATGAAACATATAATAACAGCTACAAAGAATCACTATCAGGATCTGGTTGTCCGATATGGCCTGGAGATTTTGAATTACTATATAAGTATGAAACATTCAATAACGGCTACAAAGAATCACTATCAGGATCTGGTTGTCCGATATGGCCTGGAGATTTTGAATTACTATATAAGTATGAAACATATAATAACAGCTACAAAGAATCACTATCAGGATCTGGTTGTCCGATATGGCCTGGAGATTTTGAATTACTATATAAGTATGAAACATATAATAACAGCTACAAAGAATCACTATCAGGATCTGGTTGTCCGATATGGCCTGGAGATTTTGAATTACTATATAAGTATGAAACATATAATAACAGCTACAAAGAATCACTATCAGGATCTGGTTGTCCGATATGGCCTGGAGATTTTGAATTACTATATAAGTATGAAACATTCAATAACGGCTACAAAGAATCACTATCAGGATCTGGTTGTCCGATATGGCCTGGAGATTTTGAATTACTATATAAGTATAAAACATATAATAACAGCTACAAAGAATCACTATCAGGATCTGGTTGTCCGATATGGCCTGGAGATTTTGAATTACTATATAAGTATGAAACATTCAATAGCGGCTACAAAGACTCACTATCAGGATCTGGTTGTCCGATATGGCCTGGAGATTTTGAATTACTATATAAGTATGAAACATATAATAACAGCTACAAAGAATCACTATCAGGATCTGGTTGTCCGATATGGCCTGGAGATTTTGAATTACTATATAAGTATGAAACATTCAATAACGGCTACAAAGAATCACTATCAGGATCTGGTTGTCCGATATGGCCTGGAGATTTTGAATTACTATATAAGTATGAAACATTCAATAACGGCTACAAAGAATCACTATCAGGATCTGGTTGTCCGATATGGCCTGGAGATTTTGAATTACTATATAAGTATGAAACATATAATAACAGCTACAAAGAATCACTATCAGGATCTGGTTGTCCGATATGGCCTGGAGATTTTGAATTACTATATAAGTATGAAACATTCAATAACGGCTACAAAGAATCACTATCAGGATCTGGTTGTCCGATATGGCCTGGAGATTTTGAATTACTATATAAGTATGAAACATTCAATAACGGCTACAAAGAATCACTATCAGGATCTGGTTGTCTGATATGGCCTGGAGATTTTGAATTACTATATAAGTATGAAACATATAATAACAGCTACAAAGAATCACTATCAGGATCTGGTTGTCCGATATGGCCTGGAGATTTTGAATTACTATATAAGTATGAAACATTCAATAACGGCTACAAAGAATCACTATCAGGATCTGGTTGTCCGATATGGCCTGGAGATTTTGAATTACTATATAAGTATGAAACATTCAATAACGGCTACAAAGAATCACTATCAGGATCTGGTTGTCCGATATGGCCTGGAGATTTTGAATTACTATATAAGTATGAAACATATAATAACAGCTACAAAGAATCACTATCAGGATCTGGTTGTCCGATATGGCCTCGAGATTTTGAATTACTACATAAGTATGAAACATATAATAACAGCTACAAAGAATCACTATCAGGATCTGGTTGTCCGATATGGCCTGGAGATTTTGAATTACTATATAAGTATGAAACATATAATAACAGCTACAAAGAATCACTATCAGGATCTGGTTGTCCGATATGGCCTGGAGATTTTGAATTACTATATAAGTATGAAACATATAATAACAGCTACAAAGAATCACTATCAGGATCTGGTTGTCCGATATGGCATGGAGATTTTGAATTACTATATAAGTATGAAACATTCAATAACGGCTACAAAGAATCACTATCAGGATCTGGTTGTCCGATATGGCCTGGAGATTTTGAATTACTATATAAGTATGAAACATTCAATAACGGCTACAAAGAATCACTATCAGGATCTGGTTGTCCGATATGGCCTGGAGATTTTGAATTACTATATAAGTATGAAACATTCAATAACGGCTACAAAGAATCACTATCAGGATCTGGTTGTCCGATATGGCCTGGAGATTTTGAATTACTATATAAGTATGAAACATTCAATAACGGCTACAAAGAATCACTATCAGGATCTGGTTGTCCGATATGGCCTGGAGATTTTGAATTACTATATAAGTATGAAACATTCAATAACGGCTACAAAGAATCACTATCAGGATCTGGTTGTCCGATATGGCCTGGAGATTTTGAATTACTATATAAGTATGAAACATATAATAACAGCTACAAAGAATCACTATCAGGATCTGGTTGTCCGATATGGCCTGGAGATTTTGAATTACTATATAAGTATGAAACATATAATAACAGCTACAAAGAATCACTATCATGATCTGGTTGTCCGATATGGCCTGGAGATTTTGAATTACTATATAAGTATGAAACATATAATAACAGCTACAAAGAATCACTATCAGGATCTGGTTGTCCGATATGGCCTCGAGATTTTGAATTACTACATAAGTATGAAATATATAATAACAGCTACAAAGAATCACTATCAGGATCTGGTTGTCCGATATGGCCTGGAGATTTTGAATTACTATATAAGTATGAAACATATAATAACAGCTACAAAGAATCACTATCAGGATCTGGTTGTCCGATATGGCCTGGAGATTTTGAATTACTATATAAGTATGAAACATTCAATAACGGCTACAAAGAATCACTATCAGGATCTGGTTGTCTGATATGGCCTGGAGATTTTGAATTACTATATAAGTATGAAACATATAATAACAGCTACAAAGAATCACTATCAGGATCTGGTTGTCCGATATGGCCTGGAGATTTTGAATTACTATATAAGTATGAAACATTCAATAACGGCTACAAAGAATCACTATCAGGATCTGGTTGTCCGATATGGCCTGGAGATTTTGAATTACTATATAAGTATGAAACATATAATAACAGCTACAAAGAATCACTATCAGGATCTGGTTGTCCGATATGGCCTGGAGATTTTGAATTACTATATAAGTATGAAACATTCAATAACGGCTACAAAGAATCACTATCAGGATCTGGTTGTCCGATATGGCCTGGAGATTTTGAATTACTATATAAGTATGAAACATTCAATAACGGCTACAAAGAATCACTATCAGGATCTGGTTGTCCAATATGGCCTGGAGATTTTGAATCACTATATAAGTATGAAACATATAATAACAGCTACAAAGAATCACTATCAGGATCTGGTTGTCCGATATGGCCTGGAGATTTTGAATTACTATATAAGTATGAAACATTCAATAACGGCTACAAAGAATCACTATCAGGATCTGGTTGTCCAATATGGCCTGGAGATTTTGAGTTACTATATAAGTATGAAACATATAATAACAGCTACAAAGAATCACTATCAGGATCTGGTTGTCCGCTATGGCCTGGAGATTTTGAATTACTATATAAGTATGAAACATATAATAACAGCTACAAAGAATCACTATCAGGATCTGGTTGTCCGATATGGCCTGGAGATTTTGAATTACTATATAAGTATGAAACATATAATAACAGCTACAAAGAATCACTATCAGGATCTGGTTGTCCGATATGGCCTGGAGATTTTGAATTACTATATAAGTATGAAACATTCAATAACGGCTACAAAGAATCACTATCAGGATCTGGTTGTCCGATATGGCCTGGAGATTTTGAATTACTATATAAGTATGAAACATATAATAACAGCTACAAAGAATCACTATCAGGATCTGGTTGTCCGATATGGCCTGGAGATTTTGAATTACTATATAAGTATGAAACATATAATAACAGCTACAAAGAATCACTATCAGGATCTGGTTGTCCGATATAGCCTGGAGATTTTGAATTACTATATAAGTATGAAACATTCAATAACGGCAACAAAGAATCACTATCAGGATCTGGTTGTCCAATATGGCCTGGAGATTTTGAATTACTATATAAGTATGAAACATTCAATAACGGCTACAAAGAATCACTATCAGGATCTGGTTGTCCGATATGGCCTGGAGATTTTGAATTACTATATAAGTATGAAACATTCAATAACGGCTACAAAGAATCACTATCAGGATCTGGTTGTCCGATATGGCCTGGAGATTTTGAATTACTATATAAGTATGAAAAATTCAATGACGGCTACAAAGAATCACTATCAAGATCTGGTTGTCCGATATGGCCTGGAGATTTTGAATTACTATATAAGTATGAAACATATAATAACAGCTACAAAGAATCACTATCAGGATCTGGTTGTCCGATATGGCCTGGAGATTTTGAATTACTATATAAGTATGAAACATATAATAACAGCTACAAAGAATCACTATCAGGATCTGGTTGTCCGATATGGCCTGGAGATTTTGAATTACTATATAAGTATGAAACATATAATAACAGCTACAAAGAATCACTATCAGGATCTGGTTGTCCGATATGGCCTGGAGATTTTGAATTACTATATAAGTATGAAACATTCAATAACGGCAACAAAGAATCACTATCAGGATCTGGTTGTCCGATATGGCCTGGAGATTTTGAATTACTATATAAGTATGAAACATATAATAACAGCTACAAAGAATCACTATCAGGATCTGGTTGTCCGATATGGCCTGGAGATTTTGAATTACTATATAAGTATGAAACATATAATAACAGCTACAAAGAATCACTATCAGGATCTGGTTGTCCGATATGGCCTGGAGATTTTGAATTACTATATAAGTATGAAACATATAATAACAGCTACAAAGAATCACTATCAGGATCTGGTTGTCCGAAATGGCCTGGAGATTTTGAATTACTATATAAGTATGAAACATATAATAACAGCTACAAAGAATCACTATCAGGATCTGGTTGTCCGATATGGCCTGGAGATTTTGAATTACTATATAAGTATGAAACATTCAATAACGGCTACAAAGAATCACTATCAGGATCTGGTTGTCCGATATGGCCTGGAGATTTTGAATTACTATATAAGTATGAAACATATAATAACAGCTACAAAGAATCACTATCAGGATCTGGTTGTCCGATATGGCCTGGAGATTTTGAATTACTATATAAGTATGAAACATATAATAACAGCTACAAAGAATCACTATCAGGATCTGGTTGTCCGATAGCCTGGAGATTTTGAATTACTATATAAGTATGAAACATTCAATAACGGCAACAAAGAATCACTATCAGGATCTGGTTGTCCAATATGGCCTGGAGATTTTGAATTACTATATAAGTATGAAACATTCAATAACGGCTACAAAGAATCACTATCAGGATCTGGTTGTATATGGCCTGGAGATTTTGAATTACTATATAAGTATGAAACATTCAATAACGGCTACAAAGAATCACTATCAGGATCTGGTTGTCCGATATGGCCTGGAGATTTTGAATTACTATATAAGTATGAAACATTCAATAACGGCTACAAAGAATCACTATCAGGATCTGGTTGTCCGATATGGCCTGGAGATTTTGAATTACTATAAGTATGAAAAATTCAATGACGGCTACAAAGAATCACTATCAAGATCTGGTTGTCCGATATGGCCTGGAGATTTTGAATTACTATATAAGTATGAAACATATAATAACAGCTACAAAGAATCACTATCAGGATCTGGTTGTCCGATATGGCCTGGAGATTTTGAATTACTATATAAGTATGAAACATATAATAACAGCTACAAAGAATCACTATCAGGATCTGGTTGTCCGATATGGCCTGGAGATTTTGAATTACTATATAAGTATGAAACATATAATAACAGCTACAAAGAATCACTATCAGGATCTGGTTGTCCGATATGGCCTGGAGATTTTGAATTACTATATAAGTATGAAACATTCAATAACGGCAACAAAGAATCACTATCAGGATCTGGTTGTCCGATATGGCCTGGAGATTTTGAATTACTATATAAGTATGAAACATATAATAACAGCTACAAAGAATCACTATCAGGATCTGGTTGTCCGATATGGCCTGGAGATTTTGAATTACTATATAAGTATGAAACATATAATAACAGCTACAAAGAATCACTATCAGGATCTGGTTGTCCGATATGGCCTGGAGATTTTGAATTACTATATAAGTATGAAACATATAATAACAGCTACAAAGAATCACTATCAGGATCTGGTTGTCCGAAATGGCCTGGAGATTTTGAATTACTATATAAGTATGAAACATTCAATAACGGCTACAAAGAATCACTATCAGGATCTGGTTGTCCGATATGGCCTGGAGATTTTGAATTACTATATAAGTATGAAACATATAATAACAGCTACAAAGAATCACTATCAGGATCTGGTTGTCCGATATGGCCTGGAGATTTTGAATTACTATATAAGTATGAAACATATAATAACAGCTACAAAGAATCACAATCAGGATCTGGTTGTCCGATATGGCCTGGAGATTTTGAATTACTATATAAGTATGAAACATATAATAACAGCTACAAAGAATCACTATCAGGATCTGGTTGTCCGATATGGCCTGGAGATTTTGAATTACTATATAAGTATGAAACATTCAATAACGGCAACAAAGAATCACTATCAGGATCTGGTTGTCCGATATGGCCTGGAGATTTTGAATTACTATATAAGTATGAAACATATAATAACAGCTACAAAGAATCACTATCAGGGTCTGGTTGTCCGATATGGCCTGGAGATTTTGAATTACTATATAAGTATGAAACATTCAATAACGGCAACAAAGAATCACTATCAGGATCTGGTTGTCCGATATGGCCTGGAGATTTTGAATTACTATATAAGTATGAAACATATAACAGCTACAAAGAATCACTATCAGGATCTGGTTGTCCGATATGGCCTGGAGATTTTGAATTACTATATAAGTATGAAACATATAATAACAGCTACAAAGAATCACTATCAGGATCTGGTTGTCCGATATGGCCTGGAGATTTTGAATTACTATATAAGTATGAAACATATAATAACAGCTACAAAGAATCACTATCAGGATCTGGTTGTCCGAAATGGCCTGGAGATTTTGAATTACTATATAAGTATGAAACATTCAATAACGGCTACAAAGAATCACTATCAGGATCTGGTTGTCCGATATGGCCTGGAGATTTTGAATTACTATATAAGTATGAAACATATAATAACAGCTACAAAGAATCACTATCAGGATCTGGTTGTCCGATATGGCCTGGAGATTTTGAATTACTATATAAGTATGAAACATATAATAACAGCTACAAAGAATCACTATCAGGATCTGGTTGTCCGATATGGCCTGGAGATTTTGAATTACTATATAAGTATGAAACATATAATAACAGCTACAAAGAATCACTATCAGGATCTGGTTGTCCGATATGGCCTGGAGATTTTGAATTACTATATAAGTATGAAACATATAATAACAGCTACAAAGAATCACTATCAGGATCTGGTTGTCCAATATGGCCTGGAGATTTTGAATTACTATATAAGTATGAAACATTCAATAACAGCTACAAAGAATCACTATCAGGATCTGGTTGTCCGATATGGCCTGGAGATTTTGAATTACTATATAAGTATGAAACATATAATAACAGCTACAAAGAATCACTATCAGGATCTGGTTGTCCGATATGGCCTGGAGATTTTGAATTACTATATAAGTATGAAACATTCAATAACGGCTACAAAGAATCACTATCAGGATCTGGTTGTCCGATATGGCCTGGAGATTTTGAATTACTATATAAGTATGAAACATATAATAACAGCTACAAAGAATCACTATCAGGATCTGGTTGTCCGATATGGCCTGGAGATTTTGAATTACTATATAAGTATGAAACATATAATAACAGCTACAAAGAATCACTATCAGGATCTGGTTGTCCGATATGGCCTGGAGATTTTGAATTACTATATAAGTATGAAACATATAATAACAGCTACAAAGAATCACTATCAGGATCTGGTTGTCCGATATGGCCTGGAGATTTTGAATTACTATATAAGTATGAAACATATAATAACAGCTACAAAGAATCACTATCAGGATCTGGTTGTCCGATATGGCATGGAGATTTTGAATTACTATATAAGTATGAAACATTCAATAACGGCTACAAAGAATCACTATCAGGATCTGGTTGTCCGATATGGCCTGGAGATTTTGAATTACTATATAAGTATGAAACATTCAATAACGGCTACAAAGAATCACTATCAGGATCTGGTTGTCCGATATGGCCTGGAGATTTTGAATTACTATATAAGTATGAAACATATAATAACAGCTACAAAGAATCACTATCAGGATCTGGTTGTCCGATATGGCCTGGAGATTTTGAATTACTATATAAGTATGAAACATTCAATAACGGCTACAAAGAATCACTATCAGGATCTGGTTGTCCGATATGGCCTGGAGATTTTGAATTACTATATAAGTATGAAACATTCAATAACGGCTACAAAGAATCACTATCAGGATCTGGTTGTCCGATATGGCCTGGAGATTTTGAATTACTATATAAGTATGAAACATATAATAACAGCTACAAAGAATCACTATCAGGATCTGGTTGTCCGATATGGCCTGGAGATTTTGAATTACTATATAAGTATGAAACATATAATAACAGCTACAAAGAATCACTATCAGGATCTGGTTGTCCGATATGGCCTGGAGATTTTGAATTACTATATAAGTATGAAACATATAATAACAGCTACAAAGAATCACTATCAGGATCTGGTTGTCCGATATGGCCTGGAGATTTTGAATTACTATATAAGTATGAAACATATAATAACAGCTACAAAGAATCACTATCACGATCTGGTTGTCCGATATGGCCCGGAGATTTTGAATTACTATATAAGTATGAAACATATAATAACAGCTACAAAGAATCACTATCAGGATCTGGTTGTCCGAAATGGCCTGGAGATTTTGAATTACTATATAAGTATGAAACATTCAATAACGGCTACAAAGAATCACTATCAGGATCTGGTTGTCCGATATGGCCTGGAGATTTTGAATTACTATATAAGTATGAAACATATAATAACAGCTACAAAGAATCACTATCAGGATCTGGTTGTCCGATATGGCCTGGAGATTTTGAATTACTATATAAGTATGAAACATATAATAACAGCTACAAAGAATCACTATCAGGATCTGGTTGTCCGATATGGCCTGGAGATTTTGAATTACTATATAAGTATGAAACATATAATAACAGCTACAAAGAATCACTATCAGGATCTGGTTGTCCGATATGGCCTGGAGATTTTGAATTACTATATACATAAGTATGAAACATATAATAACAGCTACAAAGAATCACTATCAGGATCTGGTTGTCCCATATGGCCTGGAGATTTTGAATTACTATATAAGTATGAAACATTCAATAACAGCTACAAAGAATCACTATCAGGATCTGGTTGTCCGATATGGCCTGGAGATTTTGAATTACTATATAAGTATGAAACATATAATAACAGCTACAAAGAATCACTATCAGGATCTGGTTGTCCGATATGGCCTGGAGATTTTGAATTACTATATAAGTATGAAACATTCAATAACGGCTACAAAGAATCACTATCAGGATCTGGTTGTCCGATATGGCCTGGAGATTTTGAATTACTATATAAGTATGAAACATATAATAACAGCTACAAAGAATCACTATCAGGATCTGGTTGTCCGATATGGCCTGGAGATTTTGAATTACTATATAAGTATGAAACATATAATAACAGCTACAAAGAATCACTATCAGGATCTGGTTGTCCGATATGGCCTGGAGATTTTGAATTACTATATAAGTATGAAACATATAATAACAGCTACAAAGAATCACTATCAGGATCTGGTTGTCCGATATGGCCTGGAGATTTTGAATTACTATATAAGTATGAAACATATAATAACAGCTACAAAGAATCACTATCAGGATCTGGTTGTCCGATATGGCATGGAGATTTTGAATTACTATATAAGTATGAAACATTCAATAACGGCTACAAAGAATCACTATCAGGATCTGGTTGTCCGATATGGCCTGGAGATTTTGAATTACTATATAAGTATGAAACATTCAATAACGGCTACAAAGAATCACTATCAGGATCTGGTTGTCCGATATGGCCTGGAGATTTTGAATTACTATATAAGTATGAAACATATAATAACAGCTACAAAGAATCACTATCAGGATCTGGTTGTCCGATATGGCCTGGAGATTTTGAATTACTATATAAGTATGAAACATATAATAACAGCTACAAAGAATCACTATCAGGATCTGGTTGTCCGATATGGCCTGGAGATTTTGAATTACTATATAAGTATGAAACATATAATAACAGCTACAAAGAATCACTATCAGGATCTGGTTGTCCGATATGGCCTGGAGATTTTGAATTACTATATAAGTATGAAACATATAATAACAGCTACAAAGAATCACTATCAGGATCTGGTTGTCCGATATGGCCTGGAGATTTTGAATTACTATATAAGTATGAAACATTCAATAACGGCTACAAAGAATGACTATCAGGATCTGGTTGTCCAATATGGCCTGGAGATTTTGAATTACTATATAAGTATGAAACATTCAATAACGGCTACAAAGAATCACTATCAGGATCTGGTTGTCCGATATGGCCTGGAGATTTTGAATTACTATATAAGTATGAAACATATAATAACAGCTACAAAGAATCACTATCAGGATCTGGTTGTCCGATATGGCCTGGAGATTTTGAATTACTATATAAGTATGAAACATATAATAACAGCTACAAAGAATCACTATCAGGGTCTGGTTGTCCGATATGGCATGGAGATTTTGAATTACTATATAAGTATGAAACATTCAATAACGGCAACAAAGAATCACTATCAGGATCTGGTTGTCCGATATGGCCTGGAGATTTTGAATTACTATATAAGTATGAAACATATAATAACAGCTACAAAGAATCACTATCAGGATCTGGTTGTCCGATATGGCCTGGAGATTTTGAATTACTATATAAGTATGAAACATATAATAACAGCTACAAAGAATCACTATCAGGATCTGGTTGTCCGATATAGCCTGGAGATTTTGAATTACTATATAAGTATGAAACATTCAATAACGGCAACAAAGAATCACTATCAGGATCTGGTTGTCCAATATGGCCTGGAGATTTTGAATTACTATATAAGTATGAAACATTCAATAACGGCTACAAAGAATCACTATCAGGATCTGGTTGTCCGATATGGCCTGGAGATTTTGAATTACTATATAAGTATGAAACATTCAATAACGGCTACAAAGAATCACTATCAGGATCTGGTTGTCCGATATGGCCTGGAGATTTTGAATTACTATATAAGTATGAAAAATTCAATAACGGCTACAAAGAATCACTATCAAGATCTGGTTGTCCGATATGCCTGGAGATTTTGAATTACTATATAAGTATGAAACATATAATAACAGCTACAAAGAATCACTATCAGGATCTGGTTGTCCGATATGGCCTGGAGATTTTGAATTACTATATAAGTATGAAACATATAATAACAGCTACAAAGAATCACTATCAGGATCTGGTTGTCCGATATGGCCTGGAGATTTTGAATTACTATATAAGTATGAAACATATAATAACAGCTACAAAGAATCACTATCAGGATCTGGTTGTCCGATATGGCCTGGAGATTTTGAATTACTATATAAGTATGAAACATTCAATAACGGCAACAAAGAATCACTATCAGGATCTGGTTGTCCGATATGGCCTGGAGATTTTGAATTACTATATAAGTATGAAACATATAATAACAGCTACAAAGAATCACTATCAGGATCTGGTTGTCCGATATGGCCTGGAGATTTTGAATTACTATATAAGTATGAAACATATAATAACAGCTACAAAGAATCACTATCAGGATCTGGTTGTCCGATATGGCCTGGAGATTTTGAATTACTATATAAGTATGAAACATTCAATAACGGCAACAAAGAATCACTATCAGGATCTGGTTGTCCGATATGGCCTGGAGATTTTGAATTACTATATAAGTATGAAACATATAATAACAGCTACAAAGAATCACTATCAGGATCTGGTTGTCCGATATGGCCTGGAGATTTTGAATTACTATATAAGTATGAAACATATAATAACAGCTACAAAGAATCACTATCAGGATCTGGTTGTCCGAAATGGCCTGGAGATTTTGAATTACTATATAAGTATGAAACATTCAATAACGGCAACAAAGAATCACTATCAGGATCTGGTTGTCCGATATGGCCTGGAGATTTTGAATTACTATATAAGTATGAAACATATAATAACAGCTACAAAGAATCACTATCAGGATCTGGTTGTCCGATATGGCCTGGAGATTTTGAATTACTATATAAGTATGAAACATATAATAACAGCTACAAAGAATCACTATCAGGATCTGGTTGTCCGATATGGCCTGGAGATTTTGAATTACTATATAAGTATGAAACATATAATAACAGCTACAAAGAATCACTATCAGGATCTGGTTGTCCGATATGGCATGGAGATTTTGAATTACTATATAAGTATGAAACATTCAATAACGGCTACAAAGAATCACTATCAGGATCTGGTTGTCCGATATGGCCTGGAGATTTTGAATTACTATATAAGTATGAAACATTCAATAACGGCTACAAAGAATCACTATCAGGATCTGGTTGTCCGATATGGCCTGGAGATTTTGAATTACTATATAAGTATGAAACATATAATAACAGCTACAAAGAATCACTATCAGGATCTGGTTGTCCGATATGGCCTGGAGATTTTGAATTACTATATAAGTATGAAACATTCAATAACGGCTACAAAGAATCACTATCAGGATCTGGTTGTCCGATATGGCCTGGAGATTTTGAATTACTATATAAGTATGAAACATTCAATAACGGCTACAAAGAATCACTATCAGGATCTGGTTGTCCGATATGGCCTGGAGATTTTGAATTACTATATAAGTATGAAACATATAATAACAGCTACAAAGAATCACTATCAGGATCTGGTTGTCCGATATGGCCTGGAGATTTTGAATTACTATATAAGTATGAAACATATAATAACAGCTACAAAGAATCACTATCAGGATCTGGTTGTCCGATATGGCCTGGAGATTTTGAATTACTATATAAGTATGAAACATATAATAACAGCTACAAAGAATCACTATCAGGATCTGGTTGTCCGATATGGCCTGGAGATTTTGAATTACTATATAAGTATGAAACATATAATAACAGCTACAAAGAATCACTATCAGGATCTGGTTGTCCGATATGGCCTGGAGATTTTGAATTACTATATAAGTATGAAACATATAATAACAGCTACAAAGAATCACTATCAGGATCTGGTTGTCCGATATGGCCTGGAGATTTTGAATTACTATATAAGTATGAAACATATAATAACAGCTACAAAGAATCACTATCAGGATCTGGTTGTCCGATATGGCCTGGAGATTTTGAATTACTATATAAGTATGAAACATATAATAACAGCTACAAAGAATCACTATCAGGATCTGGTTGTCCGATATGGCCTGGAGATTTTGAATTACTATATAAGTATGAAACATATAATAACAGCTACAAAGAATCACTATCACGATCTGGTTGTCCGATATGGCCTGGAGATTTTGAATTACTATATAAGTATGAAACATATAATAACAGCTACAAAGAATCACTATCAGGATCTGGTTGTCCGATATGGCCTGGAGATTTTGAATTACTATATAAGTATGAAACATTCAATAACGGCTACAAAGAATGACTATCAGGATCTGGTTGTCCAATATGGCCTGGAGATTTTGAATTACTATATAAGTATGAAACATTCAATAACGGCTACAAAGAATCACTATCAGGATCTGGTTGTCCGATATGGCCTGGAGATTTTGAATTACTATATAAGTATGAAACATATAATAACAGCTACAAAGAATCACTATCAGGATCTGGTTGTCCGATATGGCCTGGAGATTTTGAATTACTATATAAGTATGAAACATATAATAACAGCTACAAAGAATCACTATCAGGGTCTGGTTGTCCGATATGGCATGGAGATTTTGAATTACTATATAAGTATGAAACATTCAATAACGGCAACAAAGAATCACTATCAGGATCTGGTTGTCCGATATGGCCTGGAGATTTTGAATTACTATATAAGTATGAAACATATAATAACAGCTACAAAGAATCACTATCAGGATCTGGTTGTCCGATATGGCCTGGAGATTTTGAATTACTATATAAGTATGAAACATATAATAACAGCTACAAAGAATCACTATCAGGATCTGGTTGTCCGATATAGCCTGGAGATTTTGAATTACTATATAAGTATGAAACATTCAATAACGGCAACAAAGAATCACTATCAGGATCTGGTTGTCCAATATGGCCTGGAGATTTTGAATTACTATATAAGTATGAAACATTCAATAACGGCTACAAAGAATCACTATCAGGATCTGGTTGTCCGATATGGCCTGGAGATTTTGAATTACTATATAAGTATGAAACATTCAATAACGGCTACAAAGAATCACTATCAGGATCTGGTTGTCCGATATGGCCTGGAGATTTTGAATTACTATATAAGTATGAAAAATTCAATAACGGCTACAAAGAATCACTATCAAGATCTGGTTGTCCGATATGGCCTGGAGATTTTGAATTACTATATAAGTATGAAACATATAATAACAGCTACAAAGAATCACTATCAGGATCTGGTTGTCCGATATGGCCTGGAGATTTTGAATTACTATATAAGTATGAAACATATAATAACAGCTACAAAGAATCACTATCAGGATCTGGTTGTCCGATATGGCCTGGAGATTTTGAATTACTATATAAGTATGAAACATATAATAACAGCTACAAAGAATCACTATCAGGATCTGGTTGTCCGATATGGCCTGGAGATTTTGAATTACTATATAAGTATGAAACATTCAATAACGGCAACAAAGAATCACTATCAGGATCTGGTTGTCCGATATGGCCTGGAGATTTTGAATTACTATATAAGTATGAAACATATAATAACAGCTACAAAGAATCACTATCAGGATCTGGTTGTCCGATATGGCCTGGAGATTTTGAATTACTATATAAGTATGAAACATATAATAACAGCTACAAAGAATCACTATCAGGATCTGGTTGTCCGATATGGCCTGGAGATTTTGAATTACTATATAAGTATGAAACATTCAATAACGGCAACAAAGAATCACTATCAGGATCTGGTTGTCCGATATGGCCTGGAGATTTTGAATTACTATATAAGTATGAAACATATAATAACAGCTACAAAGAATCACTATCAGGATCTGGTTGTCCGATATGGCCTGGAGATTTTGAATTACTATATAAGTATGAAACATATAATAACAGCTACAAAGAATCACTATCAGGATCTGGTTGTCCGATATGGCCTGGAGATTTTGAATTACTATATAAGTATGAAACATATAATAACAGCTACAAAGAATCACTATCAGGATCTGGTTGTCCGAAATGGCCTGGAGATTTTGAATTACTATATAAGTATGAAACATTCAATAACGGCTACAAAGAATCACTATCAGGATCTGGTTGTCCGATATGGCCTGGAGATTTTGAATTACTATATAAGTATGAAACATATAATAACAGCTACAAAGAATCACTATCAGGATCTGGTTGTCCGATATGGCCTGGAGATTTTGAATTACTATATAAGTATGAAACATATAATAACAGCTACAAAGAATCACAATCAGGATCTGGTTGTCCGATATGGCCTGGAGATTTTGAATTACTATATAAGTATGAAACATATAATAACAGCTACAAAGAATCACTATCAGGATCTGGTTGTCCGATATGGCCTGGAGATTTTGAATTACTATATAAGTATGAAACATTCAATAACGGCAACAAAGAATCACTATCAGGATCTGGTTGTCCGATATGGCCTGGAGATTTTGAATTACTATATAAGTATGAAACATATAATAACAGCTACAAAGAATCACTATCAGGATCTGGTTGTCCGATATGGCCTGGAGATTTTGAATTACTATATAAGTATGAAACATTCAATAACGGCTACAAAGAATCACTATCAGGATCTGGTTGTCCGATATGGCCTGGAGATTTTGAATTACTATATAAGTATGAAACATATAATAACAGCTACAAAGAATCACTATCAGGATCTGGTTGTCCGATATGGCCTGGAGATTTTGAATTACTATATAAGTATGAAACATATAATAACAGCTACAAAGAATCACAATCAGGATCTGGTTGTCCGATATGGCCTGGAGATTTTGAATTACTATATAAGTATGAAACATATAATAACAGCTACAAAGAATCACTATCAGGATCTGGTTGTCCGATATGGCCTGGAGATTTTGAATTACTATATAAGTATGAAACATTCAATAACGGCAACAAAGAATCACTATCAGGATCTGGTTGTCCGATATGGCCTGGAGATTTTGAATTACTATATAAGTATGAAACATATAATAACAGCTACAAAGAATCACTATCAGGATCTGGTTGTCCGATATGGCCTGGAGATTTTGAATTACTATATAAGTATGAAACATATAATAACAGCTACAAAGAATCACTATCAGGATCTGGTTGTCCGATATGGCCTGGAGATTTTGAATTACTATATAAGTATGAAACATATAATAACAGCTACAAAGAATCACTATCAGGATCTGGTTGTCCGATATGGCCTGGAGATTTTGAATTACTATATAAGTATGAAACATATAATAACAGCTACAAAGAATCACTATCAGGATCTGGTTGTCCGATATGGCCTGGAGATTTTGAATTACTATATAAGTATGAAACATTCAATAACAGCTACAAAGGATCACTATCAGGATCTGGTTGTCCGATATGGCCTGGAGATTTTGAATTACTATATAAGTATGAAACATATAATAACAGCTACAAAGAATCACTATCAGGATCTGGTTGTCCGATATGGCCTGGAGATTTTGAATTACTATATAAGTATGAAACATTCAATAACGGCTACAAAGAATCACTATCAGGATCTGGTTGTCCGATATGGCCTGGAGATTTTGAATTACTATATAAGTATGAAACATATAATAACAGCTACAAAGAATCACTATCAGGATCTGGTTGTCCGATATGGCCTGGAGATTTTGAATTACTATATAAGTATGAAACATATAATAACAGCTACAAAGAATCACAATCAGGATCTGGTTGTCCGATATGGCCTGGAGATTTTGAATTACTATATAAGTATGAAACATATAATAACAGCTACAAAGAATCACTATCAGGATCTGGTTGTCCGATATGGCCTGGAGATTTTGAATTACTATATAAGTATGAAACATTCAATAACGGCAACAAAGAATCACTATCAGGATCTGGTTGTCCGATATGGCCTGGAGATTTTGAATTACTATATAAGTATGAAACATATAATAACAGCTACAAAGAATCACTATCAGGATCTGGTTGTCCGATATGGCCTGGAGATTTTGAATTACTATATAAGTATGAAACATATAATAACAGCTACAAAGAATCACTATCAGGATCTGGTTGTCCGATATGGCCTGGAGATTTTGAATTACTATATAAGTATGAAACATATAATAACAGCTACAAAGAATCACTATCAGGATCTGGTTGTCCGATATGGCCTGGAGATTTTGAATTACTATATAAGTATGAAACATTCAATAACGGCTACAAAGAATCACTATCAGGATCTGGTTGTCCGATATGGCCTGGAGATTTTGAATTACTATATAAGTATGAAACATTCAATAACGGCTACAAAGAATCACTATCAGGATCTGGTTGTCCGATATGGCCTGGAGATTTTGAATTACTATATAAGTATGAAACATATAATAACAGCTACAAAGAATCACTATCAGGATCTGGTTGTCCGATATGGCCTGGAGATTTTGAATTACTATATAAGTATGAAACATTCAATAACGGCTACAAAGAATCACTATCAGGATCTGGTTGTCCGATATGGCCTGGAGATTTTGAATTACTATATAAGTATGAAAAATTCAATAACGGCTACAAAGAATCACAATCAAGATCTGGTTGTCCGATATGGCCTGGAGATTTTGAATTACTATATAAGTATGAAACATATAATAACAGCTACAAAGAATCACTATCAGGATCTGGTTGTCCGATATGGCCTGGAGATTTTGAATTACTATATAAGTATGAAACATATAATAACAGCTACAAAGAATCACTATCAGGATCTGGTTGTCCGATATGGCCTGGAGATTTTGAATTACTATATAAGTATGAAACATATAATAACAGCTACAAAGAATCACTATCAGGATCTGGTTGTCCGATATGGCCTGGAGATTTTGAATTACTATATAAGTATGAAACATTCAATAACGGCTACAAAGAATCACTATCAGGATCTGGTTGTCCGATATGGCCTGGAGATTTTGAATTACTATATAAGTATGAAAAACATTCAATAACGGCTACAAAGAATCACTATCAGGATCTAGTTGTCCGATATGGCCTGGAGATTTTGAATTACTATATAAGTATGAAACATATAATAACAGCTACAAAGAATCACTATCAGGATCTGGTTGTCCGATATGGCCTGGAGATTTTGAATTACTATATAAGTATGAAACATTCAATAACAGCTACAAAGAATCACTATCAGGATCTGGTTGTCCGATATGGCCTGGAGATTTTGAATTACTATATAAGTATGAAACATTCAATAACGGCTACAAAGAATCACTATCAGGATCTGGTTGTCCGATATGGCCTGGAGATTTTGAATTACTATATAAGTATGAAACATTCAATAACGGCTACAAAGAATCACTATCAGGATCTGGTTGTCCGATATGGCCTGGAGATTTTGAATTACTATATAAGTATGAAAAATTCAATAACGGCTACAAAGAATCACTATCAGGATCTGGTTGTCCGATATGGCCTGGAGATTTTGAATTACTATATAAGTATGAAAAATTCAATAACGGCTACAAAAAATCACTATCAGGATCTGGTTGTCCGATATGGCCTGGAGATTTTGAATTACTATATAAGTATGAAACATATAATAACAGCTACAAAGAATCACTATCAGGATCTGGTTGTCCGATATGGCCTGGAGATTTTGAATTACTATATAAGTATGAAACATATAATAACAGCTACAAAGAATCACTATCAGGATCTGGTTGTCCGATATGGCCTGGAGATTTTGAATTACTATATAAGTATGAAACATTCAATAACGGCAACAAAGAATCACTATCAGGATCTGGTTGTCCGATATGGCCTGGAGATTTTGAATTACTATATAAGTATGAAACATATAATAACAGCTACAAAGAATCACTATCAGGATCTGGTTGTCCGATATGGCCTGGAGATTTTGAATTACTATATAAGTATGAAACATATAATAACAGCTACAAAGAATCACAATCAGGATCTGGTTGTCCGATATGGCCTGGAGATTTTGAATTACTATATAAGTATGAAACATATAATAACAGCTACAAAGAATCACTATCAGGATCTGGTTGTCCGATATGGCCTGGAGATTTTGAATTACTATATAAGTATGAAACATTCAATAACGGCAACAAAGAATCACTATCAGGATCTGGTTGTCCGATATGGCCTGGAGATTTTGAATTACTATATAAGTATGAAACATATAATAACAGCTACAAAGAATCACTATCAGGATCTGGTTGTCCGATATGGCCTGGAGATTTTGAATTACTATATAAGTATGAAACATATAATAACAGCTACAAAGAATCACTATCAGGATCTGGTTGTCCGATATGGCCTGGAGATTTTGAATTACTATATAAGTATGAAACATATAATAACAGCTACAAAGAATCACTATCAGGATCTGGTTGTCCGATATGGCCTGGAGATTTTGAATTACTATATAAGTATGAAACATATAATAACAGCTACAAAGAATCACTATCAGGATCTGGTTGTCCGATATGGCCTGGAGATTTTGAATTACTATATAAGTATGAAACATTCAATAACAGCTACAAAGGATCACTATCAGGATCTGGTTGTCCGATATGGCCTGGAGATTTTGAATTACTATATAAGTATGAAACATATAATAACAGCTACAAAGAATCACTATCAGGATCTGGTTGTCCGATATGGCCTGGAGATTTTGAATTACTATATAAGTATGAAACATTCAATAACGGCTACAAAGAATCACTATCAGGATCTGGTTGTCCGATATGGCCTGGAGATTTTGAATTACTATATAAGTATGAAACATATAATAACAGCTACAAAGAATCACTATCAGGATCTGGTTGTCCGATATGGCCTGGAGATTTTGAATTACTATATAAGTATGAAACATATAATAACAGCTACAAAGAATCACAATCAGGATCTGGTTGTCCGATATGGCCTGGAGATTTTGAATTACTATATAAGTATGAAACATATAATAACAGCTACAAAGAATCACTATCAGGATCTGGTTGTCCGATATGGCCTGGAGATTTTGAATTACTATATAAGTATGAAACATTCAATAACGGCAACAAAGAATCACTATCAGGATCTGGTTGTCCGATATGGCCTGGAGATTTTGAATTACTATATAAGTATGAAACATATAATAACAGCTACAAAGAATCACTATCAGGATCTGGTTGTCCGATATGGCCTGGAGATTTTGAATTACTATATAAGTATGAAACATATAATAACAGCTACAAAGAATCACTATCAGGATCTGGTTGTCCGATATGGCCTGGAGATTTTGAATTACTATATAAGTATGAAACATATAATAACAGCTACAAAGAATCACTATCAGGATCTGGTTGTCCGATATGGCCTGGAGATTTTGAATTACTATATAAGTATGAAACATTCAATAACGGCTACAAAGAATCACTATCAGGATCTGGTTGTCCGATATGGCCTGGAGATTTTGAATTACTATATAAGTATGAAACATTCAATAACGGCTACAAAGAATCACTATCAGGATCTGGTTGTCCGATATGGCCTGGAGATTTTGAATTACTATATAAGTATGAAACATATAATAACAGCTACAAAGAATCACTATCAGGATCTGGTTGTCCGATATGGCCTGGAGATTTTGAATTACTATATAAGTATGAAACATTCAATAACGGCTACAAAGAATCACTATCAGGATCTGGTTGTCCGATATGGCCTGGAGATTTTGAATTACTATATAAGTATGAAAAATTCAATAACGGCTACAAAGAATCACAATCAAGATCTGGTTGTCCGATATGGCCTGGAGATTTTGAATTACTATATAAGTATGAAACATATAATAACAGCTACAAAGAATCACTATCAGGATCTGGTTGTCCGATATGGCCTGGAGATTTTGAATTACTATATAAGTATGAAACATATAATAACAGCTACAAAGAATCACTATCAGGATCTGGTTGTCCGATATGGCCTGGAGATTTTGAATTACTATATAAGTATGAAACATATAATAACAGCTACAAAGAATCACTATCAGGATCTGGTTGTCCGATATGGCCTGGAGATTTTGAATTACTATATAAGTATGAAACATTCAATAACGGCTACAAAGAATCACTATCAGGATCTGGTTGTCCGATATGGCCTGGAGATTTTGAATTACTATATAAGTATGAAACATTCAATAACGGCTACAAAGAATCACTATCAGGATCTAGTTGTCCGATATGGCCTGGAGATTTTGAATTACTATATAAGTATGAAACATATAATAACAGCTACAAAGAATCACTATCAGGATCTGGTTGTCCGATATGGCCTGGAGATTTTGAATTACTATATAAGTATGAAACATTCAATAACAGCTACAAAGAATCACTATCAGGATCTGGTTGTCCGATATGGCCTGGAGATTTTGAATTACTATATAAGTATGAAACATTCAATAACGGCTACAAAGAATCACTATCAGGATCTGGTTGTCCGATATGGCCTGGAGATTTTGAATTACTATATAAGTATGAAACATTCAATAACGGCTACAAAGAATCACTATCAGGATCTGGTTGTCCGATATGGCCTGGAGATTTTGAATTACTATATAAGTATGAAAAATTCAATAACGGCTACAAAGAATCACTATCAGGATCTGGTTGTCCGATATGGCCTGGAGATTTTGAATTACTATATAAGTATGAAAAATTCAATAACGGCTACAAAAAATCACTATCAGGATCTGGTTGTCCGATATGGCCTGGAGATTTTGAATTACTATATAAGTATGAAACATATAATAACAGCTACAAAGAATCACTATCAGGATCTGGTTGTCCGATATGGCCTGGAGATTTTGAATTACTATATAAGTATGAAACATATAATAACAGCTACAAAGAATCACTATCAGGATCTGGTTGTCCGATATGGCCTGGAGATTTTGAATTACTATATAAGTATGAAACATATAATAACAGCTACAAAGAATCACTATCAGGATCTGGTTGTCCGATATGGCCTGGAGATTTTGAATTACTATATAAGTATGAAACATTCAATAACAGCTACAAAGGATCACTATCAGGATCTGGTTGTCCGATATGGCCTGGAGATTTTGAATTACTATATAAGTATGAAACATATAATAACAGCTACAAAGAATCACTATCAGGATCTGGTTGTCCGATATGGCCTGGAGATTTTGAATTACTATATAAGTATGAAACATTCAATAACGGCTACAAAGAATCACTATCAGGATCTGGTTGTCCGATATGGCCTGGAGATTTTGAATTACTATATAAGTATGAAACATATAATAACAGCTACAAAGAATCACTATCAGGATCTGGTTGTCCGATATGGCCTGGAGATTTTGAATTACTATATAAGTATGAAACATATAATAACAGCTACAAAGAATCACAATCAGGATCTGGTTGTCCGATATGGCCTGGAGATTTTGAATTACTATATAAGTATGAAACATATAATAACAGCTACAAAGAATCACTATCAGGATCTGGTTGTCCGATATGGCCTGGAGATTTTGAATTACTATATAAGTATGAAACATTCAATAACGGCAACAAAGAATCACTATCAGGATCTGGTTGTCCGATATGGCCTGGAGATTTTGAATTACTATATAAGTATGAAACATATAATAACAGCTACAAAGAATCACTATCAGGATCTGGTTGTCCGATATGGCCTGGAGATTTTGAATTACTATATAAGTATGAAACATATAATAACAGCTACAAAGAATCACTATCAGGATCTGGTTGTCCGATATGGCCTGGAGATTTTGAATTACTATATAAGTATGAAACATATAATAACAGCTACAAAGAATCACTATCAGGATCTGGTTGTCCGATATGGCCTGGAGATTTTGAATTACTATATAAGTATGAAACATTCAATAACGGCTACAAAGAATCACTATCAGGATCTGGTTGTCCGATATGGCCTGGAGATTTTGAATTACTATATAAGTATGAAACATTCAATAACGGCTACAAAGAATCACTATCAGGATCTGGTTGTCCGATATGGCCTGGAGATTTTGAATTACTATATAAGTATGAAACATATAATAACAGCTACAAAGAATCACTGTCAGGATCTGGTTGTCCGATATGGCCTGGAGATTTTGAATTACTATATAAGTATGAAACATTCAATAACGGCTACAAAGAATCACTATCAGGATCTGGTTGTCCGATATGGCCTGGAGATTTTGAATTACTATATAAGTATGAAAAATTCAATAACGGCTACAAAGAATCACAATCAAGATCTGGTTGTCCGATATGGCCTGGAGATTTTGAATTACTATATAAGTATGAAACATATAATAACAGCTACAAAGAATCACTATCAGGATCTGGTTGTCCGATATGGCCTGGAGATTTTGAATTACTATATAAGTATGAAACATATAATAACAGCTACAAAGAATCACTATCAGGATCTGGTTGTCCGATATGGCCTGGAGATTTTGAATTACTATATAAGTATGAAACATATAATAACAGCTACAAAGAATCACTATCAGGATCTGGTTGTCCGATATGGCCTGGAGATTTTGAATTACTATATAAGTATGAAACATTCAATAACGGCTACAAAGAATCACTATCAGGATCTGGTTGTCCGATATGGCCTGGAGATTTTGAATTACTATATAAGTATGAAACATTCAATAACGGCTACAAAGAATCACTATCAGGATCTAGTTGTCCGATATGGCCTGGAGATTTTGAATTACTATATAAGTATGAAACATATAATAACAGCTACAAAGAATCACTATCAGGATCTGGTTGTCCGATATGGCCTGGAGATTTTGAATTACTATATAAGTATGAAACATTCAATAACAGCTACAAAGAATCACTATCAGGATCTGGTTGTCCGATATGGCCTGGAGATTTTGAATTACTATATAAGTATGAAACATTCAATAACGGCTACAAAGAATCACTATCAGGATCTGGTTGTCCGATATGGCCTGGAGATTTTGAATTACTATATAAGTATGAAAAATTCAATAACGGCTACAAAGAATCACTATCAGGATCTGGTTGTCCGATATGGCCTGGAGATTTTGAATTACTATATAAGTATGAAAAATTCAATAACGGCTACAAAAAATCACTATCAGGATCTGGTTGTCCGATATGGCCTGGAGATTTTGAATTACTATATAAGTATGAAACATATAATAACAGCTACAAAGAATCACTATCAGGATCTGGTTGTCCGATATGGCCTGGAGATTTTGAATTACTATATAAGTATGAAACATATAATAACAGCTACAAAGAATCACTATCAGGATCTGGTTGTCCGATATGGCCTGGAGATTTTGAATTACTATATAAGTATGAAACATATAATAACAGCTACAAAGAATCACTATCAGGATCTGGTTGTCCGATATGGCCTGGAGATTTTGAATTACTATATAAGTATGAAACATTCAATAACAGCTACAAAGGATCACTATCAGGATCTGGTTGTCCGATATGGCCTGGAGATTTTGAATTACTATATAAGTATGAAACATTCAATAACGGCTACAAAGAATCACTATCAGGATCTGGTTGTCCGATATGGCCTGGAGATTTTGAGTTACTATATAAGTATGAAACATATAATAACAGCTACAAAGAATCACTATCAGGATCTGGTTGTCCGATATGGCCTGGAGATTTTGAGTTACTATATAAGTATGAAACATATAATAACAGCTACAAAGAATCACTATCAGGATCTGGTTGTCCGATATGGCCTGGAGATTTTGAGTTACTATATAAGTATGAAACATATAATAACAGCTACAAAGAATCACTATCAGGATCTGGTTGTCCGATATGGCCTGGAGATTTTGAGTTACTATATAAGTATGAAACATATAATAACAGCTACAAAGAATCACTATCAGGATCTGGTTGTCCGATATGGCCTGGAGATTTTGAATTACTATATAAGTATGAAACATATAATAACAGCTACAAAGAATCACTATCAGGATCTGGTTGTCCGATATGGCCTGGAGATTTTGAATTACTATATAAGTATGAAACATATAATAACAGCTACAAAGAATCACTATCAGGATCTGGTTGTCCGAAATGGCCTGGAGATTTTGAATTACTATATAAGTATGAAACATTCAATAACGGCTACAAAGAATCACTATCAGGATCTGGTTGTCCGATATGGCCTGGAGATTTTGAATTACTATATAAGTATGAAACATATAATAACAGCTACAAAGAATCACTATCAGGATCTGGTTGTCCGATATGGCCTGGAGATTTTGAATTACTATATAAGTATGAAACATATAATAACAGCTACAAAGAATCACAATCAGGATCTGGTTGTCCGATATGGCCTGGAGATTTTGAATTACTATATAAGTATGAAACATATAATAACAGCTACAAAGAATCACTATCAGGATCTGGTTGTCCGATATGGCCTGGAGATTTTGAATTACTATATAAGTATGAAACATTCAATAACGGCAACAAAGAATCACTATCAGGATCTGGTTGTCCGATATGGCCTGGAGATTTTGAATTACTATATAAGTATGAAACATATAATAACAGCTACAAAGAATCACTATCAGGATCTGGTTGTCCGATATGGCCTGGAGATTTTGAATTACTATATAAGTATGAAACATTCAATAACGGCTACAAAGAATCACTATCAGGATCTGGTTGTCCGATATGGCCTGGAGATTTTGAATTACTATATAAGTATGAAACATATAATAACAGCTACAAAGAATCACTATCAGGATCTGGTTGTCCGATATGGCCTGGAGATTTTGAATTACTATATAAGTATGAAACATATAATAACAGCTACAAAGAATCACTATCAGGATCTGGTTGTCCGATATGGCCTGGAGATTTTGAATTACTATATAAGTATGAAACATATAATAACAGCTACAAAGAATCACTATCAGGATCTGGTTGTCCGATATGGCCTGGAGATTTTGAATTACTATATAAGTATGAAACATATAATAACAGCTACAAAGAATCACTATCAGGATCTGGTTGTCCGATATGGCATGGAGATTTTGAATTACTATATAAGTATGAAACATTCAATAACGGCTACAAAGAATCACTATCAGGATCTGGTTGTCCGATATGGCCTGGAGATTTTGAATTACTATATAAGTATGAAACATATAATAACAGCTACAAAGAATCACTATCAGGATCTGGTTGTCCGATATGGCCTGGAGATTTTGAATTACTATATAAGTATGAAACATATAATAACAGCTACAAAGAATCACTATCAGGATCTGGTTGTCCGATATGGCCTGGAGATTTTGAATTACTATATAAGTATGAAACATTCAATAACAGCTACAAAGGATCACTATCAGGATCTGGTTGTCCGATATGGCCTGGAGATTTTGAATTACTATATAAGTATGAAACATTCAATAACGGCTACAAAGAATCACTATCAGGATCTGGTTGTCCGATATGGCCTGGAGATTTTGAGTTACTATATAAGTATGAAACATATAATAACAGCTACAAAGAATCACTATCAGGATCTGGTTGTCCGATATGGCCTGGAGATTTTGAGTTACTATATAAGTATGAAACATATAATAACAGCTACAAAGAATCACTATCAGGATCTGGTTGTCCGATATGGCCTGGAGATTTTGAGTTACTATATAAGTATGAAACATATAATAACAGCTACAAAGAATCACTATCAGGATCTGGTTGTCCGATATGGCCTGGAGATTTTGAATTACTATATAAGTATGAAACATATAATAACAGCTACAAAGAATCACTATCAGGATCTGGTTGTCCGATATGGCCTGGAGATTTTGAATTACTATATAAGTATGAAACATATAATAACAGCTACAAAGAATCACTATCAGGATCTGGTTGTCCGATATGGCCTGGAGATTTTGAGTTACTATATAAGTATGAAACATATAATAACAGCTACAAAGAATCACTATCAGGATCTGGTTGTCCGATATGGCCTGGAGATTTTGAGTTACTATATAAGTATGAAACATATAATAACAGCTACAAAGAATCACTATCAGGATCTGGTTGTCCGATATGGCCTGGAGATTTTGAATTACTATATAAGTATGAAACATATAATAACAGCTACAAAGAATCACTATCAGGATCTGGTTGTCCGATATGGCCTGGAGATTTTGAATTACTATATAAGTATGAAACATATAATAACAGCTACAAAGAATCACTATCAGGATCTGGTTGTCCGATATGGCCTGGAGATTTTGAATTACTATATAAGTATGAAACATATAATAACAGCTACAAAGAATCACTATCAGGATCTGGTTGTCCGAAATGGCCTGGAGATTTTGAATTACTATATAAGTATGAAACATTCAATAACGGCTACAAAGAATCACTATCAGGATCTGGTTGTCCGATATGGCCTGGAGATTTTGAATTACTATATAAGTATGAAACATATAATAACAGCTACAAAGAATCACTATCAGGATCTGGTTGTCCGATATGGCCTGGAGATTTTGAATTACTATATAAGTATGAAACATATAATAACAGCTACAAAGAATCACAATCAGGATCTGGTTGTCCGATATGGCCTGGAGATTTTGAATTACTATATAAGTATGAAACATATAATAACAGCTACAAAGAATCACTATCAGGATCTGGTTGTCCGATATGGCCTGGAGATTTTGAATTACTATATAAGTATGAAACATTCAATAACGGCAACAAAGAATCACTATCAGGATCTGGTTGTCCGATATGGCCTGGAGATTTTGAATTACTATATAAGTATGAAACATATAATAACAGCTACAAAGAATCACTATCAGGATCTGGTTGTCCGATATGGCCTGGAGATTTTGAATTACTATATAAGTATGAAACATTCAATAACGGCTACAAAGAATCACTATCAGGATCTGGTTGTCCGATATGGCCTGGAGATTTTGAATTACTATATAAGTATGAAACATATAATAACAGCTACAAAGAATCACTATCAGGATCTGGTTGTCCGATATGGCCTGGAGATTTTGAATTACTATATAAGTATGAAACATATAATAACAGCTACAAAGAATCACTATCAGGATCTGGTTGTCCGATATGGCCTGGAGATTTTGAATTACTATATAAGTATGAAACATATAATAACAGCTACAAAGAATCACTATCAGGATCTGGTTGTCCGATATGGCCTGGAGATTTTGAATTACTATATAAGTATGAAACATATAATAACAGCTACAAAGAATCACTATCAGGATCTGGTTGTCCGATATGGCATGGAGATTTTGAATTACTATATAAGTATGAAACATTCAATAACGGCTACAAAGAATCACTATCAGGATCTGGTTGTCCGATATGGCCTGGAGATTTTGAATTACTATATAAGTATGAAACATTCAATAACGGCTACAAAGAATCACTATCAGGATCTGGTTGTCCGATATGGCCTGGAGATTTTGAATTACTATATAAGTATGAAACATATAATAACAGCTACAAAGAATCACTATCAGGATCTGGTTGTCCGATATGGCCTGGAGATTTTGAATTACTATATAAGTATGAAACATATAATAACAGCTACAAAGAATCACTATCAGGATCTGGTTGTCCGATATGGCCTGGAGATTTTGAATTACTATATAAGTATGAAACATATAATAACAGCTACAAAGAATCACTATCAGGATCTGGTTGTCCGATATGGCCTGGAGATTTTGAATTACTATATAAGTATGAAACATATAATAACAGCTACAAAGAATCACTATCACGATCTGGTTGTCCGATATGGCCTGGAGATTTTGAATTACTATATAAGTATGAAACATATAATAACAGCTACAAAGAATCACTATCAGGATCTGGTTGTCCGATATGGCCTGGAGATTTTGAATTACTATATAAGTATGAAACATTCAATAACGGCTACAAAGAATGACTATCAGGATCTGGTTGTCCAATATGGCCTGGAGATTTTGAATTACTATATAAGTATGAAACATTCAATAACGGCTACAAAGAATCACTATCAGGATCTTGTTGTCCGATATGGCCTGGAGATTTTGAATTACTATATAAGTATGAAACATATAATAACAGCTACAAAGAATCACTATCAGGATCTGGTTGTCCGATATGGCCTGGAGATTTTGAATTACTATATAAGTATGAAACATATAATAACAGCTACAAAGAATCACTATCAGGATCTGGTTGTCCGATATGGCCTGGAGATTTTGAATTACTATAGAAGTATGAAACATATAATAACAGCTACAAAGAATCACTATCAGGATCTGGTTGTCCGATATGGCCTGGAGATTTTGAATTACTATATAAGTATGAAACATATAATAACAGCTACAAAGAATCACTATCAGGATCTGGTTGTCCGATATGGCCTGGAGATTTTGAATTACTATAGAAGTATGAAACATATAATAACAGCTACAAAGAATCACTATCAGGATCTGGTTGTCCGATATGGCCTGGAGATTTTGAATTACTATATAAGTATGAAACATTCAATAACGGCTACAAAGAATCACTATCAGGATCTGGTTGTCCGATATGGCCTGGAGATTTTGAATTACTATATAAGTATGAAACATTCAATAACGGCTACAAAGAATCACTATCGGGATCTGGTTGTCCGATATGGCCTGGAGATTTTGAATTACTATATAAGTATGAAACATATAATAACAGCTACAAAGAATCACTATCAGGATCTGGTTGTCCGATATGGCCTGGAGATTTTGAATTACTATATAAGTATGAAACATATAATAACAGCTACAAAGAATCACTATCAGGATCTGGTTGTCCGATATGGCCTGGAGATTTTGAATTACTATATAAGTATGAAACATTCAATAACGGCTACAAAGAATCACTATCAGGATCTGGTTGTCCGATATGGCCTGGAGATTTTGAATTACTATATAAGTATGAAACATATAATAACAGCTACAAAGAATCACTATCAGGATCTGGTTGTCCGATATGGCCTGGAGATTTTGAATTACTATATAAGTATGAAACATTCAATAACGGCTACAAAGAATCACTATCAGGATCTGGTTGTCCGATATGGCCTGGAGATTTTGAATTACTATATAAGTATGAAACATTCAATAACGGCTACAAAGAATCACTATCAGGATCTGGTTGTCCGATATGGCCTGGAGATTTTGAATTACTATATAAGTATGAAACATTCAATAACGGCTACAAAGAATCACTATCAGGATCTGGTTGTCCGATATGGCCTGGAGATTTTGAATTACTATATAAGTATGAAACATTCAATAACGGCTACAAAGAATCACTATCAGGATCTGGTTGTCCGATATGGCCTGGAGATTTTGAATTACTATATAAGTATGAAACATATAATAACAGCTACAAAGAATCACTATCAGGATCTGGTTGTCCGATATGGCCTGGAGATTTTGAATTACTATATAAGTATGAAACATTCAATAACGGCTACAAAGAATCACTATCAGGATCTGGTTGTCCGATATGGCCTGGAGATTTTGAATTACTATATAAGTATGAAACATTCAATAACGGCTACAAAGAATCACTATCAGGATCTGGTTGTCCGATATGGCCTGGAGATTTTGAATTACTATATAAGTATGAAACATTCAATAACGGCTACAAAGAATCACTATCAGGATCTGGTTGTCCGATATGGCCTGGAGATTTTGAATTACTATATAAGTATGAAAAATTCAATAACGGCTACAAAGAATCACTATCAGGATCTGGTTGTCCGATATGGCCTGGAGATTTTGAATTACTATATAAGTATGAAACATATAATAACAGCTACAAAGAATCACTATCAGGATCTGGTTGTCCGATATGGCCTGGAGATTTTGAATTACTATATAAGTATGAAACATATAATAACAGCTACAAAGAATCACTATCAGGATCTGGTTGTCCGATATGGCCTGGAGATTTTGAATTACTATATAAGTATGAAACATATAATAACAGCTACAAAGAATCACTATCAGGATCTGGTTGTCCGATATGGCCTGGAGATTTTGAATTACTATATAAGTATGAAACATTCAATAACAGCTACAAAGGATCACTATCAGGATCTGGTTGTCCGATATGGCATGGAGATTTTGAATTACTATATAAGTATGAAACATATAATAACAGCTACAAAGAATCACTATCAGGATCTGGTTGTCCGATATGGCCTGGAGATTTTGAATTACTATATAAGTATGAAACATATAATAACAGCTACAAAGAATCACTATCAGGATCTGGTTGTCCGATATGGCCTGGAGATTTTGAATTACTATATAAGTATGAAACATATAATAACAGCTACAAAGAATCACTATCAGGATCTGGTTGTCCGATATGGCCTGGAGATTTTGAATTACTATATAAGTATGAAACATTCAATAACGGCTACAAAGAATCACTATCAGGATCTGGTTGTCCGATATGGCCTGGAGATTTTGAGTTACTATATAAGTATGAAACATATAATAACAGCTACAAAGAATCACTATCAGGATCTGGTTGTCCGATATGGCCTGGAGATTTTGAGTTACTATATAAGTATGAAACATATAATAACAGCTACAAAGAATCACTATCAGGATCTGGTTGTCCGATATGGCCTGGAGATTTTGAATTACTATATAAGTATGAAACATTCAATAACGGCTACAAAGAATCACTATCAGGATCTGGTTGTCCGATATGGCCTGGAGATTTTGAATTACTATATAAGTATGAAACATTCAATAACGGCTACAAAGAATCACTATCAGGATCTGGTTGTCCGATATGGCCTGGAGATTTTGAATTACTATATAAGTATGAAACATTCAATAACGGCTACAAAGAATCACTATCAGGATCTGGTTGTCCGATATGGCCTGGAGATTTTGAATTACTATATAAGTATGAAAAATTCAATAACGGCTACAAAGAATCACTATCAGGATCTGGTTGTCCGATATGGCCTGGAGATTTTGAATTACTATATAAGTATGAAACATATAATAACAGCTACAAAGAATCACTATCAGGATCTGGTTGTCCGATATGGCCTGGAGATTTTGAATTACTATATAAGTATGAAACATATAATAACAGCTACAAAGAATCACTATCAGGATCTGGTTGTCCGATATGGCCTGGAGATTTTGAATTACTATATAAGTATGAAACATATAATAACAGCTACAAAGAATCACTATCAGGATCTGGTTGTCCGATATGGCCTGGAGATTTTGAATTACTATATAAGTATGAAAAATTCAATAACGGCTACAAAGAATCACTATCAGGATCTGGTTGTCCGATATGGCCTGGAGATTTTGAATTACTATATAAGTATGAAACATATAATAACAGCTACAAAGAATCACTATCAGGATCTGGTTGTCCGATATGGCCTGGAGATTTTGAATTACTATATAAGTATGAAACATTCAATAACAGCTACAAAGGATCACTATCAGGATCTGGTTGTCCGATATGGCCTGGAGATTTTGAATTACTATATAAGTATGAAACATTCAATAACGGCTACAAAGAATCACTATCAGGATCTGGTTGTCCGATATGGCCTGGAGATTTTGAGTTACTATATAAGTATGAAACATATAATAACAGCTACAAAGAATCACTATCAGGATCTGGTTGTCCGATATGGCCTGGAGATTTTGAGTTACTATATAAGTATGAAACATATAATAACAGCTACAAAGAATCACTATCAGGATCTGGTTGTCCGATATGGCCTGGAGATTTTGAGTTACTATATAAGTATGAAACATATAATAACAGCTACAAAGAATCACTATCAGGATCTGGTTGTCCGATATGGCCTGGAGATTTTGAGTTACTATATAAGTATGAAACATATAATAACAGCTACAAAGAATCACTATCAGGATCTGGTTGTCCGATATGGCCTGGAGATTTTGAGTTACTATATAAGTATGAAACATATAATAACAGCTACAAAGAATCACTATCAGGATCTGGTTGTCCGATATGGCCTGGAGATTTTGAATTACTATATAAGTATGAAACATTCAATAATGGCTACAAAGAATCACTATCAGGATCTGGTTGTCCGATATGGCCTGGAGATTTTGAATTACTATATAAGTATGAAATAATAATAGCTACGACAAAGGAACAGTATTTATTTGGTCATTAAATAAGAATATCTAAAGAAAGAATTAGAAAATGAAAAATTCATTGAGACGAGAAAGATTCTGATTTATAAACCTTCAACCCTATTTTACAGTTTCTTTACAAAATCGGACATAGAATCCTATGATCAGTATGAAATACATAGATGTTCATTACATTAATTGAAACTGTCTAGAAGAGAAATATACACCTCATCTAGAAAACATTCCTAAGTATTTTTAGAATGTGTTAATTATATGTTGAAATCTTTTGTAATCAGAATTGTTACACTTAATGGTAAGTGTTATTTTTGTTTTATATAACATTTAGTTGATATGTAGATTAATAATAATTTACAATTCATATGAATTCCAAATATTATTATCATCTGAAATAAATTTAAGAAATATATTTTTGACCGTACTTGGAACAATTTATGATGTACAATATTTAATACATACCTTTGTCAATTCATCTCTCAGCTTGTATATAGGCAAAGACTGCCTCTGTTCCAGTAGTGACAGGTTAGTTTTCTTTCCAAATGAGGATTTCTTTCCACCGATCACATGTTTCTTCCACTCAGGTAGATCCTGTGGTGTGATGCCGGTGCCTCTCATGTTAGCAGCTAAGGCCCTGCCGTCTGCTTCTGGCAGAGGATCTATCCAGTTCTTATTGAGCCCTGTGGGTAAACTCTCCATTTCCTGTTCCCTCTGAATCATTTTCTGTTCTCTTCTCTCCTTTGCTAGAGCTGACTGCATCATGGCAGCTTGAGCCAGTGATCCATCGGGATTCTTGACTATTCTGACTGGAGACAGGTCGTGTAGAGCTCGCCCATGTCCTTGTAGGAAGGGCGGTTCTTCTTCGACCAGTTCTATCTCGATGTCCGCTTCACCATCTTCCTCTTTGGGCAGAAGACCCGTTTCTTCATCGAAATCTGGCAACTCGCTCTTATCGATCACACCGGAAGATATCATCTGGATAAAAATAGAGGAAAGAGATAATTATTACAAACTGTATTAGAATATATAGTATGAAGACATCAATTCATTATGTAATTGTTCTCGATAATATAGAAAGATAAGACAAAAAGAAAAAAAGACAAAGGCTATCTTTTATCCCGCTTCCGTCTCCGATTCCAACACCACACGGTTGTAGCCCTGAAGTGCAATTCTGATTTAGAGGCTATAGTGGCAGAGAACAACTCTGATGTCCAAGCAGATCAACTTTAGGCATGAGTCTAAAGATAATATAATCATACCTGTTTGATCTCCCACCTCTCCGGGCTGGATATCCTGGTGACCCGCTTCCTGCTGGAGTCTTCGTCCGGGTCGAGCTGCAGGCCCGCCAACACGGCCGGCGGACGGTCCGGGTTACGACCTGAACGCTCCACCTACATACCATTATGTTATATTAGTAAGATAATATTGTATATTGTATATTAAATTACTATGTACATATGTTAATCCTATATTATATTAGAAATGTTGGAGAGTGTAATGTTTGGAAAAGTAATTAATAATTATATTGGACACTGTAACCTAACTTATTTAAAGTAGCTATGCTATACCGAGTTAGTATATATTACTTACTATAATACTTATTACTATAACACTTATTCCGCTAGATTACACGTAGACAGAATTGTTTTAACTGAAATGTTTTAAGTGTTTGTAATACACACAGACCCAAAAAATATAAGGTAGTTGTATTTAAAACAGATAATAAATAATAATATATCTTTAGCTTAGTGTAAATCTGTATTTATAAAAAATGGAAAATATCTTTGCATATATTAATTTAGGACATGTTAATAAAATTATGATAAAACTTCTATTGTCCATACCTCTAGATGTGCATGTGATGTTGGATTCAAATCCTTGCCGGTCTCTTGACAGACGTCCTTCATTGTCAGTGATACTTTCTGTCCAGTCACTGATAGAACTTTCACCTAAAATATTGCCAAATTAAATATGTTACTAATATACACTATTATAACGTTTTTCTAAATCTAATAAAAGCAGTAACTGTAATTATGTCTTATAGCATGTTAATACATTATCTTGACTAATACATTCTTGATGTCAAGTAACTACAGCTCGAACATGGGCTGGGTCAACCGGGGAAGTGCAAACTCTCACAGAAGATCGGCGTGAAATCTTTTATTGCTATATTTCGAACGATGAGTGAGAGAGACGGTTCTCTTTTCCCACCCTTTCCTCTCCCTCTTCCTAAATCAAGGTAGTCAAAATATCCGTAAAACTATTTTTCGGATGTCCATGACCGACGGTACTACCTCCATTAGGTAGACCATCTGTTTGTTTACCCCTTAAATATAAATTAACAAAATAATATATTACATACCTTCACTTTGTCACCCCTGGACACTACATCGGATACATTCGTGACTCTTCCTTCAGCTCTGAGTTGTGAGATGTGTACGAGACCCTCCCATCTCTTCCGCAGCCCTTCCATTTGTACGAAGCAACCAAACGGAACTATGTTTGCCACTCGGCCATTGTAGATCTGAATTGATAAATACAAGTCAAGTCATTAATTTACATAGCTTTATATGGCAATAGGAGAAAAAATCTCTCAGCACTCCATGGACTCACCGTGCGGGTGCCGGGCCCATCGCAATTACAATATTTTATTAATATTTACGTAAATACAAATTTTCTCTGAGCAATGAACCTAAAGTAATTACTTGAAGCCAGTATGTTAATTTCCAATAAAATATAAACATATATGTATATTAGGTGATACAATTCTATATGAAATACGAACTATATATTTGGTACTCACTTTCCCAGGTTCAGGATCATCGGTCATCTCCACCTCAGCACTTCTTCTTTTCTGACTCCTGCCATAATCATTATATTTATTTCTCTCTTTTCTTTCATATGAACGAGACCTGGATCTAGATCTTCTATTAGACCTGGATCTTCGTTGCCTGTCTCTAGACCTGGATCTATGTCGAGGTTTACTTCTGGAACGTCTCCGTCTATCCCTGTCTCTGCTTCTATTTCTTCTTTCTTTGCTATGACTTCGTCTGCTTCTACTGTGACTTCGTCTGCTTCTACTGTGACTTCTCTTACGACTACGGCTTCGGCTACGTCTATCTCTATCCTTACTGCGGCGTCTCCTCTCCCTACTTCTGCTACGTTTTCTTTCTCTTGATCTTTCTCGCTTCCTATGAGTATCACTACGATCTGGGCTCTGATCTCTCTTCTTGACAATATCTTTTTTTGACTCTTCCTTAGTTTTATTTATATTGGATGGCGCTAACGCCTCAAGCGCTGCCATTGCATCTACAACATCATCACTCGACTCCTTAACTTTAGATTCAGTTTTAAATATATCCTTTGCTGTTATTCTCGTATTTTTATTATCATCATCGCTTTCATCGTCTGATGAAAATTTACTAGGTTTATCATTGGGAATAGCCAAACCTGGAAATTTGCTTGCCAGAGGATTAGTGCTCTTCACCTCTTTCTGTGTCCCTTCAGTTTGATTGTCAGTAGGTTTCATATGTTGTATAATACGTAACAGGTTTGTCATGAATGAGTCAGAAAATTCTGCACCATTTTCAATAAGTGCTTTCTTAAAATTATCAAAGTTTGGATTCTTGTCAGCCAAATCGATGATGAACTCAGCTAAAAACAAATAACAAAATGTAATTATTAATGAGTTTGTTGGTGTATGACAATATATTTTTAGAGATGAAACGGTAAGTGCCTTGGCAGGACAGCAGATACTGAATATTTGGTTCTTTTTTATTTTTATATAAATTTAGTTTTTTTAAGACAACTAGACGACCTATCAATTTTGGGGGTCTATTAATTTGAATGAGAAACTGCAGGCGAAAGGCTGTTTTCAGAAGCAGGTCTGGTATAAGAAGCTAAGAATTTCCTGCTATAAAGAAATGTGGAAACTTCATATTCATTCACCAAAATTCTGAGTATTGAGTAAAAATAAGTTGTCAATAATCTATTGTGGTACCTTTAATGTAATTAAAATTTTTTGCCTTACATTAAAAAATGTGTTTTCTTTTTATTTTACTATCAGGTATGCAGCCAGATTCCCAAAAGTAAAAGGAAGGCCAGCTACTGCCAAGTTACCTGATATCCACTTCATCTCTACATATTATTACTTACAGTTCCTCAATATTATCATATATTTACATAAAATAAGGGTTTAAAGTATTTGATTCTGTTTAGAATTTTCTTCAATTATTGACAATACACTGATTTCTAATCTTATAAAAAATATTTAACACATTAAATAATTTGGTTCAATAGGGTATTATGAATAGAGGCACTCAGGTGATTTTTATCATAGTAAATTTGAAATAATGTAATAATATATGAAATTTTTAATAATATATTAAATTGAAACTATTTTAAACAAAGAAACACTTCATTTTATTAATATAAAAATAACTTACCTAAATCTTTATCATTCAATCCCAAATGGTTGTCCAACTCTGTGCATATTTTGGACACCAGAGAAAGGTGTTCTAGTTTTGAAACTTCATCCATGTTTGTAACTTATTTTCTTTACCGTCTCATACCTGGAGTATAAAAATTATTTATTTGCGTGGCCACAAACAAATTATTGCAATATTTTGAGTTTTGGCTGCAATGTGTTGAAACTTGTTCCTTTGACACTTAGTATGTGTCAAAAATGTTTTCACAGGATACACCTAAACTTCTTAGGAGTTTTGGCCAAAGATTATACTCTTTAAATTATAATTGATTCGATAAATTTGTTTTTATTAATTTTAATTTATAAAAGAGCAAATTAATTTTAAGATATATTTTTAAAAGGACCGTACAATATTCAACAATGAATATAATTTGACTATATTCCGGGAATAGAACTGAAGACATCAAATGCTTTAATTGTCATTTATCCATCAAAATCGAATCAGGTCTTGGAAAATTGTCAACTGACATTAAAGTTGGATAATGTTTTTTAACAATTATTCTGTTTTATTTTATTTTTAACTACCTATATTACATGCGAAGTGGAAAACTACTCTCGAAAATAACGTAGCTTGATGTTTTAGGCAAGTCATTTTATTAGTTTTATGTATAACTTTTAAAAGAATGGATAACACAGACCACTCCGAACAAAACAATTTCAGTCCTCTCACTGTCCAAGAAGTAGACGTTGATTTTTTACCGATTGTGTACGAAATCATACGAAGGTATATTAATAACTTATTTTTAGATATATTTTAGAAGATATACAAATATATAATCTGTTTTTTCTTATTACGTAGTGTTGAACGAGACTTCCACGATAATTCTGCTAAAGTGCGAGAATCCCAGGATTGCAGTTTGAAAGTGTTAGAGTTACAGAGAAAATTCGACGTCGCTCGATCTCAAGTATGTTATATTTTTATATCTGATTAACAGAATCTATGATCTTTTTTTAAGTAATGTAAATATATTTTTTCAGATTAAGCGGTTACCAGGAATTGAATACAATAAGCAGGATCAATTGAAACAATTTGAGATTCTCAGTACTCAACTACGACTGAAGAGAGAGTTGTTACAGAGATACCGTAATATGTGCTCTTTTGAAACATCATTCAAGTGATCAGAATGCCGTTACGAACTCTACTCAGATATCTAGCAAATAATGAACATCTTGTGCAGAGGATCGCTGAATCTTATCCAGTGCGAAGAGCTGCACAGTTAGCGGTGTCCGTATTTTTTAAAGGAAAAGAGAAAATCTCCGATATTGATCCCGGAAAACTCAACAGATTTTTAGTTTTCTTAAGGAAATTCAGAGAAAACCTCCGAGAGGGCATCAATGATGCCAAAAGACAATTAAAAAAATGATTTTCTTGTGCTAGAATAATTAGGAATGGATTTAGTCAAATAATAATAATAAAACACACTTCCAACTAGATTTATTATTTTTTTTAAATGAATATAATATCCTTTTACTTATACTATTAAAATCACAATGGTTCTGAAATTAAATACTGTGATCATGGTATAAAGGTTTGCTAGCTTTACTCATATGGTATATTGTTTTGGAAAATCAATTTAAATTGTTTTAAATTACTTATAATATTTATCTTCACATTTGAACCCTTGAATAACCGAGGTACATCACAAAATCAACTAAATCATACATTTAACAAACAAGCAACGCTATGTTCAACCATATTTAATTAGAAACTCAAACAACCTCTATGATATGTCTGTTTTGTCTTCAACAGTGAAAATTAACTTTGACATTTGATACAAACAAAATATTACACACTACTTGTAAAGAAATAAGACACCTAAATACACCATAGAATTTTTAGCCGTGAAGCTTCTCAATAGTTTAATAAGTGAAGATCAATGAAAAAATCAAGCAAGAGATCTTACAGCGGTCTAAAACTAAGTAGACTGTAAACATCTACTGACTACTACATATTAAAATGTTCTGAGAACATACAAACACCAATTTATTGTTCACATGAGATTTAGTTAACGTGAATTTGTTCACACCGATTGCAATACATGATGAACTTGTGAATTTTGTTATACGAAATAAAGAGACGGTATTCTTGAATAATAAAATATTCAACTCCTATAACTATAGATATTAGTTAAGTAGAAAATTATGAAGGTCAATATTTGTATTTATTGTAAGAACTACGCTGATATTTCCATATGAAGTAGATATTGAATTTAATATCAGGGTGCTAAAGTTATATAGTTAGTTGGCGGCTAGCGCAGATTGCCCCGGTGTAGGGTGTTGAGGGTGCTGCGTCTGTGACTGCTGTGACTGTGGAGGGTGTTGTGGGTGTGGCTTGTCGTGTCGCTTGCGGCGCCGCGCGACTGTTCCCTTGTCCGCTTGCAACTCAAACGGAGAATCCACAGCTGTCACGTCGTTTTCTTGAGGTTGCTGTGTATTAATGATAAATATTAATATATATAATATATATTGTTCAAAGTTTTTTTTTGAAAATGAACAGTCTATAGCTTATTCATAAATATTATTTTCATCAGAAATGAGCAGAGTGAAACAATGTGTGAGAAGCAGTATTACTAAAAGAATAATTTATTAGAAATATATATTTTTCACTAGGTACTTTTATATTTTATTGAGTCATTTGGGTCTACCTACTTTATTTTCTTTCGAAGACTTGACGCGATACTCAACACCGTACGTATCTTAATTTAAGTCAATACATATACAGGGTGACTGGTGAATTACTATCAATATTTAAGGAGCATACTCGGTTCATGATTCTCATTCGAATTATGTAAAAAAAATAGGTACTTAATTTTTGACAAAATTTCCGTATAAATAAATAAAGTGCGGACACGTTCCAAGTGTTCCAAGTGTGGACGCGTGCGGCGGCGTGCTGATACAACACTACGAAGCCGCGCGCGTATGTGTGAGTGTGTGTGTATACCTAATCTGTAGGGTGTTCACACGATGCGTAATTAATTATATAACTTTTGGTAAACTTTACTTAGAAGTTTATTAATATTTATGTTATATTAATTTTTATTTTATCATATATGATCGTCAAATATCACGTCCTCAAGTATCGATAGTAATTCACCAGTCACCCTGTATACTGTACTAGTTTACAATCAGTCAGCTGAACGTTAAACTTATATACACTAACGTATTTTATGTTTGTAACAATCATTAAAAGACGATTAGCACGGTTAAGAGTTCATTGACCTTACCACGAATGTCCAACAAACTGAATACTAAACATTTTAAGTTTTTCATTTATAATACAACCTGAATACTATAATGCACCAAGATTTCTGAATGAAAATATGAAAACGCTGGGTATTTCATTTATGGAAACGGACATCTGGTGTAAAGGCATGTACACATCTTTATATATATAAAAATTTCCTGTCACGTGTTTGTCCGCGATGGACTCCTAAACTACTGAACCGATTTTAAATTTGGTTTGCATTCCGTGTGCATTTTGATCATACTTAAAAGATAGGATAGATTACATCTCAATTTATAGTCACAATACTATTTTCGATACGAAGTTCGTCGGGTCTTCTAGTATAATATAAATTTTATTATTAGTTCCGTACATGCGCGTTCCTCTGTCTGTTGGAGGGAGCGGTCCTCGCCGGTCGTGCGGGGGGCCGCGCCGCCGGCTCCGGTCTCAGCACGTTCCCCACCGCTTTGGTGCGACCTTCACGGAAAACCTGCAACCATACACTTTATAGTTCTGGAGACTCATATTAAAGGTAGTCTACATCTATGACATATCAATTAGACGTACATAAATTCATTGGGATATCACAATAAGATAAAGGTTATAATTTATTCAAAAATTAGATTTAATTTCCTAATTGATTGATAAATGTCACGAATATTATATATTCTATTAAGTCATTGGCTCTAGCTGGCTCTGTTAGTTGGTCACGAATTAACCATATTCTCAAGGAACCCAATTCCGAATTCTAAGTGGAAGTCGCTAGTAAAAATTAGGGTTGCCATAAACTTAAAAAATAAATAAATAAATACATATGTCTTTTTATTACCATTCTCTGTCCCCTCCGGAGGTACTCGGGATGTTTAATGAACCGGAAGCGCACGAGCGCCTTGTCCCCGGTGCGGAGACAGTCGCGCGACATGCTCAGGATGGACGCCGTCTGGCGGATACTGCCGCAGTGGACTGGGGAGAAGACACGGTACTAATGTTAATCATCTTCTACCTGGCAATTTCCTAGCTATAGCCAGGGTCTGCCTTACATGTTGTGAATAGTTTTGCTATTTGTTTTTACGACCGGCCGCCTGCCTGACATCAACCCTCTTTGGTAATGCATTAATCAGTGATGTCTAAATACTCTTAGAAAGTACATATGACTCGGAAAAATCACATTGGTACTTGCCCGGGCCAGGATCGAACCTGCGCCCTTGTGCATGAGAGGTGGGCCTCTTAACCACTAGACCACCACTGACACGATAGTAACGTTAATATTATATTAAAATAGGTGGGAGTTGTGGCTATAGTGGATGGTTTATGGTGGATGATTCATTGCGGATGGTTCATAGTGCACGGTTTTTGATGGATGGATTTCTTTTCGCAACATAAATCCGTACCCATAGCCTGGTATCGCGAGGAGATGGTGGTAGGATGGTGCAGCACCAGTATCTCCCCCTCGAACTGCCAGCACGCCTGGGGCTCCAGCGACGGGGACACCATCACCATACCCTTACGGATCTGGGATCTTTTGATCTGAACATATAATAAGGAGTTATAGGATTTTTCTTATTTTATTAACACAGCTTAAATATAGGAATAATATGTTGAAAAGAAATATATTGTCTGAATAAAGCCTGTACCTAGTAGAGAATATACTGACCAAATTCTCTCGTAATACGAATTATTTAAAACATATAACTAGAAATAATTTGAATGAATATTATTATTAATAGAAACATGTAAATTTAAAAAAAAAAACAATATTTGCAAGACCACAAGTAACATATCTATGTCGATATAATTAAACAATTAGGAATCGTGAAAAGAACCTTTGATTTATTGGTTTTCAGTATCACCAACACTCCTACCGATAGTATAGAAAAAAATACAATACAAAAACAAACTTCATTTCTTTAAGTTCCGATCCAGTCAGTATAGAATATTAAATAAATTTGTTTATACTATGGACGACTATTTCAAGTCTCTCCCAAGAACGTGTGTGGCGCAGGTTATAAAGCGCTATCTTCTCCTGACCGTAATGTGTTATAGGCGCGGGTTCGATTCCCCGGCACTACAATCTCGGTAGAAATAAACGAGGAGAGTATGCTTTTGTTATTATTTAAAATATTTGGACCCAAAAAAAAAATGGAAGAAATATTTTTTATTCCATTTATACAATTTTGGTATAAACAGAATAGAAAAATATTTCTTCGTATTATTTTAGGTGTTAGGAAACATATATTTTATTGAACAGTATTTAGACATCCGGGGCGTACACAGTGATTTGGGGTAGAATAATACTAATTTTCACCATAATTTTCTCCTCTAAAACATTGATAATAATATTTGCCCATAAAATAACAGCAGTCTCAACAGAACTAACATCTATATATTTAACTAGCTTTTGCCGCGGCTTCGTCCGCGTGGAATAGTTACTTCCGACAGATTTTTAGTTCTTCCCACATAGTTCCCGTTCTTGCGGGGTTTTCGGAATGGTCGAGTTCCCGTAGAATTTTCAGGATGAAACCTATGTTTTTTTTAAAATTAATAATGAAGTACTCTTAACCAACAACATATTTATTAGTTTTTATGAATAAAGATTAATATTATTATTTTGATACAACTTAAACAAATTATTTCGACAAAATTAGGTACCATAAAAACGGTTTTTGTGAGTTAATCTTAAAAGATAGACATATACTGTCGCGGACTGTTTTTTAGATCATTAAAAGAGCTATTATTCTTTAATACATATTTTTTGTATATCTTGAACCGTTTTCACGGCGCACGCAACGGAAGGCTTCAAAGATGAAATAATTTCTCCCGTTTTTTACACATTTACCACTATATCTTTTATTATGTTATATAGCTCACAGCCTTCCTCGATAACTGGACTATCCAACACAAAAAAAGAATTATTCAATTCGAACCAGAAGTTTCGGACATTAGCGCTTTCAAACAAACAAACAAACAAACTCTTCAGCTTTATAATATTAGTATAGATAAATCTATCAACTATCGCTGAGCAACGATAATATCTTAAAACGATTACGATCTGTTCAACGCCGTTTTATGAACAAATTTGCAAACAAACAACTCAAACAAGATAACTAATTTGTGTGTACACAACCTGCTAGTTAATTATAATTATTATAATACTTTTTATTAAAACGAGTTACATAACATTTTTTAGTTGAATCTAAACTGGTCGCTTTCCGTTTCTAATTATTTTAATTTTATCATCAAACGACAACCTTAAAAATGTACTCGTAATTAATTAAACACATACCAGTACAGATACCACAGTTATAATTTTCCATAATTCATTAATATATTAACTAATTAGCTAATGAAAACTTATTAATTTGAACTTAGAAAGACAGTAATAAATTAATAATAAAATGAGGAAAAAATATTTGTTTGGTATACCGACAAATTAATAAGTCCCTAATAAAATTTCATTTGACAATCAACTCAGCTTCTATGACGTTTAAAACGAGTAGTGCCTTTCGAACAATTATGTAAAACATAACATGCATAGTTTTATTCACACACACATACAAACATTTCCTGCATACAACACGAGATTTGTCGATCGACCTTGAGAATTTTTGTATGGAAAATAAACACCGAGTAGTTGTGCATACCGCTGTGGCTGAATAGCGGCGCTAGTAGTTAACAGTGGCCAATCGAAAATGTTAGTTATTATGTTGAGAGATGGCACTTTAAACAATTTTACCATATCGTGTATCATAGGACGTATTTAAGATCTGTTAACATCCATATTTCGTAATGTATGATTAAAAGTATTTAAGTAAGAATTAGACAATATAGTTTTAATTCTCCTACTGTGTGGACGCCACTGTTAGATGACTTACATACAAGACACAGATAGAACATTTTAAATCAGCCAAACAATACAGAATATGAAGGTTTCCTGGAAAAGATCGCTGTTTTAGCGATAAGGCCGCCTATTGTACATTACTTTTCTTTGTTTTACTCCTATTATTTTGTCTATATTGGTGTGCAATAAAGAGTATATAAATAAATATGAACCTTACAGAGTCTAGTCATAAAGTACCTTCTTAAGCGCGAAGCTGGCCGTCTGTCCGCCGCGCACCTCGGCCACGCTCATCCGTTTCCGGTGTATGCTCTTGACGGTGATGGGCGCGAACCTTCCCAGAGGGTCGGGCCCCAGCAGCAGCGTGTCGTTGAGGCGGATCACGCCCGCCAGCGTGGTGCCCGACACCACTGTGCCCACACCCTTATTAAAAAACCTCATATTAGTATCATCATCATCAGCCTATCAGAACCCACTACTGAGCAAAGCCCTCTTCTCACATGGAGAAGGTTTGAGCATTAATCACCACGCTTGCTTAACGGGTTGGTGATTTCAAACTTATAATTGTGAAACTATAAGTCCAGGTTTCCTCACGATGTTTCCCTTCATCGTGTGTCAGTGATGTCTAAATACTCTCAAAGTACATATGACTCGGAAAAATCACATTGGTACTTGCCAGGTTCGAACCCGCACCCTCCGCAACGAGAGGCGGGCGCTTTAACCACTAGGCCACCACTGGCTTCACCATGTAAGTATGATTTCAACGATTTCTCATATATAACTAAGTGTAATAGCTCACAGGCACGGAGTATGTGTCGTCTATCTGGAACTCAGCGGGCTTGTCGTCCTGTGACGGCATGCGAGTCTTCAGCAGGTTGAGGAACATGGTCAGCAGCTCCAGGTTCTCACCAGACACATTCGACACTTGGAATATGGGGCACAGTCTGCGAATATACATATGATACAGCAATTATAGTACTGGCTCTGAACATTCGAGAACTTTGTTATATCAAAATTTATTATATATTAATACAGACTAGGAATAAACAACAATATATTTAGGGCCTGACCTTTGGGAAACGAAGTTGGTGGCGCTGACAATGACGTCATCCCTGGTCTTCACCATGACGGGCACCTTCCGACACCCCGACGACTTGAGGATCCTGATCAGTAGCTTAAGGTTATCCTGTTACAACGGAAATAGTAAATATTATGAAGACCTGAATGTTCCTACTACTTGTATGAGTATCTACGTGTGTGTGTGTGTGTGTGTGTGTGTGTGTGTGTACACACCTGTAGAACGTTTGGCGGGCACATATCTATTTTAGTGACGACCACGAACACCGGCACAGACAGAGCCAGCGCCAGACCGAGGTGCTCCTTCGTCATGCCCACGATGCCCGCGTTGGCACCGATCTATTCACATACAACACGGTCATATTACTATTCCAATCATCTGTATAAGTATAACAACCATGTTACACAGGATTATTTGTATTCAAACACCCTATATATAAAAAACTAGCTTTTGCCGCGACTTCGTCCCTCTGGAATAGTGACTTCCGGCAGATTTTTGGTTCTTCCCACATAGTTCCCGTTCTTTCGGGGTTTTCGGAATGGTTGAGTTCCCGTAGAATTTTCAGGATAAAACCTATGTTTTTTTATTCACAATGAAGTACTCTTAACCAACAACATATTTATTTGTTTATTTGAATAAAGATTAATATATATGTTGATACAACTTAAACAAATTATTTCGACCAAATTAGGTACCATAAAAACGGTTTTTGTGAGTTAATCTTAAAAGATAGACATATACTGTCGCGGACTGTTTTTTAGATCATTAAAAGAGCTATTATTCTTTAATACATATTTTTTGTGTATCTTGAACCGTTTTCACGGCGCACGCAACGGAAGGCTTCAAATATGAAATAATTTCTCCCGTTTTTTACACATTTACCACTATATCTTTGCTCCTATTGGTCGTAGCGTGAAGTTATATAGCCTACAGTCTTCCTCGATAACTGGACTATCCAACACAAAAAGAATTATTCAATTTGAACCAGTAGTTTCGAAGATTAGCGGTTTTAAACAAACAAACAAACTCTTCAGCTTTATAATATTAGTATAGATGTCATTAATGATCCACGTTACTTCATCATTGTAGGATCCCTAGTCCTACATGTAAGTATAACTAGTCACTGGCTCACTACTACCCCGCCTAGAGCGACGCACGTCACCGTTCTGCTCCGCTCTAGTCATTAGACTGCCGAGCGCATGCTGTCCCCTCCAGTGGGGTACGTGAGACAGTGTATTATATCTATTGTGTAGATATAATACACTACAATCATGATTTTGTTAACCAAGTACCATCAGCATCCCAAAGTCGGGCGCGTGTCCGGTCATGCCGAAGACGGTCGTCTTGAGGTATCTCTCGTGTCCCGCGAGGTCAATGAACGTGATCACCTTGGACGACTTCTCACAGATCTTCACCCAGTCGAGGGCCCCATGTTCGGGCTTATTTACCACGTTACCTGACAGATACAAACAATATAAGATACTGTAACATCAATATTACTGATTATACAGAACATTTAATCCGTTGCATGTATATATTAGAAAATTAAAGAATAAGAAATGTTGACAGAATTCGTCAGATTGTGAAAAAAGTTTAATGAAATATACCTAGGATAAAGAACATTACTGGTACCAACTACTAAATATAAATATACATAGGTGTACAACTTTGCTTCCGCCGTTTTGCAATAGATGGTTGTAGCGGTAAGTGCTAGTCGAAATAAATAGATCGTTGATGTCATACAATAAGCTTAGGAACTTGTAAACATAACGCCATCGAAATATTAGTCGATTTATGTCTGCATCATAAAGTTATTCTCGATTAAACATGTCAGCTTACGAGCCAAATTCTCGTCATTTGCGGGAGGTTTTAATTTTCTGCTTTAATATGAAGAAATCTGCGGCTGAGGCTCATCGAATGCTCTCAAATACCTATGGTGAGGCTGCTATTAGTGAAAGAACGTGCCGAGAGTGGTTTCAACGCTTCAAGAACGGTGATTTTGACGTCGAAGACCGGCATGGCGGTGGAAGAGAGAAGATTTTCGAAGATGCAGAATTGGAGGCATTACTTGATCAAGACTCGTGTCATACGCAACAAGAATTGGCATGATCATTGGGAGTGATGCAACAAGCCATTTCAAAACGCCTGAAAGTCATGGGAATGATTCAGAAACAAGGAAATTGGGTGCCGTACGAGTTGAAGCCGAGAGATGTTGAACGGCGTTTGTTTGCTTGTGAATAGCTGCTTGCAAGGCAAAGACGGAAAGGATTTCTGCATCGCATTGTGACTAGGGACGAAAAATGGGTTCATTACGATAATCCCAAGCGCAGAAAATTATGGGGATATCCCGGCCATGCTTCCACGTCGACGGCCAAACCGAATATTCACGGTTCCAAGGTATGCTCTGTATTTGGTGGGACCAGCTCGGCGTAGTGCATTATGAGTTGTTAAAACCGACTGAAACAATCACAGGCGATAGTTATCGAACGCAATTAATGCGTTTGAGCCGAGCATTGAAAGACAAACGGCCGCAATACAACGAGATACATGATAAAGTGATTTTACAGCACGACAATGCTCGACCCCATGTTGCGAAAGTGGTCAAGACATACTTGGAAACGTTGAAATGGGAAGTCCTACCCCACCCGCCCTATTCTCCAGACGTTGCTCCCTCGGACTATCACTTGTTTCGATCAATGGCACACGGCCTGGCTGACCAGCACTTCCGGTCTTATGAAGAAGTTAAAAATTGGATCTATTTGTGGATCGCTTCAAAAGATGACCAGTTTTTTCAACGCGGGATTCGTATGCTGCCCAAAAGAAGGGAGAAAGTAGTGGCCAGCGATGGACAATACTTTGAATCAGAAATGTGTAACCAGTTTTTTACAATAAAGCCTCGAATTTCGAAAAAAAACGGCGGAAGCAAAGTTGTACACCTATTATGTATACAGGGTGACTGGTGAATTACTGTATCTCTTCTTAAAAAAAAAAGATATTACTATATCTCTTCTAAAAAACAATTTTTTGTCACAAAATTTGGTGAAAACTTTCTTTTTGATGTTACAAATGCACTGTAATTTATTTGATTAGAAATATTTATTTTGTCAGCTTATTTTGAATAAATACCGAAAAATCAGCCTCATTTTCTATCGAAAAAAAACCCGTCAAAATACCTGCTTTTTTCAAAAATTTGACATGTTTCCTATTCGTTGAAATCTCTATTTTCCGATAGTGAAGAAAAAATATAAGTCTCTTAATTGCAGTACTATTTTTGGATAAAATAATCATGTCCCTTTTAATAAAATGACACTTGACATCGTTTTGAAAATGCTTTTTATAATTTATTTTTAATATGTAGTTGTGTACTCTAGAAGTTCTTCAGATAATCCCTCTTTTAGGTAATTTACAGAAAATTGTCATTAAGCTGCTAAAACTTGTAACTGTAAATATATATATATATGATTTCCATGTAACCCCTCACCCATGCTGTCGAAGCCTAGTATATCGTTCCCCACAGAGCTGGTCCGTCCGCTCTCCGCCTCGTGTTTGTGTCTGAACAGTCTCTGTCGCGCGTACCCTCGCCCGTTGTCCAGCTCGCCGTGAGTCAACACGCCCAGTAGAGTCGACTTGCCCGCGTCCACGTTACCAACTACCGCCACTCTGGAACATTTATCATACATTTTATTGTCATCCAATTTTTACTGCATTTTTTTTATGTCAAAGGTGGCAAACGAGCAGACGGCCTACATGCTGTAAGGTAGTACCGTCGCCCATGGACATCCGCAACATGTTTGTTATGGATGCATTGCCAACCTTGTTTTTTTAGGAATAGGAAGGGGTAGGAATAAATAAATGGTAGGAAAGGGTGGGAAATAGAAAAAGGGCAACCGGCTCTCTCATTCATCGAACGAAACGCAGCCACTAAGGGCAACTTCACGCCGATCTTCTGTGAGAGGGTACTTCCCTGGTCGAGCCAGCCCATGTTCGAGCTGTAGTAACTTGACCACAGCTAAGCTCTACCATCTTTATATATAAAAGAAAGTCGTGTTAGTTAAACTATTTATAACTCAAGAACGGCTGTAGGTGTATGGTTGGAAATTGTTAGAAAGATAGCTTAGAACAAGGAAAGGACATAGTATACTTTGCGTCCGATCGAAGAAAAAAAATAAGTTGATCAAATCCAAAGTCTTTTAGGTCTTTAAGGAGGAATAGAGTTCATACGGTTAGCTATACATTTTTAATTCTAAACCTAACCCAGATGAAGTCGCAAGTTAAAACTAATAGAATTATAAAAATGATCCAATATTCGTTATAAATTAATAGAAAGATATGATACGAATAAGTGAGATGTAGAAAAATTCAGGACAAAGATTTTTCATAATACGATATTATTAAACATCTCTCCTCCATATAGATTCAGTACAAAATGACCTCATAATTATCTTCATCAGTTATATTGAAAATGAAAAAATGTTTATTAATTAAAAAAACAACATTATACAAATTAGAAAGAAATGTTCGGTGGTGCCCACACTAGGTATTCCTGTGTCGTGGGTACCAATTGATAGTTTTACACTACATGTTTATTGTTGTCGCTCAGCTTTGAATATAAATTATATAATTGTTTAACATACATTACATAATTTAAGTAGAATTAACTTACAAGTGGTCTATGTTAGTGAATAGGTACTATACCAAGTGCAAGAAAAGTTTTTCGGTGGTATCATAGGTCAATGAGGAGAGCCAAGAAATAATTTTTGTTTTGGCTTGTCATATTAGTCAAAGTCGTGTGTGTTCTCACCTGATCTCCATGAAGTCGTTGTGGTCCAGTTCAGTCCTCAGCAGGTACTGTCCGGCCACTCCACTGCCACAGTCCCATCGCCTCAGCTCCACGCACGAGATCCTCTCACTGCTCACTAACGACTGCAGGGTCGCTACTGACGCGCTGTACTCGTCTTCCGTAAGACCACGACCGTCTGTATACAATATTACAGTTCTAAAGCTATTTATACTAAAAATACAATAAGTTATATTTGCTAACAATATAATGGAACTAGATCTCTAGCTGAAAAGCAAAAATAAAAAACGCCCAGATCAAAAAAGTATAATACACGTGTCAAAAATAAAGAAAGTAAAAATACTTCCTTAATTAATTATCAATCGATAATAAAAATTGAAAAGAAAACTAATACTCACACAAACAAAAGAAGTACATGAAAATTTATTAACAAACATTGCAGGTATTTTAATATATCTTGTTTTGATAGAAATTAAAGACATGGAGAAAAAAAATTATTATTTAACAGGTAGAGGGAATCCAATTAGCTACTACATTAGGGTTCAAATAGATTCCATTATTCACTAATTAGACTAATCAAGATAAACACCTTTTGTTATAAATTAAATCATCTGTCTTATTAAATTCACTTACTTCTTTTGAATTTTGATTCATTATCCCATCAATAACTATATAACATTGTTATTCATAAAATATAAAATAAGTTGTACAAATATTAATTTACAACTGTTGTGAAAGTTACCGATGTTATGTGACGGTGTCATAAGTGGTCGTTTAATTAAAATATAATTATCTTTATACGGTGTAATCAGAGGACGCCTTAGCTTCTGGGTAAACTCGTCTTTTCTACACGGGTCTGAATCAGCAGTTCCGTGTGGAGAGAGTTTTTGGTTTTATATTTCTTTTAGGCTTTAGTTTTATATTTCATTTAAGAATTTAAATAGAACATTGTCACTATTTGTTCAACCTGTGTGCAACATAGTCAAACCCATAAGTTGTAATTTACTTTATAATTAAATTAAGTCAAATACTTTGGGTTTCATAGTATACGACCGTCCAAATCATAATTCAGACAATAACAATTGTTAAATAATATATATTGCAGTCAAACAAAACAAAAATTTACACGTTTATGTAATTATCTGTAACAGGTTCACAGATTATGCTACCTACCTTCTCCATGTCCGATGTCATAAATAATTTCTCCGTTCCCCGTCTCCAGTCGCTCCAATAGTTCCTTCCTCAGCAGATCATATTCATCAGCCGTCGGGCTCACGAGGATCATCTATACACAGACATAGTTAAAATCGCAGCAATCATTACAAGTTTTATTATATGGCTGTTAGAGAACATTTAATGTCTTTAATATATTTATAAATATTGTTATAAACCCATAACTGTAAAATATAAAATAACCAGCTTTCCGCCCGCAGCTTCGCCCGCGTGGAGGACGGTTATATCGCGGTTCCAAAAGAACCTTTCAAAAGTCTGGGATAATAACTGTCCTATGTTCTTTCTCAAGGTCAACCCTATCTCTGTACCAAACTTCATTAATATCAGTTCAGTGGTTTAGGCGTGAAATCATAATAGACAGACAGACAGAGTTACTTTCGCATTTATAATATTAGTAGGGATGTTGCATCATAATCAGATTATAGATATTTGATACATATTTTTGCATCTGTTACATGAGCATTTCAGGGGAATAACCTAATAGCATCACTGGTGTTTAGTACCAGATGCTAATGCTGAACCATCAGTGTAAATGGGAAAGTTAAGACGACACTGCATGCCTTGCAGCATCGGTGGGAATGGGAAATGGGTTTTAACATATATTCACTCCGCTTTACTCTGCACGGAGTCAACCGCTAAGTTATAGACATTTCATTAGGATAAGTCTTAATTATTATTGAATTTTAAATCAATTGCTGACTTAGAAGCATCTCTTTAGAATGTAGTTACCATAATATGGTTTTATAAGTAAAACTGATTTTTCTTGCATTCTCTGCTGCCAAATGTAATTTATCTACATTAATACTAATTCAAAATGTATCTACCTTTAATAATATATACATTTCATATTAAAAATGGTAATTATTCTGAAAGATAATACTTTGGTATGATAAAACAGGTAATTCTATATGAATGTGTAATTGCTACATAATTATGATGCAATATTACTAACAAAGAGATTAGTGTGTTAAGTAACAACACTCCATTAGAAACATATTTGAGATATATGTATCATATGAAATATATTTTTAAAACATATTACTTTTGCAATAATATATATACATTATGTTTTTAATATAAAAATTTCTAAGGGTTTACATTTTGAAATTTAATTTAGAATTATTATAATTTATAATTCTATCTTACATTTGTAGTATTGAGTTCCAGGGTATTTTTTAAGTTTAAAAATCATTGCACCACTGTTACTGTATATCGAAAACATTATTTAAGAGATACAAGGAAAAAAAGTTAAATTGTCACAGTTGTTACACATTTACATCATCCACATAATGCACATTACATTGATGTAACTTTAAAAAGACATATTTCGTTTTGTTAAGTAATTACTAATTATTATTAACAAAAAAAACTTAAATGTTTTCTTTTTAAGGAATGTTTCGGAACACGTTTCGCGCCTTACTATCAAACAATACACAAGCTATCGGAAGTTGTTATTTGTCGTCGTTTAAGTTTTTATTTACTTACTTTCCCTCTAATACTTGAATAATCTGTTTCACTCTCCCGTCTTTCCACTTCCGGGACGGGGCTCTCCGTCCTAGGGGATTCCATGTTCTTGTCCATAATTTCTGTATTATTGGTTTTTCCCGAAACACTTACACCATCATGTCATCACATAAAATAATAACAACAACCAAGCGATATGGTTTTATAAAAGAATTTTGATATAAACAATATTTTAAATTAGATACAATATGTAACTTTATGATTTTATTCAAGAATTTATAATTCAATGTTCTTATTGGATTGTTTTGTCGAAATTATGTACGCAGGAATAATTAGAACCAGAATCACTAGTACACTTAAAAATTCTTTAACTTGTAGAATGTATGAGTTATGAAAATAGATTTCAGCAAAATAAAACAGATGGAAATTATGCCAACTTTTTGACAACTCAGCTAGGGACCGCAACGTTCCTTTATATGTTGAATGACATATTCGGATACTTGGTCAATGTTATATATTCTAAATATTTCGAAATTTCCCCCATTAACATTTCGTATATATTTTTTTTATATATACATTGGCCTTACAAAATTCGTGGAGGTTCTCAATATTTTATTGTGAATATTCGTGAGTTCACTCTGATATTTATTTTATTTGTATTCTATATATTTATATTATCTATATGTCACAATATTGGCCTCTATGATACCTATGTCTGATATCAATATTTTAATATTTACATTTTAATTGGCTATGTTTTGCTTTCTATAAAAAGTGTTCCTTATTACATATTGCGATTTTTTTACTTGAAACAATGGTTTTGTGGATCCCATGGTCGTTGAATAATCAATATGGGTGATCTCAGCGCGTCCGATAGTACATGGAAGAAAATGGTGATAGCGAAGTGTAATAACAAATGGATGACCACAATGAAAAATAAATTCGAGTCTTTTCCTCCCGAGAACACTAGTAATTTATCTTTGGGCGAGGAGTCGTATGCATTTGGATCTGTTAAAGAGGAAAACGATACGACTAACGTCGAAGTTTATGGTTCAGAAGAACAATCTCGCTCAGAACCTATACAAGAAGAGGATCCGCTTCTCATCGAGAATAAGGGTCGCAGGAGGAATTCAGTTACTAAACCAGAGACTCCAGAAGAGAGAACAGCAAGATTGGCAAAAATGTCCGCGTATGCAGCTAAGAGGTTGGCTAACGAAACCCCAGAACAACGTTCATTTAGACTTAAGCGAATGTCAGAATATGCGGCCAAACGTTTAGCTCAGGAAACTAGTGAGCAGAGGGCCAAGCGATTAGCTCGTATGTCAGCATATGCTGCTAAACGGCTTGCCAGCGAATCTCCGGAGCAGCGTCAAGCGAGGCTGACACGAATGTCGGCATACGCGGCTCGAAGACAAGCTATGAAAAAAACAGGCTCCACCTCAACCAAAAACGTCCATCCCTCAAATGATATAAGTTCTAACAATATAGATACTCATTTTATGCCCGATTCCTTTAGTTAGCTTAAGTGAAAAACCAGAAATGTATATTATAGGAAGACAAATTATATTTAGAAATATAGTAAAAAATTAATAATAAATGAGTTTTTAATGAAAGATCTTATGAATAATTAACATGAAGCCTCATTCATAGATATGTAATTCTACAAATTTGTCTATGGTATCATAAGTACAAATAAAAACTTCTCACTGCTGACAAATCAGTTGGGTGCAATGGCCAGAAAATAATTTTATGAGAAAAATATTTTCTCTTAAAATTCAATCAAATGTTGCCAACATATTATGTTATATATGAGCCTTAGGAAATATTATTTTTGATTACATTTCTTATTACCATAAAAAAAAAATTAATTCCTACTATTCAATAAAATACAATCAATGTGGATTAAATATTTTTTTAATACAGATATATTTACATAGTAATAGCTACATACTAAGGACACTACCAAGCTATGCTTATTATTTGTAATATAATTTTAGTTATCAGGAATGTTTCTATCAGTCATAATAATTATATAATATGAGATATTTTAAACAGTGTCTCAGATTAAATTCGTAAAACATCAAAGCTTGATATTAAATAATTATTAACATACAAATAAAATTATAAAATACATCAGATCTTTACTAACATAATTAAATTCTTTTATACCAAGCTTACTGGTTTAGTGTTATATATTGTATCCTAAAAAAATATTTTTTAATACATACATAATTTGATATAAGAAAGAAAGAATTTAAGGTATATGTGTATAAAGTAAGAATTATTCCCAAAGAGGGTTGATGTAAGGCAGGCGGCCGGTCGTAAAACAATAAGCCAAAACTATTCACAGCATGGAAGGCAGACCCTGGCTATAGCTGGGAAATTGCCAGGTAGAAGATGTATAAAGTAAGAATAAGACATATTGTGTATAATTTTGATTTAGTGTTGCAGACGGTTGTATACTATTTGTTACTTTATGGGGACATATACTATATAATAAATCTTATTACATTTCTTACAACACTATTATTTTGTTGATATACCTTACATAAATGCTAATAGTACTGTGTCAATAAGTTATTTACAATACTTTTAACATAACGATTGTTCCATGATCCATCTCAGGATATATTTGTCATTTGTATATGGAAACGAATAAACTATTGCTTTTCACTGATTTTTAAATTTCAATCCTGATAAAGAATTACGTCAAATATATTATGGAGTCCAAAACCGTCATCGAATTTGACCCTTCTTATAGACCTCCAAATTAATGGACTCGCAGTCGATTCACACCCGGGACACCTTACAAGTGTATCTCAGGATGCGGCAAGACTGAGAGGGGGGCGCAGCGCTAGCACGGCGTGTCGGCCGCTAGCGGAGCACCCGCCAGCAGTTGGCGAGTAGAAGACGATGAACTGTAGGAGTCACCAGACGATCTCACGCTCGCTTGGGACAGGGGAGTGCCTACAACATAACACACGTAGTATCTTATAATTATTTGTATACTTGAATCAAATATAACACAATAATAGTGGCCTTTTATTCAGAACTATAGTACCTACAATAAAATGATAAAAATACAAAGAAAACTTTAATCTTATATACATAAATCTAGTCTCTTATTTGAATTTTAGAATTTTTTTTTTGCCAGTCGACATTTTCGACTCACATCTTTCTGTTACTCAAAACTCAAATAGTAAATATATAATTGAATATTACCGGGAAGGGATGTCACGTGATGCGGCAGAGCCCAGCGTTGAGGCGCGCACTCCCGCACTACATGAACTACCTCCTGACAACAAAAACACCGTTAACCACTTTCAAGACACACACATACACAACAATTACATACAAATGATATGGGCTAGTTAAATGGCAAAAATAAAACCAAACAATGCACAATGTAAACAAAATGGAGATGATGACGTCACAACGCTTGACCCTGAGCGACGCTTGTTACACGAAAATTGAAAAACAACATGGCAGCCTTCAAGGTCAAACACAACTCAAGCGACACCTACAAAGCTCGCCACACAAACGATATAGTCAATAAGTCAAATCACATATGTATATTATAAGAAACTAAACGAATTACATCTTTAAAAGACACTTATTAAATCCTCAATTAAATTAATTCAAAATAAAAACCATTAACCCGTTTACAAAGTATAGAATGAAATAGAAGCTTGTCAAATTATTGTTCTAAATTAAAAGTTTCAAGATATAGGATTATTTTTTTATGGAACCAAACATTCACACATTTCTCTTTATTTAATGGGTTATGAGGATTTGTATTATTATATGAAAACAACAAGATTTTCAAGTCTTTTAAGAAAATATTTACCTTTTAGACGGTAATCAAATTATTCATAAATGTTATGAATCAGTATAAGTCATACTTGTTTTGGTATAACAAATATTTCAATGAAAAAATAGAAACCCCAAACTTAAAATATACTTTAATATACCGAAGTATTAACTTTGTCAAATTAATAATTTTATGAATTAGTTGATTAAATAGTCATTTTAGTTAGGTACGCTTAACACAAGTTGAAAACGGTTTTTCATTCATACATCTTCGCACATAGTAATATATACATATGTATTTATTAAATTAGAACCCTGAGACGTTTTGTACGTAGTGCTTTAATACAAACTTGTCGTAAGCGTGAAATTTGTTCAGTGAGAACGTCAATACAAGACTATATCGTTCGCGCGCGTAACCACAGCAACTCACGTGCGTCCCGACCGCCGCGTTCGGACCGTCCGCTGTGTAAACGTCCGTGTGTTCCGCCGCGCCCTCGGCTGCTTGCAAACCCAACACTCACTATTTTTATATATCTACATACACTAATAATATCGGGGGTCGTAAAGCGCATCTTTAACAAGCGATGGCTATATAACTGCTGTATTATCGATGCCAAACCAATTTCACAAGTTACATAGGCGCAATGAATGTATAATGTACCTATAAAAACATTAATTCAGACGTCTAACTACTGGCTCGTAGGCGTGATACATCTGGGTTAATTCTATTATATATCAAGGTCATTATTTCGTTGTTTATGATCAACACATACAGAGCCTCTGTTTGTCGGTCCGTTCGTTTCGCTCGTCCCGCTCGTTTCGTTCGTTTCGCTCGGTGTCCGTGTGTTCGGGCTCCTCGGTGTCCGTGTCGTCGATGTGGGCCAGCGAGCCGCGCAGAGTGTCCGCGCTGTCTGACATCTTGCCGATCTATAAATAATATCATATAATATGTATGTATTGATATTCAAATAAAAACATATACTTTTAAAAATACGTGGGAAAAATATTGGCATTCTCTTTAATAGTATTTGTATCAAAAATCATTAGGTATTCACGTTTATCAATATTTAATCTGACGGCTGGGTATAATTTTGCTATACAATTCCATACAAACCTATTATATGTACAGATGATAACCCTGCTCTACAGAAGTCCATAGTAAGAGTATTATTATACTTTTGGTAAAAAAAAACGCCCTTATCGCCTAAGAGGCATTTCCACCATCATATAGTTTAGATATATGTAGTACATATCAAAGATGGATATATATGGATGGATGGTATATTCTTCATATAACTAATTGTACCCGTACCAGTATCAGTCAGTGGTGGCCTCAGGCCTAGTGGTTAAAGGACCCGCCTCTCGTTGCGAGGGCGCGGGTTCAATCCTGGCCCGAGTAAGTACCAATGTGATTTTTCCGAGTCATATGTACTTTCTAAGACTATTTAGACATCACTGATTAATGTTGATTCCCAATAGAGGTCGATGTCAGGCAGGCGGCCGGTCGTAAAAACAATTAGCCAAAACTATTCACAAAAATGTAAGGCAGACCCTGGCTATAGCTGGGAAATTGCCAGATAGAAGAAGAAGAATCTTCATAATTAAGTCCTCACCCCGTTAGTGAGGTGCGTCAGTAGCGGTGACCGCCTCTCGTCGTCGCTGTCTCCCTCCCCGCCTTCCCCGCCCTCCGCCGCGTCCCCCTCGCCCGTGACGTCACTGACGCTCTCCGCCTTGGCGATCTCCGGCCGGTGCTCAGAGTTGAGAGAGCTCTGTGGTAAGAATGACACTATTGTAACGAAGAACATGTTCAGGTTAAACTATTACTTGGACAGAGAATTGACCAGATAGGATTGAACCCTCTCACAGATCCATCTAAATTAGTTTCAGAGACCAAATTAATCTGTTTGCCATCGTCTAATCTTTAGCGTGTTAATTTTGATCCTGGGAGATAGTCTTTTTTTTATTTCTCTTTAGTACCATTTCCCAAAAACTTCCTGTTTACTGCAGCTACTTCACAATTCTCACGCTTCCTATCAAGTCAATCGACCTCAACACATATAATTTATAATTCCAGTACCTTAGAGAGTGCTTTCAGTTTGTTAAGTCTCGGTTCCTCGGCGTTCTTCTCCTCGTCGCGAGCTAATAACACCGACATACGGAACTGTGAACAAAGGATATATCCAATCACATATGGATGGTCCAAAAATGATAATCATTCCATAGTTTCTCATGAGTTATGAGATGTTTGTATGTGTGTAACCTCTGGTGTCAATGGATGATGGTGTGCGGGCTTCCTACTGCCGCCGCTGCCGAGCGAGGTGGACGAACTCCGCTCCAGGTTACAGCGGTTCAACACCTCCGCCGCCTGCAACAGACAGAACAATACTGAATCATATTGAGGAAAAGTTTACCTCAATATCGTTTAGGGTTGCCACCACATGAAATATTATTTAGCTATGACAATTCCTCTAACGCGTCACTAGGAGGAAAAAATCACCTCAATATCGTTTAGGGTTGCCGCTAAGAAAGACATTATTTAGTAATAACAATTCCTCTAAGTTGTCACTCCTTAACGGTATGGTCGGATATTATTTAATTTTACAGATCCACTTTACCTATACTGATTTCTTATTTACGATTTGTTATATATATTCTATGGACCAATAAGAATGAATAATTTAGCAATATGTACTCACCAGTCCGTACCAATAACCTACTAAAAATTGAAAGTGTACTAAAATATTTAGAGTCTCAGAATGTCGTAAGAATTTTTTTGGCAAGTTCAGCATTAGTTGGATTAAAAAAAATTATACCCTATGTTTGTCTGGGTTGGTACCTGTGAGGCGGTGTCCGTGTCAGGGCTGGCAATAGCGGGCGCGGTGGGCGGAGGCCGGGGCCTCGCTGCCGGTCCGTTTAGGGCTTCGATCAGGGACACCGGCTCGTAGCCAGCCGGGATGTTCTCCATACTACCCTGAACGTCATACACACATGGTATAGCAGTTAGATTTATCACGTATTAACTTACTGACTATTTTTTTTTATGACATAGAGGGCAAACGAGCAGATGGCCTAGCTCATGGGGTAATACTTAGCCCATGGACATCTGCAAAATAGTCTTGCGGATGCATTACCACCCTTATTTGGGAAGAGTGAGAGGAAAGAGTGGGAAATGTCAACACACTCTCACTCATCGGACGAAAGGTTGCCATTAAAGACTACTTCACGCCGATCTTTGTGACCTAATCTCTTACTTTAAATACACCAAAAACAATTAAGTACATATCCTGTCACAAGATATGTGATATTTCAAACTAAAAAAATAAAGGCTAAGTGTTATTTATTTATATGTTTCTAATATATAACAAATACTAACATCAGGTGGACTAGCAGCGGTGGGTAGTGCAGGGTTGGCGATCCTCTGTAAGGCTCTTATCTGCAGCAGAGCTCTGAAAGGCGCGCGACAGATGGGGCAGTTATTGGCCTGATAGCGGAGCGAGTCCGCGCACGAGTTACACAGGCAGAGGTGGCGACACGGTAGTATCAGCGTGTCACGCACGTCACACATACATATGACACACTCCGACCCGCCGTCCTCTGTCTCTTCGTCTGAAGGCGGCTTTATTTGAAACATTTACAATATCAATATCATTGTTCCATATATATAACTTGCCTACATCTTCATGTAGGTGAAATAAGCTAAAAAGTCCATAGTAAAAGTAATATAACTTTGCCCTAATTGTTTCGGCTATCCTTATATCACTACTATTAAAGTTCTATCAACAACTAGTTTAGCATTAAACATACAGACAGACAAACAAAAGTTATAATAACATACTAATTTATGATTATAAATACTGTATGCAATATACATCCATATGTATTAAGTATTTATTTTATTAGTCAGCATCATGTAAGTGTTCTCACCTGACTGCCTAGGTTCTTGTTCTCAATGCCGTATATCTCTTGTAACAAGTAACACAGGCCATCCACAAATAACTTCTGCTTGAGAGCCTTCAATACATATGTTCCATCTAAATGTTTCTCTATGATAGCTATTGTTGTATGAGACTGCCTTATTTCTGTAAATAGATAAGAAAGTTTGGTTAAATCAACTTTATATTAAACTTATTAAGTTTAGACTAAAAAGGTCTATTAATTAATTATCAGGGAATGCTGTACCAATAATTAATCAAACAAATTTGTTCCAGTCAGGCTAAACACTTTAAAATCAATAAATGATGTGATAAAATTAATTTTATACTTAATAATTTAAATTTATGTAAAGGAAAATTCATGACATTAAAATTAAATGAAAAGACTTTTTGTAATTAGTATCAAAACTTAAATAACCTAAGTAAGTAAAGTACAAAGATGTATGTTTTTTTTACATTAAATATATATATGACACAAGAATCTTTTAATAAAAATTAGTATAAAATACATCCCAGTTGAATATTTCTCAAACATCAAGATGGACAAACAAAAATTCTAAAGGTCTTTCAATAATACATGTAACTCTTGTATAAGAATCCAGTTAGTCAAATAGAACATAAATTTTTCATTGTGAAATACAATAAGTTTTTTTGTCAATATATCAAGCTTCTTATTTGATAAGTGAAAAGTATTATAATATAAACTTCTAAATGAAAATTAATTTAAAATCTCCAAATACTTATATATAAAACTAGAAGACCCGGCGAACTTCGTTTCGCCCTATAATCAAGAAATATCTGTTACGTTTTTTTATTTATATTTTTGGAGTTTACCTATTAAAGCCATAAATCTCCGTGTTTTGAAGTGATTAGGAATGATTAATAGTTAATATGAGAGTTACACTGAGCTAGCAAAATAATAATTGTCAACGTTACTACTACACTTGATGCACAAACAATAACGATGGCCGACAACTGTGTAGGGAGTGAGAGAAGTCTAATTGTGTGAGAGAAACAGAAGACCGGCTTCGTTCTCATCCCTACTCCGTGCTGTTTACTGGGTCAGAAGTGACACCTGTAGATATCTGGCGGGGATAACTTATTAAATGACGATTGATCAGTTATCGACCGGAGATGAAAAATGATTAAATTACTAAAATAGCTATTAAAAAATAAGGGTTGATCGTAGAAGGGTGAAAATTTAGGATTGTATGTATTTTTGTACGTTGTATCATAAAAAAATAGTAATTAAAAATTTTGTCTAAAAAATAAAAAAAAAAAATTTAGGGGTGGACTACCCCTAACATTTAGGGGGATGAAAAATAGATGTTGGCCGATTCTCATAGCTACCGAATAAGCACAAAAAATTTCATCAAAATCGGTCAGGTTGTTTTGGAGGAGTATGGGCACGAAAACTGTGACACGAGAATTTTATATATTAGATATTGTACATATTATTTGATATAGGAACATAGTATTTTTTAAATAAATCTACCAAATTTTTAACAAAACAGAAACAATATAACTAAACTGATATTTTAAGTCTTAATAATAATTTAATATCTTTATTATTGAAATTTAGACAACAAAGTTGTATAAGGACAAATTGATAATAAAATTTATATAAAAAATCAAATTAACGATTCATCAACACATATTTGAACCTGCAACCCGTCACTTTGAAATATATTGTAGTTATTAAACTCAAAAGGAGACTTAAAAAGGAGGGCTTACAAAACTCAAAGAAGAGTTATATTATGATAATAATTGATAGTAAAGACAAATAAGTCAGTGGTTACTAATAGTATTGCTCTATATAAAACTAAAACATACCATCTTGCCCTTCGTCAACCAAGCAGTATATGGCAATCGGGATAATCTCTCTATCAGCATTGTACACCAGATCTTCCTCGGGATGCTTTGAAGGATCGAACACATGGGAGATTTGGCAGAACTGTTGATTGGCTCCCTTCTTATAGTGGTACGTCTGGGACGTCATCGATGGATCCCGAGGGTAGTATCTACATAATTATCATTAATATTGTTATTGAATGTTAAGCTTTGTTCACACTCAATTTGTGGTTTAAAATAATTATTTAAACATGTCCAAACACATTACTATTGTCTTATTATTAATATTTAATCAATGTTTTGGTAACTTATATATTACTTACACAACGCCGGTAGGAGTCACCTCTTCGGTACAAAAATAAAATATAGTAATGGCACATCGGACATCACAATCAAATGTGAATTCTATGTTATAGTAGGTTCCCTTTCCATTGCAGTCCATAGTCTTGACAGCTCCGTCACTAATTTTATTTTCAGCTATTTTGCCTACCGGCTCCGGGCAGCGAACAAATCTCAATGATTCCTTCCGAATATTGATCAAACTCTTCAAGGTTTTCGTTGGTTCATTTGATTGAGGAGGTGGATATGGAAACTGAAAATGAATTATTCATAGAAAACCGTAATATTTTACAGTCCTATAAGAGAGACATAAATAATATACATACAGGTGTAGGTCTGCTACCAAGGAAGTTCAGATCAGCGTTTTCACCAAACAAATACGCTTCTGGTTGAGGAGTGTCAAATCTCTCTCCCCCCATTATGAAATGACTACCGAAGTAATTACCTACAAAAAAATATTTTATTATAGATGAGGAAAAGCTGCTATTACTTATAGATTTGAATCGGTAAGCAAACAATTGAATTTATATAGAGGTCACACTAACCAGATCTTGGTGGATATTTATAAGCATGATTTGAAACTACGTCGGCTTCTTCTACACCTGCATGTTGCCTGCTGGCTAGAGCACCCATTCTTTATATTTAATTTTCTATTTCTTTACACTATCGAAAGTTCTTATGGCGATGAATTGTAATAAAAGTTATGACAATAACATCACAGCTGTCAATTGTCAATAACAATTAGTACCTACTACCTACGGTCTAATACTATTTGTCAATTGTCAATTCTTGTTCAATTAAGAAGAGTTCAAAATATTATGTTAAAAGTTTATAAATTGGTATTATTATATTATGAAGCTTTTTTTTAAAAAACCATTATTCTTTGGAGCACTTTAAGAAAAGCCTCTTTTCAGTAATAGACAGTTATCATCTGATATGATGATAAATATAATATTATATAGTATATTGTAGTTACTTGTTGATATTAATAAAAAAATAATGCTTATACTTTATATGTTACGTGAACATTAATTGCTGTTAATATTCCCTTAAATTATTTTCGTAAAGTTAAGTTAATTAACCTGTTGAGAGACATTCAAAATTTTTATCTGTCACCGTTTTGTTATCTGTGCAATAAGCTTAGTTTGACTGTTCCGGTTGTCAACATTTCTTTCACGATTGAGGTGTCACTTTGTGAAGGTGGTGATCATTTTTCTAGAATTTAAATCTTTAAACATCTGCACTAACTTTGTATATTTCATGGTGTTATAAATTATTTAGTGTGATCGTATTAAACTAAAGGTATATTTGTATTTATTTCAGTTCACAATGGGGCGCCGGCCAGCGAGATGGTAAATATTGTTTTTCCCTGACACTTTGCGTATGCTTTCTTGAAGGTTATAAATTAATTTCTATCTAATATTTTCAGTTATCGCTACTGTAAAAACAAGCCATACCCAAAATCCCGGTTCTGCCGTGGTGTACCAGATCCTAAGATTCGTATCTTCGACTTGGGTAAGAAGAAAGCCGCTGTGGACGACTTCCCTCTGTGCGTGCACCTCGTATCAGACGAGTATGAACAGCTGAGCTCGGAGGCCCTGGAGGCCGGCCGTATCTGTTGTAACAAGTACCTCGTGAAGAACTGCGGCAAGGACCAGTTCCACATCCGCATGAGGCTGCATCCATTCCACGTTATCCGCATCAACAAAATGTTATCGTGCGCTGGAGCTGATAGGTATGTAGCGTTTATCTGACCTAGTATTTAAAACATACTAATATGTCTCTTCTATTCGACACGATGATGGCATAATATACTGAGTACGTCTTTGCACAGATGTAGGCCATATAAAACGACCAACGAACTAACATACTAAGATTTCTGTTGGATTTAAAACATTTATTTTGCTTGTGATCACATTTAACTTTTAAAATAATGTTCATTGTTGAGAAGGAATGTCTAACAGAAAGGTCTTAATAATAATCAAATAATTCAACTATCATACTTAATAATAATACATTTTACATTACAATTGTGCTATATTTATTAATGTGCTGTTTAAATGGGCTTATAATCTTTTGGAATTGGTTTTTAGTGCATTTCAACTCTTGTATGTCTGCTCCACATATCTAAAACACAAATGAACTATCTATAAAATCATGTCTTATATATTTAATCTTTCTTTTCATGATAAACATTTTATTTTGCATTTATGAATGCTGAATAACATGTTACTTCTATTACAATGTATTTTTGACTGATGACTTTACAATAATTACTATTTTGCTACATCATGATGATTCATACAAGTGTTTTTCTATAATATTATGATGATTATTCAGCAATTTCCCAAACTATATACTTGTGATGACTGTCTTACTAAAATCTATATTATCCTTGAAATTTTCAATGCAACTTATAATCAATATGTATAGATTACTTAGTAAAATTTTATACCTTGTTTTCACAGTACATAGTTATTTTTTTGATTTCTTTATACCAATGTATTCAATACATACTTAATTATTGAAATCTTTAACATACACTATTACACCAAAAGATTAAATTTGTATAGTTATTTTTTAAATATTTTTATTATTCATTTTTATTAAAATTCAAATGCTTTTTTCTTACACCAATACATGTATTTTTGGTTATAGAACATATTGCACAAGTTTTTACTCTCACAGTGGTTGAATGTCTTGGCTGTCCAAAAATAAACTTAAGTTTAAACTGAAAACTTAATAATTAAACAATTATTAGATATTTTTTAATATTTTCTCCTAGATCAAAGATTCATTTTTGCCTTTGTATTATATACACTAAAGTTTGTGCAGGATTTTCACTTATTGCATGCTATCATCATGTAACTTGACATAAATGTAGCCTTCCATCCATTAATTGTAAACTTTTCTCATATCTACAGAGAAGAGTAGTTTATCTGTATTTGTTTTGAGATGTAATGTATTCAAGAAAAACTTTAAATGTTATTGAGATAGTGTGTTCGCCACCTACAGCTTAATTTTCACTTTCCAATGGGATAAATGACAGTAAAAACAGAATTAAGTCTAAATTTAGAAATGGGAAATGTTCTTAAAACTTTTGTATAATATTTTTTTATTATTCCAGGCTCCAGACAGGGATGAGAGGTGCCTTTGGTAAGCCCCAAGGTACCGTAGCTCGAGTTCGCATCGGACAGCCAATCATGTCGGTGCGCTCCAGCGACAGGTGGAAGGCGCAAGTTGTTGAAGCTCTGCGTCGTGCCAAGTTCAAGTTCCCCGGCCGTCAAAAGGTGAGACACATTCATAACAATACAGCCGAATTACTATAAAGTAATTATTGTAATATCTATTCATCTAGCTGCATGTTATATTAAATTTTGACTTATACTATCAAGACTAAAGTGAATAATAATAAGAGTAACAATGATAACTATGACTTTATGTCCATTTATGGTATATCTAGGTGGAAAATCGTGCAACACTCAGAAGCCGATAGTCGGAAAGATAATCTATCTATTCCGTAGGTATTTTAAATGACATTTATCTCTAACTAAATTTTATTCATTCAGATCTACATCTCCAAGAAATGGGGTTTCACCAAGTATGACCGTGATGAGTTCGAGCAGCTCCGTGAGGAAGGCCGTCTGGCCAACGACGGATGTAACGTGAAGTACCGCCCCGAACATGGACCACTCGACTCGTGGAGGAAGGTCCAGACAGAGATACATAATGTTTGATTGTGCTCCGCATAAATAAACTTTTAAATACATATCAGACTTTTATTACTGCCACAGACTTCAATAATCAATATGAACCAATTCTTAGTATCTCCAAACAAATAATTTAAGCCAGATTTGTGAAACAACAAATGAATAGACTTGTTATAAATATTTAGTCTAAGATCCCGATATAAGGCGACCTTCACCGAGATGTTTATTTGATGAAACATATTTTATATTCAATTTAATATGTCAATAACTATATTACATATGAGTTGCCTCATAAATTTTAGTCCAGGATATGATTAATTAACAATTAAAAATAGATTTTTTTTCAAATATTTCACCGGTTTGTTTATTAGATAAATTCCACACCAATCGAAAGTACGGAGCCCATAGAATATGAAAACGTTAGGTTGCCTATTCTTTTCCAGTCACAACTCTCGGGTTGCCAGGGATAAACAGGTACATCGATAGTAGCATTTTGCACCGGTCTGATAATTTAATCAAATTTAAATGAAAATAAAGATTATTTAATTATGAACACAGTGAAATAGGGTTGCCTGCGAAAAATCGGTCCTAAATTAGGGTTGTCGAATTTTAAAAAGTAAAATATTGCCGCGAGTGAATATGTACGACTGAGAGGTCCCAAGCAAGTGTTCCGTGCGTTAGAAGACGACAGAGCATAACAGCTGCGTAAGGTCTTCCCATTTAAAGAAAGAGAGTGTGTATGAAAGAGATGTCAAATTTTTGAATGAAACGTTCTTTTCAAGTTTTAAACCGGTTTAAACTGCTTTTACTTCGCCCCGCACCTTCCTCACTTCATCTTTTGTACTGGTAGCAATATCAAATTTTGAAAACGCAATGTTAAGTGAATAAGAATTTGTAGCTTTTTCAAAATTCTTATTAATCAATATTTTTTTTCCTCAATATTCAAAATATTTCCACCTGAAATTTTACAAGTTTTGCTTATTTTATAGCACTTATGTATCAATTGAAAATATAATAAAAGTTAATTCTAAAAGTTTTTGTCTAACTCTACTTTTACTTACACTCACACAAATGCAAAGCTCAGCTTAAGTCTAACGGACTATAATTTTACCTCAACTCGAGAGAAAATAGTAAATCATAAGCCATTAGAGATATGTGCATACTTTATAAATAAACCAAGAAAATATTTCATAGGTAAAATTATTCAAGTCCTATAATAATTTGAATAAAAATAAAACAAATATTTCATTCATAATTTATTATAAACTAATATCATTTACATATTTCATTTATAGATTTATAATATCTTACTATTGTCTAAAGAACAGATCTATTGATTTACAAGGCACTTTGGTTTTTTTGACTGGAGATGAAGATTTCCTTTTTCTTTTAACACTAGTACTCGTTATATTTATAACATTTGACCTATTATTTATTTCTCTGCTTAATTTCTGAGCTTCGTGGAAATCTAAATGTTCAGGGAATTTGTTAATGGGAACTTTCTTTCCACATTCCGTACATAATTTTGTTTCAATGGATCTATCGAATTTTGTAAAGAAATTGACTATTGAAGGTACACTATCATTTCTATTGCACGTTTTTTCTGGTGTTTGTTTTTTATTTGGAGAATTCATTTTTGTTTCTGTCAGAACAGATTTTGTTCTATTCTGTTCTCTCCTTACCTCCTGCCTCATTTCGTCTCTTAGTTTAAGTGCTAAATGATAATCTGAGTGTTCATCGAATTTGTTTAAAGCCACTGTTTTGCCACATTCAGAGCATTCAACGCTGTTTATATCGGGGGACTTATTTCGGTCTAAAATTTCTGTTTCAGTCTGAGCTTTGTCGCCATCTTCCAAATCTTCTAACTTCGCTTCTGATGTCTTCAACAACTGTCTCATATTAACAACTCTAGTTACATCATCTGGATCGTCTTCAAAGAGAGCTATACTTCTGTTGATTTCCTCATTGATAGTTGAACCTGAATAGTCCGTGTCATTACTGGCTTCATTACATTCCACGTTACAATCAGGAGTCACAGTACGAGTACAAGGCGTTTTGTCATCCGTAACATTCGATCTTCCACTGTTTAAAAATTTTGCAAAAAATGACTCCTGTTTGTCCAAACTTGACTGTAATACCGTCTCGTTACATTTTTCCGCTTCAGCACTCACTTTGCTTGTAACATTTTCTTTTTGAACGTCATCAGACGATTCGAAGTATTTTCGTAAAACAAATTCCTTCTCAGCATTGGTTCCATCCTTCTCAACACAACTCTCAGGTTTCATTTTAATGTTTTCATCAATTTGTGATACATCTTTAGACGACCCAGCACTAAAATAATCTTTGATTTTTCTCGTTTTCTTCGTATCATTGTTATCATCAAACTTCCCAACACTTATGCCTAAAAATGTTATTGCTGCTTTCAACATCCTGTTGGGTTCCCCATCTATAAAAAAATAAATAATTAATATTATATTAAATGAGATTTTAGATTATAGTAACAATGAGTTATACATACCTATTGGTTTACAGCCTTCAGCACTATCCAGCACTAGTTCCAAAGCCTTATTTGAAAATATTTCTCCACATAATTCATCTTCGGGGCTGAAATTGTAAGATCTTGAACTACTTATATCTCTCTTGCCTTTGGGACCTTGCAAAGAAAAACTAACAACCATTTGCTTTGGGATCCGATTGTTTTCTAATGAGTCCTGTTCCAATCGGTTCTCTATTTCATCACCCAGGTCTCGAAGCCACTTCTTAAGGCTCACTAAATCTTGCAGAGCTGCTTTACCTCTCAACTGTTTGCAACATCCAATACTTTTAGGGTTAAATCTAGCTTGAACCGGTTCCAAGTCAATACCGCGAGCAATATTGTATAACCAGGAACTGCAACATCATTATGGAAACATACTTTTTTTGTGTACAATTCTTATTAATTTAAATTAAAGATTCTGACAATTTCTTTATTTTGTATAGTTATATTCATTCTCACCCATTCTTTTCATCAAATCTCGCTTGAAGATCCTTTTCTGTGAATGCCTGCAGCTGTCCCATTGTGCTTATCTTAAGAGTTTCAACAACATGATCTCCAAACTTCCCTCCCAAATGCTTTACTTTTTTAAGTGACAAAGTCCTAGACAAAAAATGTTAAATATATAATTTAAGTGATATTATTTACATAATTTAACAAATGCTCATTGAATTAAAAGGTCAACACTAACTTGTATAGGATATTAACAGAATGTTTTGGTAACACCGTCTGTTTGTTAGGCTTGTTCATACCACATACAAGCTTGGCCAAAATTTTATTGTGAGCTATCCCAGCTGAACATTGGTAGCCTGAAAGTGGTTTAAATTGAAATGCAATAACTAGATAATTATAGAAACTGAAAATATTAGTTTCATTTAAATGAATACTCCTAATAATCTAAGATCTCATTATGTGTTGAACATGTTTTTATGAGATTTTTCGCAATTTTAAAGTGTAGCAAATCAATATTAATCTAAACTTAATTTCATGAAAGTTAAATAAGAATTATTCACCTGTTTCAGCGTATACCGCAGCCCTTATCTCACTAACTATAAGAGCACCGACTAGTAGATGTTTTGAATGTTCATAGTCAAAGTCCATACATGAAAACCCACAGCTATGTACATCAGATATGAAGGAATCTAATTTATCATAACCGAGGGCAAAATTATTTGGCAACATATCAGAATTTATGTCCCTGATATCAAGACTTTGTATTCTTTTTTGCACCTTAAATTAACAACACAAAAAAAATTAGAATTGTTTACACAATACATATTTTCATTTACAAAACATATAAAATAATGTATTGATAGTTACTGGGTCTGTGATATCTAAATATGCCTCATCAATCGAAGCTCTTTCCAATAAAGGTGTAAATCTTTGTAGGACCTTTGCAACATCTTTGCCTGCTTCTCTGTACCTAGAATATAGTTTAACAATGATATTCTTGCACAGAAAAAATTGTTTTAACTGGTTATATTTGTATAGAGATGTATTTTAAAAAGAAAATATTACAAATCAAGATTTCATAATATTATGACATTACTTGGTAATATCAGCCTTCCCTCGGAAACACGGTACTGATGGTAGCTGTATTTCTGGACACTTCTGTTTAGCTTCATTACCTCTCATGTGCCTCGTTACTCCCATAGCTCGAGCTACATAGTTCACGGCGATGATTCTATTTAAAAAATAATACAAATACAGATGTAGTTTTACTTATAGTTGTTTACGTGTAACTATATAACGACTCTCACCCTCCTCCTCTCCAGGGATTATATTGCACGACAGCGATTGGTTTGCCTTTTAATTGAGGATTTAATTTTTCTTCTACTTGACAATAAAAACAATCCATATCTATCAGTACAACAATCCTGTTCTCCTGATCCATGATAATATTAATAGTAAGAAACAATATATATAATAACTTGGTCCCTATCAAATCATTGCACTTTACGTAAATATTATATTTTTCTCATATTTATTATATCCCGCCAAAATCTTAACCTATTTATATTGTTTTAGATTATGTACTGTTTTGTTTTCGTAATCAATTTGTCAAAGTGACAGTTATAATGTTTGACTTATCCGTGTGTCTTTTATATTATCAAACTTGACATTGCTTAAATGTTCCTACTGTTGTAATATAAGCCATCAACAGTCCGTAACAATTAAATTTATAACCTGAACTGTAACAATAAAATAAACTATGGTTTGCTGTATTCGATTCCTTTATAGGTTCAATACGTTGATTATTTTTAAGTTACCTTAATTAACTACATTCTGTATAAAATATTTAAATTAAATAAACAGATAACTAAGCGTAGATTTTCATACACATAAATATTTTGGAAACACCTCAATTAATTAACCACCTTAATGAATAATGAAGTAGAAAAAAGTATCTTATGTAGAATCGTTCTACGATTATCAATTTATCACTTATTTAGCAATTGTGATAAAATACGAATTATAGGCTCATCTAATACGAACTAAATAATAAACCGAAGCGGTTTTGGTTCCGCGTTACTAACACCCACTTGATGAAATATCTGCAGCCGGATTGTCTCGTCCGGCTTTTTGGGAAGTAGTTCCTTCTATCCCTAATCAACTTTCCGCTGTAGATGTCACCCTCAAAGAGGAAAAGGCGGGAGAGGGTATTTCAGAGCGAGTACTGACTACTGCATCTCTTTGGAATACCTGGGTAATTTAGGGAATTATTTAATCTCTGTGTGCACATACGACAGTTCCCGAAGAGCAAAAAGTCGGGGAGGATGTGCCTGTTGCGGATAGAGATGCGTTGGTCGATCAATCTATAAAATACAATCGTATTGTTGGATGAGATGAGTAAGCTCCTCTCTGCTCATCTCACCCAACACCTCTAGGAGTACAGGAGTACATTACTTACAGTGCAGGTCAGTCTCTGAGTTCGAAATCGTTTTCAGGACCGTCTTAGCCACCTTAAGAGCTCTGAAAGGTGTGACCCAAAAGCCAATGTTTGATGGGATCGTCGTCCTGGAGTTTTAGTTGGACGTTGTCAAAGCCCTCAATAATTCGCGGTTCGAAACTACCTTTTCATATTTTCGTATCTTCGGCGGCTGTTGGTGGCATTCCTACTGAACAGAGAGGTACTGTTAGCATACGGTATATCGTTGTAACGTCAGCTGTAAGGCTTCACAGGTTCTGTGATCGAAACCGCTTTGTGGAATATCGACTAGGACTGGCTGCTCCGACGTCCTCAGAAGAAGCTGGAGCTCCGTCAATGCTAACCATTATTTACCTACATCGTGAGGAAGATAGCATTCCACAGCACACCTAAATGGTTGGCGGCTAATCATATAACAATACCCTACATCTTTAAATCAAGTGTTCTAGCCCTATTATAATGATTTTTAGTTTATGTTTTGATGAAAAAGTTAGGACAAGATGCAAGCACCATTTTATTGAAATGTTTTAAAAGTGTTGCTGAACTGAGGGTAAGGGAGTTACATATAACATTAGTTCTGGGAGGTAATGCATTTTTATCACGAATATTTAATTGATATACAGGAATTGTATAACTCAGTATTATTAACTAACTATTACATTGTACTTACATCCAGTAGGGTTAAATTAATTGTAACATGAAATATAGTTTATAAGTTTTCGTCCAGCGTCACACTGTACTCATACTAAGTAAAACAATGTTTAAAGGTGTTTTTAATCATTTATTAATAAATAATACATATTATTATACTCCGTGTCCGTACGTCTCGTTCCACTTCACGTACTGTCCGAGATCATCCTGGGACACGCTGGGCCTCACTCTCTGTAGCGCTGACTTGAAATCTTGAATATTGACTGGACGGACCTTTGACGTTAAAAATATTGCGTTATATAAAAGGTTTATTATAAAACTAGCTTTCCGCCCGCAGCTTCGCCGCGTGGAGTTCGGTTATATCGCGTTTCCAAGAGAACCTTTCAAAAGTCTGGGATAAAAACTATCCTATGTTCTTTCTCAAGGTCAACTCTATCTCTGTACCGAATTTCATTAAAATCAGTTCAGTGGTTTAGGCGTGAAAGCGTAGCAGACAGACAGACAGACAGACAGACAGACAGACAGAGTTACTTTCGCATTTATAATATTAGTAGGGATACTAGAAGACCCGGCGAACTTCGAATCTCTCTATAATCAAGAAATATCTGTTACGTTTTTTATATATATTTTTGGAGTTTACCTATTAAAGCCATAAATCTCCGTATTTTGAAGTGCGACAGAATGATTGACATATTAGTTAGTTGTCAAATTTAATGTCAAAAAAAAAGTTTGTATCAACAACTATTAATAAAAATTAATTAAAAAAACATTGTCCAACGGACAAAATTGTGAATCTTAACCATTCCCAGATCCCCTTGAACACACACAAAAAAAAACATCAAAATCGGTCCAGTCGTTTGAGAGAAGTTCAGTGACATACATACTCACAGAAGAATTATATGTATAAAGATAAAAAAAAATATTGTCTAATCAAAAGATCTAACACAACACTGACGTCTTATAATGAGAATAATCGTAAAAACGAATGACATTTCGCCTGCCCGTTATCACGGTTGCTAAAAACTAACCCAAATGTCATGAGTATGTAGTTTTTAGAATAATAAAACACGCGTTGTATAATCCGAAAAATATTGGTTTCATTTGTTTGATAACTAATAGATTTAAAAATTAATATTTGAATGATATCACCGATGAGTAAATTATTGTTTACAAAGTTTATCTTGTTTCGTTGGACCAGTGACATCAACGTCATGTTATATATATTATAGCTAGTGTGTTACACCTGGCTGGCGCTGATAGATGTGATGTCAGCGAGGCTCCTCACGGGTCCCATGGCTGCCTCCGCACACAGCGACCTCACGTCCGCGCCGGAGTAACCCTCACACTGCTCCGATATTGACCGCATGTCGGCTGGCGATAGACTGTGACGCTCGCGGGACAACAGATTGTGTATTATCTGATGGCGAGCCTGGGAACATGGGTTATCGATAACTCAATAGTTACTCCCAACACCCAACACTAAGAAAAAGGAAAAAATCGTGACAGAAGATATGTTATCAAGAACTCAATAGTTACTCCCACACCTAACACTGAGAAAAAGTTGGTTACAACTCATAAGGAGTTTGTTACCACTGACTGTGAAGAAACCGTCACGGTAGATCCATTTTGGTTGAGAATAAAATATATTTATATATATATATATATATATATATATATATATATATATATATATATATATATATATATATATATATATATATATATATATATATCACACATGTCAGTTTTAAATGTAGTTACAAAATTATACGCAAAAGTATAATATACCATATTTATTCGATTTCACTGCATATATAAAAATTATGTTTGATGTATATTATCTTCGGTTCTAGATTAAGAATACACCCGAAGTAGGAGAAGTATATTGATACATAAATACTATATCGTATCTCGCAAATAAGATGTGATACAATGTACAGAACTTTTGATGGAATGTTAAAACTTCTTATTATTAAAACTTCTTTTTATGTCGTATGAAGCGGCAATCTTGCAAATGGTTCTAGTGAATAAGTTTTATTTATTTATGTAACAAAATAGTAGTTACATTATTATAAAAGAAATGTACAAATGATAACTTGTCTCTTAAAAGAGATCTCTACCAGACACTTTCTGATAGAAAAACTAGAAACGAAATATGGAAAAAGTACAATAAAAATAGGTTCTTTAAATTCCATTATTAATACAATACCAAGTTATTATATGTTTTTCCCATCAGTACGTTATATATGTTCACCTGTAAGTCAGGTAGCGGTATGTACAGTCGTTTAACGAGCCTCCTGCGGGCCGCGTCGTCCAGCTCGTGAGGTCTGTTCGTGGCGCCCACAACCAACACACGCTCCTCCTCACCTACAACGAACAATAATATAACATATTATTATATTAAGAACACTATTGTATATGTATTACAACCATATGTATGGTTTGGACTTATATGTAGAAATAAAGACCGTTTTAATAACTGTAGCGCATGCGTTTGCTACGGCTCTCAAAATAATGTCAATATTTAATTTAGTTAGTAGAATATTGTAACTTCGTTCCAGCAACAGATTGATTGTAAGAACGTAGCAATTACTACTTAAGTTAAAATTACAGTTGGATAATTTCGTGTTTACTTTGATAAGTAGATCTCTATTTAAACAGAGTTACTTAATAATTGTTACAATCAACATTTTAGTATATTGTATAGTTTATAATGAATATCTAACCGGTGTTGGTTCCGTCAAACTGCACGAGGAACTCAGTCTTGATGCGGCGCGACGCTTCATGCTCCGCGTCACCTCGCGCGCTCAGCAGGGAGTCGATCTCATCCATAAACACCACCTGCTTAGTTAAAATTATTAATGAAGCCTTGAGATGAATCCGTTCACATCGCGAAGTATGTGAGCCGCGTGACAAGGGAGGTCTATTATACATATATCTCAATATGTCACTATTAAAATATTTCTTATTCACAAGGTATATCTTGAGATGGTTTTGACAAACGAATCATATTTTTTAATATAGACATATGTATGTATTACTGGTTAATATATAAATTAATTCAGAAATCACGTTTATTAAGAGGAATTCTATGATGGTTATCTGAAGATACATTTGTCCTCCAATATATATACAGGGTGACTGGTGAATTACTATTGATATTTGAGGACGTGATATTTGACGATCATATATGACAAAATAAAAATTAGTATAACATAAATATTAATAAACTTCTAAGTAAAGTTAACCAAAAGTTATGTAATTAATTACGCATCGTATGAACACCCTACAGATTAGGTATACACACACACTCACACAGACGCGGCGGCGGCGTAGTGTTGTATCAGCACGCCGCCGCACGCGTCCACACTTGCAACACTTGGAACGTGTCAACACTTTATTTATTTATACGGAAATTTTGTCAAAAATTAAGTACCTATTTTTTTTACATAATTCGAATGAGAATCATGTACCGAGTATGCTCCTTAAATATTGATAGTAATTCACCAGTCACCCTGTATATTAGTAGTTAGGTATCAAGATGAATAATAGATGCCTTACTTAAGCGTTTACTTTCTAGTGTATATTATATAACAATGTTAATGTTCCTCACGGCTGGTTGATGGCAGCGCGCCACAGCGAACAGCGCGCGCACCATCTTCTCTCCGTCGCCGATCCACTTGGACGTGAGCGAGGAGGACGAGATACTGAAGAACGTGGCGCGGCACTGGGACGCGATACACTTACCTGGATGATATATGAAAATATAAAACGGACATATAAAACGTATAGTGAGCCAGTGGTGGCCTAATGGTTAAAAGGCCCGCCTCTCATGCATCCTCATGCATCGGTGCATGAGAGGCGGGCCATCCTCATGCATGCCAGGGTTCGATCCTGACCCTGGCAAGTACCAATGTGATTTTTCCGAGTCATATGTACTTTCTCAGTGTATTTAGACATCACTAAATTATGTTGATTCCCAAAAGGGTTGATGTCAGGCAGACGGCCGATCGTAAAAACAAATAGCCAAGACTATTCACAACATGTAAGGCAGACCCTGGTTATAGCTGCTAAATTGCCAGGTAGAAGAAGAGATATAAAACGTATAGAGAACAGGTTTTAGACTTGGATTGTGAGAGAGAATCGGTACGGCGATTCTCTATATACACAGGTAAATAGCACAAATAATATCTTATGTTATAATTTTCGTCTATCACTTCTTCTAACACTGAGCGTGTGTCGCGAGTAGTAACTTGTACTACTTATTGAATGTACCTATATAATGAGTAGTAGTAGTAGTGACCTATGAGCGTCTTGCCGGTGCCGGGCGGGCCGAACAGCAGAATGCCGCGGGGCGGGCACCGCAGACCCGTGAAGATGTCTGGTCTGAGGAGCGGCCACACCACCGCCTCCTGGATCACGCTCTTGGCGTGTTCCAGGCCCGCTATGTCCTCCCAGCCTGGAATAAATATATATAAATGTATTAGTATATTTATTTGTATTTAGTGTGTGATGTATTTATTTATAAAAAAAAAAAGTCTACCTTAATGTTACAATAATCAGTAGTTTGTTGATGGTGTACCTACACTAAAATTTTATATTTCAAATGGTCTCCCCTTATTTAGGATTTCTGGAAGAGATCTCTTCTAAGAGATAAGATATTCCTTTGTACACATCTGTTATTGATAATTTTCTGTATACTCGATTGGTACAAAAATAAATAAATAAATAAATAAATGTGTGTATGTATGTGTGGTGTGTATACGTAAGTTAAATCAAATATATGAGTTAACTATAGGTACAAGGATAATGGCTAAAAGATTTTCGAATCAAGCCGTGTTCATTTATACAATCATACTGTCTACTATAGTACTTTGGCTAGTGTCAAGCAACGAGGTGTGTCAAATATCCACAGATTGACCGTGGACCCAATTCGAATTGATTCTTATGACTTTTTTCAAGAAATTTAAATAAATACTCACCTATAGGCGTTCCTTTGTCTATTATTTCGTTTTCTATGAGTTCAATCATTTTCGGATCGATATTCTTCAGTCTATCATCGATCACAGCGGGTTCAGCGAGCTCCTGTTTTTCTCTGAAATTTTAATTCTCAATGATTCTATGAAGTATTTTAATGAGCTCTAGGTGGTGATACATACTGTGCTCCGAGCATTGGTGATATGAATTTCGCCTGAGCTTTCCTCGACGCTCCTAGTGTTCGTCTGGCAGCTGGGTTTGATGAAAGCAGAGCTTCTTTGGCCGTCTTAAATGTTATTTTGGCAACATTACTCTTGTGAGCCTTTTCTTCATCTTCAATAACTTCATCTGTAGGAACAGGCTTTGGATCGACATCCATTTCAATGTTCCTATTGCTATTTGTAACATTCTTAGACACATCAATTGGTCTTTTGACCCGAGGACGACTGAATGTAGGTTTAAATAATTGTCTTTCACCGCACGACCTTGAATCCTCACTTGATTCCCTGTTCAGTGGCTTGAAGCTAGTGTTATCATTGTAATGCTGGTTGTGATAACATTGACAGCTTATGCCTATTGAAGTACTCGTAGTATTGGTTTCAGTATAAGTACATTTATCACAAGCCGGTAATGAACTCTCGAAGATGCGGAGTGGGTCGATGTTGCTGAAAGGTAAATGAACATGATAGCATAACAAACAGAATAATTAATATTAGGAGTCAACCATAAAGTATGTCACGCGAATTTTAGAACTTTTGAACTCCTTCGCCCGTTCTTGTCACAGGTCATCACATTTTTATAACCCCCCCCCCCCTACTAGTGACGTCACACATGTATGTAGTTATAAATAATCAATAGAAAACAGCTAATATCTAATCCAACAAAATCAACTTAAAGTCCAAAATTTCGTAGCTGACAAAACAAATGACTAGTTAGAGAATAATAAATGTGATGTCACTTGACCCCCCCATACCCCATGTCACACTTCGGTGATACTCTTTCCCCAATTAACGTGTGACGTACTTTATGGCCGCCCATGAGATCTAAGACTTTAAATGAAGCTAATAATTTCGGAATACTTCGCGTTATTTTATTATTTAAAAGAAAAACAATTTTCTCGACGTTTCGATTACTTTGGAGTAACTATGATCACGGACAGACCAGATGGTTTATAAATAATACTGTAATTGAGTTGAACACTTTAAAGAAAATTATAGACTTCACCTTCTAGATAGTAAAGGTTCAGTCATCAAACTTATTAAGGAATTATACAGTGTGAAAGCTATATAAGACTATATCAAATAGTTTGAAGAAGAAGCACAAACTGGTAGCTGATGCTTTCACAAAGATTTATACATAGGAATCAAAGATTAATGAATATAAGTATATGATAGGCAATTTAGCAGGTTATGGGATCAACATGATAAAATTAAATGATTTTACCAATAGAATGCTATGAGACAATATGATGCCTTACTAGACCCACAATTATTTAGTTACTTTGGGGCAAAGTCCTAAGTTATTTTCATCTTGACTCTAACATCAACCTGACTTCCAACACATGAGGTGACTGCAAAACATTTCCTATCTACTAGTAATGACACATAGATAAACTAGCGAGAAGATTTTCTCAAAAATAGTCATAGAAGTAGAACGATAGTGGTATTTTAAAGTATGGCTCTCAGTTAACTGGTTTGTTAGTGAATTTCTTCATAAAGACTATGAAAATATTTTCAGTAACAATTTGATTCTTTTGATACTCTTAATAGGAAGTACATGATTTAAAAAAAAATAACTGTTTTTTATCTGATGGTTGAACTTTTATGCAAAACATGAATGGAGGTATTTTTTTTTTTTTTTTTTTTTATGGGAAAAGGGGGCAACTGAGCAGACGGCCTACTTGATGGTAGGTAGGTACCGTCGCCCATGGACATCCGCAACGTAGATTTGCGGATGTGTTGCCGCCCTTGATTGGGGAAAAGGAGGAGGAAAAGGTGGGAAAGGGAGGGAAAGGAAAGGTTGGGAAAAGGGAAAGGGCAACCGGCTCTCTCACTCACCGGACGAAACGCAGCCTTTAAAGACTACTTTACGCCGATTTTCTGTGAGAGGGTGGTACTTCCCCGGTCGAGCCAGCCCATATTCGAGCTGTAGTAAATTGACTACAGCTAGGCTCTACCACCTTGAAAACTAAACATACCCCCTTATATATTAAATTATTTCCGGTTTGTTTATTACATATTTTTAGATATCCCATGTATTTTGGAAAAATAATGTATGTGATGAAATACTATTATAATGTATTTTGATTAATGTTTAAACTATATTTTATAAATGGATGTTCAGTGTAGGAAATTTTAAATAGTTCAGGGCCAGTCACAAACTACTCATGGCCATACCATGAAATTGAAATGCTATGTTTTAAACTGATATCATTATCAACTGTCTTAAGATATTATATTTTAAATTACCCTACACGAACTTTAGAGCAGAAAGAGGTTTCTGTTTCATCACTTAATATAAGTAAATATATTAAAATAATACGTTATTGTTTATCTTTTAAAAGCACAATTCAAACCTCAAATCTGACTTCCATGTATTAGATATATCATTGTTTGGGCTTTTGAGACCTTCCTTACTCGCACTTAGAATGTAGTTCATAGTATGTTCATTTAAATTATTGGTATTTTTGTCCCACACCTCTTTCAATAACAAATTCGAAGTTATGTTGGAAGATCTGCAAAATGAAACAATACAGAAATCAGCTCTAAAATAATTCAAAACAATCTACATTCAAATTTTGTTTCAACTCACTTGGAAAGGGATTCTTTATATTCTTGTAATGAACATTTATCTAACAAAGTTATATTTTCTAAGTTTGGGGTTTGGCAACTCATTCCTTGTGATTGATACATTTTATAAAATAATAAGAAGTTTAAAAATGTATTTTATTTGAAACTTGTTTTGTTACAGTTACAAACATGACATTAACAAAATAGGCGCGTAAATCGCGTAAAATAAATACTTTTTAACGTTTCGTTCAATTTAACAACTTGAATTGTGAAAGAAATTATTACAACACATTTATTCCCATTCGCTGGAAATATAATCTGTAATAATTCTAGATCAGGAATATGCAAATTATTAAGCTTTTCATTAAAAGAATTCAAAGTACCCTAACAGAAATCATAAAAGAAATAATATTTTTGTCAACCGATTACTTCAAAACCTAAGTTACTACTTGTAATTATAATGATTTTTAATAGTTTCTTTATCATTCCTATTTCCAATAACTTATTTTTTTATTGATTACACTATTATTGCGGCGTATAATGGCACAACAACACACTGAACTTTAAATTACCCTTTTTAATTTGAACGCATTTTAAAATATGTTGCATTCTTCCCGTCAATGCTTTAATTCTAGTCGCTCATTCGTCAAGTATTAGCATCGGCTGTCGGCCATCGGCTGTCATTCAAATTATTGTTAAATTGTCAAGTAAAAATGATAAAAAATATTTTTACTTTGTTTTAAGTTAAATTGAGTGTTTCGAAGTGCTTCGAGGCATACTGTCTCATTTATACATATTACTAGTAAGTTAGAATTTGTGAACTAATAAACATGGTGAAATTGTAATCAAGATGGGTTCAAAACCTCAAATTTACCATGAAAAGCAAGTTAAAGAGCTGTGTGCTCTGCATGCACTTAACAACTTATTCCAGGTAAGGCATTAACGAAACACGGTTTGTGAATTTTACTAATGATTAGGAAATGACCATGAAGATACTACGCGACCGTCGAATGTAAACATTGGTTTGTCTCGGTCATTATATTTTAATTATCATGTCGTTTGATTCCGAAATTCCGTATTTTCCTACCAATTTAAAAGTAATTTAGAATGCTCTAGACAATTTTCATTAATAATACTTAAGTGTTAATTTTTTAAAAGGTATAATTTAGTATTTTCCTTTACAATTTCAAATATTTTATGTTCTTTGCGATTGTTTCAGTCCTTAGTATATGTTTTTAAGATAATATACCGTCTAATCAGGCGGCAATTCTCTTGAAATTGTATATTATATTGAATGTTATTAAATATAATATATATTTCAGTCACGAAACACATTTTCAAAGTCGGAATTGGACACCATATGCAGTCGACTGTCTCCCAACGTCTGGATCAATCCTCATCGCTCAATGTTAGGGCTCGGAAACTATGACATCAATGTTATTATGGCCGCTTTACAGAAAAAAGGCTGTGAAGCTGTGTGGTTTGACAAACGGAAGTGAGTTAATACAATAACAATGGAATTGCGTGTTTAAATTATCTATGATAATAAAAAAACTTGTCATATCTTTTATAAATAACATTACTTAATTATATTTCTATCTATATGAAGATGATATTTAAATAAGATTTTTATGGTTTCCAGAGATCCTGGCTGTTTAGATCTCTCAAATATATGTGGATTTATTTTAAATGTGCCATCGGACTACAAGTTAGGATTTGTGATGTTGCCGCTGCGTAGACGGCATTGGATCACAATCAGGCAGATACAGGGGAACTTTTACAACCTGGACTCAAAACTGGATTCACCACAGTTAATAGGAAGGGTGAGATTATGTTCCGAGGAAGAAAAAAAGCACTAGACTGTAAGCATTAATAAATGTATCTATTTTTTCATCTTTCAGAACACTGACTTGATTACATATCTAAAAGAGCAGCTGGAATGTAAAGAAAAGGAATTGTTTGTGGTTGTCAGCAAGGAAGTTGAGGAGAAGCAGCAGTGGATGCACCAGTACTCGGGTAATAACTACCAAGTGCAGAACAAGGGTAACGGAGCGTGCGAGAGTGACCACAGTCCCAGCCTCAACGACTGTGATGTTGAATGCCTTAGAGTTAGTGACGTCAGTAACTGTGCCGTCAATGGTGACAATTTTTAAGTGCATTCATACATAGTAACCTCTTGTGTTCAGTTCTTCTGTCTGATTAACTATAATTGGAATTTTGGTAGACTTTTCTCGTAACGTTTAAATTTTCTGTGATTATATATTTATCGGTACCTTTACTACGTGTTTGCATTGTGAAAATAAATATGGAGTACGTCTAGTTCAATGATACGAATATCTTGAGTGAGAAACTTCTTTATACATATTTATTTTAATGATGCAAATAAAATGTTTAGTAAGGGTAGTACTCTTGATACCAAGGAGTTTGCATGCTATAAATAAGATTAACATGAAAATGTTTTCTACGACTTATGTACAAACATGTATTATATATTGATATAAGAATTTAGTATATACAACCTATGTATTGATCTGTTATATTTTTTTTGTTATCCGAGCATTTTTTATTTAATGGAATCTACGGCATTGTTTTGAAATAGGTATGCGGAGGTTTTAATTAAGATATTTTTAAATTAATGTTTATTTAGTTTTTAGAAGGCATTTTGTTTTGTTGTTACCATTTTCTCGAGATCATTATCACGGCCTAATACAGAGTTAGTGCTAAGTGACTTAATAAATATATTTCTAATAGAATTTTACTACCATTTTTTATATTGTAATATTTATACGTACATTTAATATTTTTTAATTGATTTAGTGTGTTTAATTATATCATTGTGGATGGTAAAAAGAAATTTCGAATGTATGTATATATATTATATATTCTTGTGATGACTAGTATTCTGTGAAAAAGTAGAAATCTGTCTGTTGATTGAACTTCTGTATTTTGTAAACACTTAGTAAAAACATATAACGCCAAATAAAATATGTATCATAGTCATATCCCCTAGCAAGATTCTGAGAATAGCCAAATTAAATAATTATATGAAAAGTAGATCTTTATAAATTCAGATCATATCAAATATAAATTTTTATCTATAGCAACATGTAGATGTTTTTCATGTAACAGATTATAAATTAATTACAGTATATACTGAACGGCCAAAGTTTATGGGTAAATAAATTTTAAAGCAATAATATAGTGTTAGTTGATGAATAACTCGTGTCACAATACTTGAAGCCTTGTTTATGAATGTGCCGAGCTCATTAGAGGTGGTTCGCTGTGGTGTGATGGTTTTGACCTTTGTATTTCCATTTCTTAAGTCTATTGTTGTAAATAAATGATATTTTTTCAACAAAATGTGTCATATATTTATTTCCTGACAGTATTGTCTTAGATAATATTTTCAAAACAGCCTTTTGTGATATATTTGTGTGGTTATTTTTTTTTATATTATAGTGTTCCACTAGAGGACATTATAATTATTGCTAAATATTTAATTAAACGAAAGAAACAAACTTGGGAGTATAATTTTTATAAATTTCTAGAAATAAATATTGGTTTTATTATCTTGCACTATCTTTGGCTGTGCTTGATTGCTATGACGTAGTTTGGTAAGCCAAGAATTCAAGTAAGTAAAAGTAAAAAGAAAATATATTTTAAATGTTACATATATAGTTCTAATAAATATTCGAAATCTTTATATAGTGAAATAATGACAGAGAAAAAAACAATGAGCACAATTAGACGTGTCAGTTTAGTGGTGGGTTTAATATATAATTGGTCTATACCAAGTGGGGTAAGGGTATATAAATAGAAGATTAGTGCGCTAAAAGAAACAAATACCTATTAAAAATTAATATGGTGTTGTTGTATTCGAAATTAAACCCCTAGGACCCATTTTACGTATATACCGCATACTACTATTAAGTATATACAACGTAGACAGAGATACTAAGCAAAGAATAATCATTTCTACGAAGCATATTATTGTAAAGAATTATAATGTACAAGTAATAACTTTTCAATAAAACAAAAGAATTGAGAAATTTTCAAGAAGTAAAATAAAGAAAAAAGGCGAGTGAAAAAATTGTCAGTATTTAAATTGAAAAAAATCTCAAATCTGAGATATCGGTAAATAAATAGTTAGGAAAACATAACTTCGACCTGTTACATATTAATCCTGTTTACTATTTTTAGTTCAGTTTTACGCAGTTGATTCATTAAATAAAGTTTAATAATTTTCTAAATATTGGTTATATATAAATGATAAACTAGAGCCATTTATTATAGTAATATTTATTTTATTTCAGTCGTAATCAGTCGTGAGGTCTGTAGAAGTGCAATTATTATTTTTCGTAAGCAGCAGACGGTCGGGGTCCAACCCTAGCGCGGTGACGATCGCGTACACGACCGCGCGAGTGTTTGCCGCTATAGACCGGTGACGGCCCAAGATCCACAGACGGTCTGACACAGAACGGATATATTCATTAGTTATACATAAACACTAAATGAAAGTTAACATAATCTCTATATGTCTTTATGATAAGTTTAATAAATTTCGATGATGTATTATGGAACTTTTGTTAAGTTTTCAAGTGTGAAAATTAATACTAACAAGGTTTTTTTTAATGAGGCAAGGATTCATTGACACTGATTCTGATGTATTTTTTTTACATTTTTTTATTTATTTAAATCACCACCACGCCTTTTTGAAAAAAATATCGAAGTTTTTTTAACAAATACGTATATTTTTTAGCTACATTTTGTAAATTTTAGAAGACACTTGTTAAAATCTAACAAAATTTGGAATTGTTATCATTATAAAGATAATAAATTATATTCATACGTATATTATGTATAAGAGGCATTTAAACAAATTGTGTAATATAATATAACGTACCTGCATGTGCTATACTATAGTTAGTGCAGGACCAAATTATTGCAAATCGTTCGTAATCGGTAAAAAGTACGTTGTAGAGGCCGGCTCCGGGCAGCATGCGGCCTATGATGTACGGCATACGGTTGTTCAACTTGTAACGGAAGGAAGACGAGCCGTTATGACTAGGAATACCCAACCCGTAGCTAATTGACGGCGCGTTTGTCCTGTAATATAAAAATCAATGGCTTAAAATGTGAAATAAGTAGTATTATTGAAAAAAAAAAACAATATTAATTAAATAGATTGTAGTTACAAATGTTATTCGTTAATCTCAGCACAAGCTGTCAGCAGTTTTTAATTCACGAATTTTCTCTCACGATATTCTCGGCGTACGTTTATGAATGAAAAATAGATCAAGCACAGCGAATTAATCACTTTCTAACTTCATCAACAATAATAACTATATTTAAATGAAACTGTAATTATCAGTTAAACTTTTTACTTTATATTTCATTTAACTTTGTTTTAGTTACTACTAAGTGTCTGTCAGTTGATCTTGTTATTTGTCATCTACTGCCAAGGAATTCCTAATATTCGTCCATATTGCACCGGATGGTATTAATTTAAATTTCATACTAATTTCAATATAGAAGATAGTTGGTAATTATATAAAAATGGATTTAAAATGTAAAATAATATAAAAATCGCCTATTCAAAAATCATAGTATGTATATATCTATTTAAATGTGTACTCGCGAGAATCTTAGATATCAACAATAATTGTTATTCAAATTACTGCATAATTCTACAATAGGTATTTAGGTAGAAGTAGGTACCATCTATTAATAGTGTTGACTGTGATGAGTAGAAATCCTCTTTCATTTAATGTGACGTCCAGCTGAATACAGCTTGCAGATATTTCCATCAGGTGGAAAGAACGCTCCACCTCGTACCACGTGCCTGTCATCTGAAGAAATACGACGAAAAAGGTTTTATAGGATTTCCATTAATTATTATTACATAAGAAAGCATTTTTTTGATATGAATATTAATAAGATTTATACATTAATTCTATGTAACTATTTTCGGATTCAAAGTTCAAAGACCCAGTGACGGTTGCGCGTGTTTATTCAATGAATATTCTAAGTATCCAAAATTCCCCAATAGCGTGAGTTGTTCTGTGTCATACGATTATTAATATTATTAACTTTTTGTACCAACTACCGCTTATAAATATTTCAAACCAATGTTATAACGAACATGATATTAATTATGTAAGTAGAAATAACTTTAGATTATAAGTTAGCTTTTTTGAAATAGATTTGGAATGAAGAATTGTAAAAAGTATTTATTTGTATCGTTATATCAAAAAACGTTGTGGCGAAATGATGTTAGATACGTGGTCACCATTAAATGGAAAAACTAAAGAAAAATCCTTGAAATCTTATTCTTTTTTTCTTCCTGAGGAGAAAAAGGCTATAATAATGGCTTTAGAACTTTTGCGACGCAAGTTGTAAATTGACGAACGAACGAAAGACTTAATATTTAAAATACTATTTTAAGAGCCCTCGAGTAAAGTATTTTTTAGGGACACCATATTTATGTATATGTTATTCTGTAGGAACTCCCCTGCAGGTAAAGATGTCTCCGAAATTGGGCCTGTTTTGTCTGGATTGCAATGTTCGCAGTGGTACACATTTGATATCGTCTTTCCATCTGTTGCAAATTGCTATATCTACGTTTCTTTCTTTTAACCTCTTACCCGGTTCTTACCGGATTAAGGTTCATTCGTAAGTCCGTTCCGCAAGTGTGATTTCCCAAAGTCATCTCTTTAAGTTCAAAATGAAGGACGACTTGTAAAATTTTTATGTAAAACATTACTTCACAGTAATAATACAGTAGTATTATAGTATTCCGTGTGAAGTCTCTTCAGGAGCACTATCTCATTAGGATATATAAAAATTTATAAATATAGAAGTACAAGCTTTTGTGTGAAACTTAAATATTCCTGTATCAACATTTTCTTGTACTCAAACATTATTTAAAGGTTCTATTGTCAAAACTGTCAGTAGTGGAGTAGTGGTTAAAAGGCCCGCCTCTCATGCATAAGGGGGCGGGTTCGGTCCTGTGAAGTATGATGTGATGTTCCGAATGTGATTTTCCGAGTCATATGTACTTTCTTAAAGTATTTAGATACCACTGACATACGGTGAAGGGGGATTCTACGGGAAAGTAAACCTGGATGTAATTTTTTAAAGTTTTTCTTTTTTTTTTAATTATTATGTATATCGATACAAAATACTTAAAATTGCACGATACTTTAAAAATATTAGTATATTAATATTTTTTTATTTTTTTTAAGTTGCAAACTTGATTAATGAATCTAATGCTAATGAAATTGATGCAGACCCAAGCTACATGATGAAACTAGCATCCATATCAAGAAATAAAAACTTTTAAGTGACTCCTTGTACCAAGTAAATCGTACGTGTCCCACCCGTGACAGTGAAAGTCCCACCCGTGACACACTTTATTATTTTTTTTTAAATATGTGTAAATAATAGAACATTATTTTCTATTCAAGAGTGAAGTTTAGTTTATTGTCTCAAAGAAATATTATAGTCTGTATTAAAAAGTTTTATCAACTAGCAGAGTTTTATTAAATATGATACATGTGTAACAAGAATGTCACAACTTTGTCCCACCCGTGACAAACATTTACTGTCTTCTTTATAAAATTTTACCTGGTGTTATTATTCCATCCCATCTTTATTGTACCTATAAAAGTACATGGATAAATTTATTATATTCTATATAAACCAATTAAAAATCGAGGTACAAGTGTCCCACCCGTGACGCTAGAATACCCCTGAAGGAAAACATCATGAGGAAACCTGGACCTATAGTTTCACAATTATAAGTTTGAAATCACCAACCCGTCTTGAGCAAGCGTGGTGATTAATGCGTTCCCAAAGAGGGTTGATGTCAGGCAGGCGGCCGGTCGTAAAAAAACAATTAGCCAAAACTATTCACAACATGTAGAAAGACTCTGGCTAAAACTGGGAAATTGCCAGGAAGAAGAAGAAGAAAAAGATTGTCCAAATTGTCATTATTTTTAGGTAAAAATGAAACCTCTTAAAAATTAAAACCTAGCGTTCTTTACGTAATTTTTTCCGAAACGTAGGTGTCAACATATCTCTTCTAAAGATTACAGAATATGTGATATGCCACTAACTTGCTATAGTCCGTTAGACTTAAGCTGAGCTTTGCGTTTGTGTGAGTGAAAGTAAAAGTAGAGTTAGACAAAAAACTTTTACAATTTAATTCTATTATATTTTAAATAGATATGTACATAATATAAGTACGAGAGTTATTCTACACTTAAAATTAAATAAGCAAAACTTGTAAAAGGCCAGATGGAAATATTATAAATATTATGGAAAATAATTAATTGATAAAAATTTTGAAAAAACTATACAAATTCTTCTTCACTTGACATTGCGTTTTCACCATTTGACTCTGCTATCATTACAAAAGGGTGAAGTGCGGAAGGTGCGGGGCGGCGTAAAAGCAGCATAAACCGGTTCAAAACTAGAAAATAATGTTGCATTCAAAAATTTAACATCTCACCTACACTATCCGTGTGCACTCACACAAATGCAAAGCTCAGCTTAAATCAAACGCATTATAACTAGATTACAATCCGTTAAAATGTCTGCACTTTCAGTTGCAATTTATTTTTCCAAACAGCTTTGACAAATTATTCTTAATAACTGACTATTTCAAAATGTATAGATTCCTACAAAATCTCAAATTATTAAGTTTGCCGATGAATGTTCTCAATGTTTATTACACAAAAGGAAACATTTTTTTGTTTTCATTTCAAAAAACTTCGACATCTAATGACAAATATGTAAACAAAGTAAACCTATTGGTTTTACAATAATGTAGCTTTGAATTGACAGTTAACATTTTCGTGCGTACAATACTTTTGCTGAAAAAGGTATAGTATGGTATACGTATTTTTTGTCTCAAAAGAATGATGTCACTGAAAAAGTATTTTTTTGAATCGTAAATAAATATATAAATTCGTATTATTTGTAAGTAAATATAAAAACGTAAATTATTACGATTTCTATTTGGTAAAGGAACCTTCATATATTACTAACATAAATTAAAAATTTAATAAAACCCCCGACCCAATTAAAAACATGAAGAGAACCAGTCAAAACAAACTCGATGGATTTACTAAAAGGCAGTCCAGGGTTACGTCACCTATCTTCGAGCCAGCAGAGCAGACCAGCTCAGTGGTTCCAGAAGACATTAGCGTTTCAAATGTCAGATCCCACATATGCTTGCAAGCAAAATGTGCGTGTAATATTCCTATCATATCTAACAAACGACCTGAACTGATTTCCACCAAAACATAGTTAAGAACACTCTCGGCGGATATACCTTTCAAACAGAAAAAAACAGCATTTAAATCGGATTATCCGTTTGAGAGCTACGTTGCCTCAGACATACATATACACATTGACACACACACAGACACGTCAAATTTACAGCTCCCCGTCGATTTTGCGTCAGGGATTAAAAACGATTCTTTTCCTTCGAAGTGACAAAGTCTAGAACACAATTACGATAGAAAATCAACTTATACGATGAAATAATAGCCTAATTGAACCTAGTGCAATTTCATAAATGTTTTGTAATAAAGGCGAATATTATTTCTTCTGCCATTTTATCACTACAATATCATAATTAATAAGTGTAGAATAAATTTAAATTTGTTCAAAACATTCTTTTTCTTGGATCAGTTAAATACGAAAAGATTTTTTTCTTACATCAAATAATAATCGAACTTATATATATACTTATAAGTCGACTTGTAGACACTGAAGTCTCCCTGGCCATTTATACGGTTTAGTAACTACAATCATTTTAAATACTTAATTTAATTAGGTGCCTAACTCGATTCTTTCCTTCACGTCCAAATTACAATGAATCTTTAATTAAATCGGATGTTTTGTTAAATAAAATCGATTACCTACATGAATTATCATTTTAATTTTTTACAATTTTATTATTACATAGTTTTAAATTAGAATTACCCACCGCAATTTACATTGTTATGTAAATAACATGCAAAAATCTACCAACAGGCTACGACACAGGTTTAAGGTCTGCGGTTTTGATAATTAATAAGTTAATATTAAATAAATACTAGAAATAATATAAAAGATATACATATATGGAATAGAAAAAAATGTATCTATGTTACATACCCGATTGATGTCATAATTGGGGAACTGTGGATAAATTGGACATTTTCCTAAGCCGGTGCTAGTAACAGTTTTAACTACGGTACACAACAATATAAATTCCAACTTGATTCCCATCACTCGGAAGTCACCCATAGCATTTTAGACGTTCAAGTCTCGCGATATTGTTTTGTAAACAGTTCGGTTATTTGTAAATCAAAACCGACCGCGGACACTCCCCGCACTGACCCATTGAGCTCAGAAATGAATATTCATTTGAATTTATTTCATGTTTTACACTTGACGATACGTACAAAACTATATTATTACTAGAACAATAATTGTTCACGATCTCACACTTCAGTTTATTAACATGATAATATCAGTTAAAAAATAAATAAGTCTAGATTATTATCCGTAAAGATTCTTCTAATAGCTTTTTTATATGTTCTAACGACTTTTGCTTTTATAATTAAAATAATAATAATAGAATAACTTGTTTTTCTAGACCTTTATTAACACAATAACTGAAATGTAATAAAAATCGGTGTTTTGAATAAAAATATAGATTTTATTCATTTTAAGAAATCTAGCATTTAGGTAACAAGTCATTACGTAAATTATTTATTCCAATATACCTAATGAGATAGGATCTAGCAAAAGACCTAAAAACAAAATCAATTGTCAAATAAATATAGACTATAGACTCAACAATTCGTAAAAAATATTCAGAAAAAAAAAAAAACATTTTTTTTTCATTTCAAAATTTAAAAAGGCAAAGGTTTCTCTCATAAGTCCATGTCGTTATCGTCTCCCCGTGTATAAAGACCATAAACACGTGTTCACACAAATTTACATAAACAGCATTGAAACTGACGACGCATAAGTCACCACCGCACGCTCATACGTCACGAATGCACTTTGTTATGAGACGGACAAAAAATAAACACGCAATAATATAAACGATTTATTTACACATTAATAATATTTACATTTTATTATTGGACATTATTCTCAGGAACCATAAACAATTTTATTATTTTTTTTGGTCTTCAAATTACAACCTCTTTGTTATGGTGTATTCGGATAATAATAATTAGACATGTATTACATATTTGTACCTATTATTATTTATTGTGCTTTATCACCATTATTCCTTCTAGGATATACATATGTAATTACCTACAACATAATGAAGCCGCCATTACATCTAGAAATAACAACTAATATCTCCTTATAAGTCTAGTTTTCCTTATACTATATTTTTAATATAACATATGAACGTATTGTTTCTATATCATATATCCGTTCACCACTTGGTAGTAAGCGCGATATCGTTAGTCTGTACAGCGTGGTAGGAGGTGTGTAGCGCGTGCCTCGCCCGCTCCGGGCCCGCAGCCCCGAGCCAGGCGCTCCAGAGGTGTCTAACCGCGGCCCCGGAGGTCTCCGCCCGCGGGAGGGTCTCCATCAGGTCCTGCAGCCTCCCCACTAGAGAGCGACCGCTCTCACCCTCGGTTGGTCGCACCTGGGCACCGCCGTTCAGACAACCTGCAGGGAATATACATTATAATAACTTACTGTCGAAATAGCTCAGAATTAATAAGAACTCAAAATGCTATAGATGAATGTTATAGGTTTGATTCTTTACAGTTATTTTTGGATTTTAAAAATTTATATTTTAATTATATCTAAATAATGATGTACTGCATACCTTTTATTATAAGTAGTTTTTTAATCTTAACTAGTTTTCATCCACGACTTGTTTGCAGTAGATTTCAGAATTGGACAAAGAGAAAAATAGTTTGTTAACATATGGTGACTAAGCTAACGACATCTATAGCCTATAATAGTTCTGATATCTAAGTTACATATTGTAAAGTTTCATCACAATCGGTCAAGGAGTGTGCGTGAAAGATCCATACATAGTTACAAACTTTAATATTAGTAATGCGAGTGTGATTATTTGAGTGTGTTCTGTTTGTATGTACCTGAAGGGCAGGCCATGACCTCTACGTAGTGGTAGGGAGACTTGCCCCTCTTGAGTTTCTGCACCAGGTTCTGTATGTTCCGGAAGCCGTTGGCGATGGCGAACCTCAGCACCTCCTGACCATCCTTCTCCAAGGTTATTTCACGGAAGTCGGGATTCCTGCGTCAGACATTTCATTATTCTTCCTCATCAGCCTATCTCAGGTCATTGCTGAGCAAAGGCTTCGTCTCACATGGAGAAGATTTGAGCATTAAAACCACGCTTGCTTAATGCAAGTTGGTGATTTCAAACTTATAAGTCCAGGTTTCCACACGATGTCTTTCTTCACCGTTTGTCAGTGGTGTCTAAATACTCTGAGAAAGTACGTATGACTCGGAAAAATCACATTGGTACTTGCCAGGTTTCGAACCCACGCCCTCAAACACGAGAGGCGGCCCCTTAACCTCTAGGCCACCACGACTCATTTTTATTTCATTATTAAATACATCTAATATTTGTGTATAGTTTTATTAGTGTAACATAAACATTAATTCAATATTTGTTTCGACAATTCAATAGTTACAAAACAATGAAATAATTATACGAGAGCGTTCAAAGTGTTATAACTACTATAATGGATGACCAGGGGTCAGTGTTGCGTTAGGGTTCCGCCTCAACTTATATTGTTCATTTATATGTTATAATATAATATACTGTAGACATCAATATTGCTTTAAAAAATGTATAGGACCATACTTTTTTATTTTTCCTTACATGTAGTTTAAAAACACATAAATCACAAGTTTTTTGGGTTCTAATCTTCTAACAATGTAAGCTTCGACATAAAGTTTACTCTTTAATAAACAAACTATAGAGTACTGTAACAAACAAACCAGCCGTTCATTAGCGATACAGACATGAAAATACTTTAGAAACTAAGGCTTTGATCGTCTGGCCCTGATTAAGGAACCAAAACACATGGAGTATGTAGTGTTTACAATAATAAAATACGCATAATTTTCTGACAATATTAGTTTCATTTAAATAAATACTCGCAAAAGTCTTACATCCCATTACAACTAAGGTTTTTAAACCCCTCATTATATACCTTAGATTCTTATAAACGAGTGGGACGTCTTCCTCTCCGAAGAGTTCCTTCGCCGCGTACATGAACACCTCGTCTGCAAGGCCTCCGGAGCCCGAGGACTTCGCCCCCGGGGCTCCGTGGCGCCTCACGCCCGGGGTCATTGACACTTCCCAGCACCAGTCCAAGGAACTGTCCGGAAATTCTGACAGGTCTTTGTCCTGGTTGGACAGCATCTGTTCCAACTCGACTGCAAATAATTACACTTAATCTTAATAAAGATAGTCTACGCCTAGACGACCACGAAAATACGACTACATATAAACATAGAATAGAATAGAAATATACTTTATTGCACTCAATATCATAGAAAATACAGAAAATTAAAAACATAACATATGTTATGCTGAATTGTTATTGGATTCAAGTACTAAGGTTTTTGGATGAATGATGCTTGATCTTTCTACCTGATAGTGGGTGGAATTTAAGGCATAAAACTTAAATTACCAGAATCCAGAATAGTAACATGACGTCATCAAAGACGAAGATACTGATAGTAGATATCTTCGCGGATATACACAAATAACCAACATGATGAAGTTATACTCAATAAATCCTGGCTATGTTAGGTAAGACATGAAATTTCTTGGGCCACAAAAACAATTACGGCTTAGAAATCTCTAGGGCTTTGTGGTTGAAATTTGCAAGTTGCCATGCAAATTATATTTGGCTATTATTAATTTTGAGAAATATTATACCTTTGTTTAAATTTCTTATTTAATATTAAGGAAAAACAACTCACTGGGTGTAATAACACAGTCCACATCATGACAATTCAATATCTCGTTGTAGAAGTCCTCCCTCGAAGCTTCTAACTTCTTATCATAGCAGGGCATCAGAGTTACGTGGTAGAGGGCACCCGGCGGGAGCTGTCTCTTGGTAGCGAGGAACTGCTTCACCAGTGACCCCATCACTTGCTGCGACGATTTGGTGGTGGAGATGTAAGGAAGGATGTAGCTGCCGTGGGCCTTCTCAGCGTAGCACACCCAGCCTAAATACACATAATATGTATAAACCAATAGGACTTATTAAAAAACTTCTTACAAAAGAATTGATAGTATATTTGTATAAGTTGACACTGTTACCCATCTTTATTGCCTATCAAAACTAAGAGTTAAAGAAATAAACATTAAATTATTTAGAGAGGGTATATAGTGTAACTTTCTTAATCATTAACATATTTCATTCACTTGGCTATTTGTCAAATAAAACACTTAATTATATACTGTCTCATAGATAAAATATTACACAATATTTGTGGATAATTGTTTAAAAAGATTGTTTTATATATTAACCTGGACAAGCACTAGCCAACATCGGCAGTGTCTTAACATCTGAGTCTGCCTGATCTCTGTACCGCTGGACAAACTCCTGCTGGGCTTCCATTATGGACAGGTCTTCAGCCACTGTCATATCTAGCACCAGGTCCGCGCCAAGACTCCTGAAGTAACCTGGAATGTATACAATAAATTTGGTATTCATATAAACAAACATAATTTTATATTGTAGATAACAATATAGAACTGCTGTTGATGTGAAAAATTTGGAGTGAAATCCTCTAAATTCTAGAAGAATCTAGCAGATACATAAGGAGATCATATTTATTAATTAAACACAAATTTCGGAGCTAACATGAATGCAACAATGAAAAAAAATATAGCAATAATTAATTAAATTCAAATATTGTATAATGACAAGCTAATGTTAATACCAGCTAATTTTCTAGTAGCTTCTTCTGGCTCTAGCTTATATCTAACAGCTAGTGAGAGTAGAGGTTGTGGAGCAATTGATATCACAATAAGGCTGACATCTTGGGTCACACCTCGGCTGTCGGTGTATTTTCGTTCTGAGAATACTCTGAAATATAACACAGTGTTTAAGTTCGACATCAATGGAAGATAAAAAAAATATTATTAATTATTTAACTTGATTAAATGTTCTCTAAATATTATATATGACTTGGGAATATATTATGAATACCTAAGTAATTCTTCTTGGCTCTGTTTAGTAATGAGTACACTCTCTGCTGACGTGATACATCCACTACAAGCGAGACAGTCAGCCAGAGTGATCTCCACTTTCTGGAGCTTCTGTTCCTTTCCCGATGAAAGGTCAAAGTATCCATCCTCACCGATTTTTATTTTGGAACCCGTGTGAGTTTTCTTTTTCTCTATTTTCACTGGTTTTATACATTCCTTTAAAACATAAATTTGTATTAAATTTTAAATGAAAAAAGCCATTATTTTATGCTTCCTCAGGGTATTAAAGTTAAAGATATGGTTGTGTAATTTTTAAAATACTTTACATTATTTGTTTATATTAAATAGTCTAGATTTTGGTCAATATATAAAAGATCTGCCTGAATTAATTCTAAAATAAATATGAAAAACCTTGATTAAAAAACATAGGAGATCAGGGAATAGAAAATTCAAGGATCAAAACCAAAAACATGTCACGTTGTTGGCTTTGATCTTATATATTATCCTCATTAATGTTGTAAAAAATTTAAATTAAAAGATTATACACAATAAAATTTATTTTTATTTTAACTAATCTACTTTCGTAAAAATAAATAGTACACAAACAAAAATAATTGTAACAAGTATGTTTATAATGATGACGAAATGAATATATTCTCATACAATAGATTGTACAATAGGTTATGTTTACCTGCGATGGAGTAATAAAATCATCAAGGTCGGTCAATTGTAGCGCCCCACTAAACCGCGAAGCCATAATTAATATATAACTTTCATAAAATGACTACAATAAATTACTTACACTATACTCTTTATTAATACGAAAAAATAAATTAAAGAGACCTAATAACGAACAGCTGACCAGACCGTATAAATATTTTGACAAATTTTGGAAAATCAACATTGACATTGACATATAAGCTAACTATGGGTATAGATTCTCAAAACTTGATATGTGAAATATTAAAATTATTAATAAAAGAGAAATATTATTCATATATTATATTATTAGTCGGAATAACATAAAAATTGATTCCAGTTTAAATTATCAATGTCTGAATATATACGGTTTATATACGGTAGTAGGTCTCTTTGCACCCATAAAATTCTATAAGAATATTCTTTTAGAGTACAATAATTTATTTCAGACTATAAAAACTTCACGCAATTCAAATTATTTATATTTTGAACATGTTTACAGTTTATGTCCTCGAGATTCACATAAACTGGCAATTGGTAGCGAGAGATTTGGATGCTGAGAAAAATCAATCGCAACATCCCGCCCACCTCCGGTTTCCAAGGCGACAAGTAAACAGTGAGGCGACGACTGCGTTGCATTCGATACACGCTGCGTTGCATTCTTATTATTGCTTTTCTATTTTGTGTTTTTTGGATTTGCAGTGAAGTGATTTAAGAAAATGGGAGAGGAAGCAGCAGCTGCTGGTGCAGCCGTCGAAAAAGTGGTGCACACTTATCCGCTTATTAGGGTGATTATTTATTTATTCTTTTCATATTTAAATCAATCTTAAATATTTGTTTACTTTTAAAATTATGTATCTTCGTAAAACATGGAATTTGAAATAGAAATTTAATGTAAGGAGAATATGAATTTTCTGTTTATAACATTTTACATGATAAGGAATCATGATTAAAAAATGTCATTTTGAATAACTACTATTAATTACCTGTTAGGCAAATTCTTGCGTTTCTCGTAAATTTTTTAATAGATGTATCGTTTATTATAATTTAACTAACATAATTGTAAGTAACTTATTAAATATATAAAATTGCGGTTGACTTTTCTAATTATGACCTATCTTGTAAAATACGTTTTGCGATTTTGGTATAGAAAATAAACATTATAAGGTTCTATAAATTTTCCCACTTTAAATACATATGTAATAACGGGATAAAGATCTTTAATAGTTTCGTTACTTACTTTGTAATTAATAGGCATTTAGTCATAATCTGTCCATAAAAATTTAAAAAATCATTGCAGTATATAATATGCAGAAGCGTACGGATGTACCAAAAAAAAAAAGTGGGGGTGGCGTGTCCATCGCGTTGCAGGGAGAGGAGCTTTAACAATGCCTGGGACTTGCGACCCAGGTGTAGGTTTAACTTTTAAGGGACCCCTATCTTACTCGCTTTAAACGCTCACCTTCACCATCCAAGTTCCTCTCTCTCTACCTAATCAAATTTGAAACAAACCTACTAGGGTTGCCTTCGAAACATTCTCCAATAATTAATTGATATTAGTTCTGGACAGGCCCGAGTTTTTAAAGAGGTTCTAGAGGGATATAGCCGTTATACCTCTCAATCCCACTTTTACCATGTACACATTTAAGACGAACCTATTCTACGGAGTATACTTATTGATCTCGATGGCACCGTCTTTGGGGATGTTGGTTTTGCAAGTAACCAGGAGCTCTATTAACAAAACACGCTTTAAATTCGCGAATGTTGAAATATATCTGATGTAGGCTGCAATGCGCAAATATCCTCTGGGATTTTATATAGTTTCTCATACGTATCCATCATTACAATCCGAAGCCGCTTTAAGAATAGAGTAAGGCGTTTGATTTTATAGCCTTCTTTCACAAAACCTACTGATGACTCGTATGTGGTTATTTCTTTTTTAATTCTGGCTACCGAAAGACTAACAACTTCACGTATGTTTTCTAGAACCGTAATGATTACTGGTAGAATTGTGAATTTCTTATGAATAATAATAATATTTTATTAATTTGTCACATTTCCGTCAATCATTATTTGTAACCGGATCAGATAGATACTCGTAGCTCCATTGTAGCGAATCGGCATATAACCATACACCGTGTCCAAGATATCGGATTATTCGTTATGGATACAAAAAACCTCTAAAGTAATGAACTAAAAAAAATAGTAATAACGGTAAATACATTGAAATAAAACACAGATAAAACTGTCAAAATAATTATGACCAAAAAACATTGTTCATAATTATCTGTCCCTATTTTTTATTTAATTTATAAATACATATGTAAAGTATTTTTTTGTAATCTCCATTCTACTTAAGGATATAAGTATAAAAGTAAACAGTGAAAATATATTTCTACATTTAAGTCTTCTTTGTCATTGAAACTCTTTTGTAGAATATTTCCTGAGTGCACCGTAGTTACACTCCAAAAATTATTACATAATGTAATTTGGTATCTCTGTGTCTCGTGGGGCTTTCAACCTTCCCACTTATAACCAACATCACAACAAGTTCCAACTGAATCTCTTCAAAGCTGATGTTTATTTTTCCAGATGCGTTCAATACTTCGGCTAATTTAGAAAACACTGTTAATGGTTATGACTTTGCATTGTAATCCCTAGCAGGTTTTACAATGTTACTTATTTCTTTTGGTCGAATTATATTTAAAATGCTCTTATTTTTAAAAGAGACGCGATAAAAAAATTAAAAAGGGAAATAACGCGCTAAATAAAAAATTTGAAATTTGTATGTTTCTAATAATAATTAGCTTCTTTATTTAACACGCAAGTATTGTTGTTAACGATTCCAGATTATTTAAATTTGCAAATAATTTAAATTTCAGTATGGATGAGGTCACAGCTTTATGAAATAAAAAAAATGACTGCAGATTACCATAATGTATAGTATAGACATATATTTGATAATCTTTATTTGACTTTTCGTTACTTTAATGAACTTAATCTTGTTGTAGCACACAGATATGTCTGAGGAAATGAGGGTGGAGGCCATCGAGTTGTCTGTGACGGCGTGCGAGAAGTTCTCACAGAACAACGAACTAGCCGCTCGAATGGTCAAAGAATCCATGGACAAGAAGTTCGGCCCGGCCTTCCACGTGGTCGTGGGAGAGAGTTACGGCTTCGAAATAACATACGAGTGTACAACAATATGTTATATGTATTTTGGCGGGAATCAAGCTATCTGTATTTGGAAATGCTCCTGAATGATTCTATAATTTTCGTACATTTTTTAACTATATACTTTGAAGGTTACTCCGTCCGAAGTTACCTTCAAATATCTGAACGCCAGAACTTTAAACATTCAATGTTATGACTTATAAGACTTTGAATTGTTGAAAACATTAAAATACCATCCACAGATAATATTTAAAGATGCGGAATGCATTGCGTATTTTTAAGACGAAGCTTACATGCAACATATGTGCCTACACAACAGAATATAAATCTTTATGCGATATAGAGTAAAAATATAAGTTATAATTTATAAATAACAAATCTAATATGCTTAAAAATTGATAGTTGAAAGCTTAATAATATTTTTATGATACATTTTCAAGTTTTTTATACCATCCCCGATGGTTAAGAAGATAAAAAGTTTAATCTTGCAATGAAAGATATTTTTTTGCATATACATACCTAAATATTGAGACTCGAGAGGCTCTACATCGAGTAATTATTAACTACAATGTACTAATAAGCATCCAAAATAACGGATGATAACTTTTTTATAATGATATTTTATTTGTTCGGAAATTTCTTTACATAACACTCACAATCCTAATTTGGAAACAAAAGCATATGCAACAACAAACACAAGGTGTGACTGTTACTTCTAATCTCTCTAAACAAACATTCCTTTTCATCTCAATTGGCACCCTGTATTAAACTTAAGTGTTCAAAGCTTTATTTTTTTTTAAATAATTTCAAATAAGATTCTTCCACTCGACTATTCAAAAATACTTTTGTTTATAAGTTCCCGCATAACTTTTTTTATTTTAAGATGTTTCTTTTATTTTATTCGCATTCGAATTTTGATTCTACATAATTGTTATAGTATAAAAAAATATTACATGTTTCGTGAAAATCTCGAATATTCTAAATATTCGAGTTGCGTCTAAATTTATTGATGTTCTATTAAATGTGTATTTTTTTTAGTTTACAGGCTACCGGTTATTAAAAAACAATATATATAAACATTTATAAGCTATTATTTTATACGGTAATGCCATTTTTTATATATCATAAATTCCTTTACATTCTGACCCCTTTACCATTACTGAAGTTATTGACATTAGTTTTATTAAAATAGTATTTTAGTGTAGAAATAGAGCTCTTAATATATTTGTGTTATGTTTTTATAATTGTAGGTACGTAGCAAGGCCATCGTTATAACTAACAATTAGAAGAGTACTTCCAGTTACTAAACTATTGCCAAATAGTTAATTTGACTTTTAAAGTAGTTCGTTCTTGTATTGTTTTTTGGGAGTAGTGTCATTCATTGTAATGTTAATGCCGCATACTTATTCTGTCTTCAAGAAACTAGTTTTCTTATGTTTTCATGCACCTTTAAAAGTGTTTTAAGATTTTTGGTACTGTATTAGTCAACCAGATATAAAAATATTAAAAGACATTTTATTTTATTTCAACAGAATTATTTTTTTTTTATTGACACAATTTGCCTTAGATTCAAGGAAAATATTTTTTCTTAAAACCGCTTTCTTTTTTCTTTTCTAAATCATGCTTATTGTTAAAACCTTTTACATAAAATGTAAATTATTTTGAGAGATTTTTTAGCTTTATTTAATCTTTTAAGTAGTTGTGACGTAGTAGGTATTATGTCCCAATCATATTAGAAAGTACATACTCCCCTGTATTTATTAGTATTGAAAATATTTTCGCATAAAATTTAGTTATGTTAACGACTATTTTCGGTTCTCAGTCTAGTTTATTGTATCATATTGACTATGAAAAGATATACGTGTTTAATGTTACAAACACTACACGTAGCTGGAGCAAAAAGGTTAATTTATATTTTCAATCTTATTTAGTTGCAACACTGATACAGATTATAATATGCGTGTCAGTAATAGCTGTTTTTTTATTTTTTAACTACGGTATATTTTTTATGGTTCACATATTCAGCCAATAACACTAATTTCGTCTGTAGTGTACTATATTTTATACAAATTTAAGATAAATACTTATAATAATATAAGCAACACAAACACAAAAACTAATGAGCACCTTGTCCTCTGTGTACAATAATGAGAATCTTAATTGTAGTGACAATACAACTTTAAATGCCATGGATTCAATGTCAGTTGTGGTATTTTACCTATGTATGTATAATTATTGTCCAAGGTCGCTATTATATAGTAATTTGTAATAAACATGGCTATTTGTAGAGTATTTGTAAAGCCAAGAGCTATTTGTAAAGCCAAATTTTAAGAGGATAATGATTTATTAAAAGTTTGTTTTCGTTTTTAAATATAAGAGGGTCGTACAGGGGAGCTTTGTTTAAATAATTATCGTACAAAACATAACGAGGTCAAAGTAATTTATAATCAAAAATTAAGGCTTATAAAAATATTTACAGAAATGGATTTACTTACATAGAAATAAATATTTTAATAAATCGTTTGTTTTATTTCAATTTATACAGAATATTATGAAATAAAAATAATGTTTTAAAATATTTTGGGAATATGATTTACTTCACTGTATGATGAAATGTAGATGAACGTATTAAAACTTAGTCGCTAGTACCTTCTGAGGTAGTATCAGTAAATCGAAGGGCACTATAGATACCTCGGAAGAAATGAATCTCCGTATTACCATTTCACCAGTTTTGTATTTAGATCACAAAGATCTACTGTCTCGCCGGAAGAAAGCTCTCTTCTTGGAAATAATCCGGGGACTTAGAGTTTCGATAATTTAACAGTAAATATATTAGAAACGTAAAGAGAATAATAATATAAGTAAAATAAAATAATAGCGTCTGATCTCAATTAAAAATTAGAAAACTTTCGGCCAACGATAAGATGCAAATAAATGTTGCATCTCATGCCTAACTGCTGACTTGTTTTACCATAATCTCCCGTCACCCTCAAGCTTCTTCTTTCTGGCAATTACCCAGCTTTAGCCAGGGTCTGCCTTACATGCTGTGAATAGTTTTGGCTAATTGTTTTTACGACCGGTCACCTGCTGACATCAACCTTCTTTGGGAATAGCCACCCTCAAGCTTGTGACCTTCAAAAAGGATATTCGATAGAGACTTAACTAAACAGCGATTCAAGGTACCCAAAGGGGGTGAGACTTTAAAGATGTATCTGTGTGGGTCTTTTGTCAATAGAAAATGCAATTGGCTGTATGGTCATCCACATGCGGCACTCTAGTAGCTTTTTTACCGACGAGGATAGACATAAGGACAAAACAAATATCATTCTCCTCTCCCAAAGCTCAGATTGTATTGAAACAACAAAGGAGCAGATATCCTAAAGGGAACTAAACAGTCTCATCAGCAGCCTTCTTATAAGTGACATGTTCAAATAAGTGTTTCGTCTCCTGGTCACCGCTATGTGATCGGTAGACAATTTTACAAGCAGTTTTGTCCAAACCTGTGTCCACCAGCATTCTGGGGTTCGAAAATGTTGGTTATGCAAGTTAAAGACGCTTATAGCAGATTTAATTGTAGATATACAAGCTTAGAACGGTCCGCTGACAAAAGATTATACTTAAATTACCTTTTCATCTAAGGTGACTTGCCAGGCGTATTACCAGCGGTCCATCAATCTCCCAACCCACTAAACTCCATGACCAAGTAACCGACACAATCTTGGTGTAACATACTCGGCTCAAATCAGAAGGCAAATATTCAGACCCATCCTGATTCCTGAATACAGTTTGATTAGAAAATATAGAAAACGGTTGATAAAGAAATGGTTAACCGCGTGCTTTTGCCTAATGGGTGGCAATTTTACCGACGACCGACGTTAGGTCTTCCACTAAAAAAAGAGTTAAAATACTAAGTCGCTACGGTGACATATTTCAAAACATACTATATGATTCATAATTAACCCAGAACGAGGGCTACGAAAATCCACCAACTTATTAAATAAAATAACTTCAATGAAACTAATATTTTGCGGATGTACTACGTGATTTTTATTTTTGACTATAAACAACATACTCCCGACGTTTCGGTTACTTTACGGCAAGATGTGATCTCGTCTGCCTGTGATCACGTAGTACATCCAAAAAAAATATTAGTTTCATTTAAATGAATACTCGCGAAAATCTTAGATCTCATTATAAAATAACTTTGAAAGTTACTTGTAATAAAAAAACAATTTTGTATTCTTTCTGTGTTAATATTGAACATGTTATTCACTAAACCCGCTCGGTATAATGAAAACCATTCATTTTATACACAGGAAACTTGTAAAATAAGAGAAAAAGACATCTTGTAAATCAATATTTAATTATTATAATATAAATTATAAATTCTCGAATCGTTAATTTGAATTCCCGTTTCCTAGGTGTTGCCAGTTAAAATTTTATTATTTATTTAAGTGTTACTTAAACTATTAACTCTAAATAATTGATATAAACATGTGATAAAAGTGTACGCTTGGATAAAATACAATTTTGGTTATATTTTCGGTTCTATAGATTTAAAATTAAAAAATCCTTTTAGAAGGTAGGATGAAAATAAAAACTGTTATAACAAAATTATAAAGCGGTTACCGAAGTTCACATCTAATATGTTTCTTGCGTGTCTTTACTGTAAGTTTACATTGTCACACGGAGCGGATAATTTTCAATTTGAACTACATATCAGTATATGTATACAAGTGTATACTACTACCATGTGCGAAGATTTATCAATGGAAAACTTAGCATAGTTCGTTTCAATATTGTCGAAATATAAACATTCTGTTATACCACTTAAGAGTTAAGGTGGCACTTCACTTGGCGTTTATTTGTTGTGTTCGGCCAAATAAGACCATGTGTGGAGGATTTATTCGACTTCATTTGACATATTTGCAAAAATAAAACACATACACAAATAAGCGAAAACACGTAGACGTGTTGTTGGCATGCCAAGTGTGGATGTCGTGTTTGCGCTATTTGGACTACGTACAAATATTTGAACAAATGCGGCGAATACGCTACACCAAGTGAAGTGCCATCTTTATAAAACACACCCGATTGTCCATTATGAGATGTCATAACGACATGTAACATTTCAGTATTTGTTTATAATCAATTAAATATTTATTACTTGTAAGTTTATACTTCATATAAATCCTTTATACTTTATACCAAGCATACTATACAGCTTAGTGAGTGCTTTAGGAAACGGGAGAGTAAAAAGTAGTGCTAATAAAATACGTCTTTTACATATATTGGCACATAATGCGATCACATAATACAAATGTATAACTGCTTTATGCCTACACGTCAAACACTCGACGCATACCTCTGTAAATAGAACTCCGTATATTAACTAAGAAAAATTAAAAAATAATACTATAAAATATAATCATTAAAGCATGTACGCAAATTATATTAGCTTAAAAATTATAATGAACACAACTTTAAAATTCCTAGCTATGAAATAACTTAGTAATAAAACGGCTATGATGATTGAAAGAAAAAAATCCCACAGAAGTACTATTTACAGATAATAATATTAAGGAATCATATAAAATAATATATTAATAATTAATTAGTAAAAATTTGTGACCATCTGTATATGATGTAATCAACAGTTAGTAAATTTTTCCTTTATAAAGTCAAGACATCACCGTACACATTGATTCATCAAACACCATATCTACAAGAACATAGTGGAACATCGGTATAAAATCTACTCAACTGATAAAATATAGTATATAACTAGTTATCTAAAAAATTTTGATATAACATTAACATTTCAGGCACAATAACATTACTTATACAGTCAACCAAAACTATTATCATTACACGACCATGATCAGGCACAAAATATTCGATTCCATCATTAAAAAAATGTCCAAAGAAATTCATCTCACAACTCAGCTGTTTGAACTAATAAAGCAATAATATTGTTTATAGTTGACTGCACAAAGGCATTATTATAATAAGCACCTATAGACAACATCAAAAACTAGCATTCACATACATATACTATATTTATATTAATTGAAGGCAGTTTTATAACATTTACATGTGACATTACAACGTCTCAACACTCATAAATTGTTAACTCACAAATAAAATACAATGTGAGCACGTTATATAACATTGAAGCAAGTAACAATCGTATCTCTTACATATTTACAATAATTATCAATAATTGCATCTATCGAAATACTCGGAACTGTGTAAAATAATCATTTTGTACCGTATATTGTGATGTACATATGTTTGTGAACATTAATAAAATCAATGTTGTAATTATGGCACCTATAAAAAAATTAAAGCATTACAGTTGATAGTGATTTGTTTTGAATTATTTCATAAAGAAATTTGAATGAGAATATGTAAAAAATCTTCCTAGATCCTACTAGATCAGAGTCATAACAAAAATTATAACTTTTTGTACATTTCTCAATTGCATTCAGTTATTTGTGTACAACAATATTAAACAACATATCAAACTTTCAATAAGTCATTACTCACTCATCTGGAGCTTCTTACATTAATTTTCAAAATTACATCAATACATTTACAAAAACCGTTATCTATATAAATAACATTTATATATGACTTACAACCACAACAAGCAATACTGTATCTTGTTTTACAACCTGAAACCAAGTAGATACTTGCAAACTGAATATACAATGTTCATACCTCAAATGCTGAAGTACTACTTGAATACAAAGCATGTGAATGTCATACAACAATATGACAATATAAATGACTAATGTAATCCATACATATTGTTAAATCAAGCACCAAAGCGAGGAAGTATTGTGGGGTCTATACATAATATGTTTGTAGACAACACATTAACTGATTTAATTGGTAATATTTCCTATGAACTGCATTTCGTTTTGTGATTTTTATAACAGATATATGCACTTATCACTAGTTGAATGTTTCAATACACTGTTACACTACAGTGTGGTGTAGGTTCGCTAGGAGGGCGTGAAGTGTGTTACTAGCAGCTTGGTAGCCTTGGCCAGGTCGTAGGCCGCCGCCCGCACCTGGTCCAGCGGAGCCCTAGTGCTGCAAGACAGGACCACCGCCTCACTGGCTGATCGGAGATCTGATATGACTTGTTGGAGGGCACTGTCCGTACATGTCTGACAAATATAGGATTTTTTTAAAATTGTATTGTAACTTATAAATATAAAATATCTGGTTACCGAGCAAAGCTCAGTATTTAGGAATTTTAGTATTTATTTTTTCATTCGTGTAAGCATTTCTAAGTGAACACGTTAAGAAGACACAAAATAAACACTCAATGACTTCCTGTTACTTAGCAACGCCATCTGCTGTTGTGTTGTTTAACCCTTAACCACCTATTTTTGTCCTTTAACCACCTACTTGCGGTCACAGACACCGCTCATAAATTTCTGCGATTATTTTGGGATCTATGATAAGAAAGTAAAGTTTAGTTAAATAAAATACATGGCTATACTTAATTTTACAACTCTTTTTCTTATTTCTATTAATTTGAATAAACTTAAAATAAAATCAAATAAAAAAAACGAAACAAAAAATTAAAAATTAAACAAAATTGCAACACCACAACTTTTAAATTTTTTCGCAGCAGTAACAACACATTTTTTACAAAAATTTCAATGAAATAGGTAGTTTACATACAAAACATAGGTAAGCCGGTTTGTGTTTCCTTTTTATATCAACCGTATTGTATTTTGATTTCATTAGTCTTATTTCATTATTTGTGTGTGGTAAAATTTTGTCCAAAATCTCATCCGTAAATAAGAGAGAAACTCCAAATATCAAGTGGTCTAGTAGAATTATTAAGAATACTCACTTAGGTGGTTAAACGATTATTAAAAGCAAATAGCAAAATGTAGTATTACTATTCGCCAATAGATGTCAGGAAGAGTCATATTTTAAAGGCTTCCTTTTTGTTATTTTTTTTTAATAAAATGTATTTTTCTAAAAATTATTCCTAGCTAGATCGACTTATCGCCCCCGAAACCCCTATATACTAAATTTCATGAAAATCGTTGGAGCCGATATATACAAGAATTGCTCATTTAAAGATATAAGATAAGTGTACATAAATTGTCAGCATGCCCATAGAACATTCCTATTTCATATTTTTTATATGAAAATTTACAAACAATTGATTAAGACAATAATGTGTAGTTTCATATTAGGAAAATTTAAATAACATTTATAGTACATATATATGTTTTTGATATACCTGTGGGAACAAAGACAGTAGATCAGCGACGGTTCTCCGTATAGAGTCAGCGCAGTCTGGTAGTTGTGGTCTCCTGAGCCTCGCGGCGGCCCACAGTTCCTGTATACAGCGGGTCACGGCCTCCGCCCTTAACTGGACCTCCCCCGACGGCGCCTGCTGGACCGAAGCCCCCTCAAGCGCACCTTGAGTCAAAGAGCGCTCCAAACCAGGAATACTTGTTAGCTGGAAAACACCATTCCATCATTACTTATATCATCAACATATAATAATTTTAACATCTTTTCCACTTCCATATTACTAAACTCCAATCCTAAGCTAAATTACATCTACCACCAAACCACTTAACTATTAGTTAGTCTGTCTTAATCGAAAATAAAATCTTTAAATATTAATTTATTAATAAATATGAATTCTTCAAATTTAGGTCACCATGTTAAATTTAATGAATACCAAAACTGTAAACCGTTAATTGGTCACTATATATAAATTAGTATAATTAATGATTAGTACCTGGTGTTTAGTAACCTGCCAGTTATTCTTTGGTCCCTCCCTAGCCTCAAACATACTGACCGGCCGTGTTTTCACCGCTTGCCTCAACTCCACGTCTTCTGATAGTGTCAGAGGTTCCGTGTCCAGACTCCTCCCCCTTTCTTGAGGTGATAGCTCCAGTGTATTACTCTCGTTGATAGATGTTTGTGACGTCATACTATGGTCATCATCCACACTGCTAGTTTTCAACGCGCTGTTTTCTTTGGTGAGTTGCTCGACTATAGTTTGCAGATTCTTCAGCTGATTCTTGAGTTCTGTGATAGTTGAATCTCTATTGTCTAGCTCTTTCTTGAGACTTTCTATCTCTGTCTTCTTCTTGGGAACGCTCAGCCCGGGACTGGGTGAGTGGGACCGCGTCGGATCGGATGTGGATTGATCGGTAGGCAGCGAAGGGTTGTATGTGGAAGCTACTATTTCACCGGCTCGAGGATCTAGATGTGACATCTAAACGCAAAGTGGGGAATTAAAAATATTAAACGTATTTTCTTTACCATTTTTAAGAATATAACTTACATCGAGGTCGATTGGCGCCAGAGCGGCGTAGTCTTCGTCGGAAGCAACCGAGTCGTATAAAGGTTCGTCATCTGACATCTGCGAAAGATGCTTAAGATGCGTCGCGGAGAGAAGAGGGTTTGAAGGGCCGCTTAGACCTGAAACAAAAATCCAGTTTAAATATCATCCTGCCAAGAGAAGAGCAATTAAAAAACTGATCTTTCAACTAGAAAACTTGTTGAATGTGTCTGGTTATGAATCGTTGTACTGAAATATTATAGAAAGGACATACATCATACTTCTACATCATGAATAAGATCAAAACCTTTTAAATGTAAGTATTATTTCGGATTACTAAGCATATTGTTTTATTTTTAAAATAACATACTTCCCACGTTCGGTTACTTTACCGCAACCGTGATCAGGGCAGACGAGATGTTTACATCTACGTACATACATAGTAATCCGAAAATATTAGTTTCATTTGCATACCTACTCGTGAAAGTCTTACATCGTATAAAAATCAACTTCATCACATTCTCCATATTATTAAAATAGCATCAGTCACAAAGGTGAGTATCACTATCAAAATCTCCATTCACATGGGTCAGTGTCAAGGTTTATAATAATAATAAATTTTTATTTCAAGTGACTATAACTCATTTTATTTTTAGTGATACATATTACCTATCTCCTATGTTAGTATAATAAATTAATTAACAAAAATAAAATAAAAAACTATCACTAAATTGTAATCATGGTAGTAATAGCTAGTACCTCTAGGTTGTAGGGCCGCGATCCTTTGTCTCCTGGTAGCATCTAACAACACGTCCCTCAACAACGCGGCCAGTTCAGGTGCAGACAGTCGCGCCAACTTCTGACGACCCTGATTCCTTGGAGCGGAAAGCGCGGGATTCACGGGAAGAAATGCCACGCCACAACGCTCTAAGCCCGTGGCACTTGTCTGCCATACTGAAAAATAAGTTTATTTTAATTAGAAAGCATTATTTTTTATGGCAGGTTGAAATGCTGACCTATAATAAAATATTAGTGTTGGTTCCTAACCCGTCGACGCTGGGTCATATTGACCTTCGGCAATTTTAATCATATTTTTTTGTTTTCGGACTAAATACTAGATGGAAAAACACATTCTTTGAAAGGCCAGATGTAATATCAGCAGTTGACTATGGCAAAACTGAGTAAGACTCATTATCCCTAAAATATTGCTAAGAAATCCACCGTACACAAAATTACAAAGAATAGCCAATTTCCTAGGTTAATATAGAGAAAAGTCTCCAATAAGTTCTAGGAGCTCGTAAAAAATGTGAATAAAATTCGGGTCAATATCATGGATGTTGTGATAATTTTCTAGTAATTTAAACTGAGTTATTTTTATAGCAGGTAACATATAACTTACTCGCTTCAGTCTCCCTACGGTCTATTTCATCGTAGATATCCATCACCAGCTCTTCAAATAAGTGGTTGGGGAGCTGGAACATGGTGAATTTGGTTACAATATGAATAGTGAGGTTATAGTAAGGCAAGATATTCACATCTCGTCTGCCCGTGATCACGGTTGATGCAAAGTAATCGAAACCTCGGAAGTGTGTTGTTTCTAAAAATAATAAAATACGGTACTAATCCGAAAATATTAGTTTCATTTATTATGTACTAGCTGCGCCCCGCGGTGTTTCCCCGCGGTTTTCCGGGATGCAAAGTATCCTATGTGTTATTCCTGGACGTCAGCGTCATGTATACAAAATTTTATCAAAATCGGTTCAGCCGTTTGAGCGTGAAAAAGTAACAAACATACACACACACACTCACAAACTTTCGCAATTATAATATTAGTAGTGTAGGATCCCTGGTTCTAAGTGAAAGTATAACTAGTCACTGTCTCACTACTATCTCGCCTAGAGCGACGCACGTCCCCGTTCTGCTCCGCGCTAGTCATTAGACTGCCGAGCGCATGCCGCCCCCTCCAGTGGGGTACGTGAGACAGTGTATTATATCTATTGTAAAGATACATACACTACAAGTATGTAGTATATCTCACCAATTGTAGTTTTCCCCGAGCTGCCTTAGCTACATCTGTCATTTCATGTGAGTCGTGTGCCCGAGGTACTATGTAATGTCTTCCAGCGGAGTGCTCGGGCTTCGCTCCCGTCAAGAACTGTATCAACCTGTCCGTACACTCGTACACCAGCTCCGTCATACGATCCGCCAACTCCGTATGACCACCTGCTCTGTTGGTGTAAACCACATTATTATAAAATGATACATTATAAAGCTTCTATCATCAGCCTATCAGAGCCCACTGCTGAGAAAAGGCCTCTTCTCACATGGAGAAAGTTTGAGCATTAATCACCACGCTTGCTCAAGACGGGTTGGCTAGTTCAAACTTATAATCTGAAGTTATAAGTTTTGGGTTTCCTCACGACGACTTCGAACCCGCGCCCTCATGCACGAAAAGCGAGTCTTTTAACCTCTAAGCCACCACGAATATTTTTTTTTATTTACAAAGCTTATACAACCTTCACATTTATTATGTCAGTATTACAAAAAATCTACAACCATATATGTAAGTACAATGAAAAAAAAACACGCGGGCGGCTGTGGGTGTTCAATTCATAAGGAATCAATAGTTATCAATCATTTTAAAATTATGTTCTCATTGATTTGATAATTAGAATATTTCATAAGGATGCATGATACATACATATATGGATAAGCCTAATTTCATTTAAACCATTATTTTCTTTGTTAACAAAAGACTTACAAAAAATTTGACTGTAAGATAAAGACACATTTATTAGATCTATTTAACGCACCTGGCACTGTCTGCGGGCATATTCCCCATGCTGTCTCGGGCAGTGGGATCAGCACCCCACGCTGCTAATAATTCTGCTTGAGCAGGTTGTCCTGCCCGGCACGCTACATGAAGACAAGTGTTTCCCTTCTCCTAAATCAAAAATAACTCCTTACAAAATCTAGTCACATATTATTGAATATTTATTACTGTTATTTTAAGAATATTTAATATTGCACCACTGTCTTCCAAACGCAATCCTCTAACCCTAGGTAGTCTGGAAGAAATGGCTAATAAGCCATAAGGCCGCCTTTTGTTTTACCATTAGTTTTTAGTTTTTATTTTTCTGTAATTGTTTGTATTGTAATTGTGGTGTACAAAAAAGAGTTAAATAAATAAACATATCTAAACAATTTAAATTCTGTTTAAAGTACAACCAATCTAACTTTCATGGACTTTATTAATAGAGCCGTGGCCTCATTCACAGTAATCAAGCTTAATTGAAATTCCAAACTCAATTAATTACTAGAACTGTCATGGACTACATAACAATAATGTTTATGTATATTCCATTCCTGTAAATGGAATCGGAATAAATTATCTGTTACATATTTAGAAAAATATATAAAGCATAAAATTTATTTGGTAATTGGTTCTTGAAGAGACAAACCTCTTAGCATTCAATGGATTCACCGTGTCGGTGCTTGGTCCATCATTGCAGGGAGAGGAGCTTTCACAGCGCCTGGGACTTGTGACCCAGTTGTAGGTTTTTTAATGTGTGTTAAACGCTCACCTTTACCGTTGAAGCTCCTCTGTCTACCTAACCAAATTTTAATTTAATCTTAATCTACAAATAGAATGTCACAACTGACCTGATTAAAGTAATTAGGATCGGCTCCCTGAGCTAACAATCTCATTGCTGTATCTAATGAGGAACTTCTGACTGCACTGTGTAACTGTCTGCCGAGCTCGCCGGGAGGCTCGTCACGTCTGGCTCGTAGAACATATGCCAGCCTTAAATGCTTGGCCAATATGAACTCAGATTTAATTGGACTGTAATAAATATAGAAAAAATCTAAATCTTTCAATTATATTGAAAATAAGTTCTGATGCAGACTTTGAAAAGTATATAAATTGTTATAATGCTATAAAAGTAAACAAAACAATAATTGAAGTATCTTCAAGGTTTAAAGAGAGATTGAATTTAAATAATATATATTTTTATATTGAGGTAAATCTTACTGGAGAGGATCTTTAGGCTGTGGTTTCTTTCGTAAATGCTTTGGAGCTGAAGTGTCCAATAAAGAATGCTCCCAAATACTGTTTACATTCTGAGCTGTAAGAGCTTGCACCATCTGTGTAAAATATAGATGTTATAGATATCAGACAACCTATCGTATATTTAACAAAGTTATCTTATGTACATACAGATAACAAGGAAGGCGGCCAAGATCCCTGCCGTAAGGATTTAACATGAGATATATGTCGACCCATACTTCTATGAACACTGCAGCACTCGGCACACAGAAGTAATCCTCTGTTTATAGATGCCCATGACGGATCTATAGTCATATATAGAAATATAATTATAAAAAAATATGCCGGAATAATTAACAACGATGATGGAAGTTGTAATTTAACCTGATGCCCCACAATCTGAACACACTTCCACCGAAGAACGGTGTTTTGTACGCGACAGCATCATATTCTGTTCACTTTACTGGAAGACCTAATCATAAAAAGAACTAATACCACGGCCAATTAACTTGAACAACTATTTATCAAGACATAATTAACTTCAATACAAAAATAAAACATTTTACGAAGTGTCAATCAAAATAATTATGATAGGTAGCATAGACAAATGATATGTATTTATTAGAACAGGTTATAGATTAAAGGTGTCTAGTATTTCTTTATAATATGATTTCTTTGTAAATACGATTATTATTTCATTAATTATTATATAAATCAAAGTAATTACAACAGGACGACTATATTTTAATAAAATCTAACAGAATTTTTTCACATTATTTCTTTATGTACACACTGCAAACCGATTACTGAATTGAACACGTCAGAGTTGCAAAGTGTCAAACATATTAACAGTGTGTAATAGAATAAGTAAAATGAAAAACTTAATAATTCTTTGCCTTTTAGGCTATTTATCGATAGCTTTTGCCGATAAAGAAACTTTAGTTCTAGTAGATAACTTGAATATCCGAGAAACACACTCATTGTTCTTCAAATCTTTGCAAGGTAAGAAAAATCGATTGCGTGTAGATAAAATGCCGGTTAACTGAGACTTTAATGATCTCCAAATTATATGATATATCGAGATATAAAATGTTAAAATGAGTTTATACTTATTAAGAGTTCTATATTCATTTCAGAGCGCGGTTACACCTTGACTTTCAAGTTAGCTGATGACGCTAACCTAGTTTTATCAAAGTATGGAGAATATTTGTATAAAAATTTGATCGTTTTTGCGCCATCTGTGGTCGAGTTTGGTGGTCAGCTCGATACTGAAGCCATAACCAGGTTCATCGACGATGGTGGAAATGTTTTGATGGCTGGAAGCTCAGCCGCTGGCGATGTGTACAGAGAGATTGCTTCGGAATGCGGTTTCGAGGTAAGAAAGTATAAATAAAATTTTATTATTAGGTTTTAGAACTCATACCAGGATACATGTATCAAGTAATACTATAAACCAATTATTGAGTATTTAAAAATTGCAAACTGATTTTAGATGGATGAAGAATCAGCAGCCGTCATTGACCATTTCAACTACGATAGTCTAGATGAAGGTGATCACACAAGGATAGTAGTGTCACCAAAGAACCTGATTGATGCCCCCACTATTGTGGGAACACATAATACTCAGCCCTTGTTGTTTGATGGTACTGGCTTGATTCTGGACAAAGACAACAGCTTGGTATTGCCCATACTTACAGCTGATAGTACAGCTTATAGTTACAATCCTAAGAATCAGGTGAGGAATTAAGGATTATAATTATGTATAACTTTATTATAAAAAACTTTAAGCAAATATTTTTAGATAATACATAGGTATTAACAAGTAATATAAAGAGATTTGGCTTTGTTTTCTATTCAACAACATATTCTAGCTTAAGTAAAATTATTATGTAAATTTTACAGTTTGTCTAATTATATTTTGCAGGTGAAAGAGTACCCTCATGCTGTCGGTCGTAAAACAGTTCTGATAGCAGCACTTCAAGCAAGGAACAATGCTCGTATTGTTTTCAGTGGATCCCTATTCTTCTTTTCTGATGAAGCATTCAATTCTCCAGTATCTAAAGTCCATGTAAGTCCATATAAAAGTCTTTTATATGGAAAATTAGAGAAGATAAAAAGTATTCATTTACTACAGAGTCATAGAAGGAATTGTTATTAATTGTATTCTACTTTACACTTACATATTTCACATAAGACATATATTCACATAAAGATAGAGACTGTTCACTATAGAATATATTTAAAAAAAAAATCCTTCAATAAAATAATGAATGTTTAAATACACAATTATAATATATTGTTTTAAGTAACATTATAAACACAAGTAAAGCAGTTCCACTAATACAAGTAAATTCCACCCAAGATGTTCTCCTGACCACATGTTAATTTAATAATAAATTATTTAAGCAATATAAAGTGAAGAATGGTCTGAAGTATGTTATCAATTATTATTGTATATTACAGGGTGACAAAATCAAAGCAGCTCTGTCCGGGAACAAACAGTTATCGATACATCTCAGTCAGTGGGTGTTTGGTGAACGAGGACAGCTGCGAGTACAAAGTGTACACCACCAAAGACAAGGAGATAAACAGTCCTCTAACACTTACACAATCACTGATACTGTGGTATGTATATTTATAACCAAAATGTAATTAATTTAAAGTAACATTAGGTAATTTTAGCTAGATAAGATAATTCAAGCTATAACTATTTTTTGCTTAAACTTCATAAAGCTTTTTTAGTTGTGAAATGGTTTGTGTCTATGCAAATGTAATTTTAACTTTATAATACAATTGTTTTAATAAATGAAACATAAAATTTAAGTATCTTCTTTAATAAAAATTATTTAACAGGTGTACAGAATTGAAATCGAAGAACTCAAGAATGGAAAATGGCAGCCATTTGAAGCCAATGACGTTCAGCTAGAGTTTGTCCGAATTGATCCCTTCATCCGTACAACCCTTCAGAAGAAGCCTAATGGCATCTATGAGGCCATCTTCAAAGTTCCCGATGTATGGGGTGTTTATCAGTTCAAAGTTGATTACGACAGAGTCGGATATACTAGACTATATCACTCAACACAGGTGAAAAAGCTTACTACTTATTATATACACTGAATGCATATACTATTGCCAAATTCTTCTTCCTCACAATTTCCTAGCTTTAGCCAGGGTCTGCTTTACATATTGTGAATAGTTTTGGCTAATTGTTTTTACGACATCAACCCTCTTTGGGAAAGATAATATTACCAAATTACTTGCATCTAACATAAATTTATCTAAAATATTGATTTTTTTTTGTTCTAGGTATCTGTGCGTCCATTGCAGCACACACAATATGAGAGATTCATACCCAGTGCTTACCCTTACTATGTGAGTGCGTTCTCTATGATGATTGGAGTATTTCTCTTCTCATTCGTCTTCCTCTACTACAAGGAAGACTCTCCGAAGAGCAAAGCTGAATAAGGGCGCAAAATATTATAGAATTCACAAAATTTGTTTTTTAATATAAAATTATTGTATGTCAATGTTTAATGTGAGCATTGTGTGATGTGTGTTATTTGAATTATACACCTAATAAATATGACTGTTTTTTATTCATTTTTATAATTATCGGAGTAAATAAAATGTTGATGAAAAAATAGAAATTTTTATTATATGAAAAACGGGTTTGAACTTTTTTGTGCATGAAAAAAAAAAGCCTGCCTTATGTATTTAAGATTTTCAAAGAGAAACTTAAACTTTCAATAACGTCGACTTTTATAAAATTTGTAAGTAAAATAAATGAATTACTATTATAATTTTTTTGTAACAATCTTATCCTAATCCTTTTGAAAGTTTTTTTGTCTACATTGGATTGAATTCATAACACTTGGGTATCAATAACCTTTAAAAACTACGGAAATTAAAGCAATAGTTGAGTATAACATCCAACTAATCTTTAATTTTGACTGCATACATAATTATGTTAGGGATCTACTTAATGATAATATGTTTAAAAAAATTGTAGCGAATGGGTCTTATGTTAAAAGTGACATTCCTTTCTTGAACGCAACGGTTTTAAATGGCAGAAAAAATGGCATGCATGTCATAAAACGTCTATTTCATTTTTAGTAAAAATAGTTAATTTCAAACAATAACTTATAAAGAAATTATTTACAAGTTTCCACAAGTTATTCTGGTGCCAAAAAAACGTTCATATATTAAAAGCGAGTGTTTGTTGACATATCAACCCATGTAAATCGTGTAGGCAGTGATTTTGTGTGCTTGTATTTTTTTAAATCGACGATTAACTAGTAATCTAGTTCAGTTTGAATTCTTTTCTCGCGAAAAGTGAACGTATATAGGTATTTGTGGTTTTGTAATAGTTGCAGTGGCTGCTGGAGTAATGTGTTTACATCTCTAAATTGTCACCGTAAGTATGATGTCATTGTAGCGACTGCCATTAAAAATATGTTGGCTTCGTGCCCAGCCGTTTTCCTATTAGTATTATAATTCTAATAATGTTTTGTGGAAACATCCACGAGGGAAAGCACAAAGAAATCCTCTAGGTTATAGTCAGCTTGTTCTACTTAAATATGTTAATGTCTGATCTTTGGATTAGAAAGCTTTAGGCCGACGATTTTTGTGTTAAAATCCCTGGCAATAACATATAGAGAAATGGTTAACATGCAAGGTAGTATAAGCTATTTGAACCATATATCTTATGTACATTGAACATTTGTGCTTATCCAACCTTGTGCTACGTATGGGAGAAGCCCTACATAGTATTGAATACCTGCAAGAGGGTTTAATCACATATGTATAAGTTGAATGGAATGTTCAATACTTTTATAACACTGCTATAATTTTATTAACAATAATATTCTTAACTGTATATTACAATTTGTCTCAAACATAATTGCCTGTTCAGATAACCCCGTTACAATACATTATGATAACTCGGTTTACTTATCTGTTGCTGATTCTTTAACATAATGAGATTCTAATATCGCTTATATTTATTAAATATTAAAATTTTGAAGTTATGTATGAGGTCAAATAAAAAGTTACACTGAAAAACAGTTTGTTTGCTTATAGACAAACCAAATCAAAAAAAAGAGTAAATAGCTTGATCTATATGATATAATACACTACACAACTAATATACTAGTTCTTTTATACTTGTGATATTTAGATTTTATCACTATTTTATAAATAAATGAAGTATTGAAATTATGAATAACATGTTAATTATTATCATTCAGCCAGTTCAGCGACAGTCAAGATGGACCCGTCGCGAAGGCAGCGCACCCAGACCAAGGCCACCGCAGAGGAGCAGGCTCTCGATCAGATAGCCAGAGAGGTTCGTTAACACAACATTCGTTATAATTTATAAATATTGTATAAAGTATGAGCATTCATTGTAATATTTACCTTGATAAATATATTGGATTATGACCATGGCTCATGCCAAGTGGTTGAAACATAAAAAGTAAATAATAACTATTCTTAAAGACTTAATATTATAAATATATTAGTATATAAGTAATATGGCAGACTGGTAAATATAATGATTCATAATAAATTTATAAACAGGATAATTATTATTTGGATATAGTATATGGATATAACTTACTTGTACACAATTTAAGTATATATACATTACAAGTTGACAGCTCCTCAATTAAATTTAGAATGGAACTAAATTATCATTGATAAGATATATATATGTTGATAAAACAAATGATAACTTGCTATGTTGATAAATTATTTATTTCTATCACACATTATTTATACATTTTTAACATACATTATATACTTTATATGGTATTAAGTCTGCTTATATGTAAGGAGCTATATATTATATGTATGTATATAATAGTATTGTATATAACTTGTTAACCGTCTCACCTGATGCATCTCGTCGTACTGTGAGATGCCAGACTACACGTGGTTAAAATTAAACACAGACAGACATATTTATAAGTCTTAGAAAATTCCGTTAGTATAGTACTTGTATTGAGGGTGTCTATTTGGGGAAGTTTCTGAGTTAATCGAAAATGTTTTAGAAGAAGAAATAGGTACTGAATCCTTAGTTATTCTGATTGATAATTTTTATGTAATATATTTATATATTTTAAATGAACACAACACATATATAAAAATTAATGTTGTCAGTGACGAACCATAATTTTTTTTTGTGACCATTTTCTTTGATTAAAAAAAATCTAATACATACACATTTTACGTGATTTATATGATCGTGATGTAGTGTAGGTCGATGTAATGAGTTATGTGATTTATTCCATCTGTGTCACATGGTTGAGATGTTGAGGTCACTGACCCTTATAAGGAGATGTTGCTAATCACACTTAAAATACAAACTTTATTTACTCTCACAAGATTTGGTTTTAAAGTAGTAAATTGCGAAGTTTTTTGCTGTAGAGGAATCAATTAAATTAATTTCATGATAATTTTATTAAAGAATACGATTCGAATATTTTTTTTAAGTAAAATAATAATAATATTGGTAACAAATAAATAATGCTTGATTTTATTGGGACGAGATGAAAGGATCAAAGATCACGGTCCTTGTGAAGTATCGAAATGGGAAAAAATAAAAAACGCGTAGTTAATTGGAGAAATGGTTTCATTTTAAATGTTATGTCTTCATTAAGACGAGTAAAAAAAAACTTTAACAGTGTTAAATCTTTAACAAATAACAAAGTAGGCGATGTTTAGAATCATGAGAAGTTCGTTCGTTCGTTTTGACGTTGCGTGGACGAACATATTATAACCAGTGGCACTTGACAGTACATATCTTAACAAATTTTTGCATAACAATCGTTTAAATTTAACAATTGATTAAAAACTTATTTTAAATAATTGAATATACTGTATTATTTCTCGTAAATATTTAAAAATTTCGTAAATATAGTCCAAAGTCTGTGTCATAACATTGTAACAACTAAATCTCTTTACAACCTATTTAAAGATCTCCGTCTGTGCAGTACTAACATCACTTCATTCTCAAAACGTGCGTCGAAGGCAGTCCTAGTAGGTTTTTTTCAAATTTGGTGAGGTAGAGAGAGGAGCTTCGCCGGTAGAGGTGAGATTTTAACACGCGTTAGATAGAGACCCCTTAAACCTACACCTGGGTCGCAAGTCCCAGGCACTGCTGAAGCTCCTCTATCAGCAACGGTGGACCCACATACTCGCATTGTGAATCCATGAAATTTTGAAAAGTTTCGTGTCATAATAATTGTAAGGGCATTTTTCCATAGTTCTATGTGGATTATGATTACTTATATTAATGATGTAGCTCTAATGGAGCAATATAAATCAGTTTTAACAAGGACAGTTTATAGCCCGCATATTACATCGCGTGTTCAAAGAAATTGTATATAAAAAAATCTATGCCACTATGTAAATTGAATTAACTTTAGCTTGTTCATTCTGGCTCTAGCTCTACTAATATCTCACAGAAGATCAATAAAGGTATCTTCTGTAATATCTTCTTTTTCTTCTATAGAATCGGTGGTCCAAAGTCTTGTAGTAATGCTCCTTCCTTTATAATAAAATTTCTTAGAATTTATTTCTAATCATCACTTGAATGCAGTAAAGAAGACAAAATTGATTTTATTTTCTATAACACCAGTAAATCGTGTTTTTTGCAAATTTATTAATTATTTTAAGTTTCATGCTCATTATATCAAATTATCTTCTGCCAACCCTCACGAAGTTATTTCTTAACTTCTAAACTTGTATCAACCCTGGCATATGCGTGTGATTCTATTTATGCATGTCAAGCGCGACTCTCATGCATGTCGTCGAGTTTGAAACAAAAAAACGCTGCATCAAAATAGCTGTTCCGGCCCTTCGTTATTTACGAACACCTCGCTGAGACGTTATTGGGTCTTGAATGAGATTTTCAATAATTACGCTTTGAAATTATATACGTATAAATAAATTTTCGTTTTTTATCAATTGCATTATTATGTTCATTATGTACTGTACATTTATATTAGGTACTAGTTTTTGCCCGCGACTTCGTCCGCGTTAATTTCGTCATTAGTAATATAGGTATAGCTGACCGGGCAAACTCTATTCCGTCTTCAATAACCCGGTATTGGTATTTATTAAATTTCTACTGTTTCAATCGAACAGAATGATTGACATATTAGTTAGTTGTCATGTCTAATGTCAAAAAATCGTTTGTATGGCAAATAGAAAAGGGCCGTTTTTAGGGTTTTCCCGGCAATTATTCCAATTTTTCTCACCTTTTAAACCTTCCCTGGACTTCCAGGAGCATTTCAAGACTAAAATTAGCCAAATCGGTTCAGCCGTTCTCGAGTTTTAGCGAGACTAAGGAACAGCAATCCATTTTTATATTTATATAGAAGATAGAAGATATGTCTATGTTACAAACCTTTTTAAACATACGTAATATAATTTTTTTATGAAAGTACGTCATTACACTTAAGCCAAATCAATTATGTGGTCATTAAAGTTATACAATCGTGAATTATTCTTTACGAAGTTACTACAATATTTTAACCGTTTTTCGATAGGAACTTGTCTGGCTGACTGTACGTCCTTTCCGATTTCTATTTTCTATTTGGCCTATATTAGAACTATAATATAAACTATACAGGGTGACTGGTGAATTACTATCAATATTTAAGGAGCATGCTCGGTACATGATTCTCATTCGAATTATGTAAAAAAAATAGGTACTTAATTTTTGACCAAATTTCCGTATAAATAAATAAAGTGTGTACACGTTCCAAGTGTTCCAAGTGTGGACGCGTGCGGCGGTGTGCTGATACAACAACACGCCGCCGCGCGCGTATGTGTGAGTGTGTGTGTATACCTAATCTGTAGGGTGTTCATACGATGCGTAATTAATTACGTAACTTTTGGTTAACTTTACTTAGAAGTTTATTAATATTTATGTTATATTAATTTTTATTTTGTCATATATGATCGTCAAATATCACGTCCTCAAATATCGATAGTAATTCACCAGTCACCCTGTATAAAGAACTGTCCACAATACAGTGGACATCACAGCTTCAAAACTGCAAGATTTAAAGTCCTATAACTAATGTAAATACAACCGATTTATTATTTCATGCATTATCTATACTTTTAGCTTTTCGATAATATTTTTTGTAATATATTTGTGTTAAAGCTGAGCAGTAATAAAGATTCAACAATAGAGACAAGAAAAAAGAACTACGTTATAGTGCACACTGCATACGTGCTACGTAGTGCGTACTATATATCAATAAAAAAATTATAAAAGAAAATATATTTAAAATGTTAAAAATTCAAAAATCTGTATAAAATTTTATGTTTTATAACAAAACCGGCGGGAGGTTAATTCAGGAAGTAGGTTTTATATCCGTGTATTGATCCAATGTTCCACTTAACCACGAGAATGGAAGTCAACGCTCTGGACTTAATTTTGACATTTTTATTTAAAACTTAAATTATAATTTTCTTATCTTAATAGATGCGATATTAAAAGTTTATAATAATGTGTATATACTTGAAGCTGTGTTTGTGAGCAAGATGTGAATATCTGTTTTGAAATTTTATTTTAACAATTCTTAATTGAGATTCCGACAGTCCTCTTTAAAATGGTTTTAACAGTTTGTTAATTTATTCACGTCTATAATTCGAGTCAGTTTTAATTACTTGATCGCAAATGAAGATTATTTCAAAAGAACATATAATAGATCATTACTTTTTTGTAACACCAACAAGTATTTTAGAAATACGTAGACGAATTATAATACGTATAAAAAATATATTATTTTAGTCTCTTCTAGACTAAGTCTCCGATTCGTCTGGTCACTGACGTCACATATCGATCGCTCTACAGACTACACCCCGGAAAAAGGGTGGGGGGTGAGACTAGGGGTGGGGGGCGGCTGATGCAATTCAGATGATTCTTTTGAAATTTTACCTCACATCATTAAAAAATATAAATTCACTGCTGAGATAGAATGAAACATTCTAATGTTAAGAAGTAGCAATTATTATGCAAGCAGATGCAACTGGAGATAAAAGAATTGTATGAAAAGATTACTTGACATTGCTCTAAATACGTATAATGAAAATTTTAATACGACCATGTCAGGGTAGTGGAGTGGAGTGGGAACGAACCTCCCTGAATGCAACGAATTAGCATACACAGAATACGACGATCTCGAATTCATTATTTTTATACAAGGCTATTATGGAGTGAAATTTTTGCCAGACTCAAAACCGGTTCGCCGAAACGCAACCCACTTAGGACTATACGAGAAGAGGTTGCTATAACATAATCTAAACAGTTACCATCAGATGCCCTGTCAACAGATTTTGCTATAAAACTTGTCAGTTTGTTTATATGAAATAACTTTGTTTACTATTGACCCACATAGCTGTAGGTGCCAGTGATTGCGTTATGTGGTGAAATTTAATCAAATCATTGATTATAAATAGATTAATGCTGGATGTGCATAGCGGGGTAGTTCCATGGGCGGGCAGCTGGAGGGGGCTGGAGGGGTAACGTCAATGACCTCTTCGCTGTAAGAGCGAGACTCGCCTCAGTTCAGTCGGTCCCTACTCCGTTAACGTCTGCAGTCGACTTTAATTTATTATTAGTTGGAATTTCATCTTAGTACCATTTTGAATAACTGTCTCGACGTGTGATGTGTTTAGCACGTTCCAGTGTTTTATGTGTTCTGATGAGAATAGTTTAAATTTCGTCGTCACTGATCATTTGACAATTGGTTGCGTATTAGGACGCGTTTTTACTTTGTATTATTGGATTTTGTGTGTGATTCGGATGTGAATGTGTGAATTATTGAGCTGACAATGGTGAAGTTGGGTCTGGCGATGGTGGTTGGCGTGGCGCCGGCTCTCGTCTCCTGGTGGAGAGGCCAGGGTCCGTGGCTGTCGCTTCCATTGACCTTACAGAGCCCATGCTCTGAAAAGTCCATGAAATGGCCCCAACGAAGATCACCTTCTTTATCCGATTGCTTGGAATCCACTAGCGATGATGATTCCTCACGGTCTGTTGTCTGCCACGTGAGGACTAAGGCCGTAAGTAAAAAGTAAACCTAACAATTTTAAAATTAATATAAAAACTATATTCACGAGCTAAGAATCGATCATGAAAGTCAAATAAAATTGAGCAATATTCCATTTTGAGATTTATTTCCTATAGCTTACACTTTTCGTCCATCTAGAACTCTAGAAAGTATCAGTAACACTATCAAAATACCCCGGAGTTCCCTGTTCTTGAATACAATTTGTATCAATAGATATTGCGAAGAAAGTTGATTTACATAACAAAGCACGCGAAAGACAATCGTTATATACACGGACGTACAATCATACAAATTTGTATATAAGTGTTCTATGTGTTACAAAGATAGTATATAATACGTGAGTACATAATAAATGAATTTAAATGTATTTATGTAGTGGTGTTGTTATTAATAGAGTAAGGAAATATTAGTTTAAGTCATAATGACTCATACAAGACACATCGAGCATACGAACCTAATTGCTGTTAGGAGTTATTATCCTTAAGTTATAACTCCGTACTGTACGACTGACGGTTCATAATTATAAATTACTAGCTTTCCGCCCGCAGCTTCGTCCTCGTGGAGTTCGGTTATATCTCGTTTCCAAGAGAACCTTTCAAAAACCTGGGATAAAAACTATCCTATGTTCTTTCTCAAGGTCAACTCTATCTCTGTACCAAATTTCATTAAAATCAGTTCAGTGGTTTAGGCGTGAAAGCGTAATAGACAGACAGACAGAGTTGCATTCGCATTTATAATATTAGTAGGGATTATTTAACAATAATATACAAATATTACTAAAACAAACTGTAAGGTCCCTTAACGTCGTAGTAGTTTTTGGAAACGAATTTTTAGTAGTTTCAATTTGATGAAATAATATCGTTTTTATACCATTACCTCATATTTGAAATTTATGTAACGTCATTAAAACCAAAACAATAGTATGTATTGAAAGCTGTATAAATATTATCCTTTGTGTGAATTTTGTTATGATCAAAAAATACCTAAGAAATGGTTGTAATATATTTTATTGAAATATATTACTTTATTTAAATGAACTAATATTTTTTCCGATATACTATGCGTGCTTTATTTTTGTAAAAAAAAAACTACATGCTCTCGACGTTTCGGCTACTTTTCAACAACCGTGATCACGGGCCGATGAGGTAAAAAGTAGCCGAAATTTCGGGAGTATGTAGTTTTTTCCAAAAGCAAAGGAACGGTAGCATATCCTAAAACAATATTAGTTTCTTATAAAAGAATAAAACTCGCGAAAATCTTAGATCTCATTATATTTCTATACTGATAAGGCTATTGTACAACTTGTGTGACGTCATATATTTGAAGTGCTATTTCTGCTTTAATAATAATCTGATCTGCCAACGATTAACTCGTGTGTACTCGCCGTATTGCATAATGTGATGTATTCCGGTTACGAATGCACGAGTCTTAATTGTAAATAACGTTTTAACGAGCGGAGTCAGGATACAATTATAGTGTTATTATGTAATAATGATCATTACTGATTTTACATAACAATTCTTCAATTATTTTAAAGCGTAATCTTTGCTCTATACAGGGTGACTGGTGAATTACTATCGATACTTGAGGACGTGATGTTTGATGATCATATTATATGACAAAATAAAAATTAATCTTCTATCTTCTATATATATATAAAAATGGATTGCTGTTCCTTAGTCTCGCTAAAACTTGAGAACGGCTGAACCGATTTGGCTAATTTTAAACTTGAAATACTCTTGGAAGTCCAGGGAAGGTTTAAAAGGTGAGAAAAATTGGAATAATCACCGGAAAAACCCTAAAAACAGCCCTTCTCTATTTCCCATACAAACGTGTTTTTTGACATTAGATTTGACAACTAACTAATATGTCAATCATTCTGTTTGATTGAAACAGGAAAAACCTGATTATTTATGACCTCTAAGACGGAATAGAGTTCGCCTGGTCAGCTATACTTACATATATTACACTTGACCAAACTAACGCGGACGAAGTCGCGGGCAAAAACTAGTATAACATAAATATTAATAAACTTCCAAGTAAAGTTAACCAAAAGTTATGTAATTAATTACGCATCGTGTGAACGTTTTTTTTTTTTTCGGGGAGAAATCCGCTTACAGACTACCCACTGCCCTGGCTCGACAGTGGGACTTGTGTGGGGGTCGCCCAGAGCCTGATGTTGTTGGCCCTGGGAATACCCACTAAAACTCCCCGGCTTCCCTTCCTGCCCGTATTTGGGGGCGATTTGGGACCTGCTATGGCAATTCACCAATTCACCCCCGGGCTGCCCAGCTCTGTGCCGGGCTACCGCGCCGGTGGGGGATTACCCGGGAGAGCCGAGATAATCCCCAGACGTCTTGACCACGTGCAATGCCTGCATCAGAGCCACTTGATGCAGGGCGAACCTCCAGGTCGAAGGTTACAGGTTTACCTGTCTCCTCCGACCCGTACGTCTACGCCGGAGGGGAGCGGCTAGAGCATCCTCCTCCCGCTCCCTCTCCGCAGCTTCCTTCGCCGATATCACTTCTTCGGCGAAGCAAGCAGCAGCCTCCCATGCCTCCTGGCTTCCAACCATGGCTTTCACCATGTTTGGAAGCGACAGGATCCTCCCGCTGAGCGCCGCAGTGAGTACGCGGCGCTCATGTCTCCATACCGGGCACACTAATAGGGTGTGCTCGGCCGTATCGTCAGGATCGCCACAGTGGTGACACTGTGGCGTCTCCTCCCTTCTTGCCACCCGGTGCAGATAGTGACCGAAACAATCGTGTCCAGTCAAGATCTGCACCAGGCGGAAGGACAGGCCGCCCCGCTGGCACCCCACCCACTCCACTAGTACTGGACGAAATGCTTCTATGGTCCAGTGACCAGCGGTGGGATTGGCAAGTGCCTCCTGCCACCGGAGTAGCGCCTTTTTCTACGCCTCGACTCGGGCCTGCTCCATGTTTAAAAGAGCAGGTGCTCCACCCCGCCGCTGTGCCTCGACTCTGTGCCGATACACCTCCGCAAGCACAAGTGCATCAATTTCCAGAGGAGGCATGGCCGCCAGTACGCAGGCCGCCCCGTGGCTTACCGTGCGATATGCCCTCAATCGTGTGAACACCCTACAGATTAGGTATAAACACACACACGCGTGCGGCGGCGTGGTGTTATATCAGCACGCCGCCGCACGCGTCCACACTTGGAACACTTGGAACGTGTCCACACTTTATTTATTTATACGGAAATTTGGTCAAAAATTAAGTACCTATTTTTTTTACATAATTCGAATGAGAATCATGTACCGAGTATTCTCCTTAAATATTGATAGTAATTCACCAGTCACCCTGTATATTTTTGATGTTCTGTATTTACGGGTTCTGAAACGTATTATTGAGTATGACACAGCTTTCCTTTCATATACATGTACATGTATAAGTAACTAGTTGTTTTCCTGGCTTTGTCTCTATCGATTAAGGTATTTAAAATAGTTAGCTAATATTCTTCTCAAAGAATTTTAGGTATTTAATTATTATTAATGCATATAAACTTCATCAATTCAGACAAAATTTAACATCAATACAAACATTTTATTTTATTATGTAGCTATAAATTCTTATAATTTGTAATATCATACCGTTTTCGAATGCTTATGACAGTCTTTGATATTGATTGCGAGCTATCTTTAGGTTCGAACTGCATCATCTCCAGTGAACAGCTTCTAGTTTAATCATGAAGGGTCTGTCAGAAATACAATATAGCGTGGAGAATCACAGAAATACTTTGATATTTATACCATTTACAGACTTTAATTTGCAATGTTATTGTATTCATAGTTGAAAAAATTATTAGACTATGAAAATTACAAGCATATGATGATTTATTTATTACTTGATAGTACTTAACTCTCGCTAGAAGTGATGGTAGGTGGCAAATAGGCCATTGGTAGTTAATGCACCATCAAATTGGTATTGGAAGAAAACATAGAAGCAGGCCAAGTGTTTTAGTTTTATGTTGTTCAAAATAGTTCTACCTTTATTGAATTTGTCTGATACATCGATTTATTTTCTTACTTATCTATTACTTACTATACCTATATACTTTAGACAATTTGCTCTCTAGAATTTGCCTCGAAAAACTTGTAACAGATAAAATATTTAATCTAGACTGTGATTTTTCACGATAATAACTAGACTACTTATCGCAGATTACATTGTTAAAAATAGGTTATTTTTCGCACAAAAACCCATCGGTTACGTAATTTTTTCTCTAGTTGCATCTGGCAAATATTTTGGAGGTTTCAAATTTTATTTTAATTGCTTTATAAACAATGAAATCGATTACATTTATATTCCAATAATTGTAGACATGACTTCTGTTACTGATACAGACCCTACATCTTTTCAGCTGAGTCCCATTTCCACAATCGTTCAATGTGTTGCTATTTTTTTTTATAAATAATCAACAAATATGTTATTATATTCTCCTTCTTATGAAGAGTGCGCGTCCTGAAAACGTCTCTAGTACCTTAAATATACCAACAGGATAATTTTGTATTGTTAAAACATATTTTTAAATATAAAAACTGCCCTTGCCAACTTAGAAGAATGGACGACCATTTAAATCTCCCTCGAATATCCTTTAATTTAAAATATTTTTTTCTTCTACAGACTTTGTGTCTATTGAATTGATTAACAAAAGTATCTTTTCGTATAATTGTTAGTGAGTGAACACTGGTTGGGAAGCCTTAAGCCTTAAAAACTATTTCAAGTGTGTAGTTATATAATATACTAGCTTTTGCCGCGACTCCGTCCGCGTGGAATAGTAATTTCCGCCAGATTTTTGGTTCTTCCCACATAGTTCCCGTTTTTGCGGGGTTTTCGGAATGGTCGTAGAATTTTCAGGATAAAACCTATTTTTTTTTTATTCACAATGAAGTACTCTTAACCAACAACATATTTATTTGTTTATTTGAATAAAGATTAATATTATTATGTTGATACAACTTAAACAAATTATTTCGACCAAATTAAGTACCATAAAAACGGTTTTTGTGGGTTAATCTTAAAAGATAGACATATACTGTCGCGGACTGTTTTTTAGATCATTAAAAGAGCTATTATTCTTTGATACATACTTTTTGTGTATCTTTTACCGTTTTCACAGCGCACGCAAAAGAAGGCTTCAAAGATGAAATAATTTCTCCCGTTTTTTATACATTTTACATTATACATTATATATAACCTATTGGTCGTAGCGTGATGTTATATAGCCTACAGCCTTCCTCGATAACTGGACTATCCAACACAAAAAGAATTATTCAATTCGAACCAGTAGTTTCGGAGATTAGCGCTTTCAAACAAACAAACAAACTCTTCAGCTTTATAATATTAGTATAGATATTTGAAATAATTATCACACTAACATTTTCTCTATATAATACCAACTATGTCTAAGTCGCATACAATATGAAATATTAATTATGTACGTCATGTTATGGTTTATGAACTATGGTGAATTCAAAGGGTTAGTTTTCATGAAGATGTCACTCAGAACTATAGTTTGAAGTTTCGAATCCACAAGTTTGTCGTCGTTGGACACTTGCGAGTATGTTTGTCATGTGCTTCTCACTGTAAGATAACAAGATGATCAAAAACAACAACAAACAAATGTATTGTCAAACAAATAATGTTTTAAATGATATCATGAACAGTGTTGATTATTATTATTAAGAACAAACTGTTTTGTATCCAACTGTAACGTAATTAGGTAGCAATATAGCGAATATTATTGTATAGTCTAATTGAGTTGGAATATTTTTATCTATACTGAGATTTTGCTGTATGAAAATACATTTATGCCCATAGCTACATATCTACGAATCATCATTACTCCTGAACTTCATCTCATGGTAGTGATAGCTTGAAAATTATTTCAAAGACATTCCTTCGCCTCTCCAAAAAAGTGTCAAATAAACAGTTTGCTTCAAATCTTTTGGAAGGCACTAACAAAACAGAGAAATCGTATAAGGACCAAGTCTATTTTTCCTTTCTTACTCGCTATTTGGCTAGAGATGACATTACAACGCCGCACTTCCTTTCTGTCAGGTACACCTTCGGTAAAGACATATCTTTAGGCTCATAAATCTATTATACAAGAGTTTCCCCTTTATACGCTTAAAAAGTGAGGGCCCTAGTAGACACACACATGCCAAAACTAATTTTGTATAAGATTATAAAAGGACAAAAAATGAAAGCAATTGTATGAGAAAATTTCGTTTGAAATAGTTTAGAACCGGTTTTTTCTTGAATCGTACGTCTTTTTAGCATATAAATGCCAGTCTCAATTTCTTTAATTCTCGTGAATTCTATAAAAGGGAAAGCTGTTTAAACTTGTTCATACATACGGCTAGAAATATGGCTAATGGATAGATTTTAATGGGGATTGTTAATGACTACTATAAATGAAACTTTGTTTAAAAGTTCTTCAATATTCATAAAAAAAGTAAGGTTTTTAGGACATTACTGTATTCAACGTTAACTAATTTTTTGTATTTTTTTTGTTTACGTGTGTACATTTGATTTGCTCAACTATTTGTTCCCTAGTCATGTCGAAGTTGTGTCATATAATGGTTAAAATCATTAAGTATTTCATTTAATTAACTAATTAATTAATAATTAATTTATAGAATCATTGCAATTGAATGTATTAAAAGTTTATTTTAACACCTATCAGTTTGTTTGTCCACTTTGCAGAAAATAAATATACATATTTTTTCTTACCACTATTTTCCCTTAATTCCATCTTCATGATACAAGTAGGTTATTATTCCTTGTATATAGTTTTGTATTAACTTTTAACTTGTATTGTTTTTGTTGTATTTTTGATCGTCTCTGTACGTCAACTTTAATTGACTTTGTACCTAGATATAATTAAGACAAATCATAAATCTATCGACCTAAATCAAAGATTGACCTGCGACATATAAACACACTCATATATACATTTATATATTAACAAACCTATATATAGTCTTTAAATATAGGCAGTCGTCTTCGTAGTTAAAGTTTAAGCATGCGGAAACCTCTCACCTGCCAATAGTCCCGCTACATATGTATACAATTTAATAATATATAATATAATATATCTTATTAAAAGATAAATAATACTACACTATGTTATACCTATTTTTCTCTCTACCTCATCGTACAGACGACTTTTTCAATATCGAATTCAATGCGTGGACTATCGGAATGTAATATTTCATCTTTTATACTTACAATTTATTTATTATATATTTTTAATTTAACATTGTACGTATTAAAAACAAAATCTCCTTTATAATGGTATCAATTTTCTAAGTATAAATATCGAGATTCAAGATGTTTATTTCCTTCATCGGTGGTAGATGGTCAGTCGTGGTACGTAGTAGGTGGTGGGTCCCGTTGCAGCTCACAGTTAATCGTTCTCGATACACTCATGTTTAGGATCACCCTTTTTATATATATAATATATGTATATATATATATATATCGTCTTGTACCGACACCTGTTACTCTACTACTCAGTGTTGCAGGCTGCCTCCTCACGATCGCTCTGGTCACTCACGAGACAGTTAACCTCGTTTAAATAGTTCATTAATATATATGTGGTAATATTTATACAAGTATAGGTTTTTTGTATGAAAACGTGATTTTTTAATTATTTGAGTAAGTTTTCTATAGTTTATATTTTAGTGGCTATTGGTCGATTCCGAATATATGCAGTGTATATTATTAGGTGACTTATACACCAGTCATATATATATAATTGGTGTATATATTGTAACTTAACATAATAGTATCCTAAGGATGTTGATATATTTATGACGCTATCTCTAACCGCGGAACTATTTCCTCGTGATAATAAATGTTATTTGACAATGCGTTAAGTTGCATTTAATTAAAAATACTTGAATAATTAAATATTCGATTGAGATTCTTAAACGTAATGTATAATTAATTAAATGAAAACCGGTGAGTGTAAAACAGGTTTTCATAAACAATAATATAATTTATATCTATCTAAAATTTAATTAATTTTAATATGTAAATTAAAAATCTATATTAAATTTATTCATAGTTAAATTTCAATATGATAAATTAAAATTTACGTCTTTTTTGACAATGTCCAAAGAATGTGATTTATTTAATATATTTTTCCACGTAAAACTCATTTTAAAAAGTAATATTTAAGACTCTTAAAACTTATTTTTCATTACGTTATATCCATGAATGCACTTATACTAGCTAATATCCTGGAAGTAGAGTGGAGTATGCACTAAAACAATATGCTGTTAATCATGAACGTGTGCCGAGGGTGGGAAGTGGAAGAAACTGATTCATAGGGACTTTACATTAGGCTTGGTACACAATATATATGAATGATAATGATTTTTATATTGAAGAACTTATATATATTATACATTATAGGTGATTCACGAACTTCCTGTACTAAGCCTTAATGTAAATCCAGTACGATATCCGTTTCGTTTTCGGTTAAAGGAATCGTTATATGGCGTAGTATAGCAGTGAGTGTGGCACACTGCTTACTAATGTACATTTTATCAGCGAGGCCGCCAGTAACGAACGTGTCTCATATTGTACGGAGTAAAAAAAACATTCCACTATAATAAATATTAAGAAGTGTTTATCAACACTCCTACATAACGGTATGAGCTGGTGTTTGAGTTATTTTTTTGTATATATATATCGAATATATAAGGTGATTATTAGAGTAAGTCGTCACTAGCATCGATAAGATTAAATTTTGTTATCGATATAAGTGCATACTTATAAGTTGGGTGCAAAAATTGCGTTATTTCTTCATTTCGAAGTGATTGGACAATATAAACGTGCGTTCAATGTTTTAAACTTGTAGAGAGAGTGTAGAGTTAGTCTTACATTTCTGGTGGTCATTATGATATCAGCTATGTCTGAGTCGGGACTGGCGACCCCTGAAAATTCTGATGATGAGAGCGGTGATGCTTTCACAGATGGTGATTTTGGTGATTCTGAAGACGAGGTTATTTTTAATAAGACAAGTGATACAAATTCACAGGTCAATGAGACTGTGAATACTGGTGTTGTAGAAAAGAATTGTAGTGATAATATGAAAGATATTAGTGAGAATAGTGCTGCTATAGATGGTGATGATGAAGTGATGAAGGATTTGAGCAGCGGATCCATCGTCGGCATACTAGGAGATCAGCAGAACCATGTATGTATTCAGGTTCTCTTAAATTAGAATGCATCTGTTCTGACCTATACTAAATGTCAAGTCGCACCTCTAAAATACCACTACTAATGTAATAGACATTAAAATAACACAAAATATAATAATGATAATTTTGTTTTAAATATTTTTACCTTATATATATATATGTATGTATTATCTTATCGTAGGAGATAAGTTCGTAAATGAGCTGGAGGCCGTGTGTTGTGACGGTATTGTTTGCGTTAAAAATTTAACTGTTCAATATTTAACTGAATGTTTAAACACATTCTTTAAACTATGAGGAACCAAGCTCGTGACTCAATAAATTACACCTTTCTTAGATCCCCATACAATGTATAATATTTCGGTGTTATAATTATGTATGTATGTCAGTGTGTCTGTGTCGCTGGCTGGTGTCACCCGTGTGACAAAGATTATGTCATCCACAGATCTCATCATTCTCATCGCCGCTAGAATAATTCTATTATACGTGAGTACTGAGTATAAGTATTCTACCGACTCATATAATCGTAGAACCGCTTGATGATTGAAGCTTTTGTATTGGATTAGTCAGCCGAAACCGTGAATAATCGAAAAAAATCCAATACATAGCTTTTGTGGATTTCAGATTAAAATTTTAAGGTTTTATACTATGCTTGAAATATATAAAAAATGACGTCATATGACAAGGATGTTAAAATTAGCACAACGTTGTCTATCCATATAATTTGATTGCGAAATTAAAATTATCGTAAATGCAAATATTACTATAAAAATCTTTAAGAGTGATGTAATTCGCGTATTGAGGCGATGTATTTAGTAATGTACAGCCATTAGTTTTTGCAATACCGGCGTTTATTGACACAGAAATGTCAAAAGATATAGTAGGTATATAATTTATCAATATATTATGTTGTAGCGAGATATATACACTGGCAGAGTATGTTTTCGTGATTGAAAATTGAAATATATACAGGGTGACTGGTGAATTACTATCAATATTTAAGGAGAATACTCGGTACATGATTCTCATTCGAATTATGTAAAAAAAATAGGCACTTAATTTTTTACCAAATTTCCGTATAAATAAATAAAGTGTGGACACGTTCCAAGTGTTCCAAGTGTGGACGCGTGCGCACGCCGCCGCACGCGCGCGTGTGTGTGTGTGTGTGAGTGTCAGTGTATACCTAATCTGTAGGGTGTTCACACGACGCGTAATTAATTACATAACTTTTGGTTAACTTTACTTAGAAGTTTATTAATATTTATGTTATATTAATTTTTATTTTGTCATATATGATCGTCAAATATCACGTCCTCAAGTATCGATAGTAATTCACCAGTCACCCTGTATATTTATGTAACCTTTTCTAAAATGCTGATCGTGATTGAAGAAAGTCACAGTAAAATGAGGATTTATGTTACAAAAAATTCAATTTATAACGGTGAAGGTTTATATATAAAACTTTATTATGTAACAAGGTGGAATACGTTTATGTTGTTGCCTCTTTCCATAAAAATAATAATCACTGCTTTGTTTTAAAACTCATGATATTTTTCTAATCGTACAGACAAAGGTTGTTTGAATTCAACTCGATTATGTTGAAGTCATCTGTCTATATTGAAAGGGGAAAAACATTTACGCAACACCAAAGGCGTATATATTTTAAATAATACCAAGCATATATAAAATCCATTAAGTACAAATACATAAAACAATTTTTTTTTATTAAATGAGTACATAAAATTTCGAAGTATTTTAAAATGTATATATTTAGTGTACAAAATTGCCTTGTTTTAATACACAGTATTTCATGTAAAGTACAACTATTGTACATTTTAGTCGCAATATAAAATTGTCTTCAAGAGCGTGTCTCGTCACGGTTTAATTTGAAACAGGTTAATTGTAAAGAGTTTTTATTTTAAAAAATATGTACATTTCGACATGTAGCTGTCAAAAAATGTATATACTACCTAAAGTTTGAGAATATCGTAAATTCATTTAAAGAAAAAAAAAACTATATATTCACAGAACTATACTAGATATAAACATCATTATAATTGAACCAAAAATGTAGTAAAAAAATATTTTTTTATTAGATTACCAAATTTGAGCAGAATATTTAAATCCTTCGTCTACATAAACCATCGTAAAAAAATGTCGTACATCGTGTGTGAGTGAAAAATGGCGCTAAAACAGAATTACAAATGCAAATATCAGTCCACATTATAAAGTTAATGTATCAATTAATAACATTGGAATGTAATGAATAAGTTAATATTTATGTTTGTATTTTTAACTGTAAACATTTTATAGCTGTGTCGATAGCGAAACGACCGCAAACCAATCAACCGTTCTGTCATACAAGGTTTTTTTTTATCCGTAACGTTATACATACAAATTGAAAAGCAATCATTTAAAAAAATACTTTGCTATTGCAATTTTGAATCTTATTTAAATTGATATAAGGCTCTAATATGTTTGCAAAATTATTTTTCTGGTCTCGTGATTCGTGACTTACAAATTTCAATTATATTGTTAAGTATTGACAGATTAACTTTAATATTTAATATATATTGCCAGTTTATTGGTTCGGCGGTTCCGTACTTATGCATAAAAAATGCAATGTCTCGAAATTCTATACGGTGAATGACCTCTGTGTCCTTGGTAATGTAATAATTTGGCGATGACGTTAGACGCCATGTTGCCTGCGCGCCATATGCGAAGTCGTCACCAAGGATATGTCATCGAAATAAATTATTTTTAAATCAACGGAAGTCGGGGTTTTAACATAGCTTGACGAATGATTATTTTCAAGTATTGAGACAAAGACAAGACGGTGAAGGTATAAACATCGCGAGGAAATCTGAACTTATAATTTCACAATTATAAGTTTGAAATCACCAACCCGTCTTGAACAAGCGTAGTGATTAATGCTTACACCTTTTCCATGTGAGAAGAGGCCTTTGCTGAACAGTGAGCTCTGATAGTTTGATGACGTTAATAGAAACAAAAGCTATTAGCACTCATGTATTCACGGTGCGTGTGTCGGGTCCATCGTTACAGGGAGAGGAGCTTCAACAGTGACTGGGACTTGTGACCCAGGTGTAGGTTTAAGGGGGGTAATCTAACTTGTGTATAGAAACGTATATTGAACAATGTATTAAACTCAATTATATCTTTCAATTTTTATATTCGATAGTAATTTACTATGTGTGTATAATAAACAATTTATTTTCAACGCCCACCTACATAACGTTGTTGGAGTAACAATTTTAATTATAATTCCCGCCTTATCTCTGTACTACCACGTGCTATCGGCGTTCAGCTCCGCTTTAACCTGTTAAAATATACGTAAATATTTGTATTTAATTTAAATACTTTATACGAAACAGAAAAAAAATATTTCTGGAATTAGTAATATACGTGTAGCTGACCGGGCGAACTCTATTCCACTCTAGGGGCCATGAATAACCAGATCTTGGAAATGAGATTTTTTTTCTTTTTCAATCGAACAGCATTAAATATCTAAGCTAGATAGCTAATATCTAAATTCTTTGGGAGATCCCAAAGAATTTTCAATCATATCCCTACAGCCGTTCTTGAATTATAAATTGTGTAACAAACACAACTTTCTTTTAAAATGATAGATTAGTAGTAAAAAATTGTAAACATCGTGTCTGACAGAAGAATATAATTGGTTTTACATATTAAATATATAGTTATGTTAAATGTTCTTATGTTCCTGAATAGTAATATATTCCTTTGATACATTCCTCTATACAAACAAGATTTTTCAGCCTCCTCATAGATCATAATATACCCAACAATAGAAAGCGTGTTTATACTAACTAGAACAAGAACACTAGCACAACAAGTGACCGGAGACTTCATACAAATATTACCTAAACAACCATACACTGTGAATACATTGACAGTTCAACAAAAGAGAACTTAATTAAATTAAAATTGGGATGAATGGTGTCAACTTTTTTGACAATTTAAAAAACTTTATAATTGTCTTCGGTTTTGAAAATAGTACGTATAAATTATGTTAGTGATACATGTTGTTTGTTATTTACAGGCCGAGCAACGGCTGGCGGCTCGACGAGCGGCTCGGGCGGAGGCTCGGGAGATACGGATGAGGGAGTTGGAGAGACAACAGAGAGAACAGGAGGACCATGCTGATAAGGCGTACGACATGTACACCGGTGAGTCACCAGGTGTACCCTTACCACGACGTAGAACAGTCACCAGGTGTATCCTTACCATGAGATAGCAGAGTCAAAATTAAAAGGGTACCCTTGCCACGAGATAGAATAGTCCAAACTAAATAAATATCTAGTCTTTGCAATCTCGTGGTAAGGGTCACGAGATTGCAAAGATAGACTAAATACTTAGATACTGACAGTTCTTCATTGACAAAACCGTGATACTATCATGTACAAGAAATTGGAAACATATACATGCGTAGTTAAATTTAATATGACATGTCATACTTTAAATTGGCCAAAGGTTATTCTGTTAAAATGTAATATAGGCCTAGATAAATATGTACATGCTTTAATTTAGTGAGAAATATCTCTGTAACTTGTCGACGTTGAGTATATCCGTCAGTATTATATAATACAGATTACAGTTATTTATTTTATTCCATCACACCAACATCAATTATTGTATAATGGAAAATCCCCAAAGAAAAATATCCAGTTATATAATAGAATAAATGTATGATCAGAGACGGTCGGCCGGCGGGCTGGCAGCCGGCTGGCGGCGCTCAGTCCGAGCGTGCACTCGCCACGACGAAGCTCCGAAGACTCCGAAGACGTGCTCAGCATCAAGGACCTTAGAGTGAGTCGATAAACTATATACCAACAGTATGTCAGTTGATAGGACTATAATCTTCTTCTTCTATATATATAAAAATGGATTGCTGTTCCTTAGTCTCACTAAAAGTCGAAAACAGCTGAACGGATTTATCTTATCTTAGTCTTGATATGTTCTTGGAGGTTCAGGGAAGGTATAAAAGGTGAGAAAAATTGATTCATTACTGGGAAAACCATAAAAACTGCCCTTTTCTATTTCCCATACAAACGTTTTTTTTGACATTAGATTTGACAACTAACTAATATGTCAATGATTCTGTCGCACTTCAAAACACGGAGATTTATAGCTTACAGGTAAACTCCTAAAATATAAATAAAAAAACGTAATAGATATTTCTTGATTATAGGGCGATACGAAGTTTGCCAGGTCTTCTAGTACCTACTAATATTCTAAATGCGAAAGGAACTCTGTCTGTCCGTCTGTCTGTTACGCTTTCACGCCTAAACCTTTGAATTGATTGTAATGAAATTTGGTACAGACAGAGTTGACCTTGAGAAAGAACATAGGATAGTTTTTATCCCAGACTTTTGAAAGCTAGTAACTTATATATATGTGATGTGTTTCGTTTGTAGCACGAGATGAAAGAGGTGGAGGAAAAGTTTCGTAAGGCGATGATCCTGAACGCTCAGCTCGACAACGACAAGGCGGCGCTCGGCTACCAGCTGGAGCTGCTCAAGGACAGGATCGAGGAGCTGCACGAGGAGTACGCGCAGCTGCAGGTGACACACACACACACATACAGACAGACACACACACACACGGCTCCGGAACTAGCCTCTCCCATAGAAGGCGATAAAGACCCCTTGTGGGCGCTATAGGCCTAATGGGGGATGGATAAGAGACCCATAAGAATGGGTTCGTTATGTAGAGGTTTGGGGTTGATTCCTAATTTAGTTTTGCCGGGATAAGTTATAGAAATTTTTTAGTATTTGAAGAAATGGAGGCGTTAAAAATAATTTATTCTCAAAGTGGACAGAAAACAAATTAAGTTTGGGAACCCCTGACCTAAGCCATTACTATTATTACTACACAAGGACTTGAAGGACAAGTATAGGATATTTAAAATGTGACTCGAATCATCACCTGACCAAAAATGCGGTTCAGGGACCATCTATTACAACACAGTTACAAATACACTCAGCTTCAAAAAAGAATCCATAGATTTATATACAATTTAAAAAAAATCCTCAACATAATACGTTGAGGAAGTTTTTTCAACACATTAGGTTGAAAAAAACAATGAGCCAGCGGTCGTTATATTATTTGTTGTTTATGTTATAATATAAAACGTGTGTTATATTTCCAGCGCGAGCACCGCGAAAAATGTTCCCTCCACGAGCGTCTGAAGAGGGAGCACGCGACCCTGGAGCGGGAGGTGGCGGAGGCGAGGGACGCGGTGCGGGCGCGGGACGGGGCGGCGGCCGCGGCCGGACGGGTGTTCGTGGACGCCAGCGCCGCGCCCGGCGTGCCGTCCGGCGGGGCGTGCGGCGCGGTGCCCTCGCTGGCACTCGTCACCATCGAGAACCAACAGCTGCTGGACGACGCTGGAGAGGGCACGCTCGGTACGACACACACACACACAGAGATATTAGAGAGGATATCACGATATATAGATTAGTCAGTGGTGGCCTAGTGGTTAAAGGGCCCGCCTCTCGTTGCCGAGGGCGCGGGTTCAAACCTGGCCCAGGCAAGCACCAATGTGATTTTTCTGAGTCATACGTACTTTCTAAGAGTATTTAAACATCACTGATTAATGCATTCCCAAAGAGGGTTAATGTCAGGCAGGCGGCTGGTCGTAAAAAACAATTAGCTAAAACTATTCACAACATGTAAGGTAGAAATATTAGACCTAGACTACCTTGGTTAAAGTGGGAAATTGACAGGTAGAATATCACAATATATATAACATAACCGAGTTAGAGACTAGTTGTGCAAGTAGAAGAAAAATACTACTAGTAGCCCTACATAATTTAGCAGTGGGGAGGATATTTTATTTCTCCCAATAGAGTTATCTTCTAACCGTGTCGTGTTGTGGTTACAGACGTGCGACTGTCCCGCCTGGCGGAGTCCCGGTCGTGCCTGGAGGGTGAGGTGCGGCGCCTCAAGCTGCAGCTGTGTGACGAGCGGGCCGCCAGGCAGAACGGGGTGGCGCAGAGCCACGACAGAGACGTGGATAACGAATGTTAGTATACACACAAACACAGACACACACACACACACACACATTATATATACATAGTTAATAATTCAAAAAAGAAATAGCCAAAACTATTCAGAACATGTAAGGCAGACCCTGGCTATAGCTGGGAAATTGTCAGGTAGAAGGAGAAGAAGTTAATAATTCAAAAATTAAAAATAAACTATAACCTGATGTTAAACTCTCATCCTCACTGTATCTTAAGACACCTGCAAATATCAGTACTGCAAAACTTCCAAATCAGTGGTTTCCAGCTGCCGTCCCTTTACACACCTGTTCTCTAGGTTCACAAACCCAGGCTGTAGTCCTGAGAAAAATCTTAGATTATTTCATACAAGAATCAACTAAAACATCACTAATTGGGATTTTGAAAAAAAAAAGTATTGATTTTTTTTATGTATTTTAAAACTTTATTATTATTTATATTGATTTTTAATGCAAAAAACTTGAAAAAATTTTTTTTAAATTAATTATAAACAATTAAAAATTGATAAAATCCAAAAACAAATCACGTGACTGTAAACGCTCCATAATTGGTCGCCGTACTTGTGACGTCATAATGTTAAAGCAATTTCATAATAGTACAGTGTTTATGGCTATTATCTTTGACTAAAAATATCTCAAATTTATTAGTGAAAAACGATTTGAAAAGTTTATTTTGACTAACTATGTGATCACACATTTATCAAAAGGATTTATAAAAGCAAAATCGGATAATATTCCTGATGTTGATATATTAAGGTATGATAACTAATTTTTAAAAAATGAAGTTCGGTTTAATTCTGCTGAAGTTCGAGGTGCTAAGGCATCAAGGTAAGTCTGTTAAAAAATACTATTCTAAATGAAAATAAGTATTTATTCTCTATTAAATATAATTAATAATTATTTAATTAATCATAAGAATTAATAAAATGTTATTATAACATTATAAAAAACCAAAATAACATATACTTTAAAAATTTAAATGTAGTCTGATACAGAACCTAGAATGTTATAAAATTATGAAAATATCTATTAATTGAATTCCAATTATTAGACAAACATACATATAGATTTACTATTAAATCGCTTTGAATTATCAATTAAAAAATTTTTAATGCTACTATTCTAAAGGTTATTATTTGGAGCCCAGGTAAAAAAAATAATTACTGAACTATACTTATTCGATTTATACACTTAGATAAATAATAATTAATAAAAATATTATTATGAATACTTCCATCGAAATGATCTTCACAACAAAAAAAAATTGATTTTGTTTTTGAATAATCTCGGTGCACTGCTTGAAACCATTTCTTTCGACGTTTTTCGTCTTGTGGAACATTTAAAAGCTTTTTTTCGGGAGTTGTTTTTGTAGTATTTGCACATAATGGTACAAAACAAGAGCGATAACTTTTGAGTTTTGACATTTTTGATTATTTAACAATGCCAACAGAATTTATTAGATAAAAACTCAAAACACTATACTAATTATTATATCTCTGTATGCTACAATGAGCAAAAACTAACATTGTGACGTCACACGCGCTCGGGTTTATTCGGGAGCTGTCGGCGGATCTTTGGTACTGAATTTAAAATTTAATTTTTATTTTGAAATAACTTTTTAATTATTGCAAAAAAAAAAATAAACAAAAATAGTTTTGTTATAAAACTTATATATGATCTTTCCATTTATCACAAAAAAAAAAATAATTCAAAAACCCAATTGAACATTGACGAACCAAGAGATCTAAATTTGACGAAGAACAATAGTCGATATATAATAATAATATAATTTTTCCAGTGGAGTCTCTCCGCAAGGCGTTATCTGAGGCGAAGGGTCGCGCGGCGAGGGCGGAGGCCGAGGCGGCGCTTCAGGCGGCCGGCGTGGCGCGGCTGGAGGCGCAGCTGGCGAGGATGAGGGCCCGGCAGGACGACCAGGACGAGCGGGAGGAGGCGCTCAAACAGGAGCGGCGGAGGCTGCAGAGAGAGGTGAGGGGGCGAAGTCCTAGAGATATACTCCACATACTAGATGAGAGGGGGGAAGTCAAACTCAAACTCAAATAACTTTATTCAATATAGAAGCACTTTCTTTCTTTCATTGATGGTCATTTGAGACACTACCACCGGTTCGGAAAAGAAGGCGGGGCGAAGTCCTGGAGATATACTCCACGTACTAGATGAGCAGATACTACTTTTCTTTAGAGTTTTCAAACCAGGAGTCAGGACACTTCTGTGCCATACTTTCTTGGTTATTTGGTTTTTTTTATCTAAAAGATGGGACCTTCTATTCTAATAGATGGGAAATTTTTGTCTGAAAGATGGGACCTTCTCTAGAATGTAGATATTCATTCATATAATATTCCAGTTATAACTTCTCATTCAATTGTTGATTGTGTCACTTTCTTTTTTTCTCATCTTTTATATTTTCCGTCATCTCTACTTCTTGTATCTCACTCAGTAATAAGATTTCTGTTCGATTAATCATATCATAACTTGATGACGTCATCACACTGTGTTATGACACCGACACTTGTCCCTGAACAATGGACAGACTTTACAATATAGAAATAATAAGGATATATTTGTTATCAAGAATATCCCTCCACTGGTCAGACTCCACAAGTAAAGTTGAATAAAGTAACTAGTGTTTATATTTCTTGCAGGAAGTCGTTGATTTCTGGGCCGTTATAAATAATGGCAATGCCTGATGGTACGGTTGTATTGATGAACCCGGCTTGAACCAATGTTGATATTAACTGATTACACAATAATAATGATTAATACAATAAAATGTGTAAATAAATCAAATATATGTACATATGGAGATTGTTTTAGAAACCTAACTAATGATAGGCATGATGAATATATTATATCTAACATCAATTAAGAAAACCGTTTCAGAATAATTGAGTTATATTCTTTTAACTTTATCCCGTTATTTTTAAATCAATAACTCTCCTAAACCTCAACAATATGTATAGAAATATCTAAATATATCCCTATATATGTATAATTCTAACTCAGGAATATTTTTTGATATGAAAATATATATTTCCAGGCCAGAGAGGCACTGAATCGGGTCGAGGAATTGGAGACGGAGAACAGTCACCTCACCAAGAGACTCGACAAACTGAAGAATGCTAAGTCAGCTCTACTAAAGGACCTGTGACCAGAATAACTTACCACCATATATATATAACTGCCAACACGACCGTCTTGTCTGCGACAAGCACATTTTGACATTAATACAAATTATATAAATAACATTTCAATATCCCAAGCGATATTAATATCAATGCATTTTCATTTTATTTTATTTATTAATAAAATTATTTTCTATTATTATCTATGATGGAATGCAGACAAATTTATAATCTGTATATACTAGTGTTTATTGTATGAAATGTAATTTTTTTTAAATAATTAAATTGATTTTTAATGATCATCATTTAGTTGTGACATGCAAGGATTTTTGTTTGTAATTATTGAATTTAAAACTGACATTTAATTTATATTCGGATATTTTAAATGCTTTTAACTACTTTGAACCACTTTCAACTGAGGGTGACATAATTTTATAATTTGACATAATTAAATTATATGATAATGAATACGGTTGTATTGTATATGTTTTTTGTATATTGATTCTGTTTATGTTTTATGTAATTATTTATTGTGTCAGTATCGCTTGTATAGCTTATTAACTTGCCGACGTGTGTCGTTGCTTGCCATAAGCGAAACGTTTATTCAGTCCAGAATAAAGTTGCTCAAAATTATTATCACATCATGTGATTGTACTGTGTATGTGTATAATCTTCATTATTTTCGGAAGTTACCAATATTATTGTTATTAACAGTTTTTTTATATATTTTACATACTTTAAGACGTCTAAATAACATTATTTTTGATTGTAATATTATTTTCAACGATTCGGATTTGATTATCTTGAAGATATGTCATAACTGTGAATGTTATAATTTTATATAAGCTATGTGACATCGTATTCCAATTGTTATGTAACTCATATCTGGATGGGATTTATTTAGTACTACAAGTATGCATCTTCACACTGAATACATAACTTTTACAGTTTTTATTCATGATCCCACGCCATAGACGAAAATATAGATAAAATACTTTAAACGCTGCGTATTTAGTTTGAACGATGTAGACTTGTGGTAAGGTGAGTGTAGTTATTTGATACGTCATATACGACTTAGTCACGCGAACAGTGCCATGGAGCACCAAATTGTATTATAGATATAGTTGGACGTAGATAGTTAGTACGAGGCCTGACACTATACAGATAATTTATTAGTAAAAATTATCCAATTTATTTACAAATAATCAATGTCCACGTTATTAAGACTGGGTTTTGACGTGACGTGACGCCGGCCGGAGCCTCACGACCAACGCTCTGTCGGTGTTTTACTAAATATAAGTAGGTATTATTATTTGTAAGTATGTATGTATGTTGGTGCTGCATTACTAATTTATTTCTTTTAAACTAAGAATGACATTGTTTTTTTTATTATAAAAAACGAAGCAGACTTATCATGTGTAAATTTGGATACTTTGAAATAAATTTCGACGCAAAGATGTAGTTTTCATTTATTCTTAAAAAGGAAAATAAATAAATGAGAAATGTTGCTTCATTAAAAAATGTTTAATTTGTTTCGATACAAACAAACTGTACGCTTAATGTTCATTTCAAATTTATTTTTTACGATGACATATTTCAGTTTATTTCTATTTCTTAAAAAATTACAAGGACAATATGAAATCTAAGGTTATTTACAGTTTTCATTGTGAGCTGTAGACATTAAATAATAACTTGAACTAACTTAAATGTATCGTATTGATTCATTTTAAAATTAAATTTCCTAAAAAGAATAAAAAGAAAATAACAAATCAGAAATTTGGTTGACTACATTCCTTTACGTTAATATTTACATGCTGAATTAGCAAATAAATAACACTATTTTTAAGTAATCCACTATTCAATAACATTGGAAGTTTAAATTAGACTTAATTCGTTAAAAAATTAACATTTCAGATCGCAATAATATTATGTAACAATTAAATATAATACCTAGTGTTGGTCTCGAGTACATTACATTCAACGGAACATACTTCCAGATGTATTCAACGATAGCATGACTTGGTCCTCACACACAGACAATGAAATGGTAATACTTTCAAAGTTCTTACATGTGTATACAATATTAAACTCAATTTATATTACAATAAGTCAGAAGATGGTTTAAAATGACATGTTCCTTTGTTTTTCCTATTGCTTAAAATGTAAGGTCCACTCGGCTTCAAATTCACATATAATGGGAGTTCATCGAGTAATCAGAGTCTACATCTCTTTACAGTTTAGTGTTAGTAAAATTATATTAGCAGACTACACTTTGGCCACCATTTGGCTGACATTTGAGGTACAAAGAACGGATACTAATGGCGAGATTATTTAACGCTCGCTAGAATATTCATTAGGAAAAGAAGATAAGGGGCTGTCCATTAATCACGTGAGGCTGGAAAGGGGGGGAGGGGTTTGCTAAAAATCACGAAAATAACACAAGGGGGAGGGGGGCTATAGTAAGATATCTCGTGTATTTATTTTTTCGTCTAACGCGCGATTTTTAAACAAATATTAAGCGGCACGGCGCGGCATGTAGTGACCTCGACTCGCCGTCCAGGCAACGGATTTAAATTAAGATAATATTCAGATAATATTCAGAAAATTTTAAGATTCGTTGTAGGTACTAAAAATACACGTGATGTTGAGAAGGGGGAGGGGGGGTGGTCTTAAACCTCACTACATATCACCAATGGGGGCGGGGGGGTTAAAAAATGCTAAAAAAAGATCACGTGATTAATGGACAACCCCTAATGAGTATTCGCATACATGATTTGTTTTAGAAAATAATTACATTATTCAGTAGAGACACTGTACTGAGAGACAGTTGAATGTCTTTAATGCTATCCAGAGCAATGTGAAACAATCTTAATAGTACTTCTTAGTATATATTTAAACCTACAAGTGACCGCCGTTCATCTAAGGTACAGGATGCTGGTTGGGTGTGAGTCCTCCGTGCTCAGGACTGTGTTTCTGTTTTTTCCGTTTCTTTTCCTTTTTCCTCTTTTTCCTTTCCTTATCGTCGTCATGCCGCTTCTGCTTTTTGTGTTTCTTCTCATATGTGTCGGGATTAGATGAATCTGGAATATGGAAGTGTCGTGTTGAAAATATTTCTACATATTTAAGTATTATCTACTGACTATTAATTAATTTAGATATGTTGATTGAGAAGGTGTGATAAATATGCATGTAGGGATTCTCAGTTAGAATTCAATGATTCTATTTACAAAATCTCAAAATGAACAACTTCAAAATAAATAACACAAAAGTCTGACATTCTTCTGCTTTAGCATAACTTAAAGAATACATAGTCTGGTTAATGTAATTTTATTATATTTTAGTATATGAGCTACAACATTTTCCTTCCACAGACTTTCTTATATATGTCAAATATTTCTACATGAATATAATATTCCTCATGTTTAAAGTGTTGTCATAACAAAATAGATAATTTTTATCAGCGGTACACATTTGAAATGAAACTGTAATATACCCAGCAATCACGTGTTGAATTCATGTAATGTTGAGAAGTTTGTCTCTTAGTAATAATTTTACTTCAAATTCTACTTGATCATTCAATAACTTTACAGCAACCACAATCACAGACAGACAAGATGACAATGTCTATTAGTTAAGTTAGTTAAAATAATAAAACCGCATAATATATCCAAAAAAAATGATTTCATTAAAAAATGTAAATAATTATGATAAATATGATATCAAGCAAATTTTGGCCCCTACATACATATCTTACCTATATAATATATAATATTAAGATAGATAATTAACTATATAATATTAATATAGATAATTAACTAACCTTGTAGAGGTGTGTCTTGTCCGGGAGGCGCTCCGTCCTTGTGTTTGTGTTTCTTGTGCTTGCTTTTATGTCTCTTGGGTGGAGTTGCACTGATGTAACGGTATTGCTCGGGAAGAGGTCCAGGATGCAATCTAAAGCCGGCCAGCTGAGAACTAGTCAGTGGAAGCAGTTCTTTGCCTCCGATCGGTCTTTTAGCTATCACGGAGGCCAAAGTACTATTATCTTCCTGACCTGGACCATCTACTATACCAGGTAAATTGGGCAGAAAGGAAGATAAGGATTCCTTTAGTTTTTTTCCGTTGAATTTACTATATGAATGCTCCAGACCATAGTACGCCATTAAATTCGTAGCTCCCGTGAGTTCACATTCTCCTAAAAATATTAAATGTTAGCACAGTTTTCTAGTTCAAAATTAATGGAATTTGGGTATGATACGATACTTACCAGGTGGTTCCTTCATCAAATAGAAGGGTCCACTGTGCACAATGGAAGGATTCTTGCCAAGCGAGATGGTTGTCTTGAGGGTACCAGAGGAATCTTGACGGGAAACCACTGGTGACCTCGCTCCTCGCGGCGAAGATTTCGGTGAATAGGGTTCTACCTTTCTAAACTGATCAGACATCATCTTGCATAAGCATTGTCTATAAAAAGGAAAATAGAAAAGAAATCTTTCTAAACAAAATGATAAAAACTAAAATGAATATCTATGTCCCTTCTCTTATCGAAACCTTCTAAATATTAACAGATTAAATATTTTGTGGACAAGGCAATGTTTGTGCACAGATGACATAAAAAATAATCTTAAATTTTTCTACTAAAACAAAACCTATATATATTTAAATTAAATTAACGTAATTAGGGTAAATTAATATGTATTTGGATATTGTTTTATTTTTGGAAATTCAAACCACCGGTTTTGTCTATGATCATAACACGTGTTTCTTAAATAATGGTTTATATTCAAACACTATTTGAAAATAAATTTATAGAGTAACTTTAGTCTATGGTTAATGAATTAGCTTCTCGTAACGCGCTACGGTTTTCGATAGTGTGTTTGGAAATAAACAGTGTGACGAGCTCAATTAAAGTAATTTTCAATTATATAAGTGATTAAATGTCTGAAAAATGTTTTTACATCGTGATATTTGTGGTACAAAAGAAGTGCAAAACTTCTGATAACAGCAATCCTCGCTTAGCGAAGTGACGCCATTTTACGGGAATGACCAGCCCGCGGCTGCCTCTTATTAGGCCTGATGTAAGGAGCGCTCTATTGAAACGGATGCATGGAAACAAATCCTTTGTATTGTATTCGTACTGGACGTACGATTTCAGAGGTACAGGCTATGTTATAATTTTGTTATTGTCGTTCTTGTAATTCGAATCGGTTTCGATTTCCTCTTGTTTGAATGTCTTTTGTTTCTCGACAGTCAAACTAAGCACGTGTTTTATTTTTTCAGAAAACTATGGAAGATGGTAATATTACCAATATTCAAGACGATAAAATCGCTGCAGCATCTTTGGCAAATCTCTACAGTGAACGGCCCAGTAAACTAACGACAAACGGACATGATTTCGCTGGAGAGTCGTCTAGTTCGCCCGACCAGTCGTTTGGCACGCGATGCCATAGCACCGACACATTACAAGAAGATAAGTTCAGGAAACGCATTAATCCGCTCAAAATACACTTGGGTAAAAGACCGTTTGTGGATAACTCAGTTTCCTATAGTGTGAATAAGAAGCGCAAACCGTTCGTTAACAAAACCAGTGACACACCGAAGAATATACCCCCTAGAGTACCTAAGTCAATACCGAAACGCTTGGAAAACAGTCATTATCAAAATGTTGCATCACACAGTGGACTTGAGAGTGAGAAGGACAAACCTGTGCCTCGTCTCGTGCCCAAGAGTCAGTTATCACAATATAAAAAGGGTAAAGTGGAAAAGGGAGCCCAGTTGAAAGAGTATGCTCAAAGCCTAGGATTACAGCCCATGGTAAAGTTTAAATGTCGAAAATGTTGTTCCATGTCATTCAAAACTCTGGCCATGTTGAAAGAACATCAACTGGTGTGTCGGGCGCAGGCTAAGGAACCCGCACTCAGTCCCGAGGCAGCTCCCAACACAGAAATGAACAGCAGCGGTCCTTCGAGAGTCACTCGGAAGGTCTATTTGTGTTCGGCGTGCGGAACCTACTATGAGAATTGGAATCTCTTCCTCCACATGCGGGAAGTACACAATAGACACATTTGCCTCTTCTGTTTGGGAATGTTTTCAAAAGCTGAGAAACTCTCATCTCATTTAACAAACAAACACAATGTCAAAGAGTTTAATTTTGACACCAAGGAAGAATTCTCTAAAGTGTATAATGGAACATTTTATTTAATGTGCTGTGCCTGTGATGAAATTTGTAGTGAAAAAGATGATTTTTTCAATCATGACTGTAATAATGTGAAGCCTAAGCCTGTGCCTGTTCTTATTAGTAAGAATTCAATGAAGACCAATTCCAAGATTTGTAAAAGTTCAAATGAAACTTCACAAAACGGACCCGGAGTAGTTAATAAAGATGCTAAATCTGTACATAGCAAAAAAATTATAAACGAGCCGAAACCTGACAAACAAACTACACATCTACAGAGACCAATGAGTTTTATGAATAATGATTCTATGAACACCGACACAAATATAAGGAGCAACAGTTCAATAGCAGCTAGTAAAGAGACCAGTATACAGTTGGACTCATCAAATGAAAATAACAACATAACTGAGAGTTCAACAATAAGTTCTGTTGAGAATTTATCAAATAATACAACAGAATCCATTACACCTTCAGTTCCTAACGGCAATGAACCATCCGATGAGTCAGAAGATAGCGACACACCTGAATCATTGAGCCCAGAAGCACCAGTACCTGACTCAACATCTTTGAGGCCTAGAGAACCAACTCCTCCACCCGTAGAGAAAGAAAAAGAGGGTGGTATTAAATTAAAATTGAGTCTAAATAATGCCAATTCCCCAGTGATTATAAATTCCACTGTAGATCCCACGGTGGGCCAGCAGTATGCTCACAAGCCACCTTCACGGAACAGAAGACCTCCTAAAAGATATGAGAAAGATAAGCCTCCTGACCCCGCACCGCCCTCGAAACCTCCCTTGATCAAGATGACCATATGTGATAAAGCTGACAGTTCATTTGTAAAGACGACTGTCATAGAAAATAATAAAGAAACAGTAACGAAGACGCTTGTAAATAATAATGTGGAGTCAATATGCAAACCTCCCGAACAGAAGACGGAAACGGCAATCAAATCTACCATTTACGATAATAAGCTAGAAGATCTTAATACTTTAAATAGGGTACCAAAGCTAACTGTACGAGTTCCTAAAGAGTTTCTAGACAAAGATTCTTCTAGTGATTATTCTTCCGATAGCGATAGTGGCGAAAAGTGCAACGGCGAGAGCAAAGAGAGTGTGGAAGAGCCCTGTCCAGAGATGGAAGAACCAAAACGTGAAGTAACTCCCACAATATGTGACTATGTTAAAAAAGAGGAAACCACGGAAAATGAAAACATTCAGGAGCCTCCAGTAGACGAAAACGTCAAAAACGAGGATCAAACCCTGGTCCAAGCTGAGCCGAAAGTAGAAGAAGCAGAGCAGACCGCTCCTGACGAAATTAATGTAGAGGAACCGGATGAGAGTGACAATGTACCTGTAACAGAATTGACATTAGATAGGCCAATTGATAAATATCCATTGAAGGACCTTCTGAAAGTGTTTCTGGCTTCAACAGTTATAAATTGTATCTATTGTAATCATGCACGTAAGATAGCAGTGAATTGTGAGCAGCTCGCGCTCCATATGGTGGCAGAGCATCGGTTTTCTGCCACCGTGAACAGTATAACTGCCGAGGAGTTAATGCCAGAAACGATCACGGCCAAAGTTAAAGCCGGGGCCCCGGAGTTGTGTACAGTTTACATTAATCTAGACTCCTACGACAGTGTTGACAAGTGTGAGACGGTTCAGAACAATCAACTTTTCGAATGTTTTCAGTGTTATTTTAGAACTGCTGTTCATAAAGATCTCTATTTACATAATCGTAAAATGCACCAGAAGACAATTTTACTGTGTGTTATGTGTAAAAATAATTTTTATTCTTATAGTGAGTTGTTATGTCATTTATGCCCTGGAACATATGATTCTGAATATGAAATTAAGTTTAGATGCTGTTTTTGTAACGTAGACAACATTCTGTCGACGTTTAGGTTGATGGTGCATCTTAGGAAGATCCACCACACTTGTGATGTGTGTTTAGAATTCTGCCAAAGTCAAGCACGCCTGTCTAATCACGTGTGGAAACACAAGCTGCATCATTTGTGCTACCGCTGTGGTATAGCCTATAGGAATAAGCCAGATATTACTAATCATTTGTTTTGGAAACATGGCACCGAGAGTGTGTTGTGTAAAAGGTGTCTGCAGAAGAAATGGCCGCACGTGTATCATTTCTGCACCCCTCCCGCTGTATTTGTTTGCGACGAATGTACTCTTCAATTTACTAGAGCTGTTTGTCTCAAAGTCCATAAGAGATTTCATTCAGCGGAATTTCCACATGTGTGCATTGAGGAAGGTTGCACGGAAAAGTTTGTGTCGAAGAAATTACTTAACAAGCATTTAGAGGAACATGGAAAGAAATTAGTTAAAGAAGAGCTAAAAGACAGTAAACCGTTGGAATCAAATGATGCACCAACAGAAGATCAAAAAGACCCGATTCCTGTCATAGATCTTGTTAATGATAAACCAAAAGAGGAAGCTGGATCTTCCGACGTCAAAGCTGAGGCCGAGACTGAACTATCTTCTAAGAAAGTCAAGAAGAAGAAGGTCAAAGACAAAGATGCTTTGTTGTTAGATGTCAATTTGCCTGCATTAAATCTGTCTGAAAGTGATAGCGATGACTCGGACAGTAATTCAATCCAACCAACTAAAGAAATTGATTCAGAAGATAAACCTAAACTTGAGCCAGTCGAAGATAATGCTGTCCATCCTGTGAATAACGATAAAGATGCCACTGATGGAACTGTCGATATAAGTTCGAATAAAGTAGAGGAGACACCAGAGTCATTAGATGATAAGACGAATGAGCAGCAAGTATTAGATATATGGGATAACTTCAAGAAGTATCAAGCTAAGGTGGAGAAGCAAAAGGAAAAGACGCCACCGCTCGTACCTATCAGAAAACACGTTTGTGAATCGGACCATGACTATTGCGTTATACCGACGGAAGTGAACGGAGACGAGGAATCCTTTGATAAGAGGAAAAACAAAAAATCCCCAAAGAAAAAACACGGCGGCCTGTCATCATCTAGTAGTAGCAGCAGCGACAGTGACTCCAGCTGTTCGTGTGGATCCAACTGTAGTTGTTCCTCGAGTAGCGGCTCCTCATCCTCCAGCTCGTCAGATTCCGATTCCTCGGACGAATCTGGAAACGAAAAGAAAAAGAACAAACAGTTGAAGAAGTCACTTCCAAACAGACGAATGAGTAACGGGTCCAATGTCGATGTAATGGGTATGTCGGAGACGCCCATACTGGTTCCAGAGAAAACTGAGCCCGCCATCGCCGAGAGCGACCTAGAGACGGATGAAAGTGAAACAGATGAAGAATTCTATGACAAAAATCCACAACAAATTGCCAATAAATTACACAATGAAAAACGAAACCAACTATTGTTGTTAGCATCCGTCGCTCCGTCTGACGGAGGGTCCGTGTCTGGAGATGTAAGTCGCTGTAACACACCCGTTAAAGAAGAAGAACCACAGCAACCGAAAGAAGAAGTGAAAGACGAGGATAATAAGGAAACAGAAGTGAAACAAGAGTCTGAGGTCAAGGATAAGAGTAGCGGCAAAAAGAAGAGCAAAAAGAAAAAGAAATCACGAAGCTCACGCAAACACGGCCCACTGAAAATGATAATTCCTAAAGATGTTATTACTAAACCAGAAGAAGAAATCCCACCGCCTTTAATTCCGAATAAAATAACTATATCATTACAGTCCAACACCGTTCAACTACCGGAGACTCCCAAAGTAGCCTCCATCCCGCCTCCGAAGAACTCCAGTACTCCCGCGACCACAGTAGAGAGAAAGAGGGCCTCCAAGAGAAGAAGGGTGCCGAACAGGTTCTACGGTTACTCCAGTGACGAAGAGGCGCCACAGACTCCCGCGGCATTAAAACCTCAGCTGCCTCCCAAATTAGAGTGGCGAAAGGAGGACCTGCCATCGCCGGTCACGCACAAACCCAAGAAAGAGATTCCGTCTACCGTAACTCCTCAGAGAATGTTCAACTACACGGAACCGATACGGCTGACGGCGCCCATACCTGATCCGGAGCCGCCACGGTTCCTCATGAATTCTGAATCTATGGAGTCGAGCGACTCCGAGTCCAGCACGGAACCAGCGCTGGAGATATTCCAACCCCCAGCTCCGAACCCTCCTGCAGTAACAGTTCCTCCTCCAACGTATCTGAACTCGGGCACGTCGAGCCTGCCGTACGCCTTCCAGAGGCCGGCGGCGCGCCAGGCGCGCGAGGGCGAGAGCGTGTACTGCTACTGCCGCTGCCCCTACGACGAGGTGTCGGAGATGATCGCGTGCGACGCCGACGGCTGCCCCATCGAGTGGTTCCACTTCGAGTGCGTCGGTATCATGGTACCGCCTAAAGGCAAATGGTACTGCCCGGAATGTAGGAAAAATCAAAGTGTCACAGGCAGATAATTTTAAAAGTGATTGAAATGTATATAATGATGCTATGTTGTTATCTGTATATAACTTATTGATTGTAGATATTTAGCTTTACAATGTATATCTCTTGTAGTTAGTTGGTCTAAGTTAGGATACTAGGTCTGAAAAAAATGTATCATTGTTATAAAAAGTACATGTTATGCTTGATTCTGGCTGTGCGGCCGATCACTGTACCCTGGCAAATTGTTACTGACATTCAAATTAACAGCAAAACAAAAATATAAATCCAATTTTTGATACCACTCTTGTATTATTATTTACAACCCTCTTATTAAACGAAATATGCTTCATGAGAATTGTTCAAGTAAACAATAACAAAAACAAAACTGATTTAAACAATGTGACAAATAAGATGCTTATATGAATCAAAAATAAATGTGCAGTTATGTATGGACAACTACTGGATGGATTTAAATTACACTTTATTTCTTTACATCAAAACAATGTATTCATTCAATAGAAAATTTCAAGAAACAAAGTTTCATCATAAATAATGAATATCTGTTTGTTTTCCTATTTATTGAAAAAGTTTGATTCTTAGCTTTTGAACGCTTCAATTTACTAAATGCATAGAGTAATACCTAATTGAGAGGAATTTAAATGGAATTAAATACTCGAGCGTAATTTCCTTCAATGCTTCTGCGCCTTAATTTAAATTCAAGCCATATAATCCAATGCCATGATGAGTATTACTTTTCAATTCATTTAAAATAATGCAAAGCTTTACAAAATATATACTCAAATCCAATATAAGTCTTAAGCTTTCCACTCATCGTCAGACTTAAAACCTGTTAAAATTAGTAGAAAATAACGTATTGTTTTTTCCAAATAAGATTTTAAAAAAATATGACGCCTACGAACCAAAAGTGATATAGAAATATTTAGCAATAGTTATTTACTAAGTATATAATTTCAAATTGAGCCACATAATACAATAACATGATTATGTAATGTTTTTAATAATATTGAAGAATATCTATAGTTTAAAAAATATATCGCATTTTCAATGAGTTTAAAACAATACACTTTACAAAAACGGTCTATTAATCAGATTTAAACTTGATATAGTTACTTTAATGGTAGAAAATAAAGTTATTTTTCCATTTTTAGGCTTCAAAACCATGCATACATGTACAAACTGAGAGTAACATAAAAATATCTAGCAAGTTATTTATTATGTAACCTTCATGTTTCGATTCCGCAATGACTCATTTTTTACAATATTTAATTTATATACATAAAGATCAAATTCCTACTACTATATTTTACGAAGCTTCATTGACGAGAGAACCAGTATAAACGCCGCTACGACGACAACAAAACGTTAGCTGATACAATATAAAAAAAATATGACCAACAAACATTGTTCGCCTATTTACTTATTTAATAAAAAAAGCTTTTCATGTCACATTTTGATTTTGACGTTGTCAGTTTTAGGAGAAGGTATTTTTATTTACTTTTTCGTTTGATTGTTGTGTGAATTTAATTAGTGGAGTATTTGGAATATAAATTAAAATGGACTTTATAGAATTTTGTATAAATAAAGATCAGTGCAACAGGTTTTGTGAGTATTTTGTACTTTACACACGAGAGGTATTAATAATTAATTTAACGGATTTAATATTTTAAAAATGCCTCAAAGTCATAATAATTATATGGCTCAGTTAATTTCTTGTTTATAAATTACTTACTACCTACCTTCATGCATTTTTTACTGCACGCTAGATACGACAGCTAACAAATATGTTTTTTTTATTAATTGTATTCCTGCATTGCATCATATTTTTTTCTAAAAACATTATCTGAATGGACGTGTAGTGATTTTTGATTTGAGATTAACAAACCGTATTACGTGCGCTACATCCGAAGTTAATTGTAATTGTAACGGATTATAAAACAGAGAAACTGCTCGTAAATTGAAATAACACTGTTTTGTCACGCGTGTTAACTGGCGCGTTTTATTATTAACAGAGGCTCCTACAACCATGAACCAGGGGCCCTTACATGAACAACATTCATAATATATAAATAAAACTTAATATTTGTTATATTTACGTTAACTCATCGATCGGATTCTAATTTAACTTCGAAATATTGTGACTATTGATACGTCTAGAAGCAAGTTTGGCTAAATCTAAATCTTACTTTAATGCAAAGAACATTATTCATTATAGGTCCCTGTAATTAAATGTCAATTTCCCAAGACTATATTTTTTATATAAGTTTATAACTTATGTAACTAACTATATTGTTTCAATATATTTGAGGTGGCGTAAATTTTATTTGTGATATTGGGTACAACCAAAGACTTTCCTCCGTCTTTCAGTAAACTATTCGCTTGTATGATGTATAGATGCAGATCCCAGGTGGTATCACAAGAGTATAGACTATGGGGATTTAGGAATAAGTTACAATGAAGTGTTTAAGATGGGGTCGTTTAGGGGATTATTTGTGCCTCAATAACCTCACAACTTACAGCATTTTATTTAGGCTGTCATGTAAAAAAGCTGTTTATAAGAACTACTATTGTTTGATTTTTCGTTTTTCAGACCCTAGCTCGGCTTACTACTTAATCTATACCTCTAGATTACTTTTTTCGAACAGTAATTTTAGTAATACAATCTTTTGAAAATATATATGACAGTTTCGCTCTTTGAAAATATGTATGTCATTTTACTTCCAAATATTTTAAAAACTACTAAACTCAGCATTATGTATGGATGTATAAAACTTCTGTCTACACAACAATCGGTTTATCAATTCAGTTTATTAGAGTAATCAATTCGGTTCATTAATTTAATGTGTATAATATTACCTAGGAATGAAGATAACGTAATCATTAATTGTTACGTCGAAGATAGAATATAATTATTATTTGATTCGGTTCTACGATAGGCCCATATATTGTTCCATTGAAATTACTTAATAGATAACTCCGGGAGATTTTAAAGAAAAAAAATGTAAAGTTCATTTTTTTACTGTGAATCACTTCTTCAATTATAATTTACATAGTCCTTAAAGAAGTTATTTTTTTTGCCTCAAAACAGTATATAACAAAATTGGATTTCTCGTTTTACTAAAAAAAACTTCTATATTATTAAAAAATATTAACAAAAAGGACGAAAAAACGAGACTTCTCACGTTTTGTGTTCAAACAGTATCTAAGACTTGTTGGCTTCGGCAGTTGTAAAATGTATGAATTAAATAATAACAAAGAAACATTCCTGGAACCGGTACAATGAGTTCTTTTTAAAACGTTTTTCTTGTTACAATTTTCTTTAAAGAACAGGTAACAGCTAACTCAAATTCTATTTAGTTATAGGTGAACGAACTTTCACCATTTGACATTTATTCGCTCTCCAAATTTTATATATTTAAAAAATATATAATAGAAAATATATTCTGACATTATTTATTTCAACTCTTTTTTTAATAGTATCAACTCTACATTAAAAACTCGAAATCCCGATTGATGAATCTTAAAACGAAAACCACTCATTTTTTGATATTCCGCAATAAAATTCTTATACCAAAACCCACGATCAATTATTATGTAATTTTAATTGTACGACTCAAATATAAATATAGAGTTGGGCATAGACTATAGTTTAATGGTAATACATAACCTTTTCTAGATAAACTCAGTCATTTGCATCGCAAATAGTATTCAGATGTTTTAAAGAGTAATAAATATTATTAACTTTTCAGTTTGACTAATTATAGTAATTTACAAAATTTAAAGACATAGATTTAGTAACAAAGAAAAACATTTTTAGCAGGTACATCCAGCAAACCAAGAATAAATCCACTTCTAACAACAGGCATGTGTATTCCAGAAGTTTTAGGTAAGTTTTAGTTATAATAGTGAATTAGACGAAGACTAAAATAAAAGTTATTATTAAATAAAAAATATACATATATTCAACCTTAAATTAGCACTACAGTTTTATAATTTTTAATCTGTTGATTTGCGTATCTGTTTCCTTTAATTGAGTTACCATGGCAACTCTGAGCCGTCGTACTGTAGAAATTTCCCGCTCTCCGCCTCTGTGAGTTTTTCGATAGTATTGAACATGCCGGCGACACTAGTGTCGACATCTAGCGGCGCGTTTTTCCCGCCCATGTCCGTTCTCACCCAGCCCGGGTGCATAGAAGCGACGAGTATGTGATCCTTTTTGAGGTCAATGCTCATTGATTTCGTAGCTGCATTCAATGCTGCCTAAAAGTATTTACAAGTCAGATTATACGATACTGATGATCTATTGTTATTAAATTACTACCTTTGAGCATCGGTAAGCATAAAATCCACCGACGTCGTTCTGTGCAATGGAACCCAGTACAGAGCTCATATTGATAACCACAGCGCGGTTCACGCCGACTGGTTTGTCGCTGTTACTTTGAGCTGCTTGTTTTAAAAGAGGAAGAAGACTCTGGAAAGAAAGAATGAAGAAAAAATAAGACGTATTCAGATAGTTATTAAAGTCATGCTTGATGTCTTTCGTAATTGCAGAAGTTCAAACATTTACGATCTAAATTTACTGGGATAAAAGTATGGAGATGAGAATAAAAAAGGGTTGATGTCAGGCAGGCTGCCGGTCGTAAAAAACAATTAGCCAAAACTATTCACAACATGTAAGGCAGACCCTGGCTATAGCCGGGAAATTGCCAGGTAGAAGAAGAAAAGTATGGAGATGAAAAGAAACACAGAAAATAAATGTTTATAGTACATATTTGTTACATAATAATTTTAAATGTAACAGTCACTAAACGTATCATCATTACGTGTCATATTTTATACGTGATAATACGAATTTTAAAATCTTGTGAATCTACACACCTGTCTTTTCTTTCTTGGAAAAGTATTTTGTTGTCAGAGTTTAGTAGCTGATGGTACTTATTCATCCGTCTTGGTTTTTTATTCGAATGTCATTAAATTAAATATAAAGTCCCAAAAACCATTTGTTAATACATACATTACATACAATATTTATTCCGATAATTTCATTTTAAGATAAAAATTATCTGTTTAAATTAAAATGTCCCGTTAAAGTTTAAACCATTTCCAAATTCAAAATGGAGGATCAAGTGTGATATTCGTTCCATTTTTATAAAATTAAAATACATAATATTATATTTACCTTGGTAAGAATAATCGGTGCAATAGTATTGATTGTCAGATTACTCAACAACTGCTCCGGTTTTACTAAATTCAGTTTTGTGAATTTTGTAGAGGTGCCGGCGTTGTTTATGAGTACATTTAAACCTTTATCTCCTGTTACTTTAGAAATTTCGGAAGCCAAATTGTCGAAACTTGCCACATCTGCCGCTTCTGTTGATTCATATCACTAATATTATGATTTCTATTTGTTAAATAAATTAACCGTTAATTTATATTTTTATCTTTAAAATACTTTAATATTACCTAAATGAAGAATACGAACGTTTTTATTTGTTTCCGATATATTTTTAAGTTCCTGAAAATAAATATTTAGCAATTACTTTTAGATTTTTATTTATTATGTAAGAATGAGTAAGTGTATGATTTTTATCGTTGAAAAAGCTTTTTAAATTATGTGCATCGTTGATTTTAAAGAAAAAATATTACCTAATAAAAGAATAAAATTTTGTGTAACATCTTAAAGAAACATCTCGATAAGAAGCGTCATCGTATTAAACAATTACTAGATCCGCAGTTCCACGGGCTGATCATGACGTCACCTTTAGAATGAAATGTCATGGTGACGGGCATTTGCTGTCTCTTTCTAGCAGCTCAAATCGCGTTTAATGAAACACGACTTTATAAAATACGCGACGGCAGGTCGGGCATTATTTAACGTATCCTAACTAAAGAAGGCTGTGTTAAAAGTGTTTAAATAGTTAGTTCGAGAAAATAAGTGAGATCTGTTAAAGATGGCACCTATAGGTAAGTTAAGAAATTTAGTTTGTTTCATACCTCGGAAACGTTGCGACATGTTGCGAAGATATTTTCGACTTTAGTGTTTTTAGTGAGATATTTCACCATTCCGAGTCCTAGTCCTCTGTTCGCTCCTGTAATTAGTACCGATTTCATTGTGGTGTAAACTCGAAATTCGCTGTAATACTTCTTCCTGTTAAATCAGAGCAAAATAACACTCATTGATATTTCTTACTGCACGTAGTTTGTTAATTTTGTCTGTCACAACGATTGCGGAGACGTCAAAATGACAATATACAATAATTTTATAAGAATAAGTAATTATTCAAAGGGATTCTTCCGTAATGATGGGATGCTAATGATCGCTCGACGTACCTTTTCTAGTAAGTGTAGTGTTCTAATCGAAAGATGGCCTTGAATATGTGGAATAACCTCACTTATCATTAATCGGACGTTCATTTTTTTCGATTTAATGTTATAAAAAACGTTTGATACTTATTATCTGTGGAGTTCTAGTTCTCCAAAGTTATGAATTTATGTAGATAAAATAAATTACAAGTATTGTTTTCATTGCCAATGACACCAGGTGATTGGATGTGTTGTGGCCGTAAACTCAAGTCAGTAGCACCTATAGTGAATTGTAAAGGTATTCCTATCATTTATTCTGGTCACTGAAGGGCTAACTGGTGTTAATTAATGCCACTGAAAGATCATTTAATGGTTATATGGATAGTATGGAATTTTCACACACTATTAACATTTTGCAGCCAATTGTATTGTACCGAAGCAAACTCTGTCTTTGCACACATGCTTATGCATTCATTTTCTTGTTTTTTAAGATAATATTTCTTCTAATTCAATGTTTTTAAGGACATGTTCTTTATAAATCTTGTGTAAATTCACTCTACACATTTTTTGTCGTAATTAACTATTGTTTTTAACACTCATGTGTTTGTAATCAATGTTCTAGATGGAACATATGACTATGATCTAGCGGTAATCGGTGGTGGTTCTGGGGGTCTTGCTTGTGCAAAGGAAGCGGTGAACCTTGGTGCCAAAGTGGCAGTATTAGATTATGTGACCCCATCGCCTCAAGGAACTAAGTGGGGCCTCGGTGGGACTTGTGTCAATGTTGGTTGTATACCAAAGAAGTTGATGCACCAGGCCGCAATACTCGGTGAAAGTATACATGTGAGTACACAAAAATATAAACCAAATTCCCCTAACATTTTTTTTCTATTCCTATAATTCACACATTACAAATACTTATTTATGCTTTCATTATTTATGCAAAAGCAATGCTGCCTATTTTACATCATTTAATATTTTTATAGGGAATGGTAAGTGAACTTGAATCCTCGGACCCTCCCATTGTTCCCGATCCCCGAAATCCCTTGGAATCCTAAAGTTGGTACATTTATATCCATATCTATCCTAATGAACCATATAAATCCTACATCCCTTTAACAATTATGTATAAATTAAATTATGTATAAAAGGTTTATTTTATATATAACACCATTGTTTGTCTTTATGTAAAGTCTAGTTTAATCTAATGTATGCAATATGTACTGATAGTAAATAACTGTGAACTTCAAAATTATATATAAAAAACTTTGTATTAACTAAGGAAATGTCTCCTTGTATTGTTGCTATCACTATCAAGAAGGTTTTGGTCGCTGATAATATGAATTATCTTATTTATATCTCATTTCCTTAAAAGTGTATTATGTATACTATCCTTAAAGTTTTATAAATTATAAATTTGAAAAATTGTACTCAAGAGTCAAGACACTTATATTAATATTTCTAATAATCAAAATTAATTATAACTATACTAGTTTTACTGAGACTTTGTCCATGCGGTTGAAATTGGGGGCGGAATTGTAGTGTTAAAAATGAGAGATATGCTTATCAAACTGCAGCAATATGTAAGGTCTGTCTCATATCTTCATATGTAATGCAATACAATTAAACTATCTGGATTCTACTGCATCTACATGCAATTTTGCAATTAATTATAGCCTGTCTTATCATGCTGTCTTAACTATGCTATGCTCAAATTTCATCAAAAAGTTTAGTATTTTTCCTGTCAAATAGCTACAATACCATACATCCTGATGAACTAGCATTAATAATAATATTATTAGTATTACTTCCTACTATATTATATCTTTAAGTCAGGAAGAATATTGTTGCACAATAATAAATAGTTTTGTAAAATGAGTGTACAGTGTTATATAATGCAATTATAAATGGAAGGAACGCGGCTTGTGTGTGTCATGGCTTATTACAATATGACTAGCTCTGCCCGCGACTTTGAATGGAATATTTATATATTTTTATTATTTAAATTATAGATTTTTAATATAAAAGTAACCTGTCACTCCCTATTTGATATAAAAAATTTGTCAAGTGTATATCTAAATAGTAGATTGTAAAATATATTGATATTCTTATATATAAAACTAGCTTTCCCCCCGCAGCTTTGCCCGCCTGGAGTTCGGTTATATCGTGTTTCCAAGAGGACCTTTCAAAAGTCTGGGATAAAAATTATCCTGTTCTTTCTCAAGGTCAACTCTATCTCTGTACCAAATTTCATTAAAATCAGTTCAGTGGTTTAGGCGTGAAAGGGGCTATCCATAAAGTACGTCACACGTAAAGGGGGGGGGAGGGGGTCGACAAAGTGTGACATGGTGTGACAAGGGGTGGGAGGGGTCCTAAGTTTCGTGACATCACATTTCAAAATCTAGAGGTACTAATCGCGTAATTTGAAATATTAATTAAACTAAAAAATATGTCCAACTCTATCTTTAGGGCAATACGGTTTAAATTGTTTTGTTGACAAGTTCATAGCCGCTTCTGACACGTGCCGATCGTATTTATATTTATTAGTTTATTTTTTGTTATTGTTTCAAATATTTGATACTATGTTAATTTCATAAAAAAAGTACTTAATTTAAATGGAAATAAAACTAATTTCCGAACTGCTGTTTTAATTTAATAATTTTTCGATGTTAAATTGCAAAACATGTAACGTCACACTAGGGAGGGGGGGGTCTCAGAAATGTGACCACCTGTGACAAGGACGGGGGAGGGCTCAAAAACTCATGAAATTAGTGTGACGTACTTTATGGATGGCCCCAAAGCGTAACAGACAGACAGAGTTACTTTCGAATTTATAATATTAGTAGGGATTCTCGTGTCGCGGTGTTAGACAGAGAACTCCTTCGAAACGTCTGGACTGATATTGATGACATTTTGTGAGCATATTGAATGGGTGTGAGAATCGGCATACATCTATTTTTCATACCCCTAAGTCGGGGTATTAAGCGTTGTTCACCTTTGATTATTTTTTATTTAAGGACGTAGTTTTTGTTTTTATTTTTTTATAATGTAGCATTAAAAAAATACTTACAACTCAAATTTTTACTTTTCTATCACCAACCCTAAATGTCTATATGGCATAATTGCCGGGTCAGCTAGTTGTTTTATATATTTGTGTTAATAGTTCGGTCGATATTTTTAAATGTATTGTGGTATTTCTAATTGTAATAATAACAATAACCGGTTTATTTTATCCTCATTTACAATTCTATACACTATTATAAAATTTAAACGAAATTAAATAACTTAATACAAAGAACAACCATTCAGCCATCTGCTATAATAAAACATATTTTGGCGTTAAAAATTCGTTTCTTCATTTTATAATTTATGTATTTAAATTTCGGAAGATAACGATTTTTTTTAAGTTTTAAATTCTATTTTGTAAGTTATTTTGTATGAATGTTAAGATTTATATCTCGTCTTCACTCGTATTGTCTATTGTGGGGAGTTCATTGACATTTTTTTTCTCCTCAAACGGGTTTCCGTGTCTGTTCGTTGCACATCTGTCATTCGAAGAGATGGGAAATAGTCGTTTTATTTTATATATAACATTTTGCGATACTTTATTTCAAATAATTATTTTAGAAATAATGTTAAGTACGACGATAGGCATACCCATACACGTTTTAAAAGTCAATAAATCCAAATATTCCTATTTGGGGCTAAATCACAATATTTTTATATTTTGAGATTATCATTTAAACTAAGATTTATATTATTTTATTTATTTTTTTTATGTGAAAGGTGGCAAACGAGCAGACGGCCCACTTGATGGAAGGTGGTTACCGTCGCCCATGGACATCCGCAACATAGGTGTTACGGATGCGTTGCCAACCTTGTTTTTTGGGGATAGGGAGGGGTGGGAATAAGGAAACGAAAGGAAATGGTAGGAATAGGGAAAGGGCAACCGGCTCTCTCACTCATCAGACGAAACGCAGCCAGTAAAGGCTACTTCACGCCGATCTTCTGTGAGAGGGTGGTACTTCCCCGGTCGAGCCAGCCCATGTTCGAGCTGTAGTAACTCACCACAGCTAGGCTCTACCACCTTTAAAATTATATCGGCTCCATACAAATGATTATGTAATATTTTATTATATTTTGATAGGCATGGAATGAAATTGTTTAAATGTTATCTTAAAATCACAATCTTGATAACAATAGTGCCGATAATACGAACGAGTTACAATTGCAGCTACAACAAATACATATATATATACACACACACACAGACACACACACACACACACATACACATACAGTCTAACATGGCTTGACCTATATGTGACCTTGAAAACTGTCATTACTCACGTTACTTGCAGTTCTTTAATCTGCGGCAGTCGAAAACATTTCCAACGATAAAAATGCTTTTCGTTTAGTTCAATGGTGTTTCATTTAAAATAAAAAATGGTCATATTATTATTAGCAACGTAAAAACCGGACGGCTCGTAAATGAGTCAACCGTAACTAATATTGATTACCTTCCCTACGACACGATGAATACATATTTTATTAATTGACCGCAGCATTGCTTTTGTATTATATTCTATATTTGAACGAAATGTATTGATTTTATTATGTTTATAGGAAGCCGTCGCTTACGGATGGGAAGTGCCTTCTATAGAACAGGTCAAAATAAACTGGTCGTCTTTGACCGAAGCTGTTCAGAATCACATTAAATCAGTGAATTGGGTGACCAGAGTAGATTTAAGGGAGAAGAAGATCGAATATATCAATGGTTTGGGAGAATTCAAGGATCCACATACATTGGTTGCGACGTTGAAGAATGGGAATAAGAAGGAACTTACAGCTAAGAATATTTTGATAGCTGTGGGCGGGCGACCACATTACCCTGACATCCCTGGCGCTAAGGAGTACTGCATCACCAGTGACGATATCTTCAGCTTGAGCCATCCTCCTGGCAAGACGCTGGTCGTTGGCGCTGGGTGTAAGTGACTATATAAAATTGCTATAATTAAAGTAAAAATAACTTAAGCCAAGAAATGTAATACATCATAAAACCTATCAAGTAACAGCTTATACAGCTCAGGTTTCCGTACACTGCGAGTGATGGTTTTAATTTATCATAATTACAATGCTATTAAGTTAGGAAATTTTGTTCAAATGCACGAGTGTTGCCAATGAACGTAATGTTCTCGCCAGAATGAAAATTGAATTTTGATTATATAGTTATATAGTATGGCATCATTAAATGGCACCGAAAAAAATAATTATCTTTGCGTGAAGTTAGAAATTTTGTTTATAAGACACAGGTGTATCCAGCGAAAGTAGTGTTCTCGCCAGAATTAGATTAAAATTTTGGTTATATAAAAAATTCATTGAATGCTATGCTTCGTCTCTTCTCAATGATAGATTATTTAATATTTTCAATACCATGCATTCTACATCCATCTCAATGCCAAGTGCAGTAGATACCAATTACTTATACATTACATACATGCATAGTGTTTCTTATATGACAAAAAATTCCCATATATCCGCAGATATCGGTCTAGAATGCGCTGGTTTCCTCAATTCATTGGGTTTTCCTGCCACGGTGTTGGTGAGGTCGGTGCCGTTGAGAGGTTTCGACCAACAGATGGCGGGGCTCGTCATCAGCGAAATGCAGGAGAAAGGAGTCGTGTTCCAGCATAAGTGTATCCCTCTGTCCGTGGAGAAGCTTGAGTCCGGACAGCTCAAGGCTCGCTGGTTGAACACGGAGACACAGCAACAGTGAGATATCTTCTTTATATATATATAATTCTTCTGTAAGTGTGTATGTCACTGAACTTCTCTCAAACGACTGGACCGATTTTGATTACATTTTTTGTGTGTGTTCAAGGGAATCTGGGAATGGTTTGGATTCACAATTTTGTCCGCTGGACAATGTTTTTTTAATAAATTTTTAATTTATTAGTAGTTGTTGATACAAACGTTTCCTTTTGACATTAGATTTGACAAGTAACTAATATGTCAATCATTCTGTCACACTTCAAAACACGGAGATTTATGGCTTTAATAGATACTTAAACTCCAAAAATATAAATAAATAAACGTAACAGATATTTCTTGACTATAGGGCGATACGAAGTTCGCAGGGTCTTCTAGTATGATATACAGGGTGACTGGTGAATTACTATCAATATTTAAGGAGCATACTCGGTACATGATTCTCATTCGAATTATGTAAAAAAAAATAGGTACTTAATTTTTGACCAAATTTCTGTATAAATAAATAAAGTGTGTACACGTTCCAAGTGTTCCAAGTGTGAACGCGCGCGGCGGCGTGCTGATACAACAACACGCCGCCGCGCGCGTATGTGTGTGTGTGTATATACCTAATCTGTAGGGTGTTCATACGATGCGTAATTAATTACATAACTTTTGGTTAACTTTACTTAGAAGTTTATTAATATTTATGTTATATAATTTATATTTTGTCATATATGATCGTCTAATATCACGTCCTCAAATATCGATAGTAATTCACCAGTCACCCTGTATAATTGATAGATAATGATAATAATTAACCCACCAGTGCATTAATTTTGCAAAAACAGTGATATTTGCTAAGGGCAACATTTTTCTGAGAGTATATTAAATATACTTGATGTAATCAAAAAGTATAACTATCTAAATTTTATTTGAAGCGATGCAGATGTAACACAGTGTATAAAAAAATTGGCGTGTATGTACTTTCATTGATATTTAATATATTTATTTTTTCATATTTTAGTATGAAGAAAAGGAATCGAAGATTTTTGTTGATTCTTTTGTATATACATGCATGCATATATTATATTTATATACATATAGAAGAGTATTGTATGTAGTATGTATTGCCAACATGCCATAAGAAGTTAAAGGAAAACATTTGTGTAGTTGATAAAGAGGATTTATTTTGACCATACATTGTATATAATATAATGAAACTATGTTTTCCTGACGTTTCGAAAGACAGAAGAGATGAAGTGTGTTATCTATTCTGTACGTGATCATGGGTTCTGTAAACTGGTCAAGTAATCTAAATGACGTTCCCGTCATTTAGAATGTATAAATAAAATTGTACAATCACGTAGCTATCAAAAAACTTAATATTATGTTAAATGTGTGAACGAGGAAATCTTAGATATCATTAATATATCAATGTTTTGTTGTGTTTCAGGAGCGAAGATGTTTTCGACACAGTATTACTGGCCACAGGCAGATACGCTCTCACTGAACAACTCAATCTGAAAGCTGCCGGCGTTACTGTGAGTGATAACATATTTATATACATTATAATATATTAATGTTCCATTCATTTACGAGGGATTTGGATATAAAGTAAAATAATTTGAATCGAACATATTCTTGTCAATTTACTTACTACAGATCGATTTAAGAATAAGTCGTAATGTCTTTTTAATATACATCTGTTAGAATAATAAGAATCAAGAACAAAAACTGGGATAATCTACAGTTATATTGTTATTAAAATCATTCGGTTTCAACATTGGCTGTATATTTCAGGTGTAAATAGATTGCTCTGTTAATGGAGTAGATACATATATTGCTCTTTTAATAAATATACTAATCCAACATCGGCTGTATACTTCATTCATACACATGAATATATTAATCCTAACATCGGCTGTATGTTTCATACATGTATGAATATATTAATCCCACATCGGCTGTATGTTTCAGACGTTGGACGATCACGGCAAGGTCGTCTCCAGCGACGAGTCCACCAACGTTCCTCACATCTTCGCAGTCGGTGACGTGCTGTCTGCTCGGCCGGAGCTCACTCCTGTAGCGATCCACGCGGGACGGCTCCTCGCGCGACGCATGCTCGGCGGAGGGAAACAACACATGGACTACGATAACGTCGCTACCACTGTTTTCACACCACTGGAGTATGGCTGTGTGGGGCTCAGCGAGGAAACGGCGTTAGAGAGGTAAAGGACATTAACGACACATCATTATTACCGGACTATCAGAACCCACTGCTGAGCAAAGCCCCCTTCTCACATGGAGAAGGTTTGAGCAATAAATACTAAGCGTGCTCAAGACTGGTTGGCGATTTCAAACTTATAAGTTGAAATTAAGTCCAGGTTTCCTCTTGATGTTTTCTTTCACAGTCTGTCAATATATGATATTTTTAACTGTATAAAGTATACCGTCATTGTAACTATAATAAACTCTAATGTTACAGATACGGTGCTGACAATATTGAGGTGTACCACGCCTATTACAAGCCGACGGAGTTCTTCATACCTCAGAAGAACATTCGCAACTGTTACTTGAAGGCGGTGGTCCGGCGCGAGGCTCCCTGCCAGGTGCTGGGGCTTCACTTCGTGGGCCCCGCGGCCGGAGAGGTCATACAGGGCTTCGCTGCCGCTATCAAGTGAGTCCGACTGATCATAAACATATATACTGATGAGATATAACATTCGAGAGTATTCATTTAAATGACACTAATATTATTAGGATTACTACAAGTATTTTATTATTTTGAAAAACTAAACCGTCATCACGGCTGCTGAAAAGTAAGCGAAACATCGGGAGTATGTAGGTTTTAAAATAATACAATACGCATAGTAATCCGAATAATATTAGTTTTTTTTAAATGTATATACTGTATATTTTAATGTGTTCATACACTCCATAAACTCTCAGTTCTCACACAATGTGTTTCTATTGCTAAATCACTGTATCATTTCAGGTGCGGTTTGACCATGGAACAGTTAATGAACACAGTAGGCATACACCCAACGGTTGCTGAGGAGTTCACACGATTGAACATTACCAAGAGGTCCGGCAAAGACCCCAACCCAGCCTCATGCTGCAGCTAGACATTATTGTGATCACTATATGTAGCGACTAAATTAAATTCATATTATAATGTATAACAATGTTGCGTCCGAACACGTTCTATACAGCACTCAATGTTTAGTTTATCATTTGAATTATGAACTGACTAACAATGTAACTTGATTATGTACAAATATTTAATTTCTTTTAATAGCAATTCCTTGAAGTCACACGTCACATGTGAAAGTATTCTGTTTGTTGTTCAATAAAGACGTTTAAAACTGTTGGTGTTATCAATGTTGTATTGGTTTGGATTCTATCTCTGTCCAGAGTATTATACATGTTGTGTGCGTCGCTGTTTACATTCCGGTGCGCGTGCGCATCGCTTTCGATAAATTGCCTTTCTCACGATTTCGACTCAATAAAGTGATATATTTTTTAATATTACTGTTTTATTTAACCTCAACAATCTTTATTTAATGCATCTTGACTAAAAATACTTTAATACATGTTTCATAATTACGAGGATTACAAAAATAAATAAAACGAATATATCCTTAAAGTTAAATATATTTATAAAATGTACGTAGCGAAAATATTAAATAACTAAAATGAGTATTATCGTTTCCTGGTTAAATGAGTACTAATAAAAATATAATTGCTTAACTAAAGTCCAAGAGTGGAGACGGTGTTACCATTGTAGTAACAAGATTTTATACAATATTTTTTGACGACTATCTTTAAGCTGTACCTACTACAATTTTTTAACGAATAAGACACAACCAATTTCTGTCAAATACAGCCATTCTATTGATGTTAATTAGAGTTTTATTGTTAATGAGAAGATAATTCGTATGTAATATAATATGATTGTATAAAGTACGGTCAGGGCTCGGAGTTAGTGAGATATATAGCTATATCTGGTGTAGGTTCACAAGGGAACCACACGACTGCGGTGGGCAGCGGATAGTATGGATGCGCCTTCACAGACTTGTTATCGAAACGCCAGAAACGAGGACCTCGGAAGAAGAACGTGTCTGTTAAAAGAGAAATTTGTTAAATAATATTATCGATAATAATCGTCAGACAGGATTTAATAGTCTACTTTACATTAATTTCAATTCTGTAATCACATATTTTCTGATAGATCTATTTAGAAGAGAAATATTAGCGAAAAAAAGAGCGTGGATTATACTTGTAGTGCTTTAAATGTACTACGTCCATCGGGTGTTAAACTACCTCCTTTCCAGATGAGTGCTGCGTCCACCGGATACGGAACGTCCCTCCACGCTGACATTTGTTTCGGATATCCTTTGTCCATGGTTCCAGTGTCTTCATCATAACGCCAGTACCTCTCATCGTCTATGAGGTACGTCTTATTGTTGTAATTCGACAAAAACACGGTCGTCAGTTCCGCTACCCGGGACGGTATTTTAAAATCTGTGATTCTCCCGCGTTTTATGAGGTGGAAACGTGAACTGAATTCAAAGTAACTGCGACCTGCAAAAACGAAAAAATAAATAAGAAGTTGCTTATATTTTTCTATTATATGTATACATTTATTGTTCGTTTCATTGAAAACGTACCTGAAAATATTACAATATGGCCGTTCCTGTTCTCATATATGGTGCGTATAACTTTAAAATGTCTCGGTAATCCCACAAACACATCGTGGAACCGCTTGGGATAGCCTTCCTCGATAATCTTTCTTTCAGATAAAACCCATACCCACTGGAAAATCAAATAAGACCTCATTAAAACCGGAGTTAAATCTTAATACATTATTGATTTTCACTGATAGAAAAATAATTTAGAATTCACGGACACACTCGACTGGGAAAAGGTTTTTAGACATGGAACTTTATTAAGTCATAATTTGAATACACGTAAATCGTAACATGCTATACCTCTTCCTCGAAGACGTACAGCTTGTTCTGGATGACCTGTAGAGTGTCGTAGTTGGCGTAGCACAGGTCAGGCAGGAGGTTTTCATCACTGTCAGCCACCGTGGACCGTGGGGCTAGCGTGAAACTGGCTGCGACCTCCGCTGACGACGGTTGCTCCTTCACTAATGTTTTTATTTGATAGAATAATACTTAATTAATAAAGTTCCACTGATTCCATTGGTTAAACATTACAAATTAGCGTTATATTTACGATATAGCTCCTGCATTCCCAAAATATCATCTTCATGTAACTTTTCTACTGGAACTTGGTAATACGGATACATCACTGATGATTTAACATTCGAATGTGACAAGCCTAAAGCGTGGCCTATCTCGTGAACGGCCACAGCAAAAAAGTCGGTGACATCTTCGTCTTCCTCGTTGGCGTTGTCACCCCATTGCTCATCATCATCAAAATGCATCGCGCCATGGGGAGGTGGGAACGCATGGGCCACCACGTGACCTGGCCCGTCAAAAGGAAACCTATATTAAAGTTCAGAATATATGTCAAATGTTTATAAATCATACTTATAAAATGAATAGGTACTGTCTTCATAACTTAATGAGACATTTGTTAGAAAACACCATCTTGTTTATAAATAAAACACTTCATACCCATCTCCATGATCCTTGCTGGCGAAGGAAACTTGTATGTCGGCTGCGGAGTTTAGAGATTTGAAGCGTAGGTTTCCGTGTGGCGCCCACACCGCTAACGCGTTGGCCATTAAAGCCTCTACACGGGACTTCTCTAATGTACTCGAGCCATTGATAACCCTATCGGGATTAATAATTTGAGTTAATTGAGTATAAAAAGTCAGTATTCAATTCGGAAGACTGACCTGTATGTGATAGCCTTTCTCCCCCATCCTTGCTGCAGAATATACCTTTTGATCCTGTTTGATTTCGTTTCGATATCTTTCACACCACAACGTTTTCTTTTGAATAGCTGTATATAAATGTATTTAGTATTGATAAGGAATTAGCAATTTATATGATTAGCATTACTATAATCTTACGCACCTTTCTGGTTTCTGAATCGAGTTGTCCGGTTGGCGGAAGGCCAGCAAAGTTCTGCATACTTCGTACGGCTTCGGCAATTGATAGTGCTGTGTAAGTGGGGGAACCAAACCCTTGTTCAGATAGGTAGCCATATTTTTTCAAAAAGTTTACCTAAAAACAATATACAAAAATCGATTGAAGAATCCTTACATATTAAAACCTAACTTGCCCTTTTTATAATTATTTAACTTTTTATAGATACTTTAAGTTATTAAAGAATACACAGCAGATTACGAAATCTTAAGACGTTTAAAAATACTTCTAATCATAAATAAACTGGGTCATATTAATGAGAGATAACGTAAAACATCAACATAATATTAATAATAACTTATGCCAAACCTCCTCGAACGTGACAATGTCTTCTTCAAGAAATATCGTCCGACCTGCCGCCAGGCTCAACAAGCTGAGCAGCAACAGCACAACAAACACACATTTATCCAATTCCATGCTCACAGTTAAATGGACAAAGAAAGACAACGCTTACCCTCTCCCGACCTTTGACGTCTGTTGATAATAAGTATACTGTATGAGTATAAACACGAGTCTGGTTAACGCCCTTTGCCTTGCTTACTCATATTTCCTACTCGCACTCTCATGCAGTTTTCATGATACAAATTTTACGAAATTTCATTAGCCACCTTCTATAATTTCAACTCTTTAAACCTCGTTTTAAGCCGCATTGCTATCGTGAGCGCTTCCAGGAATTGTTATCATCAATAACTTTTTATAGTAAAGTAAAAACTGTAACTTAGAAGCATACTTTCAATATGTCATATGCAAATTATTTATTATAATCGTTTGTTTTCTTAACTTCGTTTTTCTTTGATATCTAGTATGGTTCATGTTCATGATATTACTATTGACTTCCTATTTATGAAACACAGATAGTATTTTGTTTTCAATTAACATTTAAATTTATAATTGGTCATAAATTTTACTACAAATTTTATAAAATGTTTAACAGAAGTGAGACTTCTAAAGATATTTTGTTTCTATATTCTATCTACTTTCCGATTTTTTTTATATAAAATTGGCTAAAGTTTGTGCTTACGTATTTATGTTATTAGGGATTGGGGGTAAAAACTAGAGATTTGTCCTATTTTGAATATCGAGACCGTTATAAAATTTATTGAACCTCAAAACCAAACAAAATAAGAGACCAATTGGATTGGGATTCATTTTATAAAAAAAACTTTCAAGATATGTTAATATTCACTCACATTTCCAATAATATCATATGTTATATTACATCTATATTAGAAGTATTGATTCATGCCCTTATTTTTATTCGTCTTTGAATTTTAAATAAAACCTTCGTCGTAATTGTTTACATTGATTAAAAAATTATTTACCGTCATAGTTATCAAAGCGCGTATTGATCATATCGTTTACGAACTGAGTACATTAACCTACAATGAACGGAACATCGTCGAAGCCACAATCTCAGTCCACCGTCCGATCTTTCGGGGCTAGCGAGTCGGATTTAAGAAGGCTTTACACTCTGTCTCTATCCCAAATAAGAAAACGTTGCGAGCGTGGAGAAAATAACAACTATAAACCTTCACCGTTTGTAAGACTAATATACTACTTGTGAGTCTAATATATTACCCGAAACTTTAAAAGTCTATTGAGATATTGCATTTATAGAATATACGTTGGATACACGGCTATAATCCCAAAGTTGGGGTGATCAATCTTGTCAAGGATGACTCTCCTACCCTCGCTTTCTACGCGGCAGGGTACTGTGGCGTGATTTACGATTGGATGGAAAATACTATGATGATACTACAGGGTCATGTAATTTGGTTTTCCATTAATAAATGTATAATCAAAAATATACAATACTTTGTAGCATAGTGCTGAAAATTCATTTTATTTAGGCATTAACTTATGATCCTATTTGTGACATTTGTATGGACTAAATATTGATATATTCTTTTAGAAACATACAATAATTTGTATAGATACCGACGCAAAAGGCGATTGGCTTGTTACCGCTGATTCAGGACCAGAGAACGTTGTTATTGTATGGGATAGAAAAGACTATTTTCCTCAAAGGACTATTTTCAATCCTCACGGAAATGTAAAATTGGCTGACGTGGTCATCAGTTCGGATGCTAAGTACCTTCTAACCCTGGGTTATCAAGAAAAGGCTACTATTAACTGGTGGATATGGTCGATGGGTTTAGACGTCCCTCACGGTAACTGTCTCATTTAAAGTAGTAACGTCAATAGGCGTTTAACATACAACGAAATAAATCATACAAAACACAAAATAAGGTAAAAACTACAAGTGAATATGTTTTCAGCTTCTTTAGAAGTAGACATTCCGAAATGGGGAGTAGTGGACATGGGATTCAATCCTTACAAAAGTGAACAATTTCTTTTAATGACGAAACATGATATTTGGCTGTTTGTTTCAAGTGTACGTATGTAAATCCGATAAATTGTATTATGTATATTTATAAACAAGAATCTTGCTATACCCTTATTCCTATATAAACTTTAGCGAAGTTTAGTTGTTATATTATTTTCATTGAATAAATTTTTATTAATATTTTAGAAAATATTTGTCTTTGAAAGAGGACTTATAAAAGAAACCGACGATTACGAACTTAAAATAAAAATACCGAACAAGAAAATTAATCCTGATAATGGTTTACTGACCGCTTTCACGTTCGTGGAAGAAACCTCTCAGATACTTGTAGCCACAAGCCGAGGATCAGTTCTCGTTTATGGATACACGATAGAATTTACGGACAATGTAGATTCATCTAACTTTGAAAACTTAAGATTTATTAAGGTACTTAAAGTACAGACGAAGAGAATTAATGTTATCCAAAATATAGATGGGTGAGCATTTTTTATATAAAGACTAGTTTTTGCCCGCGACTTCGTCCGCGTTAGTTTCGTCATTAGTAATATATGTATAGCTGACCAGGCGAACTCTATTCCATCGTAGAGGCCATAAATAATCAGGTTTTTCCTGTTTCAATCAAACAGAATGATTGACATATTAGTTAGTTGTCAAATCTAATGTCAAAAAAAGCGTTTGTATGGGAAATAGAAAAGGGCTGGTTTTAGGGTTTTCCCGGCAATTATTCCAATTTTTTTCAGCTTTTATACCTTCCCTGAACCTCCACGAACATTTCAAGACTAAGATATGACAAATCCGTTCAGCTGTTCTTGAGTTTTAGCGAGACTAAGGAACAGCAATCCATTTTTATATATATAGAAGATGAAATATTGTTTCTCATATTTAATATTAAGGAATAGATAGTAAGCATAATTTATTCTTAATTTAAATGTCTCGGAATTTTATAAAATAATTTATGCCTACGTCAGGTCAATTAAATTATAACTTTCATAAATTATAATATTCCCTTAAATCTCGTGGATTTTGTCGTCAGTGTTGTGGTGACAGGCAACAACGCGGGTGAGATTCACTTCTATGACAACCAGGTGAAATTACTGTATTGGATACACGGCTTCACTGTCGACTCTGTTAAACAATTGAGCTTCAACATCTCTCGAAGGAGCTACCAGATACTCGATCCCAAATGTTAGCATTTTATACAAAGAATATAGAATAAAACAAATAGCTGCACATAAATGACTTTATATTTCAAGGTAGAAAAGTTTGTCAATGCTGGGATGAAGTCCAAACTGAAATTGATGAAACGACAGGGCAACCGTGTCATAAGATTATGAAAAAACATGTTCCATTAGATGCCACTACTGGAAACAAACCGTTCATCATCAGAGATTTCATTGTTTGTATGTATACCATTAATAAAAATCAAGATATTAGAAGTTTATGATATGAAATTAAGTTTTCCTTTCAGGTACAAATAATGAGGGCGTATATTTTGTTGATTTTCTAACAGAGAAGCTGACTACGATATTAGATAATAATGTTTCACCCGCCTTGTCCTTATCTGTGAATCCAGAAAAGTAAGAAAATAGTTTTCATTATATATTCATTGTTATGTTATTTATTATTTATTTTTTGTGATGCTCTTTAGGACGTTTCTTTGCGTCGGGTATACAAACGGTGTTATTGAATTATTCAATTATGTGTGCCACAAATTGTTCGTAAGGATCGACTTGAGAGAACATTTTAAAACAATTATTCCGCCCAAAGATGACTCCCTCGATGTTGAACAAGAAGTCATTAAGCCAGAGATTTCAGTGACATGTTTGAAATACTCACCATCAGGTTAGAAACCATTCTTTTTTTAGACTTCACAATTGTCTATGCATTAGCGTATACAGTAAAGTTTTTTTCTAGGATTACACCTAGCCTGCGGTCTCGATAATGGCGAACTAATATTTCTGGACCCAACCACGATAAGCGTTAAATCTAAAGTCCCCCATAAAGACACCAACTTTGCGATCAATCAGATTAACTACAGCTGTGATTCATTGACTTTAGCTTTGGCTGTAAGAATGAGAAAGTTTTTTTATATAGAATTTATTACACTATATTTACATTGGATATTTTTTTATTTTTCCAACAGGACTCTGGTAGAACTGTACTAGTTTATAAATATGATTGCTCGAACTTTATGTGGAATTTTATTGGAAAGCACAGAGCTCATTATAAGGACGTAACATCCGTGTTTTTCCTTCCAAAGAAAAACGAAAATGGGGAATATAAATTGTTATCCCTTGGAATGGATCGAATTATGGTTGAATACGACATTGGCGAAAGTTCTGAAGAGTATCTCGAGGTTTTGAGTTTGGATAGAGTGGATCAAACAGCCATACCTCTGTTTGGGATCCCATGGCCAAATCCCCCGGATATTGATCCCGAAATACATCGCACCGATCTGCCCATGATTCTTATTGCTAATGATGAGGTTAGTTTCACAATTATTTGGTATCTAAGATGGCAATTATTATTAACAAAGTTTTAAATGTAATAGTTCAAATACAAAATTGTTAACTATGGGACAACGATGACGCTATCTACCATACTGGGTCCAAGGTACGAGAGCCCCGTGTGCCGTATGGAGTTAATTACAATCACAAAGGACGATACACAGATGCAATACCTTCTCTACGCTAGCAAGAATGTCGTTGGCTTGCAGAAGATGCCATTAGACGGCAATCCTTGGAAGCACACAGCTCTGCTTGGACATCCTACTAACGTTAATAAACTATTAAAAGATTGAAAATTTTTAATGCAAAATGGTTGTAATCATTTAAATTGTAAAACAAACTCTTTCAGATTATTGACATGTGCTTCCGAGAAGATAGCGGAACGTTGTTTACGCTCGGAGCAAAAGATAACTGTGTATATCAATGGGCTGCTAATTACAGGTTATTATTATTATTATTTAAAATATCTAATATAGATGACCTATGGTTTGTGTAATCTTCCATACTAAATTAAAGCAGCTTGGTGAATGAGGTTATACTACTTTTAAAGTTCAACCCAGCAGTAAGCATTTTATCTTTTCAGTTTTCATACCCATAAGCATAATTATAAGTTCCAGGAATGTTTGTATTTTGTAAATGTTTACTATGAAATATTGACTTTAAACTATGTTTTACTACTCAGATCAGTGGAGACAACTACAAAGCTAGGTGGCGGTGATCTGGACCCTTACTACTGCTTGATGGAGGGTGGTAGACCAGGCTGGCTGTTCCAGGAGATTCGTGATCTATTTTACTATATACAGATTCTTTGCCAAGGAACCTTCTCGCCAGCCATGCGACGCGTTAAGGATTTTATTCCAATTGATTCACTATCAGATCTGATGCGAGCTTTAGGATATTTTCCGTCAGAGTACGAGGTATTTATTAACATCGTATAAACAAACCACATTGTATTCCGATCACTTTGGAGTTGCTATTGCATTTAAATCCATATTTTAAAACTGACTATTGTACTTAATTTTCCTAAATCTTTAACAATCTATAAGAACTATACGCCACGAAAGAATATTTTTTACCAAAACTAATTACTAAAACTACTTATTTCATACTTAATTAAGTATTTAATAGTATTATTACTGCAAACATGTAGTTTGTATGTTTAATAGTGTTTCTCTTCTTTTTCATAAATTATTTTGCATGAAGTTAATTATGGTGTCTTAAGACCACATATACTGTCCACAAGTTTCGTTGGCCATAATGAATACTCAATTCCTTTTAGTTTTTTTGGTGATGGTGGTGGCCATTTAACATTCAATGAGTACAGTCTCTTTGTGCACTCTTGTATTTACATACAAAATTTTGTTTGTCCAGGTGGAAAACTTAATAGTGGAAGCTAAATATAAGGTTTTTCTCAAAAAACCAATGACAGAGATTGATTTCGACGATTTTGTCAAATTATATATAAATCATCGGCCAGCTTTTGGGGATAATTTCAAGAGAATTAAAAACGCTTTCCGTCGTTTTGCTGAGGGGGATAACACTAACCTTACTATAAATCGTGATGAGTTTATTCGAATATTATGTACAACGGGTAATGTCCAATTCACTATTATTTATTAACTTTTGTCTGGCTATAAACCAGATCACAGCTGGCTAGAAATAGAGAAATATATCGCTGAGGCGGTACTCGGTAGGCTCGCCAGTTATAGTATACAAAAATAACGACGCCATGTTGTAACTTAATAATAACTAGCTTTCCGCCCGCGTGTACTTCGGTTATATCGCGTTTCCAAGAGAACTTTTCAAAAGTCTGGGATAAAAACTATCCCATGTTCTTTCTCAAGGTCAACTCTATATCTGTACCAAATTTCATTAAAATAAGTTCAGTGGTGTAGGCGTGAAAGCGTAACAGATAGACAGACAGAGTTACTTTCGCATTAATAATATCTATTAGTAGGGATTATAAACTTATAACTGGAACTAATATGAAATCAACATTACAGGTGAATGCTTCAGTAACCAATTGTTGTGGTATCTCCTGTCAATATTATATGGACACAGTTTTGAAGATAGATCGGCGATGATGCCGGATGACTTTTCCTTTTTACCCGAGGTAAAACAAACACGATGAAAAAAGCACTTATTAAACTTTTATTCTTTAAATAGCTTTCCGCCGGCAGCTTCGCCCGCGTGGGGTTCGGTTATATCGCGTATTCAAGAGAACCTTTCAAGTCTGGGATAAAAACTATCCTATGTTCTTTCTCAAGGTCAACTCCATCTCTGTACCAAATTTCATAAAAATCAGTTCAGTGGTTTAAGCGTGAAAGCGTAACAGACAGACATACAAACAGAGTTACTTTTGCATTTATAATATTAATAGGGAAATTAGATATTTAACAATCATCAATTAATAATAAGAATATTTTACTCTTATTTGCGTTATAACTTATAAGGAATTGCGCCCTTTATTAGAAATATATACTATATATAATGAAATATATATACTATATAAATGTATACTAGTATGTACTAGTTGACCCGGCAAACATTGTTTGCCATAATATAAAAAAATAGGGTTTGGTGATAAAGAAGTAAAAATTTTGGGTTGTACGCATTTTTAATGTCACATTATAAAAAAAAAACCAAAAAATTGGTTCAAAAAAATTTGCGGTGAACATCCCTTATGACTTAGAGGTATGAAAAAGAGATGTTGGCTGATTCTCAGACCTACTCAAAACGCTAACAAAATTTCATGAGAATCGGTCAAGCCGTTTGGGAGGAGCACGGGAACGAATATTGTAACACGAGAATTTTATATATAAGATATAGAATAATTTTACTGGACAAAAACTTCGCAAATCATTATTTTTCATTCCATATATTTCTTGTATGTTAAAGGGGATTAAAAAAATTATTATTCTATAACAGGAGATAACATTGGAAGAGTTAGCGATGAACGTAATAGGTATACAAGACCTGGAAGTTTTATCTGAACAGTACTCCATGAAGGATTCCCTTGGATCTCAACAAACTGGTGACACTTCTACCGAGTCCACAGAACCAATTAGTAGCAGATTATTTATGGACAGACGTTAATTCATAGAGTATTGGGATTAAATTGATTACTTTATTCATATAGAATCTTTTATTTCACTTAGATTTATTTCATAAATGTATGATTATTATTATTAGTAGTTCCTTCCTTCATATTATGGTACATATGGATGTCCAGTTAAACTTAACCTACGAGCAAATACCAGTGATTTTAATGAGTACTGTAATATGAAAAACATAAGAAAATTGGGAGCCTTTTAATTATTGACTTACGGATTTTGGATGTTATGTATACAGCTATGTTTCGCTTGAGTAATAAGTTCAAAAAACTACAAATAAAAAGAAATTTTATAATAAAATGCAATTCTTTCATTGATTTATTGTTCAATACTTATAAACATTTTATATATAAGCAAGTTATTTTTTAAATTATACTTTCCTTTTTAACATTTTATAGCTAGTGGCTGTCAGCTCATGAGAACTAATAGAAAAATAATTCATTAAATTTGTATTAACAGATTTTTTTTAACAATTTACTTATATTGTATTGAAAAAATTGGCAGTAAATCCGAACTAAATTTAGGGAAAAAATATAAAAATGAAATCATACTTTTGCTTTGAAATATGATCGTAAAATATACTATGAAACACTCTCAATTGGAATTATAACATTTTTTAAAGTTTGTCAATAGGCCGTGGATGCAACTAGTTATTTATCACCGTCGCAATTTGTAAAATTCTGTGAGCCGTCACAGATTATACTTAAATTTAAAACTTAAACTTTATATTAATAATTACAAACATTCATATTTAATTCCACCAGAAGTCAGAACATCAAAGACTACATGCAATACTGGCATCGACCAACACATATCTGGCATGAGTCTCTTGTAAATTAACACACCAAGCCTTAAATCTTGTCTTATAAATAAATCATTCAATAGCTCACACATGCTCATATATTACACTTGTTAACTTAAAACTTGTACACTTCACTGTTAAGTCTTTGTCACTAATATATCTCAGTCTGTTTTTAATCTCTTGGCTGGTGTTGTGGTACCACTGCTTTGGGAGTTTGAGTCCTCGGAAAAGTTCATATGCGTTGAGGTGAACTCTGTTGCACCTTGGGAATCACTGACTGTAGAAAAACCTGGAAGAAAGTTGGTACGGAATCAGTAAAGGGATAATAGTTCGCGGAACGAACTAAATTATTTAGAATTAGATGAAATAAATGTAACTCACACGTATTGGAGTCTTCGGCAATAGCAAAGTTTGAATTCGCCGAATCGTGTAACTTTTTCGGTGTTAAAGTGTTTTCTTTATTTTCCCGTTTAGCAGCGTGTTTCTTCTTTTGCTCATTCGTAGATATTGGCACCCACTTGTAAATTTTCATAGTCGTTTCACCGATAGTCACCCATTTTTTTTCCCTAAAAATTACCACGTTTTTGCTTATTACATTCATAAAATTTAATTCTCAATGCATGATAAATAATTTGGCGTTACCAATGGCGAACTTTTTCAACAGCTTGCATTACCCTTTTGATATCATCTTTAACTCTATTTCTGGTCTCAGCACGTACGGATCTCGACATATTTATAGATATATTTATTCTATTATATACTTAATAATTGTGAAAATTTAAATCCAACTATTGTAATGGAGAACCCGATGACCTTGATTCTACTGTATTAAGCACCTACTAACATTTGTGTAAATCCGCCATTTCCATTTGTAACATTGACAGTTTATATTATAGGTAAGTAATATATATGTGTGTCGTTTAAGCCGCATTCAAATAGCAAATTTTTTTAAAAATGTATTTAGGAAAAATTTTCAAAAATTACAACTCGTTTAGATATACAGTAACTTGTAAGAACTATACATTTTCATTATTTAATGTTTGAGTAACTCCATTTTTATTTATTATATCATTATTAATGTTTAATAATAATACGCCACAAGTGTAAAAAATCTTATTTTATTATTTTTCACATCACAAATCCAACTTTAAAAAAAACTCGGACAGTCATTTCATTGGTGTTTATTTCCATAAATATCTGAGGGCCAATAGAATCGAAGGACAGGGGGCATGAAATCAGACCATTGATAATTATTGTAACGGAAACCAAAACCATGAAAAATAGTCCAAAAAATCTTACCTACATGATAAATTTTATAGAATAATTCTGCCGAATAAAATAAATTGTAATATATACGTCATAAATGTAAATTATATAAAATGAAGTTTTAAAACAGGTGAGAAATGGTGTTTGATATTTTAATACTATTAAAATAACATATCAACGTATAGTCATTCCTGAAATTCAGCGTAGATAATTTTGACTCGTATTAGGCGGCTGTCAGTTGTTTTACTGTTAAGGGTCGTTCTAAGGGTTTCATAAATAGTTACAATTACGTATATTTTCATGCGGCTCGGACTGCAAGGATGTGTACGCAATGGCTGTGATGCAACGAGACGATAAGGTGCTCTAAATTTAATGGTTATTTTAGTCCGGTTTATTATGATTTTTATCACAGTAAATATTTTTTTACACCTATCATACCACTTCGATACTATATTTGGAACCATAACCTACAGAATTCAGGACTATCACGCAACTCAATCAGCTATTTTTATAAAATGCATCTATGTACTATGTAGCTATTTGTCTATCAAATCACTTGTTTGTCATTTAGGTTCTGCTTTTTGTTTCTTAGTTTTGAACGTTTCGAATCACAGTTTACGAGATATAAGCTATTCGCTGCTAACCAATAAATACACCCTATTGATGTTGGCTTGCCGCTTGCACTTATGCTTGTAATTTTTGTTGCAGTTGTACCCTGCATGTGTGTAAACCGTAGAAGTGGTATCGTAACTATATTTGGCATTGTCCAGTGTAAGGTACAGCTAACGAAAACCGTGCATCTTTCCTTCCCGTATGGCTGCATTTGTTAATCGTACAATATCCATGATGGCTGGTGATGGGCCCCACAACGTCCTCATGAACAATGGGACCGTGCGTGTGAACATGTCCAATGTGGACTCTCCGCTGCAGATATTTGTGAGGGCCAAGAAGAAGATCAATGACATATTTGTTGAGATTGATGATTATGTTAAAGATGCCGTTATATTTATGCACGGTAAGTTAATATAGTTTGTTAATTTCAGTTAGTTAATAGCATTGATTAAGAATTACTTCCATTTGATGTATATATGAGTCATGGTTACACTCAAGTCATTAACATAGTATTATTGCATACATGTATGAAATAAATTATGTGTTACATAAATTTTGTATAAATTAAAATGTTTGTATTACAATAAGTCAATATACATATAGTAAGATAAAGTTTTCTTTAGTGTTTAATAAGTATCAAAATTAATTTTAGCTGTATCAGGAGAAAATGGTATTGCGACACCTCAAGACGTTGCAAATGTGGAATCATATGTATGTAAAGTGCAGGCCATTCGGGAGGTTCTCAAACGGGATCACATGAAAGTTGCATTCTTTGGCAGGTAATATTTACAACAAATGAAATAAAATCCCATATTTTTTATATGAAATTGTATATCATGTACAAAATTTTCTGCAAAATGTTTTAACTTGCGTCTGCTCGTTTTAGAAGAGTTTTATTTCACACAATAATAAATATTTTAACAGAACAAGTAATGGAAAGAGCACAGTTATCAATGCGATGTTGCACGACAAGATCCTACCGAGTGGTATCGGCCATACAACTAATTGCTTCCTGCAAGTCGAAGGCTCAGACACAGACGAGGCTTTCATGAGAACCGAGGGCTCGGAGGAGAAATTGAATGTTCAGGTTTGAAGTTTCTACAGTTTAGTGAGAGAAAAACCATAGAATATATGAAGACAATAATATTTGTAACTCAGTTTTCTTCATTATATTATTGATGTAATGTAGTTGTATTGTGCCTAGTACAAGTACTTGGACATGTGATTTTATTATTCAGTAGTGTAATAGATATTTAACCAAACAGACTCTAGCTGTTATAGTCTTATCTATACTAATATTATAAAGCTGAAGAGTTTGTTTGTTTGTTTGTTTGAAAACGCTAATCTCCGAAACTACTGGTTCGAATTGAATAATTCTTTTTGTGTTGGATAGTCCAGTTATCGAGAAAGGCTGTGGGCTATATAACATCACGCTACGACCAATAGGAGCAAAGATATAGTGGTAAATGTGTAAAAAACGGGAGAAATTATTTCATCTTTGAAGCCTTCCGTTGCGTGCGCCGTGAAAACGGTTCAAGATACACAAAAAATATGTATTGAAGAATAATAGCTCTTTTAATGGTCTAAAAAACAGTCCGCGACAGTATATGTCTGTCTTTTAAGATTAACTCACAAAAACCGTTTTTATGGTACCCAATTTTGTCGAAATAATTTGTTTAAGTTGTATCAACATAATAATACTAATCTTTATTAATCTCAAATAAATTTGTTGTTGGTTAAGAGTACTTCATTGTGAATAAAAAAAAAAGGTTTTATCCCGAAAATTCTAAGGGAACTCGACCATTCCGAAAACCCCGCAAGAACGGGAACTATGTGGGAAGAACCAAAAATCTGCCGGAAGTCACTATTCCACGCGGACGTAGTCGCGGCAAAAGCTAGTTACTTCATATTTGCTAAATAAGTTGTGATACTGTAAGCATAGTGGAGTGTTGGTGGTATTCTATTATTTGTTATAAAAGACTGCATACTTGAACCATCAAGTACCTGAAATAAACCATCAAGTATGGATACCAATCCTAACATAAAATCCACTTAATTTAATACATGTATCTTAAATTGATTTCTTTAACATCATATATGGTAGTACTGATCATATCTGCATATTTGTAACAATAAGGCTCAAAATTACTCATATCCAGAGCAGTAAAAACATTTACAAAAAAATATATATGTATATCTGTATATATTTCAGTCGGTGAGTCAGCTGGGGCATGCTCTCTGTGCCTCTCGTCTCCAAGAGTGTTCGTTGGTTCACGTCCACTGGCCTCGAGAGCTGTGTGCATTACTGAGGGATGATGTTGTCCTCGTTGACTCTCCCGGAGTTGATGTCACTCCTAACTTGGATGAATGGATCGACAAGTACTGTCTTGATGCTGATGTCTTTGTACTGGTCGCTAATGCTGAATCAACATTGATGGTCACTGTGAGTATTAACTTATATACAAAATAGAAGACCCGACGAACTTCGTATCTCCCTATATCAAGAAATGTGTGTTACATTTGTTTATTTATATTTTTGGAGTTTACCTACTAAAGCCATAAACCTACGTGTTTTGAAGTGCGACAGAATGATTGACATATTAGTTAGTTGTCAAATCTAATGTCAAAAAAAAACGTTTGTATCAACAACTACTAATAAATTAAAAATTTATTAAAAAAACATTGTCAAGCGGACAAAATTGTGAATATAAACCAGATCCCTATCTAGATCCCCTTGAACACACAAGAATGAGAGAAGTTCAGTGACATACACACTCATAAAATAATTATATATATAAGGATATAACAATAATTACAATAAATATTCTGGGAGATTCAAATAAGATCTTTTTAATATGGAAGGTAGTGTATGAATTAATTTTTTCTTTCTTCCAATTTCAGGAGAAGAATTTCTTTCACAAAGTGTCTACGAAAATATCGCAACCGAATATTTTCATATTAAACAATCGATGGGACGCCTCGGCCTCCGAGCCGGAATATTTGGAACAGGTAGAGATTATCTTAAATAATTTATATTTTTGTTTTTCCAGAAAGTTCTAAAGCAAATTCCAGTATTGTCTTCATATATAAAACTATATAATACTAGCTGCGCCCCGCGGTGTTACCCGCGGATTTCCGGGATTTCCGGGATGTAAAGTAGCCTATGTGTTATTTCTGGACGTCAGCTTCCTGTATAGAAAATTTTATCAAAATCGGTTCAACCGTTTGAGCGTGAAGAAGTAACAAACATACACACACACTCACAAACTTTCGCAATTATAATATTAGTAGGAATAATTTTTTGATATTAAACATGTAAAATATGTGTGTTTTATATATTACAGGTCCGCAGTCAGCACGCAACCCGTTGCGTGGACTTCCTGTCTCGCGAGCTACGTGTGTGCTCCCCCAAGGAGGCTGAGGAACGAATCTTCTTCATCTCGGCCAAGGAGGCGCTCCTCACACGGATGAGGGAACGAGAGAAGCCTGTGTCCTGTTAGTATATATTGACCGACTTGAGAATTACTGTTAGGTAGACGTAACAAGTATGACTAACACAGGCTAGTCATTTGGGAAGTTTTAAAATGTATATCAAATAACAATTTAAAATATAGAATATGTTTCACACAGTAAGCAAATGAACTGACATATATGACAGGAAATATAATTAAAATCAACTCTATAAGTCAAGTGTAATAAAACTAAAAGTTTTATTACACTTATTAACACTTTTAGATAATAAATCTAGTATCATATCATATCTAGTATATACTATGACTATTGACTAGATAATAAATCTAGTCTGTTATAAGCGTCACAATGGAGCTCACCCTAAACTCAATGTAAGATGGTCTCAGTAGCTCTTGAACATTAGTTACCAAAGCTTTTTTATTTTGAACTTTTAAAAGAGACTAGAAGACCTGGCGAACTTCGTATCGCCCTATAGTCAAGAAATATCTATTACGTTTTTTTATTTATATTTTTGGAGTTTACCTGTAAGCCATAAATCTCCGTGTCTTGAAGTGCGACAGAATGATTGACATATAAGTTAGTTGTCAAATCTAATGTCAAAAAAAACGTTTGTATGGGAAATAGAAAAGGGCTGTTTTTATGGTTTTCCCAGTAATGAATCAATTTTTTTCAGCTTTTATACCTTCCCTGAACCTCCACGAACATTTCAAGACTAAGATAAGATAAATCCGTTCAGTTGTTCTCGAGTTTTAGCGAGACTAAGGAACAGCAATCCATTTTTATATATACAGGGTGACTGGTGAATTACTATCAATATTTAAGGAGCATACTCGGTACATGATTCTCATTCGAATTATGTAAAAAAATAGGTACTTAATTTTTGACCAAATTTCCGTATAAATAAATAAAGTGTTGACACGTTCTAAGTGTTCCAAGTGTGGACGCGTGCGGCGGCGTGCTGATACAAAACCACGCCCCCGCCGCGTGTGTGTGAGTGTGTGTGTATACCTAATCTGTAGGGTGTTCACACGATGCGTAATTAATTACACAACTTTTGGTTAACTTTACTTAGAAGTTTATTAATATTTATGTTATATTAATTTTTATTTTGTCATATATGATCGTCAAATATCACGTCCTCAAATATCGATAGTAATTCACCAGTCACCCTGTATAGATAGTAATAATATATATGCCTTATTAAATAGCTACGGCTCTAAATAGACCATCATAACCAGCTGTATTCGACCCCCCTATTTTTCCAGCTCCTATCCTAGCGGAAGGTCACCAGGTCCGCTACTTCGAGTTCGTGGACTTCGAACGGAAATTCGAGGAATGCATTAGTCAGTCGGCCGTCCGAACTAAATTCGCCCAACACAGCAGGCGAGGGAAAAACATAGCTGGTGACGTCATGGCACAACTAGAACAGGTTACTAATATATGTATATATGTATCATTAAGACTTAATTCTTTAGTGTTAAATCAATATGCCCGCATTGAATGTATAGAAAACGTGAAACAATCGAATTTTTCTCGTTTAGTTCTCTATGCTACTAACTGAGAACATTTTAATGAATGGTCATCTTTTATATAAAATTCTCGTGTCGCGGTGTTAGACAGAGAACTCCTCCGAAACGGCTGGACCAATTTTGATGAAACTTTGTGAGAATATTGAGTAGGTCTGAGAATCGGCCAACATCTATTTTTCATGCCCCTAAGTCATAAAGGTTGTTCACACTTATTTTTTTTAAATTTTCAGACGAATTTCTTTTTTATGTAGCATAAAAATACACACAAACCAATATTTTTACTTTTTTATCACCAACCCCTATTTTTTATATGACAAAACAACGTTTGCCGGGTCAGCTAGTAAAGACACAAAAAATATTTTTTTTGAATATCCCAATATACACTCACTCACCTAAACTGTAGTTCATTCTGAATTATTGATTACATTGCATGTTAGTTATTTAATGTGATTTTAATTTCCAGGTCTACGGCACAGCCACGGCCCAGAAGGCGGCCAAAGTTGAGAAGCAACGTATACTACAGGAACAGCTGTCGTCGGTGGAGGAACAGCTCACGGCCATCACCAGGCAGATGAAGGAGAAGATTGGACGCATGGTGGAGAGTGTGGAACATAAGGTGGGTACAATAATATGGACTTAATACACCAAAACATAACAAAACGACATATTCATACATCACCTTCGCTATCAATGACGAGGTCCCGTTTTATAAACCTACTAGCTTTCCGCCCGCAGCTTCACCCGCTTGGAGTTTGGTTATGACGCGTTTCCAAGAGAACCTTTTAAAAGTCTGGGATAAAAACTATCCTACGTTCTTTCTCGAGGTCAACTCTATCTTTGTACCAAATTTAATTAAAATCAGTTCAGTGGTTTAGGCGTGAAAGCGTAACAGACAGACAGACAGAGTAACTTTCGCATTTATAATATTAGTAGGGATGGTCTCTTAGTGTGCCCCTTCAGGCTCATATTTCTAAAGATCACTCACCTACTCTGGTGACGTCAAAGCCATCACAATTGATATATACCTCTGGGTCAAAGTTATATTCCACCAGGGCTCTATATATCTGGCTGGAAGGACAAAAAATTATAGTACAGTATTCACAAAAATATTGAGTGTCTAACAATAATTTATGCAACATTAGGCATACATCACTACTGTTATATTGATATCAATTAACATTATCGTTTTCGATGTTTCGATTACTTGGTACTAACTGATCAGGTGCAGACGAGAGAAGCGTCTATCAATAGATCTTGATTTTTATAAGTAGGATTCCTGGTCCTACATGTAAGTATAACTAGTCACTGGCTCACTACTACTTTAGACTGCCATTAGACTGCCGAGCACATGCCGCCCCCTCCAGTGGGGTACGTGAGACAGTGTATTATATCTATTGTATAGATATATACACTATAGATACATACAATCAGTGGTGGCCTAGTGGTTAAAGGGCCCGCTTCTCGTTGCCGAGGGCGCGGGTTCAAACCTGACAAGTACCAATGTGATTTTTCGGAGTCATATGTACTTTCTGAGAGTATTTAGACATCACTGACATATGGTGAAGGAAAAACATCGTGAGGAAACCTGGACTTATAGTTTCACAATTATAAGTTTGAAATCACCAACCCGTCTTGAGCAAGCGTGGTGATTAATGCTCAAACCTTCTCCACGTGAGAAAGAGGCCTTTGCTCAGCGGTGGGCTCTGATAGGCTGATGATGATAGATACATATACTACACTTCGGATACACAAAGATTCTCACACTAATATGTCTCATATCAATTCCCAGGTATCACTGACCCTGAGCCAGGAGATCCGTCGCCTGTCCGCGCTGGTGGACGAGTACGAAGCCCCGTTCAGGACGGAGCGCTCCGCCCTCGAGCAGTACAAGCGCTCCCTGCACCGACACGTGGAGGCCGGCCTCGGCTCGCGCCTCAAGAAACGACTGTCCGCTGATATTGGACACGAGATGGACACCGCGCAGAAAGATATGGCCGGTATGATGATTTGTAATAATGTTAATATAAATGAAACTAATATTTTCGGATTTTACTTCGCGTTTTTTATTTTTGATTACGAACTACATACTCCCGACGTTTCGGCTACTTTTCAGCAACCGCGCTCACGGGCAGACGAGATGATCGTAGATCGTAGGTGTAGTTCGTAATCTTCTATATATATAAAAATGGATTGCTGTTCCTTAGTCTCGCTAAAACTCGAGAACAGCTGAACGGATTTATCTTATCTTAGTCTTGAAATGTTTGTGGAGGTTCAGGGAAGGTATAAAAGCTGAAAAAAATTGATTCATTACTGGGAAAACCATAAAAACAGCCCGTTTCTATTTCCCATACATACGTTTTTTTTGACATTAGATTTGACAACTAACTAATATGTCAATCATTCTGTCGCACTTCAAAACACGGAGATTTATGTTTTACAGGTAAACTCCAAAAATATAAATAAAAAAACGTAATACATAGATATTTCTTGATTATAGGGCGATACGAAGTTCGCCAGGTCTTCTAGTCAAAAATAAAAAACGAGAGGTAAAATCCGAAAATATTAGTTTCATTTAAATGAGTACTCGCGAAAATCTTAGATCTCATTATAATGTTTATATGTTGCCTAGTGTATTCCTACTTAAATAAAAATCTGATCGTTTTGTCTATGACCAAAGTTGAATACGGATGTCCTTTAACAGGTTTTTCGTTTTATGTCTGTGTATTAAATGCTGTCAAGTTTTTTTAATTTTCACATTGAATGCATATATAGAATTAGCCATCTGAAATACTACTATTTAGAACATATCCTACTAATATTATAATTGCGAAAGTTTGTGAGTGTGTGTATGTTTGTTACTTATTCACGCTCAAACGGCTGAACCGATTTTGTTAAAATTTTGTATACAGGAAGCTGACGTCCGGGAATAACATATAGGCTACTTTACATCTCCGAAATCCGCGGGTAACACCGCGGGGCGCAGCTAGTTTAATATTTAAGCTAATCAAATGTTTTTGATGTTCCAGAGCGTATGTATAACATCCTGCCGGCCCACAAGCGCGCGGCGGCCGCGTCCTGCATCATTCCCCACCAGCAGCCGTTTGAGGTTCTGTATCGTCTTAACTGCGACAACCTGTGCGCCGACTTCACGGAGGACCTCACTTTCCGCTTCTCGTACGGCATCACGGCCCTCATACAGAGGTTCCAGGGCAGGAACACCAACAAGATCGCCTTGAAGAACCCGCCCGTACACACGCAGGTACACACACCCATACACACACAGGTACACACGCCCGTACACACACAGGTACACACGCCCGTACACACGCAGGTTGGAAAAGATAATTGAGTAAAAAATATAGGTTTATTGGTAATCTGATATCAATATAGTCTTTAATTCGTATTTTAAGGTACATACTTGACAAACTGGTAAAGTAAACTAAACTATGTAGTAACTAACTAAAAGTAAAGTAAACTGTTAAAGTAAAGCTGGTATAGTCTAACCCTGTGCATATATCTTGATTTTAATCAATTCGTACGTTTTAAATGACCAGTACATCATTTACTGGGGTAATAATATTAAATCATAATGCTACAATTTCACTCAATAATGTCGGATCAGCTGATCATTATTATATTTGATCAGTTGTTTTAAAAGAATCCTACTAATATTATAATTGCCAAAGTTTGTGAGTTTGTGTGTATCTTTGTTACTTCTTCACGCTCAAACGGCTGAACCGATTTTGATAAAATTTTGTATACAGGAAGCTGACGTCGAGGAATAACACATAGGCATTATAAATCCCTACTAATATTACAACTCTGTATGCCTGTCTGTTCCGCTTTCACGCCTAAACAATTGAACTGATTTTAATGAAATTTGGTACAGAGATAGAGTTGACCTTGAGAAAGAACATAGGATAGTTTTTATCCCAGACTTTTGAGAGGTTCTCTTGGAAACGCGATATAACCGAAATCCACGCGGGCGAAGCTGCGGGCGGAAAGCTAGTATTCAATAATTTCGTTTAATGTTTCTATTGTTTTTTTTTAACCTGTAGTCATTACCTGTCTGTCTGTCCCAGATCCCGCCGTCAATGGGTCCGCCCGCGCCATCTATGGAGGTGTCCCGCGTCACTAACGGCGGCTCCATGGGTCCCCTCTCCGCCGAGGAGTGGGGCATGGTGTCCAAGTTCGCGCTGGGAGCTCTCACCTCACAGGGAACTATGGGCGGGTTGCTGTTGTCAGGACTTGTGAGTATATGACTATAACTATGTGTTTCTTCTTCTACCTGGCAATTTCCCAGCTATAGCCAGGGTCTGCCTTACATGTTGTGAATAGTGCTACCTATGTTTTTACGACCGGCCGCCTACCTGATATCAACCCTCTTTTGGGAATCAACATCAATCGGTGATGTCTAAATACTTTTTAGAAAGTACATATGACTCGGAAAAATCACATTGGTACTTGCCCGGGCCAGGATCGAACCCGCGCCCTCGTGCAAGAGAGGCGGGCCTATTAACCACTAAGCCACCACTGACTGACTATGACTATAACTAGGTGTTTAACATTAGAAAATATTGGTCTGTCACATTATATTGACAGGATTGGCAAAGTAACTTAATTTGGTAATCTTCAATAAATGATGAATAGGCTGTCACTGAGATAGTACATTCACTATCTACAGATACAATTTTAACCTTCCCGCGGATGTGATGACAGTCGAGCGTTATCAAGACGTTTAAAAAAAATCGATATTTTAATGTTTATGTTTTATTCGATGAATTCTCCGTTCTATATTTCAATTTTAATTGATTTTTGTGAAACTATTTTCATACTAATTAAATTATTGTGAACCTGAACTTTAATAATTTAGCTGATTATTATCACTAGTATAAAACTAGATGATGAGTAGTTTTTCGCATCAAGTCAGAGTTAAATATTTAATGTATAATGTTCTAATGCAGAGTTCCCCAAACTTTTTTGTGTTGTAGACCCCTTGCCATGTTTTTCCCTGTTGGGTAGACTTACCCTATAATAATTTCCTGTAAATTTCTAACTGTAGTGAAGTTTAGTATTAAAAACTAAAAATAAAAACACATGGTAATTTATACATTTATTAATTGAATTTAACATTAAATTACTTGTATCTGTTGAAATACACTATTGTGGACCCTCATTTTCATTTCATAGACCCCCAAAAATTTTTTCGCTGATGTAAACCCGTTGCAGGTTGTCATAGAACTTTGGGAATCACTGTTCTAATGTGATTCGTGTTTCAGTTGTTAAAGACGGTCGGTTGGCGCGTGGTAGCGCTGACGGGCGTGATCTACGGTGCGCTGTACGCGTACGAGCGGCTCACGTGGACTACGTCCGCCCAGCAGCGGCTGTTCAAGAGACAGTATGTGGCGCACGCGACGCGCAAGCTGAGGCTAATCGTGGACCTAACCTCGGCCAACTGCTCGCATCAAGTGCAACAGTCAGTATATATAACATAAACGCACACGTACACACATACACAGACTTGTATAGATTAGATACATAGACATTTATGTAGATGCATACAAATGTAATACATGTTTGGATATTAATAGATATATGTATACTATAATAGTAAAATCTATACAGTGTAAGAATAACAAATTTTATGGCACAATTTTATTTTTAGTGCAACAGTCAGTATATCTATTAGGATTAAACAAATAGGAATAGATATTTTCACCTCAAACAAGACCCTTATAAGAAGTGATGATTGTTATAATAAATATGGAGCGTATCGAGTTGTTGTCATAAACCGACGTAGAATAATAACTTAAAAACAGAAAACCCTGCTTGATCATTTGAAGACGGAAATTTTTGATAAAGGCTGTATTGACTTGAGTGATTGGTACTATATTATCTACTAACTTTCCGCCCGCAGCCTCGCCTGCGTGGAGTTCGGTTATATCGCGTTTCCAAGAGAACCTTTCAAAAATCTGGGATAAAAACTATCCTATTCTTTCTCAAGGTCAACTGTATCTGTACCAAATTTCATTAAAATCAGTTCAGTGGTTTAAGCGTGAAAGCGTAACAGACAAACAGAAAGTTACTTTCGCATTTATAATATTAGTTGGGATACAATTGATCAGTTTTGTACCATAATGTATTTTAACTCCAGAGAGCTGTCGACGATGTTCGCGCGTCTGTGTCGGCTGGTGGACGAGGCGACCACGGAGATGGACGAGGAGCTGAAGGAGGTGCGGGAGGCCATCAAGATGTTGGAGGACGCCTCCACCTCCGCCAAGAAGCTGAGGAACAAGGCCAACTACCTGTCGCACGAGCTGGACCTGTTCGACGACGCCTTCCTCAAACACTAACCCGGGTACATACGTACACACATTACATACAAACAATATACTAGGTTTGAACATTAATCACCACGCTTGCTCAAGACGGGTTGGTGATTTCAAACTTATTATTGTGAAACTATAAGTCCGGGTTTCCTCACTAAGTTTTCCCTCACCGTATGTCAGTGGTGTCTAAATACTATCAGAAAGTACATATGACTCCGAAAAATCACACTAGTACTTGCCAGGTTTGTACCCGCGCCCTCGGCAACGAGAGGCGGACCCTTTAACCACTGGGCCACCACTGACATGACATGACAATATACTTTGAATATTCATAATTTTGTCATCATCATCATCAGCCTATCAGAGCCCTATGATGAGCAAAGTCATCTCACATGGAGAGGGTTCGATCATTAATCATCACACTTGCTCAAGACGGGTTGGTGATTTCAAACTTATAATTTGAAGTTATAAGTTCAAATTTCCTCATGATGTTTTCCTTCATCATCTGTCAGTGGTGTCTAAAAACTCTATGAAAGTACATGATACTGTTAACGTATATGAATGATTCTCTGGGAAGTGTTTTGTGTGGCTTACAGACGTATGGCACTGAAGGGTATACTGAATGCTTAGTCCAATATCGTCACACTGCTTACGAAGCGTTTCTGGTTATTTATTCAACAGCCTAGGTATGTTAATAGTATAACATACAAGCTGTTAACGGTTTGTCTGCAATGTGATGTTGCAAAGATAGATTGATTAACTATATATAAAGTGTATTTAAATAAAACACAAGCTATAAGGGATACAGTTTGATAATTATCTTTATATATATGTTGCAGATGTGTCCACGTTTGTCGCGGGATGGTTTTCGCAGCCAGCTGACTGTTGTGAGGTGTGCAGTTCCGAGGCGTCGCTAACATTACATGTGATAACGTTTATATAACTATTGTACATAGAAATTATAATATATAGTTCTACATAACCGAGCAACTAGCGACCTCTGTTGGTGAGCGGCGATAGTTATAACTTACCGATAGGTTCTGAGCGGGCGCGGACTGCACCGTGTGGATGTTTTATTTATTTGTGTTAATGTTACATTGTTATCATGTATCCCGTGGTTGTATGAGATATATCGGATGTATTTAAAATTTGCTACACTAGCGACCTCTCTTGCTAAGTATCGTTTATAAGATTTGCTCCCGGAAGTATGGGAATTATTGAAAGTATTGGAGACATTATGTTGATTCTGTTGTTATATTGTTTGTTACTAACAGGACTCCTGGTGCGTTGAACGCATATAATATATATTTCCAGGTTCCCCTACTAACGGTCATCTCTGTAACACTGTCACAATCGAGTTCTCGTAGTAAATACGTCCTAAAGAGATTCGTTATCAACAGTATGAGCGTGTACGGAATCCTTATTTGTATATTTATTCATGTATAGTGTAATTGTAAATTAGATTAGTCGTTGTTTCATTTGTTTATCAGCTTTTTACGATGTTTATTATGATGAATTTATCACAGCCGGGCGGGAGTCGCCGGCGATGGCAAGGATAGTCAGCTATTTATATATGTATGTGAAGATTTTATAAACTGTACTAAATACTAAACAATACTGTGATCAGTTTTAGCTGCAGCATCGACTGTCATAGTCGTTAGATGTCGCCACTGAGTTTATTTTAGTTTTTTATCTAACCGCCGATGGTGCTTACGGCCGCGACCTATGAACAAAGAGCTTCACATTCTCTTAACGTGTGAGAGACGCCTGTGTTATTCATATTTATATTAAGTTTACAAAACTCTCGGCCTCCAAAATAGTTACCAACGATATAGACGGGTACTTGATCTGTAAGCGCTATTATTATTACCATATGAAATTACAAATTACGTTACTTTAAAAGGACCTACGACTTCATAATATATTGTCTTTAAATTTTGCTAAAATTTTTGTCAAATTATTAAACAGATCGTGTTTAATGTAAAGTTCGGCGATAATTTAATTCGTCTAAAAAAACTTATGAATAATTCGTATTAGAATAATTATCGTATGTTGAATAGATATTTGGTATGTTATAAATTAAATTCTTGTAACTAAATATATATTTATGTTATGTTTAAATGTGACATTACGTGGTAATAATAAATTGTTGATATTAAAATTGAATACATATAACATTTGATAGTTGCATCTGTTTGAAGTCATTTATTTTTTCAAGTCTGCGAATATGAAGTTTTAAGTCTAATATATATATATATTAAAATATATACACATATGACACAGAGTATTCCTCACATGAATGTACTCATCGCGACGTCCGTTAATCGGACAGACATTTCAAGGCCGTACAAGTTTAGATATTTTGTTGTCAAATGTAATTAGTGATGCGTAATTAGGTGAATTTTCTTATGTAAATAAATAAAGTTTCCCTTTATAATACGATGTTTTATTTGTAAATATTATTGAGATCACTGATATCAATAACTTGTTTGTAGCACCATATTAAGCAACAATTATTTGTCTTTGGTTAAAATATAAGAACAAGTAACACTTATATTGTGTAGAACATTATGTCTTCTAATTCCAATCGTGAGATCCTCGCCATGTAATGTTGTTTGGGTTGTGGCTGAGAAGAAAAATGACAATATATATCTCAACATTATCAAAAACGGCACACATATTTTGGTAATTAATAATCTTAGGGTCCTTTCCACATCATTGACAAGCACAAACCCTATATGAGGATTGTTTGGAGGGCATATAGATCAAATAAAGTGTAAAAATTGTGAATTTTTACCAAAATAACTTGTGCAATAGCTTATGAAAATAAAAACCTAATTAACAATTTAGCACATATGTGCGTCCATGATTAAAGATATTTAATTCAGTACATACCACCTCAGCAACAGATCTGAATAGAGCTTTATTGAAGCACACAACATCAGTGGCCATCTGTCCATAGTAATCACACATAACCCTGACTTCATCTTCCGAGGTGAACCCGAGCCATTGTTGAATAACTTTGGTGGGAACTTTCAGCTGCTTACTGTTATATGCAGTACTGATAACTTGTAGACCTCGTCTGAAAATAATCAACCTGTTACAAGTGGCACTCTGTGTGCATACTCATTATAATAAAATCCTTAGAATTATTTTTGACTAATTATAATTTATTATAACACTGAACTGTTGTTATATTGTAATGGCAACATTTAAGTGACAACCTGTATTTTAAAAAACTATAATTTTGTAAGACATTAATGGAAGTAATGCCAAACATTGATAAACATATTTGTAACTGTGTCTTCAAAATTGTATCAAATCTTGATGATAATTGATTTTGAAAAAGTTTTCTTTTACTAGAAGTTGTTGGTAGGTTTCTTACATGAAGACTATTTTTAATATAGGCTTAGTTAAAAAATTCCTCTTTATATTAAAGAAACTGCTAATATTTGGGGTAAATTAAACATACTTTTGCATTGTTGGGAGATATAAACATAGAGCTGCAAATGTGAGTGGACACAGTTGCTCAGCCAATCTCCAAACTCTCACATAATTCCCGAGCTTATTAGCCACGGCTATTTCATAAGCCAATTTTAGTTTTGATCTAGAATATAAATAACAATTATATTACTTATATTAATTTAAACTTCTTAATAGTTATACTGCCATTTTACCTTTTTAAATGATTCGGTAGAGACAAATAACGATATAGTGGGTGTATATCAGACAAGTTGCACAGCACATAAAGACTTTCAACTAAAGGTCTATCACATGACAATATATTGTCTTTACTAAGATATAAATCCTTTAAAATATCTGTCATACATTCTATATTTGTTTCTTCCAAAGTATCACAGCAGGTAAGGAACCATTTTATACATTCAAGTAAATACTTCTTATTAAGTACAGGATCATATTCTTTTAAGGGATATTCGCACAATCTAAAACAAATACATTTTTAATATATAGGTATATTTTATAACATTACTTGATGTAACAACAATAACAATTATATTCCCTGAATTAATTTAAGAACTTTTAATATGCAGACTGAATTAATTCAAATTAATGATAAAATTAAATCAAATACATATAACCAATATATTACATTACCAAAGCTACCTGTAACCATAGTAGTTATAGAACCTAATCATGGGTTCTAGAAGTTTGACACACTCCTTTGGATGCAACCTCTGTATAGTCATATCCTGTCTCACCGATCTGAGACGGTCATCCAAGAAATTATATATAACCGACATTTTGACATCTTTCCTTTTTGAAACACTAAAAAATAAATGTCTTATATATATAACTCACATAAGCATGGATCGGCACTTTGAAATCAAAGATAGATTCAATATATCACTCTTGTTGTTCATTTACTTACTTTAATAACAAATATTGTGTTGTTGTCATAAGGGTAGGGAAGGGTCGAAGATTGCTGGGTATGGCCATATTCGAATCTGCGGCTGAACGACTATAGCATTTAACTAATTTGTAACCTTCCGTTGTAACTTCTAATATATGAACTAATTTCTCCCTTATTCTCCTTTAAGTATAACATAAGAAAATAGTGAGTTTAGTTATTATTTGCGTTATAATAGTAATAATAAGTAGTGTAAAGCAAAAGCAATATTTTGGACTTGACCTACAAGTTCATTTCCTCCGGTGGGCACATATCTAAACATGTTCCGTGGATACACGTTTCACCGTCCTTACTTAAGTTCCTACTATTCATAATTATTGAATAAAAATATAAAAGTGTGGAAGTTCTAACCCAAAAATGTGTGATTGTAAACAGTAAATACAAGAAGTGACATTAGGTACTAATATTAGTTTAGAAACTCTTATTCTTATACGTATCTTACTTTTTCGAATGGAAGTTAGGAAAAGCCCTATTTTTAAATTTTTCGTTTAAAACGGTTAATAATAAAAAAGAAATATTGTAAATTTACAATAATCATATAACATTTTTTAGAATTACGACAATACGTTCTATTATAAAGATTAAACATACAAGTTCCTACATTGAATTTATGTCAGTATTATACAAATTTGTCGAAAGAGTAAAAAAATCAGTAATAACTTTTATCTCTACACATAAAACAAATGCAATCATAAATATTAATTATGAAATACGACATCAAAAATCTTTCTCTTATATTTAATTATTTCCCCTTTTTAAATTTTAAACTTTAACCGGATAAATGTGAATTACTACCTACCTACGTATAAAGTTGATTGATTAAAATCCTATATAAATAAATTTAAATATGTCCTAGAATTTTGGATTCCCAAGTGTTCGAACTACGAAGAAAATGAAATTTTATTTAAGTCGCATATTCACTAGTTGTTACCATAGATTTATATTACATTATTTAAATTTAAACCGCAGACCTTACCTTTGATACTCCATTTGTTTGGACGAAATAAAAGCAATTAGATTTTGAGCAGCTGAAAGATAAACCCATCACAGCGTAAATTTTCACTTATCCTAACTCATCACTGTCCTTTAACCAAATCTATCATACATCAAATTACGCTATCTCTGAATTTCTTTTCTAAAGCGCTGTAGAAAAAATATCCCATTGTAAATGTCCCAATCTTTTTAAAAGCACTTTGTTAGCACTTTATATCTAACAACAATAAATAGAATAACAGAACCTTTGATATTGACTTTGTGATGTGTTGACTGTTAAAATAATAGACGTAAAACCATGACTTAGTTCAGTACGGTATATATTTCCAGTTACTACATATTGATCTTTGAAAAGTATTTAAAACTTTGAAAAGTATTTAAAACTGATTCCTAATCATCTAAGTAATTATTAAATTGGAGCATATTAGGACAAGTTTCATTTGGATAAACTACTCTAGAAATATTATAAACTTCATTATAGTTCATGTACGTATCCAGATTTAATTAAAAAGATATTTGTTTGAATCAACTCTTTATATCGAAAACTTAAATTAAACTTGGAAATCCACATGCTTATTCAAATGCAATGCCTACACAAAGTTGGTGCATTTTCTATTTAATTGTATTCTTAATATATAAAATACAAAGAAACTATTAGAGGTAGTTGTCATGTTTCAAGTAAACCTGAAGTTAGAAGTCTTTTACATGAGCTTAACTTTAGTTTGTAACAGAATGAAACTTCATGTAGTGTCTTGGATTTCCTTTGTGGGATAGAATATAATATAAGTTAGAGTTCAATTAAGTTTCTTTTATTAAAAAGGAACTCAGCCAAATCCTTATAAGGGTCTTGTGCTTTACTACTACTTGGGCTTTTCGATTGATGGTTGTAAATTGCTCTTTTTTCTATGCCCCTTCTTTTTAATTACGGGTGAAGTGTCCTGGTCATGTGGTTTATGGGTCCTTTGCCGGTACAGACGTTCCTAAGATATTGATCTTCGTGTCATGTTCCTTGAACTGAGTATCAAGTTTTGTGTGCCACTCTCACAAGAGATCTGTACGAGAGTACGGCCTGATCTGACCTACAGTTGTAAGCCTTTTTCGATACTACAAAACTTAATCTAGCACTGGAAATAGTCTGACGGATTTTTTCTTTCGCAACAGAACAGCCTCTTAAACTGGGAGAGTCTATATTTGGGTTTCCTACATATCAAAGCTTTGCTAACGGAAGATAATTTCATTTTGTTTCCTCGAATACCATGCCAAAGAAAAATTCTTAGAACCAACTAAGTCTGATACAGGATAGAAAACTGCACTGAACTGCACAAAAATAATTAACAAGGGCTAGGCTAAAATGATGAGCAAGTCAAATGCATCTCTCACTTATTGGATGAAACACAGCGCTTCTTGATACGCTTCTTCAAGCCAGTCATCTATGAGAAGGTGGAAGTACCTCGTTTGAGCCAAACCAAATATAAATTGTTGGCTACTGACTGCAACTAGGTTGAACTAACCCAATATAAAAGGGTTTATTTAAATTTCATAGAAGTTTTTGTTCGAGGGCCAATTTTTGCTCGATGATGATGAGTGACTTCGGTGATGTTCTGTGTAGAGTCTAACTAGCCCCAACTGGGTATGACATTTACGGTATTTTTTATTAATTATTGAAAAGTCCTTGATAAATGATCTTCGTTAGTTTTCCTTATTAATAGTCTGATCCTACATTGCCTTTATAAATCCCTAAGTTTCTGGGATATATTTCCCTATTTAAGCCATTTATTTGAGGCAAAGATATCGGAAGCTCCTTTTAGACATGGTTGTGTTGACAACATAATAAATTTCCTTTCCAATCTTTGTGTCTAAGAATCGCAGTTTTACATATTTTTGTTTGTAGGGTGGGGTAAAGCAAGGGATCATTTTGAGCGATGGTTCCGTGTTTTTTTCTGATTTTTGAAATTTGTACGTAAAACTATCAAGTGGGATTACCAGTAAGAAAACTAAGAGATAATAGTTATTTTTTTTTCAAATTTCAGCTTGGTTTCGTATCTTTAAATGAAACATAAAAGTACATTACGGCCATGGATTCATTCGTAGCAGTGATTGTTACTTCAGTGTCAACGCGACATTTTTGAAATGGAAACACATTTGGAAATTTATCCATGCCGAACGAGAAGTTCATCATTTGTAGTGTACCCTACAACATAAACAAGCTTTACTTAGAATTTCACTCAAAAAATAAAATATTTTAAAACAATTTTATATCTTACAGCTGGCAACGGGCACACTAAGCCGAAATGTTTGACCATAACTCCTATAAATCTGTCGTATTTTATTATATCACATAACCGATGGTGTAATTGAATGAAGGAACTTTGGTACTCGTTGTGGAGATACTCATTAAAAATTAAATGCAACTGAAAAATATTATGTACATTTATTATTGGACATGTATTATGAGAAAAGTATAGAAGGACCAAGAATTCGAGATGTTCCCAAAGCAAATTGTAAAAACCACAAGTAAAGCGTGAATTTTAAATGGGACTGTGTGTTTTATATATTTTTAATTAAATCAAACTTAACAAACCGTTACGTTGTTTGTCCATGTTTGTTTCGTCGTCATTTCAATGTTGAAGTAGTAAGGACTGGATCTGCTATATCGTTTTACATTAATGCTTAAATTATAAAAATATTTTTCGTTTACGTACTCTAATTTAGCCCGTTCTGGTATTATTTCCAACCCCTAAAATGAAAATATAACGTTAGTTATCAATAAAATTCTGGGAACATTCCTATGGGCTGTATTTTTTACTTTACTTACTCTATATGCTGCGATAAAAATAAGCGACAGCGCCAAAGCCGTTTGTACACAAGTTTGAAACATATTTATTTTGTACAATACTGACTCATACAAATATTTTCAGTTGTTATTGCTAAATGACATATTCGAAAATGAAATTTGATATATGTATGTATTGAAAAGAATATTTGATTTTAATGACCCTCTAGCATTATAATTGAAGTCTAAATTATGATGGCTTTTTAATGAAATATTTTAGTATACCTCACGTTACAAGCATATGTAAGTTTTATATCAAAGATTTGCAATAGTTTTAATGGAACCTTTTTCAAAATGTTGCGAATTCTTAGGAAGGGTTTGATCGCAAGAACGCGAAACCGCTGTGACACAATCTTGATAAATGTATGATTTTGAAAGAATATAGTAGCCAACTGTTATTATTTTTTATTTATAATCGCATTAATCTACATATATAAAAATTAATCCCTTTTTCCCTTGCTCATGGCGTCACTCGTGAATGGCTGGACCGATTTCACTATTTTTTTTTGTATTTGTTGTTATTAGGAGAAGGTTTTTATGTAAGAAACAAATACGAAAATTACTACAAAAAATAACTAGGATATTTTTCTTTTTTATTAAAATAATGTGTCACTCGCAGTAATATTCACTTAGTAAAAATAAAGCTTTAGAATAATAAACACTTCTTTTTTTATAATTTTAAATTGTTGTTGTTGACAATTAGAATTCAATACTTACAGTCAAAAATACAGAAAATTGTTTGTCGGGTCAGCTATACTTCATAAAGAAATTAACTTCATTGAGATAAAAAGGTAACAGATATTTCTTGATAACAGGGCGGTATAAAGTTCGATGGGTCAGCTATTTTTTAATAATATTAAGGTATAAATTCCATTTTGGTCTGGTTAAATAAAAAGAAAATGAATTGAGGTCGAGGCCTCTAGCTATTAAGTGTAAGTTAAGCTAATAAGTACATCTAGCAATTTTTTGAATTCATATCACATATGTACATGGATTTTAGATTTTTTTATTTTTTTTAACATCTTTTGATTCATTGTCAAATAAGTCGAAGTTATTTATCTCATTCGAATTAAGTGTTTTTTATAAATCTCAAAAAAATTATATCTAAAATTTTCATGTACCACTTTGATTGGACGTCAAAGCGAAAGTTCCAACACGGCGGTTGAAAAACTTTTTATTATTTTAGTCTTTTTTTGCCCATAGTGTATAGCACATTTTCATTTTTTTTTGTAACAGAGTGGTAGTTCACATTTATTTTTGTAAGAAACAAAGGTAACTTAAGTTAGTAACACGAAATAAAGGAAACTAGATAAAATTATATGTAGAAGTATTGAATTCGGTGAGTGATGCTATCGGACACCATTTTCAGCGAGACCATTGCCAAGTAAAGAAAGACGAGGATGATAATAATTATATCATTTTATTTGAAGTCTTAAGCCGAATTGTTAAACTATTTTAGGGGCACAAAATATGTAAATGATGTTAT